TTACACTCAATGTGGTGCAAAAATTCCATGGGTCTAGCTAATCCCTGATCTTCTAGCGTCTTGGCGACCAAAAACTTTTGACGCCGTCCTCCGTAAGTACTAATTAATGGTGGCAGCGACTTTATCACAGCCGAGGAGGCGACGGTCCAGGGGTCTTGGGTATGACTCTGAACCAGCAAGCCGTCAAGGAAGCGTATCAGAGCGAGAAAAACAAAGCGTTCCGCCAGGGTTCGATGGCGATGTGGATATTGATCATGTTGACTCATTCCCGGCCATTCTCAATGCGAGGCGCGAGACGGGACCCAAAGGGGAGACAATGACTCCCACAAGTCAAGCCTGGGTCCCAGTCTAGTCCCCTTTCAGCAGCGACAGGGAAGGTACAGCACAGTGGCTCAGGGCCTTGCCATTCTTATTAATACGGACCCTCCCGCGCCCCGAAAAAAAGTCACTGCAGGCCCGTACAGCATCAAATCTTCCAACAGCATCATCACCAACCCTTCGCTACCTTACTTGCCTACCATATCCGTCCGTGGTAGCAGCAGCGCAAACACCCCAACCTATCCTCACCATACACGACACAGGAGCCGCAGCCACAGCTACAGCATCAATCATGGCGGTCCGCGCACAATTCGAGAATTCCAACGAGTGAGTGCCTCGTGATACCCCGCCCCCGCCATCAATCTCGGTCAACAGGCAGTACGACACGAACAAAAATTGCATCGTCTGCTCGCAATGTTGTGTGCGTGCCACTGTGGCTCGAGACGGATTGGACGGTGCCAAACAGCATGCCACATCAGGTCGCTAACCAGTGCCCAGAGTCGGCGTCTTTGCGACACTGACGAACTCGTACGCCCTCGTGGCCCTGGGCGCGAGCGAGAACTTTTACAGGTATGTCGAAGCACCTTTTCTCCGGGCATTCTCCGAACCCCTTGACTCACATACCGCAGTGTCTTTGAGGCCGAGCTCCAAGATGTAGTCCCTACCGTCCGAACGACCATTGCTGGCACCCGCATCATTGGCCGCCTCACAGCCGGCAACCGCAAAGGTCTCCTTGTGCCCACGACCACCACAGACCAGGAGCTCCAGCACCTGCGCAACTCGTTACCCGACAGCGTGCGTATCCAGAGAATCGAGGAGCGCCTCTCTGCTCTAGGCAACGTCATTGTCGCCAACGACCACATTGCCCTGATCCACCCGGATCTGGAGCGGGAAACCGAGGAGATTGTCGCCGACGTGCTCGGCGTGGAGGTCTTCCGCCAGACCGTGGCGGACAATGTGCTCGTGGGCAGCTACATGAGCTTGTCGAACCAGGGAGGCCTGGTGCACCCCAAGACCAGCATCCAGGACCAGGACGAGCTGTCGAGCTTGCTCCAGGTGCCCCTCGTCGCTGGCTCGGTGAACCGCGGCAGCAACGTGGTGGGCGCCGGCATGGTCGTCAACGACTGGCTGGCCGTGACCGGTCTGGACACCACCGCCACCGAGCTGAGCGTCATCGAGAGCGTCTTCCGCCTCGGCGAGGGCATGGGCCCCAGCAACATCAACAACAGCATGAAGGACACGATAGTGGAGAGTTTCTACTAAGTGGCCCCGCGTACTTGTTTTGTTCATGTTGCTTGCTTGGCGTTATGGGATGGGGGACCTTTTCTAGTGCGGCTTGGACACTTGATTGATTGGCATGAGAGAGACATGACCCAAGGGGGTGGCTGTCATGAAGAAGGAAGAGACACACCCATGTCCTTTGCATTGGTGGCGTTGGTATGGTTATATCCACAATATATACATACTGCGATGGGACGAGCTTGAAGTAATACATCACCCTCGATCCTCATTCTCCAGCTTGACAATCACACGATGTTTGCTGTCTCGAAGCACTCGCATGCCAACTATCCGTAAATGTGAAGTCTGAAGGCGACGTGAAGTGTGATGCCGTATTGCACATGTTCAAGGGCACCAACCACCAAGGCTCAAAAGATGCAGATCGTGAAGGGACCACGCTAGCTTCTTTCGGTCATCCATCCTGTCACCCCACCACACCACGCGCGATGTAGGCTTTTGGCGATAGCTTCAAGCCAAAGCTCGACGTTCTCCCAATCCATAAGTCATACCAAAGGATTTACACATTGCACAATTTCCCCAAATCGCTGGAGAAACAATGTCCGACACGAGCCCGGAGCACTTGCCTTCCTCAGCCCTGGGTACAAAAGCCTAGTTCGTCACCACCCCACCTCCCGATCTACTTACTGACCACAAAATGCTGACAATGCGCGCAGCTGGGATTCCCTTTATACGAACGAGGTACAGAACCATGCCGCCAATCCGTCAGATAGGGGAACAGTCTGGTTCGACGACTCGGACGCCGAGGCCAAGATCCTGTCCTATCTTGCGACGAAAGACCTGCCCCACGATACAACTACCTTTCTAGATCTCGGCTGCGGCAACGGCTCGCTACTATTCGCCCTCAGAGATGCTGGCGCGGACAGCAGCGACAGTGACGACGACCAGGAACAAGACGAAGGCGCGGACGCACCGAAAGAGTCGTGGACGGGTAGGATGCTGGGCGTCGACTACTCCCCGCAGAGCATAGAACTGGCGACGTCGATACAAGCCTCGAGACCAAGTGATCCATACCTCGAATTCCAGACCTGGGACATCCTCTCTGGCTCGCTGTCAGAAGTACTGAAGGAGCCACAATCTCAAACGGGATGGGATGTTGTCCTGGATAAGGGAACCTTTGATGCTATCTCACTCAGCTCCGAGAAAGACAGCCAGGGCAGGCGGTTGAACGAGGGGTACAGGGAGAGGGTGCTTGGATTGGTGAGGGAGGGAGGCTTCTTCGTTATCACGAGCTGCAATTGGACTGAGCCAGAGTTAAGAAAATGGTTCGAGGACCAGGAGGGGTTCGCCTTGGACGGGAGAGTCGAGTATCGGACATTTTCTTTTGGGGGCGTCAAGGGGCAGCCCATCACAACACTGTGCTTCAAGAGGATAGACTAAACAGTGAATTAACAACATGAACAACACCCGCATCCTGTGTGCTTTTCGAGGACGCCTCGCATACGACATGTTCGGGAACGTATATCATATCATACATGCATTTCCTAGGTTGATGCTGACACCAGCCACCTCGATCCCACCTACCTAATTGCGCCAGACTACCATCTATTAGGATATTCGAATGATGCATGCGCCCATTGCCCTGGGCCAGTTCGTTATGAGACAGCAGAGCTTGATCCATGAGTGACAATTGCTTCGTTATTTTGCTCTCATCTATGGTGACGTATTCATTGGTTCTCCGGCCACGGGTACTGCTGATGCCGCCGCCGCAGGGGGGTCTGCGCTTGCGGTTGTGGCAAAGAACCGAACATCCACATCGTCGTCCTCCTGGAGCTTCTTGAGCTTGGGCATGATCTTTTCTTGAATGAGCTCCTGGCCGCGGGGCGACGGGCTGAACTCGGTTCCCTCTTTCTCCAACGAGTACAGAGTGCCCTCCTCGGGGAGTTTCCGCAGGGCGTTGACAAGAACGGCGTATGTCTTGGCAACGTTGAAGCGGATGTTGGGGATGTCGTCTTCCACCATCTTGTCCAGCATGGGCAATATCGACTTGTCGATCACGTCCATGCTCACGACGCTCGTCAGAGTCTAGTGTGGTCAGCACATGCACCGCACAGGGTTGGCCTCGCGATTCACTCACAGAAATAGCGAAACAGGTCGTCATGCGGTAGAGGTAGTTGGGATGGCTGCCCATCTGCATGACGCGTGGAATGATGGCCTCGTTAGCCCACTCAACACCAAACACCTCTGTCAACTTCTTCAAGTTGTGCGTGGCAGCCTCTCGGATAGAGAAGACGGTGTCACCAAGCCAGCCCATGCACAGCGTGCTCAGCTTCTCGTTGAAGAACTCTACTCCAAGCTGACTTGCTAACAGCGGGACATACTCGATGATCGCCAATCGTACGCGCCATTGCTTATCCTCGGCGAGCTGAACGATGGCGGGCAACAGAGCTTGTGAGAGCAGGTCGATACCAATCACTAGAGAGTCAGCAAGAGGTCATGTGAATTGACGATCCACTCACCTTGGTTGACGAGCTCAAGTTTTGAGATGATGTGTAGGCGTACTTCAGGGAACTCGTCCTTGAGCATCTGCAGGAACATGGGCAGCAAGTGATCGATGGTCCTGCGTCTTGTCAGTAAAGTCGCTTGACACGTAGTTCCGGGGTTCCGGCCTACTCTTGCTTGCCAAGGATGGGGGCGAGGCCGCTGATCTGTGTGCCAAGGGCGGCCCTGACATGCTGCGATGTGTCTGAGACGAGATCCTCAATGCTGCTCATAATGTCGTTCAGGACAACTGTGCGGTCGATCAGGCCGCAGAAACCCGGGATCTGGCCGGCGATTGCTGTCCTGACCTCCGCTTCGGTGTCTTTCAGGAGTTTCACAAATGCTGGGACCAGGTCTCTGGAAACAACCTCATCGTCGACTGCTTTGGCGATCTATCATCTCCGTCAGTATGTCGCCTGTCATTTGGGTACACGAAGCGCACCTTTTCGAATCGGTCTGCAATCATGTAGCGGACCCTCCAGCTCTTGTCCTCCATAAGGTTGCGTAGGGATGTCAGAAGCACGCCATGGCTACTTTGCTGATCCTTGGGGACCGACTCAGCAATCGCGATGAGTGTCTCCACAGTCAACAGGCGTACGCTGTCCTGGTCGTCCGACACAAGGTGCTGGAAGAGGGGTATCATCTCGTCAACGACAATGTTCGGGGGCATCTCCCGGACAAAACTGGCCAGGTTGGTCGCAGCCTGGCGACGAACCATAGGCGTCTCATCGTGGACCAGAATACTGAACTGTTGCCGAAGCTGCTCCTGCGAGGTCGCGCTGACCTTGCTGTAGGGAGCTGTGAAGAGACCGCAACCCGAAACTTTGGATGTGAACCAGTCGGCCTTAGCGAGACGGAGAGTCATGGGAATGAAGTATTCTTCGATCTGCTGAGGAGATAAATCGGCGGCAATCTTGTTGAGCGATTCGACGGCCTGCGAGCATTAGTCGAGGTTCTCTTGTATGAGACACGGCTTTGTGAACCTTATCGCGAACCACGGGCTCCTCTATCGCAGCGAGATTCTCGAGGGGCGAAAGCAGGACGTGACCCCATTCGGAGCCTCCCAGGTACTCCATGAAGTTGCCCAGCTCCTCGCTCAGTGCAACTAGCACCTCATCTTCGTCCTCGACCGACTCTATTAGATTGACGTCAGATGGGTATCTTGTTTTGTGCGCTCAGGGCCACTAACCGTCGAGGAAAGGAATCAGCTCGTCCCTTGTTCGCTCGGGTCCCAGAGCGAGTGCAATCGTGCCGAGGCGGTGGATGGCGTTCAAGCGCAAGAGAACATCGTCGTGCTAAGCACAGTCAGAGTTAGGACGTGACAGGAGCTTCCAAAGTCACCGCTTTACCTTGAGTTCATCAATGAGCACGGCAATGGGATAGAGCCCATCGCTCGTATTGGCTTCGTCGGCCATCGCACTTCTTTCGGCGACCGGTGTTGCTGCTGCAAGACGTGGTCGGGTTCTGGGTGGCTCAGGTGGGAGATTGGAGGTGGTGGCCAGTAGCCGTTGGTCGCGAGACTTGAGTAGGTGAGGGAAACAACGATGGGGGCGTTAGGCGGTTTTGGCCTGCGCGGTGGAGGTACCAATCGAGCTTCACTGGCGCGGGACAAAGCCAGTCAAATCGATTTGCAGCCGAACAAGAACGTCGCGAGTTGTTGCAATGTCGCCGATTCGTAAACGGGTGGCAGACACTGATCAGCTTATGAAAGGGCGAGATCGAAAGGCCGAAATAATGTAGGGATCGGGCAGGTAATGACGGGTGAGGAGGACAAGCACTGGCGGGGGCACGACTGGAGCTGATGCGTGTGGCTGTTAGCGCGGGACCTCCGTACCAGCCACAGCGCGGCGAGGCTCGATCTCGTGAAATTGGATTCTTGCAATTGGACCGCGTCAAATGTGTACAGAAGTGATAGAAGAATAAAAAAAAGAAGGTCCGAGCTCACTGAAGTCACCAAGCACATAGAGTTTGGACAAGTTTTACTCTCAAACACAGTTCCTGTTAATGCGTTTCACAACATCGAGCACGCGAGTGTCACTGTAATATCTAGCAGCAATCCAATACTGGAGCTCCAAGGTCTCCGTCAGTGCCTGAAGTGCCCCGCCCGCCAGCGCCGCAGATGAGCTGCCCTGTAAACGCCCGTGGAGTTGGAAGCGCCTTCGGGCGGAACATCTTCATGCCGGAAAATCCATGCGACCGACAACATTTTGTATGTACAGTGCGACTTCGCGATTGGAACTGAGTCACCCCAAATCCGCCCGCCAAAAAGTTGTAGTCAGGGTCCTGTTCTCCAGACGTAACCACGGCACCCGCCCAGCAGCTGCGAGACGACAAGCTTCTTTGACCGGCCCATATCGAAAGTGCCTCGCGAGCATGCCTACCATCGGTGTCGACAAGTATAAGCTCTTCGAAGCCCTCGGCAAGAAGTACGTTCTGTCCCACCACTCTGTCGCATCTGCCCCTCCTTCCCCCACCATCACCGCCGACTTCAATACAGCGTGGCTAACGGGCGCCTCAACTACAGGTTCACCACCGAGGAATTCGACGATCTCTGCTTCGACTATGGCATCGAACTCGATGAGGACACCGAGAACCAAGAACGACCCGTCGTCAATGGCGTCCAGGAACCGCCTCAGCTAAAAATCGAGATCCCCGCCAATCGATATGACATGCTCTGCTTCGAGGGCATTGCCCTCAACCTCAATGTCTTTCTCGGTCGGATACCGCCGCCTAAGTACAGGATCGTCGAGCCGAAGAGTGCGGAAGAGCAGACTATCGTGGTGAAGCCAGAGACAGCTCAGGTTCGACCGTTGGTCGCAGGTGCCGTGCTGCGCGGTATCAAGTTCGACCAGGATCGCTACAACTCCTTCATTGCCCTGCAAGACAAGCTTCACGCGAACCTGGCCCGCAACCGAACCCTGGTTTCTATTGGAACACACGACTTGGACACCGTCAAGGGCCCTTTCACCTACGAGGCACAGCCCCCAAGGGATATCAGCTTCCGACCCTTGAACCAGGAGAAGGAAATGAATGCTGAGGAGCTCATGAGCTACTACGAGAACGACAAGCACCTTGGACGCTTCCTTCACATCATTCGCGACGCTCCTGTCTACCCCGTCATCTATGACGCGAACCGTGTCGTTTGCTCGCTACCACCCATCATCAACGGCGACCACTCCAAGATCACCCTCAACACCACAAACGTCTTCATCGAGATTACCGCTACGGACCTCACCAAGCTCCAGATTGTCACCGACATGATGGTCACAATGTTCTCAGAGTATTGCACTGAGCAGTTCACAGTGGAGCCCGTCAAGATCGTCTCTGAACACAACAACCTTACTCGCGTGACCCCTTGCCTCACGCCTCGGGTGGCGCAAGCTGAGGTTGATTACATGAACAGCTGCACAGGACTCGGCGAATCCCCTGAGGGGCTTTGCAAGCTTCTCAGCAAGATGGCTTACCATGCCAAGCCCTCGGACAGTGACAAGAACCTCCTCGACGTGGAAGTGCCCATCACTCGCCCGGATGTGCTTCACCAGTGCGATATTATGGAAGATCTGGCTGTCTGCTACGGATTCAACAATCTTCCCCGCACCGCACCCAGCCGCAGTGCCACTGTCGGTGGTCCCCTCATGGTGAACAAGCTTAGCGATATCGTCCGCATTGAGGCTGCTATGGCAGGCTGGAGCGAAGTGATGCCCCTCATCTTGTGTAGCCACGAGGAGAACTTTGAGTGGCTCAACCGGAAAGACGATGGCACCAAGGTGATCCGCCTCGCTAACCCCAAAACCCTCGAGTACCAGGTCGTCCGCACCTCGCTCCTCCCAGGTCTTCTCAAGACCATCCGCGAGAACAAGAGTCACAGCGTGCCCATCAAGATCTTCGAGGTCTCCGACGTCGGTTTCAAGGATGAGTCGCTCGAGCGCAAAGCGCGCAACGAGCGCCACTTTGCCGCTGCCTGGTGTGGGAGGAACAGTGGTTTCGAGGTGGTCCATGGCTTGTTGGATCGTGTATTGTCAATGCTGCGCACCGCATTCTTGACAAACGAAGAGGGACTGCATGGAAAGAGCATAGACTACGAGGTCAGGGAGAACCCTGGCAAGCCCGACGGCTACTGGATTGAAGAGTTGAACGAAGACACCTTCTTTGCAGGCCATGCCGCTTCGGTCTATCTACGGTTGGGCGGCAAGGAGCGTCGTATCGGTGAATTCGGTATCTTGCATCCCTCAGTGCTGGAGAAGTTTGAAATAAGGTGAGCCAAACCCCATGGACAATTTGATCGCCGCTAACCTTTCTCAGATACCCCGTCAGCACGCTCGAGATAAATCTAGAGGTTTTCCTATAACCGAAACAAGGAGAGGGACTGATAAAAGACATCAACCAGATGGGTCTGAGAGCACAATATTGGAGATGATCATGTTGACCTAGACTCCGTCTTCTTGCACAAGCTAGACCAATGTTAAATGTGGCATAGAAGATAAACTCTTGATGTCTATTATGATTGTCGTTGTTCTGTGCTTCGCTGACGACAATGGTCTCCGCGAGGGAGCTAGACTTTCTGATGATTTTCTAACGCTGTGATACATGGTCGTGGACCAGTTTGTTTGCGTCCAAACGCCCGCACCTGCAAACGTCGAGGAGCTATGCCAGAGCCAAAGCCTTGATCACAGCCCTCTCGTCGCGCCACGAGGCTTGGTCACCTGGTTGTATCGCCCTTGGCTTTTGCTTCCAACGATCGGCGTTTCGGCAGGCCATCATCCGATGCAGCTTTGGCAAGTCCATGGCTTCTGCCGGAGAGGCTGCTCCTTTTCGATTCGAACGAGCTTACGCTTGACTGTCGCTGAAGGCAGCCTTTGCCGCCTCCTTTGTCGGTATCGCCGCTTTTCCCGTCGGCCACGCGTAGTTGGACTACCTGCCAGGATTCATCTGGCGGTGGTTCGACGATATCGCAGTCGATCTGCGAGAGCGTACGCTGTCGATATGCGTATCGCGCCGTTTCTCGAGTTTCCAAAATCAGGTAGGGACGGTGCTGGTCTCCTCTCTGGAATATGATATCCTACGTCATCTCTCGCAGTTCCTGGTCGCTACGCTGTGGTGCTGGTACATGTGTCGAAACTGATTCCGCAGTTGGGTGCCCGTCGTTGTTAGGGGCGACATTCCCAAGCATCCCTTTACCGATGCCCAAGCCCGCGATGCCGTCTTTGAGAGCGGTGAAGGCATTCCGATCCTCGGTAGACGCACTATGCCTACGCGAGCGACTGCCATGATCCGGAGTCAAAGTCTCATGGGCTGTCTCAACGGCGGCAAGCACAGAGTGGCCCTTGCCTAAACCAGGGGGCTGCGGTGTTGAAGTCGAGGACCGAGGTGTTCCCTCGCCGCGGAGACTAGAAATCGCTGCCTGGCGATCGTGCTCGGCTGTGGCAGCAGCATTGAGAGCGCCGTTCATTTCGTCATCTGTGCGACCGTACAGCTGATACCACCATCTGATTTCCGTCAGATTTGGGAAAATAATTCGTTCACGGTCCTTGACGTGGTCATCAGTAGTTGGGTCGTATTGAGGATTGGTGAACTCTTGCCGGCGGCAGAGGAAGTAATCCCACACAGACGAAGTTCGCTCCGCGACGCGGGCATCTTTTCTCTGCTTCTCGGAGTTGTACAGAAAAGTGCCGTACTGACAGGAGTACAGGTGATATAGAAGGCGTCGAAGGAAGCGTTCGTTGTACTCAAATCTGTCCGGAAATTGCCGGAGCAACTGGTATACGCATTCTAGAAATTGGTGAAAGACGGGGCTCGTCATGTTTGGCGTGGTCGCCTCTTCATTCACGACCTTGCCGGTGGCCTGCTCACTAACGGCATCGAGATCTCCGTCGTCTTTGCTGCTCTGATTGAAGAGTCGTTTCGCACCGCTGAGGACGTTCTGGAATGCGTCATTCCGATCATCGCTCTCCCCTGGTTGGATTTTAGAACCAGCAAATGCATCTTTCTGTACTTGGAACCAGGTTTCGTGGTTTAGGTGGCCGGAACGCAGTCGGAACATGTGCCCAAACGACAGCCAGTCCTTCTCAACGACCGTGATGAAGCCATCAATCGTCCGGAAATAAGGATCTAGCATGATTTGTGCCAGCGCGCTGAGTTGGCTCGTACGATCCCATCCATCAGAACAGTGAATGAGGACATGGGAGTGGTGATAGCCGATTTGGCGCACGATAATGGAAGCGCCGTCCAGGACATCACGGGTATGCCTGAGCCAATCGCTCTGGTGCAGCATATCGCGCGCCGGTCCCAGCGGTACGAGGTCGGTGTCCTTGAGGGCATCAACAACCTTCTTCAGTGACTTGCGCATGACGTGAATGTTTCCGATACTGAGGTAGGCCTTTGACGCAAACTTATACTTGTCCATGTTCTCAGTTCCCATGCCTTGGATATGATTTACCATGGCATTGATCGTGGGGCGAGCATCGACGATCAAGTTGTTCTGTTGCGCGCCGTAAATGAGCCGCTTTCCCGTCTTTTCGTCCCACATAGGCCCTTTTGAGTTAACCAACATCTCATCCTCCAAGCTGTCAAGGTCGGATGCAGCAGCACCTGCAGAAGTAGCGGAAGGAATATCTTCCTGTAGGTCATGCTGGCTCGTAGTCGGTGTCCCGTCCTCAGAGGAGATAGGAACCGAAGCTGAAAACGACGCCGCCACAAGCTTCTCGTCTTGTACATTGCTTTTGCGGGTCATCCCTGACAAAGGTTGGGAGCTCCTGGTAATTGTGCAATTGTTGATTGGGTGAATGTATGACAACGCCGGTATGCGGTTTCGTGACCGGAAATCTCGAGCGTACTTTAGGACATTATCCGAAATCTTAGAGGGAACCACCAAAACCGCTGGATACGTGTCGCAGAAGCTGTAGTCGTGATTGATATTTGTGACCCTCCAACCCTTGTCCGGAAGCTTCTCGCTGATACCTTGCCTTCTAAACTCGGCTTTAGGGTCGTAGAAGTTCCACCCGTCGACAGCCTTTTCGTTCTTAAGCGGCTTATGGCTGAACGCGTAGAGTTTCTCGACGGTACCGAGCTTGCATGTGCGCGTTCGGATGAAGTCATACGTATCGCGGGCACTGTCTGGATTCGTGAAGTTGAATGCGATAAACGTGAAGTCGCGGCATCGTATACGTATACTAGGGGGTTGCCTAGACCCTGGCGGCACCGGTCGATAGACGCAGTTTGAGATCATGGGGAAAGGGATCCATTTCTCTCGCGTCCGAGGTTTCTCTGACGGGTCTGTCGTGGAGTTGGGCACGGGTGCACAGAAGACCAGGTGGAAGTCGGTCAGGCGAAGCTTTCCCGCATTTGTTTGACCACCGCTGACGGCCGAGACGCCTTCGATGCTCTGTCTGCGTCAACATGGGTAGCGCCTTATTGGCGGTTGACCTACCAAGCGGGCGTCCATCCTGACCCAACAACTCCTAGGTCACAGTGTAAATCCCACAGCCAGTGCCGGTTAACAATTTTGGCGTTCGGTTGTAGTGCACGGGGATAGATATATGCTGCGATGAGCGTACAACCGTTCAGTCGCCGACGCGGGACCAAACAACGCTGATCAGGGCAGCGGATATGTCGGGGTCTGGTTGTAGAACAAGCTGAACGGGAGGGCAGCACCAATATCGATTTCGTAAGACTGAGATGAACCATACATCTGCTGTGATTCACGGTGCATGGAGACGATGTCACGTATCGGTATTATTGTTGTCGTGACGCAAGGCTCCAGGTTGTTGATTTCGAAGATTGGGACACATGGCGGGGCGGCATCACCATCAGCGTCATGAGCTATCTACGGGGAAAGAGCAGCTTGGGTCAGGCCCAGTGCCCGCTGCAGTCACGGGCAGGGGCAGGAGCGCAAGGTTCGAGCTCAGGTCCCCGACCCGGTCCACAAAACCTTGCATGGCAGGTACGTATCCTGTCACCGGACGGCCAGCGCAATAACGTTTCTCCGAGGCCCGAGCGGATCGCGTCCGCACTGCCAAGGGAGTCACGGTAGCAGTGGGGCCCACCTCGAAATCGCCGGTCAAAAAAACTTAGGGCTCAACCCACAGCGAAAATTGAGGGACAGCACTCAACGCCAACTTTGGTGCATCGCGACGACAATCTCACAGATAGCCAGCCCGCCTCGACCCTTTTGCTCGCCCAACCCCACGCCAAACCGACCGGTCGATCCAAATCAAAACATCCGTCAAGATGGCTCACCCAGGAACCCAGATGTGAGTTTTTCTTCCTCGCATTGCCTACCAATCCATTCTCGACCGTCGAACTGCGAACCGAGCTGCCCCTCGCCCGGGTGCACATTTGCCGTTGAGAGGGATTGAGATGGCTTCACACGGACTCTGTACTGACTGTATCGTGTCACAGCTCCAAGCGCAGAAAGTTCGTCGCTGACGGTGTCTTCTACGCCGAGCTGAACGAGTTCTTCCAGCGCGAGCTCGCTGAGGAGGGTTACTCCGGCGTCGAGGTCCGCGTCACGCCCACCGTCACCGACATCATCATCCGCGCCACCCACACTCAGGAGGTTCTTGGCGAGCAGGGTCGCCGCATCCGTGAGCTCACCTCGCTCATCCAGAAGCGCTTCAAGTTCCCCGAGAACTCCGTCTCCCTGTACGCCGCCAAGGTCCAGAACCGTGGTCTGTCCGCCGTCGCTCAGTGCGAGTCCCTCCGCTACAAGCTTCTCAACGGTCTCGCCGTCCGCCGTGCCTGCTATGGTGTCCTCCGCTTCATCATGGAGTCTGGCGCCAAGGGTTGCGAGGTCGTCGTCTCTGGCAAGCTCCGTGCTGCCCGTGCCAAGTCCATGAAGTTCACCGACGGCTTCATGATCCACTCTGGTCAGCCCGCCAAGGAGTTCATTGACTCTGCCACCCGCCACGTTCTCCTCCGCCAGGGTGTCCTGGGTATCAAGGTCAAGATCATGCGCGGCTCTGACCCCGAGGGCAAGGCCGGTCCCCAGAAGACTCTCCCTGACGCCGTCACCATCATCGAGCCCAAGGAGGAGCAGGCTGTTCTCCAGCCCGTCAGCCAGGACTACGGTGCCAAGGCTGCCGCCGCTCAGGCTTCCCAGGACGTCCGGGCCCAGGAGGGTGAGGGCGAGGAGCAGCAGCAGGCCGAGGCTGAGGAGCAATAGAATGAAATCGCCGAGGAGCCGCAGACTGAAGAGGAAGCTTGGTGAATGTCCGGCGGGACGATGGTATGTCCACCGAGGAGGGCGGTGTGGTCTGCCTCTGTGGTGTCCATCAATCATTTGCATCTGGGTTTTAGGCGCTGGATGGGGTTCAATTACATGCGATGGTAAAAGGCCATGAAAATGAGACCCGAATGATGACGCAAAATCAATTTACTTTGTCCGATCAACGCACAAAATATGGGAAATGTGTAGCATCATGTCTATCTCCTCGTAAGTACTGTCCCAGACGTGCTCTTGGGGAATAAAACAACACTCCCCAATACGTGGACTAAGCCTTCCCCCGGGATATCTGCTCGAGTAACTGCCAAACCCGTCACGACCATGCCTCGAGGCCGTCCATTTCCATGAATTGAAAGCAAACATGACCGACCTCCCGTAACGCCATTACCCCTTACCCTTCTAATACTCCATCGTTAACAGTGCAGCCCGGTTGCCGATAGCGTGACGCAACAAGAAAGTATCCCAATCGTCACAATATCAGACCTCGTCTACCAGCGACATGGCCGTCATTGTCGCTGAGGAAGAGGCGGCGCATGATATTTATACAGGGCGATGCAGTGTGGGAAAATGCGGCGTCAAAACTGGATGAGCGCGAGTTGGAAAGCCAACTAAGTTCATCACTACGCAGACTACCGGTTGTCCATCTCAATGGTCTCTTGACGCGCCTTGCCGTTGCCATTGGCTTTGGCACTGCCGTTCGGTCTGCGGTCACCGCTCTCGCTCCCGCTGTCTTCCGCCAGGTCCGTCAGGCCAAAGCCATTGGCCTCTTCCGCATCGTAGGCGCGGATGAGGCCCTCGCGGTCACCATTCTGGCTGCTAAGGCTGAAGCGTCCCATCTCACCACTGCGACGAGCTTGCATGCTGCGGCGAGTTTGGAAGCTTGAGACCATGTCTGTACCAATGGCGTCGTCATGGACTCGGCGGGCCGCGAGCTTCTGGCCATGCGGATCTCCCCGAGACAGATTGAGCAAGTACACACCGGCAAAGGTGATCAAGAAGCCGCAAAGCAAGGACAACGTGTTGACAACATTCGCAGTATTGAAGCCCCTGAAAAGAATGAAGGAGGCGCAGAGCGTTGCTGTCGTGAAGGTGACGTAGTAAAGGGGGTTAACACCAGGAGTGCGTCAGCAGGGAGACTGAGACATTGAGTCGTTGTTGTACTCACATGTTGGTGGGGAACGATGCCAAAGCCTTGTTGAAATAGTTCATCTGTGTCAAGATGCAGACAGCCGTGAGGATCATGAACACATATGTCGAGGGATGCGAGAACTGATTGTGCCCAGCAAATGTGAGCTTCAGAGCAATGCCGAAAGCCTTGACGGACATGACCGAGACCGAGCCAACGGTGGAGCAGATCGAAATGTAAATCATGGGCTGGTCCTTGCCGTGCTTCGGGGCAACCTTGTATATCATAAAGACAGCAAAGATGACCACAGAAATGGCATAGAGCAGGAAGCCTGAGATGGTCAGCGAGGCCGAGGATTGAACGTTCGATGTACAGTACCAGGCTGTATCGCATAATTGAGGATCTCATCAACCGTCTCAATGTTCTCGTCCGGTGGCGCATGCAGAACGATGACCACGGCACCGATCAAGCAGATGGCACTACCTAGCCGTCCCAGCGTCCCCAGCTCTTCTTTTAGGAAATACGATCCCAGCACCGCGCCGATCAGGACGCTCAGGGCTCCCAAGGGCGTGACGAGGATGGCCGGCGCGAAAGCATACGCCGCGAAGTTGAATATTTCCCCGAGTCCGACTACCACGCCATTAGCTGCTGAACTTGCATTCGCGATCACGGGGATGCTCACGCGTAGATATGCCTGCCCACCAAAGTGGGTTCTTGAGATAGACAAAACCATCGCCCTCAAAACCGTGCCTCTCCTCTGCCTGTATCAAGCCCTGGATTGACAGTTAGCGTTTTGTTCGAGATGCCCTGTCGTCGCGAAGGAGATGCAGGAGGTTGCGCCAACCTTTTTCGTTATAACGAAACTCGTGCCAATGGCCATGGCCGAGAAGATAGCCAGGCCGAGGCCAATATACCTATCGACACGTCAGCGTGCTGCATCAAACGGAGTTGCACTCAACGTGCGAAGTCTGCATGTCGTACTTGTCTTCAATATTTTCCATCATTGTATCGGGAACGAGCGTAGTAGTTGTATGATGAACATGCAGTGAGGAGCGGACCAGGCCAAGTCCTGACGATGGACGGGGCAAGCAGGCGAGAGCAGAGTCCGTCTCGAGGAGTTGCGCCTGGAAAGATTCGTTCTGCGATGGAGACTTGTAACTCGCGCCAGGCGAGCGAATGTCGAATTGTCCAAGTAGTGCGCAGGAATATTTAAGCTCGGGAACCGTCTCGTGTGTTCGTGTCGTGCGTGACAGTGGCGCTGGCGCTGGCGCGGTCTTGTCGAAAAGAATGGAAGGTCGTCAAGCTCGTGATCATGAAGATCTTGTCGTCAAATCTCGCTCAGTCTTGTCTTGTCGTCTCTGCGGAGCGAGGGGAGGTCGCGCGACAACGATCGCAAAAGTACAGATCGCTCAGTGTAGTTGGCACGCGAAAGGGGTCAAGAGCCAGTGGACGCCGGCACTGCGGGTTCAATCGGACAACCGATTTGGCGCGCTACCGTTGGTCTTTGAGATGGTTGTGTGGAGGACTCGGTGGTGGTGGTGGAGGTAGTAGGTGTCAAATGGCCACCTCGTCGCAGTGGTTGCGCGACTGGAGGCTGGAGTGGGATGGCTGTGACTGCTGAGAACGCTACCTACTGCCCAGTGCGTGCTGCGCGACCAGGCCGGAAAGTCGCGTGCATTAACAGCAAATGGTGCAAAGTTCCCCTGGAGCAGTTAGTTACTTAGGTTGGAGGGATACGAATTTATTGATCCACCCTGGACTCGACAGTGCAGTAAGCTTTGATTATCCTGTTGCTCAGCCACCATGGGAACGACACCTTCGATGGAAAGCTACCACAGATACGCAGTTGACTGTCAGGATTCTCTCCCTCACGTCGTTTCCGTGCCCTGGCGTCCGACTCCAACCCCCACTTAGTGCTACGTTTCAGGCTCTAGCCTCTGACCAGCGTCAAACCCCTGAGTGCCTACGTACGTGCTTCAAGCTTGCAAGCCTCGCATTGTCCTGCTAGAAACGGGCATCGCGGTTTGGCAACTTTGGCTGACGGGTGTTTCAACGTGTTTACAGATGCGAGTAGATGCCGCGCTTGCCATCATTATTAGAGTCAATGGGGCTCTGGGAGGCGCTACGATGCTGATAGACAACTGCTTCCGAGAGAGTAGTAGTATCGCAATTCATGCTTGATCATGACCTAATAGACACCACATTTCAATTGCACAGCAGCACTCTCTTTGCAAGTCGTGGTCAAATTCGCAAACCCAAAACGACGATCCTCCGTCCCAGTCTTGCTACACAAAGGGTTCGTCGTGCTAAACTGACGGGTATATCGGCGACGACAACAGGAGTAAAGCCGAATCGGTATACTTAACCTCAGCCGAAGATGGCTGTGCTGGATGCCTTTACCAAGGGAACTCCTGTACTCCAAGCGCATGCAAGCGCAACCCGTTTCCACGCCGAATACTTGAAATGCTGCGAGGGTATTGCGAAATCATAAATCGAGAATTTAGTCGCCAAAAGGCCGACAACACAGACCTACATTAGTTCGTCGCGAATACTTACACTTTTAGATGGAGAAGGTTAGTAGGAAGGCTAGACCGCAATGTAGCAACTACAAGTCTTCCAAGGCTGTTTTGACTGTTGGCCGATCAAGTCGAAGCCCAAGACTGAGATCATACTTTCAGTCCCAGATGCCTCAGGGGATGGCGGAGCTGAGGGTGGGGAGATTAGTGCGTTGGTGTGTGATTTCAAATTCATGAACGTTGACGTTTGATTTCTAAAGGGCGTCAGTGGGCAGAACGACGTTTGGAATGGGGATAAAAACCTTTTTCATCGTCAACGTCCTGCTCATCATCGCCCCGGGGCCTCTTGGTATTTGGGGAGGCCACGTGCTCTGCGTCTTGTTGTGCGACTTGATGATCCCACGTTGCGTCGGCGGCCTCGTCAGTGAGAGTCGGGACCTCTGATACCTCTGGTTGTGCTTCAACGTCGACAGTGGCGTTTGGAGCGTCGTCTTCGTCATCCAGCATATGACTCGGGCTCGCAATATCTTCGAGGGTGGCGACAGCTGCCATTCCATTGGTTTGCTGATCAGTGTCGTCGTACGTGCCGGATTCGACATCATGGCCATTTACTGTCGCCGAATTTCCGTCTAAGTCTGTATCTGCGGTAGCTGGAAAGGGACGGTCAGCATCTGGTTCGTTGTAAAAGCTGAAGACAAAACTGTCCGCGCTCATGTCTGTGTCTTCATGGGACGAGCACGGGCAGTGGTCGTGGTAGTGGTGGCCGTGCCGGGGGCTCGGGGTACAAAGAAGAGCGGCTGGTTTACCATTGGGATCTGTGTCGCCCATTGTTGGCTGGGGAGGGTGCTCTTCAACAAACTGTTCCTGGCTTGTCTCAGCGTCCCGGGCCTCGTTCGATTGCGAAACATCGTGCTGCTCTTCATCCTCTTGCTGGAAAATGAATTCTTCCTCTGGATCATGGACAGCGTCATTGCCCTCGTCATCAACAAGGTCGTGATTCGGGTGAGCTGGGGCCTCGTTGTGAAAGTTATCGGCCTCGTCGTTTTCATGAGCCTCCGTCTGTAGCGGCGTGGTCTGCTCTTTTGTTGCATCTGGGTGAATATCCCCGTCGTGCTCCTCGGCTTCATCACCTGTGCTCTCCAAATCGTCCAATTGTTCGTAAAGCTCGATACTCTCAGCGTCTTCGTTGCGAACGGCTTGAGGCATGGGTGATTCAAATAGTTGGCAAATCTCGTCAAGACCCCGTCCCGTATTGGCGCTCTCACACAAAGAGGTAAATCGTTTTGGCGTGCTTGTCTTCGTGAAAAGGTAGGTGTATAGCGTTCGAGAGCCATCATGGCCCTGATTCTTGACAAGGAGGTTGAAAATCTCGAGTATGTAGCTGAGCGTTACGTTACAGTGTTCGGGTTTTGAAGACTACAACAGTTAGCGGGTTTTCAATGAGCGGACGAGCCAGGATGGATGGGCAAACCTCAGCATATTCGAGACCCAGCTCGTCGATCTGAAACACAAGCTCCTCTTCATCTGCCAGCTCGTTCTCTAGTTCGACTCGGAGACCTGCGAGCAGCTGGTCGATTGTGAGAGCAAGGCAAGACTCTTCTGGGAAAAAGCCTTCAGCGTCGCTTGAGAATAAAGGGAACTCTTCTCCTTTGTACTGCACAGTGACGATATGGCAGTTGGCTTCGGCAGCATCGTGCTTTTCTTGGCTCGAATCCGCAGCCTGCTCGGCGTTCGCCCATGGCGCCTCTACTCCGTCTTCGCCATCAGCTGTAAGCGGCGCTTCCGTGATGGCATCGTTCCTGGTGTCAGGTCCAACGTTCTGTTCCTTCGCCTCGCCCTCTTGGTCGACGTCCCATGTGCCCTCGAGGCGCTCATGCTCTTTTGGGTTTTCTTCTTCAGCTGGATGATCGACCAAGTCTTCGACGTAAGTCGTATCCTCGGTGTCATCGTTTCCGTTGGGCATCGGTGATTCCAGGTCCTCGGGATCCTGCAACTCCTCTACTGGGGCAAGCACTGTTGCTTCTTCATCGGCATCCGCCTCAGCGGCAGGTTCATCTAGTTGCCCAGTTTGTTGATCCTGCTCTTCGCCGTAGCGCATGCCTTCCATTGACTCGTCGTGCAGCTGATCGCCATCATCGACTTCATATTGCTGCTCGATTTGGTCCTCGTTTGCAGCTTGTTCCGCCGGTTGCTCTGGGATATCTTCCAAATATTCGCCCAGTTCTTCCGCGTGTTGACCATCTTCAATTTCGACATACTCCTGCACAGTGGGCTCGTCGACCTCATTCTCAAATAATACGTCCTCGCGTGCCGTATTGCTGGTCGTTTCTGACTTGAGTGCGATGTCTAGAGGCGTCTGGTTCTTCGAGGTGTCGTCCAAGTCTGCCGCATCTACTGTGCCTACTGTCGGCTGTTCGCGCAGGGCGCCATCGTCGACACCCTTTAAAGTCGAGTGGAGCGTTTCTTCCTTCGTACCAGCCTGGTCTATGAAGTCCTCGTCGTCATAATCGATTAGATCGTCATCGAAGGCAGTTGTGGACGTGCGAGCGTCGACGTCCATTTCTGCGTCGGTCATATTTGGCGGGATCTTGCTTGCTGCGTGGTGGATTTGTTCAAATGGCTACTTGAATTGCAGGTATGCGCGGTGGTGAAGAGGCTCAGTCTCTACTTGACGTGCTTGTAGATGTTACTGTTGCCACGGAGTTTGACATTTGTCATGCGTAAGAAGCGCTGAAGCCTTTGACGTGATCACTGTAGTGAATGCGAAGGAGAGACGTGAAGAGGCCAGAAGGTTTTACCAGTTGCCTTCCAACGTACTGATTTGAAATGTCGAAGACGGACAGGTAATAAGCAGCCCGATCGTGGTTGTCCTGCACAGGCTGTAGCGGGCTGAACAGAAGCGCGTTAGTGAGTCGAATGTGTAAGGCTCTCCCTAGATGCGCGGCAGTGATAAATAGTAGTCTGAGAGTTTGGCATATACCAAATGTCGAGTGACGCGATGGCTTCCGACGAGCATGGGGATCTGCTTGCAAGCTTGAATAAACGCGTGTGAAGCGTTGCCTGGCGCCGTGTAAACGCCACATGCAAATGAGCCTGGCAGAAAGGCCACACCGCCTACCTAATTGGTCTGCCCCACCAACTCCTGCTTGGCCAGCTCCAGGGGCCTGCTGTCCGAGAGCCAGATGATGTTGCCTGAGCAGCTATCACCGACACCACAAGACTAACGTAGAGCCTGGTCGCTCCTCAAGAAAGCATCCACAAACCGCCAGAATGGTGAGTGATTCCCCTTCGTCGCGATTCCACCGAGTTTGAGACCTAATTGCATCAAAGGTTGTCCTCGCGGCTTCGATCTGCACCCGTGGAGGGAAAGCTGTCCTCTCCAGACAGTTTCGCGAGATGCCACGATCCCGCGTCGAAGCTCTCCTTGCCTCGTTCCCGAAACTCGCCCAAAGCGGCACACAGCATACGACCGTTGAACAAGACAATGTTCGCTTCGTATACCAGCCGCTCGATGAGCTCTACATGGTCCTCATCACCAATCGCCAATCGAACATCTTGCAAGACATTGATTCACTCCACCTATTCGCGCAGGTCGTTACCAGCGCATGCAAGAGTCTTGATGAGCGGGAGATTTTGAGAAACGCATACGAGCTGCTGAGCGCTTTCGACGAGCTGGTGACGCTGGGGTACCGGGAGAACCTTACGCTCAGCCAGATTAGGACATTCCTTGATATGGAGAGTCACGAGGAGCGGATCCAGGAGATCATCGCCCGGAACAAGGAACTGGAAGCTACGGAAGAGCGCAAGCGCAAGGCGAAGCAACTCGAGATGCAGCGCAAGGAGTCTGCGCGAACCGGTCGTGGTAGCATGCCCCGGACGCCCGTCTACCCGACATACACCCCTCCTACTCAATCGACTTCCAACGTGGATTCGTACGAGGCGGAGAAGAACAAGACATTCAACAAGCCTCTGGTGTCCAAGGGCAAGGGCATGCAACTCGGGAAGAAGTCGAAGACAACGGACATGTTTGAACGTGTTCGTGGAGACATGGGTGGTGAGATTGACGACTCACCCCTTGTTGCACCTACACCCGCTGCGGCTGCCGCAGAGCCAGCAGAGTCCCGAGTTTCATCGACGCTGGACAGGGACGCTATTCACGTTACCATTGCTGAGAATATTAGCGCCAAATTATCCAGGGATGGCGAGGTCAACTCACTGGCCGTCAGCGGCGACTTGACGTTGCGCATCTCGGATCCCAGTCTGACCAAGGTCAAACTTGCGCTACAGGCCGTGGCTTCTCACAATGCCCAATTCCGCACGCACCCTAACGTGGACAAGAACCTTTTCAACAACTCGAGGGTCATCCAAATGACCAACACAGCGCGGGGGTTCCCAGTGAACAACGCGGTCGGGGTTCTGAGGTGGCGCGCAGCAGGCGTCGACTCAAGCGCGTGCCCCATTGCCTTCACCGTATGGGTCAATGGGGATGGCGGCAAGTACACGTTGACAATCGAGTACGAGCTCACGGGCGGCGATTCGCTTCGTGACGTTAGTGTTGTCATCCCCTACCAGGGCAGCGAGCCAGTTGTCTCGAGCTTCGACGCTGCGTATGATGTTTCGGGCGATGCCCTGGAATGGAACATCGGCTCAGTGGACGAGGAGAACCCCAGTGGTTCCTTTGAATTCGAGGCGGAGAGCAGCGATGAGAATGATTTCTTCCCCATGTCTGTGCGCTTCACCAAGACAACACCCTATGTCGAGGTTGACGTAAGTGCTCTGTTTTCTTTAAGAACTATGCCAGACAATGCTAACACAAATAGGTCACCTCCGTGTCCCTGTTGGAAGAAGGAGAGGAGGTCACCTTCTCCAAAGATGTTAGGACTGTTGCGGATAATTTCATGATCGAGTAGACGGTTCTGTGATTTGTCTTGCGAAGCGTTAGTTTGGGACACGGTTTAGAAAAGAGGGTCGTAGGTCGCCCAAGAGTCTTAGCAGCAGGTCAAGTTCAAATCTAACGTGGCATGAAGCACACATCCCATGATTGTCAAAGCAAAGAGCCTTGCGTCTGGAACCGATGCCATGGTGGCACACGACGTAAACATCCGGATTGCACTGTGCCGTAATGTTTTATGGTGATGCTAAGCAGTCACCAACCTTTTCACTTGGCAGGGGAGTGCATCAGAGTTCCGGGCAACTGACTGTTAAATCCATGGATCAACAAAGGCCGTAACTTGATCAATTCATAAAGTGGCTTTGAAAGTCGATCTCCACGGAGTGATTCAAGCGAAGTATAGTACAGTGTACAATCATCTTGCGCACTGTACCTCAAACGCGACTCCACGCGTTGGAGGAAGGAGAGCTCAGTCACTTCAGCTCTCGTACCTTAAATTCCAGTAGAAGCGACGAAGTGATGTTAACAAACATCTCCAGGCACCGCCTGTCTTTTTAGAATCACGAGTCCACGAGAAAACGCCATGAAGTCACCCACCGCGCACACCACGACATGGCAGAACTCATTCTCTACAGCCAGACGGAGATCGAGTACCGTGTCTCCGAGGGCCTACTGGTAGGGTGCCCGACTCTAGATCTTTGCGCTTCGCGAGAAGCTTCAGGGAATCTTGTCCGTGTACATCGGCCACCTCAACAAATAGTATCCAAAATCCAGCAGCTTGGATCACCTGGGGTCAAGGCACCCGAGGCGCTGACATTGACATGGAAGGCCGATGGCAAGTCGTGCATTATACCTAGACATCTTGAACCGTATCTGACCAAAATTCAATAGGTCAGTTCCTTGCTGTGGGCTGGAGCGATGGTGTCGTCCGCCTGATGGGTCTCGAGAACAACAAGGCTGCTCATCATATTGAAGTTTGCCCCAGCGGGCGTGATGCTAGGATAGCATACGTTGGCTGGTCTTGCAACAAAATCACATCACGCTGGTCTAAAGCTACCTTGGGGGGTATTTCGAATGCAGAACTTGAGAAAACCGAGAGACTGGATAAGGATATTGAGGCGAATCTACCGAGGCAACTGACGTTTTTCGACGTCGACACGGCGCTACCTAAGTTGAGTCCACTGCCAGGAAGCAGTGCTGGGAACGGGTAAGTGCTTCCACTTGTTCTGGGGACTACATGTGACTGATATATGCAGCGAGGACGCAATAGTGTTCACTCTTCGCACCGGCCTCCAGTTCCTTTTTGAGGACCCCAAGCCAGATGACTATGACCAGGTCAATGTCATGATTGTCGGCAGCACTGACGGACAACTTCATCTCAGTATACACGACTCCTTTGTCATTGGGAGCTTTCCTGGGCCCGGATTACCAGGTTCAGGATCAGAGGGTCCGCCCCAGCTTCTGGGCCTGGCATCGCACCTGGACATCTCCACGCGCGCACTGCTGATGGCTGAAACTGGGGATCGTCCCGAGCATCTGTACCTGGTCCCAATGGATCTTCCCTTTATATCATCAGTGCCGATCAACTTGTCGTTGCTTGCCGCCAAGTTGACCACGTTGCAGACGTTGCTGCGATATCTGAAACAAACGCAGCTCCATATGCAGTTCGAATGGAAGAGCACACGGGAATTACCAACCAGATTTTTGCGCAGTGTCGAGGCGGGACTAGAAGAGATGGAACGAGGACCAACCAACATCGTCGCCGCGTTGTATCATACTCTCGTAACAGGGCACGCGCATGGTCCTGTGAAAGAGTGGCTTGTCGAAAGCTTGGCGGAACGTGTAAGTCAAGTGAGTGGGCTGTCGTGGTAGCCATATGCTCACAAAGTTAGGGACACAAGCGGTGGGAAAAGGCGGTGGTCTCTGGGCTGGAGAACCTACGGGCCTTAGTTCATGAGAACTTCCTCCCAGCACTCGAACGTTGCATTATCATACTCAGCCGTCTCCGAGGCCTCGCTCTTTTCCACGATGATCGAGCAGACATTGGCTTCACCGCTACGCAGATCAACAAGGTGATGGACATATTGAGCTGCCTGATGTTGGTGGGCAACAAGATCTTGCTCCACACCATGGATGAGCTCGATCATTTCAAATCCTTCTCGGCATGGCTGCGCTTCCAGATTGACCGTCTTGCCCTCTCCAACTCTGAAGGTGAAGAGCTCACAGAGAGGGAGGCAACGATGAACACGGGTAAAGCACTGACGTACATTGAGTCTTACTTGGTGCATAGCCCTCTACAAGCGTACCTAGAGGAAGTAGCCGAGCAAGATCGAGACCAGGCGTGGGGCTACGCTGAGCAAGGCATCGCACTGAAAGATGCTATGCGCGCCCAAATTCGCAAGCTCGAGCGCAGGGAGGAAGCTATGAAGGCAATGCCCAAGGTCCAATTCCTGGTCGACTATGGAATACATTGGTCCAACACGATATTTGGACAAATCGCAGAGGCCAAGAAGCGAAGCGTCAGGTTTGGCGTCCCCCTCAGGATGAGCCTTGGCCGAAAGGTGGATTTGCACGATACCAGAATGCATGCGTTAGACACAGTAAGCAAGACCTGCCGTTAGTTTCACTCCCAGCTCTAACGTTACCAGGGCTGCATGATACAAGCTGCCCTTGCTTCCAAGGATGAAAGCAACCGAGGTGCGTCAATGGCCAGGAAGCACATGACAGTAGCAGCTAACAAGGTCCAGTATACCTTTTCCGGTTCGAGCTGGCCATCAAGAACGGCATCAGCATGAATACGGGGAGCTATGCATGTACGCTCGATTTGGGGGGCCGTCAAGTCGTCGACATAAAGTACCTCGATGACAATCACCTTGCCATTCTCCACGTCAACGAAGACAAAACCGTGTCTATCACCACAGTCCCCACCTCCTCGCAGTCGGTTCCTTTCGCCGCATACGAGGGGACCAATGTCCCCGTAGAGGCCATCGAGCCTCATGACTTTACAGCATATCGGCTGCCAGCCGGTCACAAACCAATTCGGATGGAAATCCACGGCAAAGCGAACGTTCGCGGAGAGATCCCCCAGAGAATATGCTTGCTGAGCAGTAATCGGACGACGTGGCGGACATACACTCTACCGGGCGTCACCAAAGAATAGAGCGTTTCTTATTTCAAGACGCCGAGATGGATATTGATAGAATAAGAACGTACTACACACGCTAACCCTTCCTTCTCGTAATGTTAAAGAACTCTGTGAGGCCCTCGACAACGGCATCCACATTCATGTTAACCAGGGGCATCTTGTCGTACGAGTCCTCCTTCATAATCGCCACGAGCGCCAGGTAGCGATCCACCTCACGCAGCATGATGGGCTTCCTGCTGTCGTGCAGGACGAGACAGCTCTCGGCCGTCGCACAGCCGACCTGGTCCTCGAGCTTGACGCCCCACGGCGCGCCCTCGAGCTTCTTCCGACCGTCCTCGCTGCGATGCCACGTGCCGTACACCTCGGTGATGTCGATGATGACGTCAATGTAGTCGGAGCAGATCTCGTACGAGGCCATGTCGGCCGGGGACGAGTCGGTGGCAATGTAGATCTTGCTGAGGACGTCGAACAGGTAGGCCTTTTCGAAGCGGCACGTCCGGCACAGGTTGGTGAGCATGCTCTCGAGCGTGCCGAGCCGGGGGATGAGTTTCTGGATGACCTTGCTGAAGCCCTCAAAGATGGAGTGGTTGTAGATGCTCGTCAGGTGAAACGTGACGGGCGCGTTCTCGCAGCCGTGGTCACTGAGCTCGTCCTGGATGCGGATGGTAATATCGCGCTGAATGTCGAGCTTGTAGTCATCGCTCAGCCCGTCGACCTTGTGGATGAAGACCTCGATGTTGATGAGGGGATAGTTGCCCTGAAGGGCGAGGATGGTGGCGTTGAGACGGGCGACGGCCTCGAGGTAGTCGTCCTGTGCGTCAATGACCCAGATGAGGGCGCCGACCTGGCCAAAGATGGCTTCCATGTCAAAGTCGGGGTTCTCGAGAATGTCAATCTGGCCGGGAAAGTCCCACACCTGAAAGTCCATGAACGACCTGCCGCGCGTGTGGTCAGCTCACGTATGGCATCAGAGAAACCGCAAGACTTACGCCATGGAGTCTTTCTGGATGCGTGCCGTCGACTCGAGAAACAGTGTCTCGTGCGGCGGCAGCTTGTGGAAGACGACGCTGGATATAGATGATTTACCCGAACTGATGATGGTCAGCTCCCATACTCTCTCTCTTCTTCTCCTGGCATTAGAATGGATCGCCTACCGTCTCTGACCCATCAGCAAGAGTCGAGGCTTGCCCTTTGCGGAGGCTGGCGCTGATGCACCCGCAGCATCGCCCGGCTTGGGCGCATCTTTGCCCGCCGCATCTCGTTCTTGCGCGGATGATTTTGCAGCCTGTCCAATGTGATTTCGTAAGCTCAACTGTGCGGCGCTCGTGGTCCTCGGGGGCATTCTGGCGGGGAGACTGCGCCGTCTCCTCTCCATCTCCGCGAACGCATCCTCTCTGAATGGCGGGCTCAGTGACATTGCAGCTCGGTGTGTTTTGTTGATGGCGGGAGGAGTGAAGAGGGAGGCGAGCGAGGTTAAGTGAGAATGAGGTGAATTGGGAAGGTGCGGGCGCATGAGATGCCAGACTTCTGGCATGTGAATCTTTGTGAGCAGAAAGACTTGATTTTTCATCCGTCTCTGGAGACTTGAGGTCATCGCCCGGCGTTGACACGCGACGTTGGGTGACACAGGACGTCTGCCTTTCGCTCAGGGTGGTCATGATCGTCCATCTCGCCAACGCATGTTCCTTGCGAAAACCGCGCGGCAGGCTGCGGTCTTCCGCCCTCGCTACCAGACTCCTGGTACTGTCCGCGATTACTCGCTAGAAGAGAGAGGATCTTCTGCTGTACAGCGTAGTAACCATGCGATCTGGAGGCGATAAGACGGTCGTGTGATGGTTACCGGGGGCTTTTTCTGTGCGTTTGGCACATGACGCGAGGACGATGAGGCAAGCTGTAGCAGCGCGGTACTACCATAAGCCAGCAACTATAACCGGTGAGAAGAAGGAAGAAAAGCAACTTACGTCCATGGCGGCGGTTGGATGCTAGTGGGAATCAAGAATGCTGTGTCGCCAACGCGCCTCGACTGCTCATGACCGACCGATTGGTGCCGCGCTGCCAACAGGGTCTGCGAGGGGCAGGATTGTCGTGACGTCCGCGCAACGGTCTGTGGCAGACTGGTCAGGGCGGTGATTTCGTGGGAATCATGTAGCAATCAGTGAAGTCGGCGTAGGTGCGTGAAGGTGTGGATGGTCCAAGACTCCAAAGGCAATTCATGGTACCCCAGATCTCTCATGGTGCTAGACTACTGGTAGTAGTATGCAATCATGCATAAGCGTGCATAGTGTGATTCTTCAACGTTCTACCTCGTGAGAAGGCTCAAATATAGTGTATTCTACGATATTATCCGACCCTATCTCTGCCGAATTGATTTGCGCATGAGAGCCTGGATAGATCGCATCATCAAGGTGCCTTCATGCTGTGTCACCTCGCCAGTGGCACGTGCAGGCCGTCTACGTGGGGATAGATGAGTTGGTATTGACCTACCCTATGCATAGATCATTTGGAAACTGGCGTTAGAGCTTGGAAAGTAGGAGTGATTAGCGAGTAATCTACTCCAAGTATCAGACACAAACAATGATACAGCTTCTACATTTAGTCATGTCAAGAGATCAGTATTGGCACAGAGCTTCGGCTACTGCTCAGTCGCCCGGCTTTGAGCTTTTGTGCCCTCATCTTTATCCGCCGCCCCCTTCCTCGACGGCATCCGAAAAATCGACTGCACAAAGTTGAAGCTCTTCTTGTGCCTCAGCCCCTTTTCCTCCCTCTTGATCAGCGTTGCGCCCCCAGCTTCCTGACCATACACTCCTGCCGGTAAAGGGGGCATGGGTGGCGGACTCTTAGCCTTGAACCTCCCAAACCTGCCTCCCGTCGTCCTTCTCCTGACAGGTCTCCCCTCGCCATCCCCCTCCTCATTGTCTTCTGTGGCGGCGCTGTCCAGTGTCTTGCCACCCCGGGCGAGACAGTCCTCCGCCACGGGGATGTAGCGCACCACCCCTCTCTCCATGCTCACCTCCAACATGTCCTTCATCATCTTCTGGAGGAGCGCGGCGTTGCGTTTGTTCGTCGCCGTCTGAAGGAGACGGGGAAGCGTGCCTATCGAGATAATGTACGCAGGATCAAATGTGCCCCCGAGGAGCAGACACGTTCCGTGGACCAGGTGAACGGCTATGCTGTCGAGCGGCGTAGCGTAGCGGGTGCTCAGATGGTCACTGAGGGCTGTCAAAAAGGCCATTTCATCTTGTACCTGCCATGCGTTCAGTGTCAGTCTTGGGGTCCTGTGCAGCAGATGAAGAAGGGAAGGGGGGTGTATCTCACAAATACGTTGGTCTTCACCTCCGCTACCACAACGGCTCTGGTTTGACGCGTGTCCCCGTTTGCGCCAAAGACCCTGTTAAAGTACTTGCTGCGCTGCTTCGACAGCCCGGGACCAGAATCGCGTCGTCTCAGAGAGGATTCCCCTGGCGGAGAATCGCGAACATCCCGCAGCAGGTGCGCGTCGCCTTCCACAACAGGAGGCAAACGAGGCTGCTTGGGGCGCGACGATGGTGTTCTCAGGGGAGCAATGGGCGGTGGTGGTGGCGGTGGCGGTGGCAAAGGCTGTTGTGCAAAGTCCTTGGTGCTCACTCCTGACGACGACGGCGTGGATGGGGCTTCAGGTCGAGGGCCGGACGGCGGGTGCGGAGGATCGGGGAGGTTTCGAGGTATGACCCGCGGTGACGAGGGCAGATGCCGCGTGGAGCGCGGTGTAGAAGCCATTCCTCGAGTGTGCGTGCGCACGGATCTCAGGTACGTTGTCAGACGTGACTCGCGAGGAGGCTGTTACGGAGTAGGCTGTTGCGATGTCGAGGTCGAGGTCGAGTGGATGTAGCGAGCCTCTCTGATGCAACAATGCCAATTCAAGCGCCCGATATTGTGACGCAGCAAACTTCAAGCCGGTCCCCGCAGCACGTACGGGCGAGTGCAGATGGTGAGGCAGAAGTGAGGCCAAGTTGGTGATGTGAGCTTGTCGTGACATGGCTCGAGCCAGCGCATATGCTGTCCACGAGGACTGCGAGATTCACCACCACCTGCCATCAGCACCGTTCACGAGTCTCACGACATTCCGAAGTATTCTCATTCTTGGAATTTGAACTCCATCATATCGGCAATTAGCAGATGTCGTGCATAGGCACGTGCAACCAAACACTCGTATCAGCAAACATCCGGTTCCTGAAACACGTCAAGTATATACAGATCCGCCCCTCCGCGGGCAAACACCGCCCTTGGAAACATATTACTACAAACAGAAACAAAATGACAGCCGTGGCTCGTCACGCCTAGCTGACACCTATCCCTTAGTGTTCTGGCAGAGACTTGTTCCTCCCGGCCAGGGTCGCATACGCACAGACACCCGTCAGCATGACCTCGACGGGAATCAAAGTGACCATCAAGGCCAAGCCAGCCTCGCCTTGCTTGCACAGCGTGCCCCAGTGAGGGCGCTGCTGCATGGGGACCTGGCGCCAGCGACAGGTCCAGTTGTGGACGGTGGGATTCGCGGCGTTGAGGTGGTAGGAGAGGCCGACGGCGACGAGGACGGCGAGGAGGGCCAGTAGTGATGGGATCATGTGCAGCAGAGGCTTGTTCTTCGTCTTTGTCACTGGTGAGCTCACGCACTGCAGAGAAGAACTTGTCCATGTACGCACCATGGAGAGTCTGCCCATGATAAGAGAGACCAGACTCATAACCGTCACAATGGTCCCTGCGGCCACCATGCCCTGCACAGGCCTGACATCGACGCCAGCGGGCCAGAGGGGCAGGAAGTACTCGGAGGGCAGATGGGTGTCGTCAAAGGTCTTGAGGGCATCGGCCGAGACGCCGAGGACCGTGACGCCAGCCGCCAGGGCCACGGCGCTGAGGGCGAGCTGGGCGGAGCTGAGCAGCACGGTCGCCCTCGGGGCCACGGTGGTCGACGTGGCGGAGATGTCTGAGGCTGAGACCTGGGTCTTGAGTTTGCTGGGCTCCATGTTGATCATTGGATGTGTGTGGGGGGGGGGGGGGGGGGGGTATATGGCCGATGAGACAGGTAGTGATTAATATGAGATTAGGAGCATGTAGCAGCCGGAAGAGAGAGTCGCGAGACAATGTTCACCATTGTGAACTCGGATGGGCGCCATCTCCTCCAGATATACTCGTGGACATTTCGCGAGGAAGCAAGAGATAGCCGCCTGGACGGGTGATGAGAGTGTCGCCTCTGATCAGGGCGGCCAATCCCCCGCCATTGTCCATTATCTCGAGACGACGCCGTGGGCGCGTGGAGGCAGGTAAGCGCCGGCAGTTTGAGGATGTTCATGTCGCGATGCAGGAACCGCATCTAGTCCGACGTCAATCGATGCTTTGGGCGCCTAGATGGAGGTACCTGCGTGAGCGTGCATGTGGCAGCCAGCCAATGAGTGGCCCCAGGCCAACCCTCGTCTGGCCAGCATCAAGGGCGGCAAACCAAGTCTAGCGTTGCTCTCGCTGTGTAATTACTCCGTACCTCACTTTGCATCTGCATGTCTTCACGGTACAAGACATTTCAACTCGGATGATTTTCTTCTTCCTGCGATTCCTCCCTCAGCCCGCCGTCGATGGATGTGTGCCAAGGACAGGGTAGGCAAATGAGCCAGTGCCCGGGCCAGGGTGCGTTGGGCAGCAAGACATGCACGTGACCCCTGCGACCGTTGGAAGATCTGCTCAAGCGTCAACGTTCCAAACGGGCGATCTCGCTTAATTCCTCTGTTGACTTGTCTTGTCTCGAAGTCTTGGACGTCCCGTGCCGAAACTCATCGGGGCGGGACAATGTTTCGACAAGCATTCCAAGCCTCCAAGCCTCCAGGATCAAGGGCATACAATCAGACAGACGGACGACAGTACAAGTACGTATGAGTGCCGATGACGCCCTCTCTCATATAAACTGATGGTGGGGCTGCCCCGGTGTGCAGCAGGCTATCGGATATTTTCCTTGTTTGCGCCCTCCGGAGACTTGACGTTCCGGACGGTGAACCAGCCGGGTTCAGCCTCAGGAGTCAGGACGGCGAGGAGGAACAGAGGATATGTGCAGACAAACCCAAGTCAGGAATTGAGCGCAAGGCGGCCGGTCCATGTCGCCAATGCGTGATAAGCAAAGCGAGGGAACGAGCGAGGCTGTGGTCAATGTCGAATTGGCGATCAGCTCTGCGCGCACTGATGGGCAGAACGTGCAGCGTGCGTTTGCGGGATGATGTTTGCTCAGGTATCCTGGATTGTGTGGTGAGCTCAGCGTGGCCGCGTGGGACTGGAGTCTGGGTTGGGACGTCCCCCACCTCACACTGAGCCTGGCCATGGGAAAGCATGACATGGGAAAAGCAGAATGGCATCTTTCCGACGATGATGTAAACGAATCGCGCCCCAATTAAATTAAATAACGCGACTGGACCCGGTCAATTGGAACGACAGCCGCGAATGCGCGCCTCTGCTCGTCATTCGCTCAGCGTCGATCGACGACAGGGTTGCGCGGCGTCTCAGTCTCTCTCAGTCTCTTTCTCTGTCAGTGGTCAAGTCGTGCAGGTAGTTTCATTGCCGACATGGGGTCACGCTCGTCTTTCAGCTACCGTCGTGCTGCTTCTCATTAGCGACGGTGCATGTTCCTTACCCAGTTTGGCAACCCTGCCCACTACGGCCCTACGGTATCGTGGACTGCCTGCAGAGCAGAGCGGATGCCGCGTGAGATAATAATGAGTGATCATAATTATAAAATACTATCAGAAACCGTCTTTAGGGACCGGGATCCATCCATCCCTGCCAGCACAAGCCAGCCACGACCGTCAATTAGCGTCCCGACAGTCCTGCCCCAAGACGTTTTTGCGTTAGTACGTGCTGTCTGTACATACAAGCGCGGTCGCCCCCCTGTCAGTCCAGTCCATCAATCCACCGCGTTTCCCTTCTCAGCGTTGGTATAAGTTGGGACGCCTGGAACGAAACCCTCTGTTGACATACTCGACGCTAAACATCTCTCTCGCTCACAGTCGCCAACGTTACTGGACGAGTCCTCGCTGGAAAGGAGAAAGAACACGATATATGCGCACATCTGCCACGCTCTCGACACCAACATTGAACAGAGCATCCATCGGCCAACGAGGAAAAGGACGATCCAACAGAAAGCAGCACGACTCAACGAAGCATCGTACATACCGCGTGGTCAAGAGCAGACTACAGCATCACACATACGCCGCAAGATGGAGGTCACCAGTGCTCACCATGACTTTGTACGTTCCCCCCCAAAATCCCAAGGAGAGAGAACCCCGTTAACAACATCCCAGCACCTCTTCTCACAACTCCCACCAGAGATCCGCCTGCGCATCTGGTCCCTCAACCTACCACAGACATCCCGCCTCATCCCCATCAACGCCAACACCCCCAGCAGCCCCAGCAATAGCAAGCAATCATCACCATCAAGAGGCGCCTCGGGCTGCACCACAACGATACCAGTCCCGCCCAACCTCCACGTCTGCAGCGAGTCACGCCTCCACGCGCTGCAGACATTCACCCCATCCTTTGGCTTCGCCCGGACCCAGGGTCGCATTCCCTTCGACTCCTCCAGGGACATGGTCTACTTTCCCCGCCTACCAGGTCTCGCCGCCTCGTCGTCCTCCTTCCGGTCCTTCCTCCTACTCTGCTGTCCCGACGAGCTGAGCCGGCTTCGACGGGTAGCCGTCCACGAGGACGTGCTGGGTGTCGACGACGCCTGCTACCACAGCGGTATTGCCGTCGGACGCACCATGGAGATCATCACGCTGATCCGCGCGCGGTTGCCGAGTGTCGACGAGGTCATCTTTGTCAGTACGCGGGAGGACAGCGGGCGGAGACTGCAGATGCAGGTCGAGACGGCTGTGAGGGACCAGTGCGAGGATACACTCAGATGTATGGTCGTCCTCGAGGGCGCGGAATAGTCTCCTTTTTTTTTTATTTTTTTTTTATTATTTTTTTTTATACTAGCATGGGGAGGCGCATCACGGGCATCAGCGTTTGATTTTTTGGATACACAGGGCTCATACCAACACATCTTTCTATAATGCATAATATATATCAACACCAGCTAACGCAATGCAATGCTTCGCTTCGTTTCGCTTCGTTTCACTTTGTTTAGAGACCTTCTTTCCCCTTGCCAATCCCCTTCTTCCGCCCCCGGAGCAGCGCCCCCAGCGCGCGCCCCACGCCCTGCATGTCCCCCAGCATCGTAATGTGTCCGCGCTCCGTCCGCACCCGCCCGCCCTTTACGCAGGCATAGCCCTCGGGCAGCATGGACTCCTTGGCGAGCACGACGCCGTCGCCCGCCCGGAAGAGGAGGTCGTCGTACGCGTCCGTACGGGGGATCCCGTCCCGCCCATGAACTTGCGCCCCGTACACCGTCGGCGTGTTCTTCCCGTACATGAGCGCAAAGGGCGGGTATGCGTTGGCCGACTGGTGCTCTTCGCGGTGCGCCAGCTCGGCGCGGAAGGTCCGCGTCGCGTCTAGCGTGCGACCCAAGTACTCGAGGTAGCGCTGTCGCTCGGGGTCGGATAGTTTGGGCGCTGGTGGTGGTTCGGTGGACGCGTCTGCGGTCGTGGGGTCGGTGCCAGGGTTGAGCTGGGGCGCAATGGTTCGGTCTTTGTGCCCGTTCATCGTGTTCGTCGCCGGATCCGGGGCGCCTCCGTTGGTGTTGGTAAACCATCTGTCGGACTTGCTCTCGGCACGAGCGCGCGTCCGTAGCGAGTTGGGCAGCAGCGACGAGAAGGATGTCCCGTTGGCGCCCAGGGCCGGTGACTTGGGCAGGGCGGGCAGCGCTGGTCGCACGCAGGGACTCAGGGCCCATTCCACCCATTGCTCCGGGTCGTAAAAGTCAATGGGGTACGACTCGCCCGTGTCCTTGTCGACAAAGCAGAATCCGTCCTCTGGTAGGAAGACGAAACAGGTCCGCATGCTAAAGTTGACCTGCGCGGTCAAGAGCTTCTCGTTGAGCAGGATCACGTCGCCGTTGCGCAAGGGGCCCAGAATGTTGATGCATCGCTGGGGGACGCCGGCGTAGAGGACGCCCGAGAACAGGTCTGGTCGTTGGTTGACGGCGTGGCGGGTGATCATGCCGCCCAGGCTGTGGGCAATCACCAAGGCACCCCTCGCGTCGGCCGGTGTCCCCGGCTGGTTCGAGGGGAGCGTCTCGAGAAAGTCGAGCAGTCTCCTCGACAGCTTGTGCGGGCTGAGCCGCCAGTCGTAGCCGTAGTCCCAGACCCTGAGCTTGCCATTCTTCGCATTCTCGCAGTGGCGCAGCTTCTTGAACAGCTTCCGCGAGATGTCAATGGGTCCAATGTGCGACAGCATCCCGGACGGCTTGATCGTCTCCTCCATGCAATCCTCGTCCTCGTCCTCGAGCCCGACCTCGAGGTTGACCTTGCGCATGTTGAAGCCCAGCTTGACCGGCGCCCAGCACTGCTGATAGGGGGGCTCCGCCGACCGCAGCACCGAGCCTCGGAACCCGCCCATGACCACCACGTCCCCCGTCAGCTCCTCCAAGACCAGGTCCAGCTCCGTCTGGCCTTCCTTGAGCGTCGCGGACGCGGCGGGGGCCGGCGCAAACGAGTCGCGCTCCACGGGCGTGGTCTCCGACCCGCTGTGGTTCCCGCCCAGACCGTCGGACAGCGAGTTCATGGAAATGAAGGACGGCGCGTGGATCTTGGGCAAGCTGGGCATTCTAAAGTTGGGGACATCGGGGAGGCTCTCCCGGATGGCCTTGAAGCGCATGTTGACCATTTCCCGCACATCCTGAAACTGCTCGTCGTCTCCCAGTGAGGAAGCCCGCGAGAGGCTGTGGTACAGGATGCTCTCGTCGGACGTTACACGGCGCAGGGTGGCAGGTCGAGGGGCATTCGCAAAGGAGGACATGGTGGAGGACCCCGTGGCCAGCGAACTGGACCCTGTCCGCCTTCGCATGGGTCGTGGTGTGCCGGCTGTCGGCGAACCGCTCGCTGGCGACTTTGGCTTGTCGCCATTGGAGGGGGAGGAGGAGGAGGAGAAGAAGGACGTCGAAAAGGCAGGGCGCAGATGGGAAGGCGTGCTGAACGACGGAAGCGCCTTTTGCAGCTTCCTCAGTGCGTCCTGGCCGGCGGAGCGTGAACGTGATCGGGTGCCAGAGGGACCAAAAGCTGATTCAAAGACACTCCGCGATGGACGAGGCTGTGTGTGCTGCTGAACCGGGAACGTGGAGGATGGCTTCTCCACCATTAGACTCCTCGGACCCGTGTGCCACGGCGATGGCAAGGGCGCGCGTGAAGGCGGACCGCGGGAGGGCATCTGCCCCAGGTGCAGAGACGCTCTGGCGTGACGATTGGGAGGACCGGGGGACAGGTCGCCATGCCCATCGTCGTCCTCTTCGTCTTCCTCGGGCAAGGAGCCGCCAAAGGGGCCCATCTTCTCCATCGCCGCGACCTTTTCTGTGGCGGGCGTGAGGGGCGAGGCCATGTGGCTAGCGGTCGCGCTCATAGCGGGCTGCAGCACTGCCTGGGCGTCCTCCTGGTCCTCGACGCCGTCCTCGGCCTGGGCGGGCGAGCTGTCGCCCTCATCGTCGTCGGGGATGGCGTCCGGATACTTTGGCTGTGTGGGGGGACGTGGTTGTGGTGGGATGGCTGGCTGTGCGCCAGGAACAATGTCCGCGGCCATTGCTGCTGCTGATTGAACTTGCCTTGACCACTGTAAGGACTAGTTGTGGCTGTGAAACGTATTTACTTTGCTTGACATGTGGTGAATCGCAGAGCATGGCCTCCTGCGTCACGGTGAGCGAGAAGAAAAACAGAAGCCTGAGTGAGTGGCGACACGAGAAGACCGTCCGGATGGATTTGCAGTTCCCTTCAGCGTGGTATGCCTTGAGGGGTCTCCTTTTCTTGGGTTGGACGGAAAGCGAACGACGTAGAGATCACAGTTCTGAGTTGGTACATGTAGCTGGCCAAGTAGCTAGCTGGACGGGTCATGGCATGGATATGGTCCATGGATGGTCCATTGTGCCATCCATTGGTGGACTCCAACCGAGTCGGGCGAAGAAATGGGGCACAGGTGGGTAGATCATGGACGATGGATGATGGCATTGTGGTGAACATGGACATTCGGCGTGGTTTCTGGTGCCGTATGTGGGTGAGAGTTGGGGCTGGTCCGGCGCTCCCGGTGGCATGCGGGCCTCTAATTATCATCGCCTAGACCAGCCAGCTGGCCTGCGTGCGGCACAGGCAGGCAGGCAGGTGTCTGGACTGGACTGGACTGTAGCCAGCGATTGAGCAGTTCAGTCATTGAGCAACATCTGTCGCAAGGCACGGATTGTTGGCGACTAGCTTCTTGACGTAGTGTATGAGGTCATTCGAGGCTGCAGACGCGAGAGTCATCCGTGATCACTATTACTTCACTAGTACCTGGTAAATCAACAAACGGCGGCTGTGTAATTAGCGCTGCAGCATGCATTCGGCCGTTGCCAGCTTGGGAAGGATTCTGGAAGGCCTCGATCGACGCGCTGTTGGTTTCGACTGTCTCACCGCCAGGGCCGCGACAGGGACTCGAGCGCACAGAAAGCAGGGCGGTCTATTGTGCGAAGCGAGATACGAAGAGTCCGAACTGTGTGCGCGAGATCATAATTAATAGATGAGTTCGCGGTCAGTGTCAGTACTGGCGATGGAGTGGGCAAGGATCATTCGCACCTAGGGCAGACCAGGTTAGAGACCCTACTTACCCGGTACAAGCAAATAGAACCCAACACTCTCGCGAACTGTCATTCACTCCCGAGTCTCACGACCTAATTTACCTCTTTGCCAACAAACAAACTTAATAAAGTTACTAACATCAGCATTCGCAGCTCATAAGGTACTAGTCTGGTCACCCCATTCATCAATGGCTTCACATAACCACAACGCTACCACAACCATCGTGGTCTGCCCCGGCTCCAGTCTCCAACCTCCAGACCCTCCCTCCTCCAGGCCTCCTCCAGGCCTCCTCCAGTCCTCCTAGTATCCACCTCTACATCGCTAGTCTATGCAAATCCGGAGAAACCTCGACCCGCAATCGAGTTACCGCCCGCGTCACCGATCCAGTGACGTCTGGAACATTGGCGAGCTTCACCGTGGAATCTTGAAGCCATCTGTCGCCGCTCGCTCGCTCACTTGGGCCAGGATCACATTCCACGCCCCAAGCTATCCAAGCTGTCTGATCCGACTACCGCCCGGCCAGCCTCACCATGACCACCCTCCAGCCCCGGGCCCCCTACACCGACGCCGAACTCGCCGCCCTCTACCCGCCGTCCCTCCAACTCCAGAATGTCCAGATCCTCCTCCGCCACGGCGAGCGCACGCCCGTGACGCCGCGCTTCCAGGAACATGGCCTCCCCGCCTTCTGGCCGTACTGCAAGGCCGTCCGCCACCTGCGCTCCGCCGTCATGGACGTAGACCCCGACGCGCCCGCCGACGCCCAGTTCTCGACCCTCGCCTGGAAGCGCCGCCTCGAGACCATGGGCCACAAGGACGCCCCCGTCATCGCCGCCGGCAAGCAGGGCGAGCTCGACGACATTTGCGACATGGGCATGCTCACCGACAAGGGCCGCGCGACCACCACCCATCTCGGCCGTCGTCTGCGCGCCCTCTACGTCGACCGCCTCGGCTTCCTCGCCCCCTCCCTCGACGCCGACAACGTCGACACCCTCTACCTCCGCGCCACCCCGATTCAGCGCGCTCTCGAGAGCATGCAGCAGACCCTCCACGGCCTCTACCCGCCCGCCACCAGAGCCCCCGGCCTACCGCCCGTCAACGTCCTCGCCCGCGCCATCGGCGACGAGACCCTCTTCCCCAACGAGGGCAACTGCCGCCGCTTCGCCGTCCTCGCCCGCGCCTTTGCCCAGCGCGCCGCCGAGCGCTGGAACGACTCCCCCGAGATGGACTACCTCACGCGGCAGCTGGGCCGGTACCTCCCCGATCCCTCTGCCCGCGTCGCCGTCGACGGCAAGCCCCGCCTCTCCGGCATCATGGACACCATGAACGCGACCTACGCCCACGGCCCGGACACCAAGCTCCCCAAGGCCTTCTACGACCCCAAGGTCAAGGACATTATCGAGACCATTGGCGTCGAGGAGTGGTACGCCGGCTACCGCGAGTCCGAGGAGTACCGCACCCTCGGCATCGGCGGTCTCCTGGGCGACGTCGTCGCCCGCATGGTCGGCTCCGTCGAGCAGACCACCGCCGACGGCCAGTACGAGCTGCAGCGCCGTGGACAGGGCCACGCCCCCGCCGTGCGCTTCGGTCTCTCCGGTTGCCACGACACCACCCTCGCCGCCATCCTCTCCTCCCTCGGCACCTTTGGTCACAAGCAGTGGCCGCCCTTTACGAGCCACGTTGCCATTGAGCTCTTCCGCCACACGACGACGCCAGACAAGCCACCGCCCGCGGCCCCGACCACTGGCTCCTGGCTCGCCTCCCTCTTTGGGGCGAGTGGGAAGGCCACCCTCTCACCGCCTGGCGTCCCACCGGCCGGTGGCATCGGCCGTACCAAGATGTCAGACCTGACGCCGGCCGAGAGAGAGCGGCTCGAGGGCTACTACGTGCGCGTCCGCTACAACGACGAGCCCGTGACCATCCCAGGATGTAAACAGCAGGGCAACCACCTCGAGGGCGATGAATCCTTCTGCACTCTGGTACGTACACTGAACCCTACCCCCTTTGTGGCCCCTTTATACATAACCTGCCCCTCTGGCGATATTTGTCCCAGTATCCTCCGCGTAATCAGTATGTACATGCTAAATGCCCCAGGCGGCCTTCAAGTCCATCGTAGACAAGTTCACACCCGTCGACTGGCGCCAGCAGTGCCGCACCAACATCAACGCCACGCCATTCCCGGAAACGAAGCAGCCGTCCGGGTTCTAATGAGATTCTTTGTGTGTAGAATAGCTTGTCTGACTAGAACCAACCTGACTTTGGGTCATGCATTAGATCAAGAAGCAATGGGCTAGCCAAGTATATCTCCTAGACTAGACAGACACAGAGTATATATAATCATGGAATACCCCCGCACACAAAGACCAAAGACGTGACGATGATTCAATCGATGAGACTACGTGTGAATATACTATCCCAACCATTGGGCGCCAGAAAACATGTACAGCAAAAATGTGACCCTCTCCTCTCGCCTTCTGCCATCATAGCGTAACCATCTCGCCCCAACTCAACCTCGAGTTTTGACCCTTCTCCCTGGGTCCTTGACGTCTTTGCCAGGCTTCAAAGCGGCAATCTCCAGCATAATCCACCAGCAATAGGTAATGAGTGCGTACAATCCAAACAAAGTTCCCTATGAGAACGAAAAAAAAAAGTTCCGGCAAATATTAGGGCAGGCCTAGATCCCCGCCACAATTACAAAAAAGTATAATCATTCCCTCTGCTTTTGCATCCTTCATCACCCATTAGTTGGCCACTTCCTCCTCAACCCAGCCGTTGAGGCCGCCCTGGATGGCGAGGCCGAAACCGCCTCCCATCCCACCATAGCTGGCTTGATATCCATGGCCACGACGCTCGCCGTCGCTGCCATTGCTACCCGGCACGCTGTTGGGGCTGTTGCCTCCGTTCTCGAAACCAGGCGCAAGAGCGGGCAGGCTGACGGCTCGGTTGTGCTGGCCGCGAGCATTGGGTGCCAGCAGTCCACCAATGGTCGTCGCGCCGGACATGGCTCCGTTCGCTGGGTACCCGTTCGAGATGCTGGCGGATTGACCGTGGCCGCCCAGCTGTGCCTGTTGAATCTGTGGGGCAACGTCGATGCCGAGGTCACTGGGGGACTGCTGAGACGAGCCAAAGAGGGCGCTCTGTTGAGCAGCATAGTTCTGCTGGTGGTGTTGCTGCTGCTGCTGCTGTGCCTGCTGGGACAACTGGTTCAGGTACATCGTCAGAGGGTTGTTGTTCACGCCAAACTGCCCGGTGGGCGAACCGCCACGGCCGTTGTCACCGTGGGGAGGTGGTGATGTGCCGCCGTCACCACGAGGCGATTGCGAGTTGTGCATCTGGCGGGGCGCGTTGCCACAGCGATCCTTGCCAAAGTTCACCTTGAACTTCCTGTACTCCTCCTTCCCGCGCACAGCCTCTATGGCCTTGATGGCATTGGCAATGTTGGTGAAGTTGACAAAAGCACAGCTCTTCTCCCGCAAAGCATTGACGAGTTCGATTTCGCCGTACTCGGAGAAGTCTTGGCGCAATCTTTCCTCCGTCCAAATCTCGTCCAAGTTGCCAATGTACACGTTTCGAGAAGCGCCGCCGCTAACAGCCATGGCAATCGCAGGCGGGAGAGCGCCAGAGTGCTTGCCCCAGCCAATCTTGAGTCGTCGGTTATGGATCATCAGCCCCTGAAGGTTGCTGAGGGCATAGAATGAAGCTGCGGCCGTGGGGTCGATGAACGTGACGAAGCAAATGTGCTTGTCCGGGATGTAGCGAATATGATGCAAGAGTCCTCCTCGCACAACGTTGCAAATCTCCTCAATCGTCGTCTCGGGGTGAATGTTGCCAAGGTAGATCGTACGGTTGCCGAGGTTGTTGATGCCACCGGCAGTAGTGGCGACAGCAGCAGCAGCAACCGATTGCTGAGCGAGGGTGTTGGAAATCAAGTCACGGTCAGCACCTGTCAGCATGTGAGCATATCCCGGCGAGATACCCAGATACTGGGCGGCATTCTGCTGCTGTGTTTTGGAGACGTAGGCGCATCGGTCCTTGCCGTAGTACACGCGGCGAGGGGCCTGCCACTTGGGCTCCTGAGGAAGCTGGCCAACGGCTTTGATGGCATTCGCAATGGAGAGATAGTGCACGAAAGCAATGTTCTTCTCACGGACAAGCTTGACGGTATCGATAGCACCAAACTTGCCCAGATCCTCGCGTATCTCCTCTTCGCTGATGTCCTCAGGCAGGTTGCCCAAGTAGACGTTGCGTGAGGCGCCTGACTGTTGCACGGCCAACGCCACCGAGGTGGGAACTTGCGACGGCTTGCCCCAGCCGACCTTGATATCTTGGCCCTTGATGCAGAGCTTTTTCAAGATGGCATCAGAGTGGAAGTGGGTAGCGGAGCTAGCATCCAAGAAGGAGATGAAAGCACAGTTCTTGTCGGGCAACAGGCGGACGGATTCAATCTGTCCACTCCTAACGTGACCCAGAATCTCCTCGGCCACAGTATCAGGTGGAATGTTGCCCAAATACACAGTGCGGCTGGTGCCAGTGACCGCACCCGCGTTCATGTGAACAGGCGAGCTAGGCTGCATGGGTGCCTGCATCGAGTAGTTGCCCGTAGGCGATTGAGGAGGCGCATAGAAGTGAGGAGCACCGTAGGCGGAGGGCGAGACCATGGCCTGGTACTGCTGAGGCGACATGTTCTGCTGAACAGGGCTGGCCATGCCAGCATTCTGCTGGTGGTTCATCTGACTCTGCTGCTGTTGCTGATGCTGGTGCTGTTGTTGCTGCTGCTGACCCTGAGCTTGAAAGTTGTGCACCTGTTGGAACTGAGGGCTGCTGAATGCACCGGGGGATCCAGGCTGAAACGGGCTTCCGAGGAGCAGCTGGGATGGCAGCAAGGGCGTAAACTGCATGTCAAAGGCAGTACCGGGTGTTGCAATATCGGCACCAGCCGCAGGCATAGTCTGTGCCTGGTTCATCGTCTGGGTGTTCAAAGAGGGAACATTGCCACGACGAGGGTGGCGGTCAGCAAATCCCGACACGTTCGATGTAAAGGCGCCGTGCGAGAAGCCAGTGTCGCTGTTGGATGGCTTCGAAGCATGGCCAAATCGTCCACCGTGGTGTCCATTGGAGCCACGGCCCTGGCCTACAGCCCCATTGAGATCCTGCATGCTGAGGAGATGAGGGGGGACCTGTGTGTCCCGCCCGTTTTGCGATAGAACAGCCGTCTTGAAGAATAAGCGTGCCTGGTTGAGGGCACGCGACGCAAAATTTCCAAGGCTCGACTGGAAGATTTGGTGTCCGACTCGAGAATAGGCGACTCGAGAAAAGGGGCGTGATCCAGAATAAATCTACCAATGTCCACAGAAATGTACCGAATATCTGAATGCTGGCAAGCGTATTAGAAGGAATATAATGTATCCAACAGGTATCGATATTCTGGTCGAATCGATCGAGCAAAGTGAATGCAAATTGCAGCAAGGCGTAGCAACAGGAGGTACGGTCGAGCTAAGGTCGGTACGTGATGTTTGAAAACAATCGGCGGCGAATAATTCTGTGAAGTGATTAGGATAAGGAATCTTGCAGGGACTTCGAGCAGAGAGCGTAGACAAGGGGATGAGTAGTAGGTGACAAGGTTGAGGTTGAGGTAGAAGAAGAAGCTTGAAGGGGACTGGAGGCTGAGAATGCCCTGGTACGAGACCTGGGAGCTGTTGGCATGCTTTGATGAAGGAATGGATCATACCTGTGTGGGCAGTCGCGACTGAAGAGAACCAGACAGTTCGGCTTGGGCAAGTCGGACTGGAGTCGTCGACCCTCGCAGCAAGTGGGAAAGTACAAGAACAAAGACAATAGTAAGTAGTTGGTCGTGGGAAAGGGGAGAAATGGACTGGAAAGGATGGGATTGGGTCTGGCTTCGTGAAAAAGAACGGACCACCCCCGAGATCAACAGCGACCAACAAAAGTAGCCACCGTATTAGCCAGGGAAGGGGGCTCGAGTGCTCTCCCAAATTAAGATAGTAACAATGATGCGTAGGGCGGGATAGCCACGGTACGGCCGTGCGAGCGAGTGAGGACGGCCGGGTAGATGGTATGTACGTGCTAGAGCGAGCGTAAAGAAGGAAAGAATGGTGAATGAAGGGAATCCTCGAAAGTGAGGGTGAGGGAAAAAGGCTGAAGGCCTGCGAAGGAGAGAGGAGCGGTGATGAGGACCGGGTCTAGAGGGATGGTGAGGTGAGGGAAGAAACGAACGCGTGAACGAACGTCCGACACAGTGAGCCAGCAGCCAGCCATGCTCGAGCACTCCACAAAGGAAAGGAGACTGACTGACTGCCTGCCTGAATGGGCTCATGGAGTCATGGGAATTGATTGAATGGGAACAGGGTGGAGAATCGCGGTTGTCTAAAAAAGGGTGTCGACAATGGAATTGGCTACGCTGGTCAAGTTTAATGACTAGAACAGGGGCCAGCGAGACGCCATTGGCCAGATCTGCCAGTAGTGGAGGCTCCTCGTTCTTGGGCCCCCGTCCAATTGGTCGTTCCTGTCACCTGCAGGGCCGCCCGTGGATCCGCCACGACCCCGAATTTCAGGGAGGCTCTCATCGACATCTCCAGACTTTCTGCACTGGCTGTCGCCTGACGTGTGCAGCTCTCATGCAGCTACGCGAGTTCAAGGCATCTCCCTGCTTGACTGAAGAATTGAGAGTTGCAAGAGGTGAGCAAATGATGTATGTGCGGCTGTGGTGAAACACGATGCGCCGCAGGACGCTACTTGACCGTTGTAATTGTTCGAGCAGCCACTCCAGTGAACTGCGGGTGGACACTGAAACCCCTGAGTGTCAAACTGCCGCGTTCAGAGTTAGAATTCCACCCATTAATTATTAAATAGCCCCCCACCATGGATACGATTTTAGGCACAATTAATATGAAGTAGTATCAGAGGGAACTACGGATACGGAGTAAATATTTGCAGTTGCCTCAGCATAAATCAATTCTTATTCATATATGAATCATTTTGGCATGAGCGTTCTGACTAGACCGCGCCGACGTTTCAACACTCGCCCGCTCTGTGTCACTGTGGTTTAGTGCGAATGTCCTCTGCTTGGGATTTTGCCTATCTAAGCTATTGGCTAGTAATCAAGCCAGAGACTCTATTCTTCGCAATCAGTTCCCTCTCTCCTCTATGGCTTGCAACGCCCCATAAAGCGCGGGTACAAGCACGTCGTGCGGACGGTGTGCTGGTTCGCCAGCCAAGCCAGGAATCGCTCCAGGCCCAGGCCGTAGCCACCGTGGGGAGAGGTTCCGTACCTAGATAGTGTGAGTCAAAAGCTGGCAACAATCACAGAATGAAAAACTTACTTGCGCTGGTCGGTGTACCAGTAATAGTCCTTGGCCGGGATGCCTTCTCTCTCGTACGCTGCCATGAGCTCTTCGTAGCCCTCCATCCTCATGCTTCCGCCGACAATCTCACCAACGCCAGGCATCAAGCAGTCGACGCTCTCTGTGACGCGGGCGTCGCTGGGGTCCTTCTTCATGTAGAAAGCCTTGATCTCGGTGGGGAAGTGCGTCAGGAAGATGGGGCGGTTGATAATGTCTGTCATGCGACGCTCAGCCGCCTCGGCAATGTCATCACCAAACACGTGCGTGTTGCCCTCCTCGTTCAGAATGGGGGGATCTTGCTTGTTGAGCCATTCGATGGCGTCCGAGTACTTCATACGCAGAAAGGGGCGCTGAGGCTTCTGGAAAGTCGGGTTCAGCTCCTTCAGGAAGGCGGCCATCTCGGTGTCCTCCAGCACGGCGTCAATGACACGGCAGATGATCTCTTCCAGATGCTCCAAGAGATCGGCAAAGTCGATAAAGTCGAGCTCGGCCTCCACGTGGGTATATTCGGACAAGTGACGGCGGGTCAGACTCTTCTCCGCGCGGAACGACTTCTCGATACAGTAGACATTGCCCAAGCTGGGGAGTACGGTCTCGAGGTAGAGCTGCGATGACTGGGTGAGGAAGGCCTTCTCGTCGTAGTAGGGCACGTTGAAGAGGGTGGCGCCGCCTTCGACCTGGGTCTGCACGAGGGCGGGAGGGGCGACCTTGACAAACTTCATGTCGTGGTACGTCTTGACAAAGGCCCACTCTGTGTGTGCGCGCAGCTTCATCAAGGCGGCAGCGTGATCACCACGCAGGACGAGATGCCTGTTGTCGAGCATGGACTGGTCCCACTGGTTCTGGGCATGCGACACCTTGTTGGTGATGGCATCCTCACCGGATGGGGATGACCCAATGACCTCGTAGTAGTCGACGTGCAGTTCGCGGCTGTCGGGGGCCTTCTTGTCCTCGGGAACCTTCTTCAGTTCGCCGTACAAGGTCAGCGAGGTCCCAAGGGCAAATGTCATGGCATCATATGTCCGTGTGAGCTCGCCCTGCAGCAGGCACTGCAGTTGACCATAGCCGTCCGTGAGCGTGATGAATGTCACCTGTTTCTGCGTTCGCAACTGGTGGATACGTCCAGACACCTTGACACGTGCACCCTTCTTCTCGCCTTCTCCGAGCGCAACATCCTTGTTGGCAATGGTGATTTTCTCGGCCTTGGGAAGCGACGCATCTTCCTTGAGAACAATCTTTTTGGCGTCTTCGAGGACCTTCAATCGCTGCTTCTGTTGCTCCTCCTGCGCGGCCTGGGCTTGCTGCTGCTTGGCCAGTTTCTTCTTGTGCTGCTCAACGCCAGCCAGGCCCTTTTTGACAGCGCTCTTTGCTGGCTCCTTCCAGATCAGACGCACAGAGGGGTCTTCATCGGCAGTGAGCGGTCCGGTGACCGACGATCGGATGAGATAAGATGGTGGTGACGGCTTGTCGAGGTCCTGGATGTAGGCGAAAGCGAGCGTCTTGTAAGGCTTAAGCTCTGAACCATCGGCACTCGCTGTGTCGTCGGTGCCGGCGTCGGTGTCAATGTAGATTTTGGCGCCTTCGTCTTTTACGCGCTCGGCGAGTTCGTGCACGGCGGCCATGATGTACGCTCTGACTCGTCGCGAATTGTCTGTCACAAGCTGAGGTTGAATTGAGTCCAGGGTTTTGTTTGGCGGGGTCGAGGGGCAACAAAAAGATGGATCGAGGGGCACTCAATATCGCACAGTGTGACTCAAACGGCTCCGGATCGGCCCTATCTGAGACATTCTGGGTGACTCGAGGATCATCCTTATCTTTCCCTCGCGTGAGGACTATCCTTTTGATCACTGGGGGTACAATATCAGTTCAAACACTGCACAATCTAGCATAACACTGGAAGGCATGTCTTGTCACCGAAAAAGAACGTGGAGCATGCAACCAACCCTAGAGACACTGAAACTGCTATTGCAGCTTATGCCACAGGACTGGTCCGTCTACGGGCACCAGAAGACAACCCTTTCCGGGGCATCAGGGAGATGGGGCCGGGAAGCACCTGTGCAGAGAATGATCGCAACGTGGCAGTGCAAGAGTCCATATCGATCAATCCTCCTACCTAAGGCTGAATGCGATATATCGAGGGTGCCATTTGCGTCGTGCCACTTGTTTGAAACTTGCGCGTCATGTTGGCAGCCTCGGCGTCATGCCTAATAATGCAGCCCAACCCAACCCGACCCTCTTCAGGGAGGATGAAGCCCCTGACATAGCCTGCGTCACTTGCATGTGTTACGTATCCATGTCATCGAGAGAAAATATCAATTGCTGAATTGCACTCCGGTCGCCAAAACTGTCCTATCGAAGCAAGCATTCGTGTCGGCATTGGTGTGATTCCCCGACCCCATAAGATAGATGAAGAGTGAACAAGAAGAAGCAGCGCACGAACAAAAAGGGGTAGTCAAAAAAACACCTTAGATCTCTTTGCCTCGAGCGTCAGAGACAGCACGCTGCAGGACTGTCACATGGACGGTCCATGTCAGGGGAGCCAAGCGGTGTATGTCAAGCTCCCGTTTGATAGCTCCTGTGTGTCGCTGTTGCGTTGCTCGGGTCTTTCAAGCCGCCGAGGCCCGTTTCCTAAATCAAAATCCCAGGCTCTATCAATTTCTCGTTTGCCGCTCACTTTTTGCTTCCATGGTATTTGCGGTTGTAGTCTGAGAGAAGTGTTGGTCGGTTACAGTATAAGACACCTGTGTGACTTTTTCTTGGGTGCGGGCGGCTCGAGAGCGGCAACAATGGCCTAGAGGAGCGTTAATCAAACGGCGGACTTGCCACTGCTGCCAAGCGACTTACCTCGTCAAACACGTCCTTCAACTTGTACTGCGTCAACGCACTACACTCGACATATTTGACAGCGCCGAGCTCCTTGGCCATGCGCTCACCATCCTCCCGGCGCACGGGTGACATCTTCTGCTTGGCCAGCTTGTCGCGGACGCTTGGGTCGTCGCGCAGATCCACCTGCGTGCCAACGATAAGGCAGGGCACACCCGGGCAATGGTGGTGAACCTCGGGGAACCACTTCTCCCGGACGTTCTCAAAGGACGCGGGGGAGGTGACGCTGAAGCAGACGAGAAAAACGTCGGTTTGGGGATATGAGAGCGGACGCAGACGGTCGTAATCTTCTTGACCAGCGGTATCGAAAAGTCCAAGTGTGTAGGGCTCGTCGCCGATCCTGTGAGGTTGCGTCAGCGACTGCACTCGCCTGTATGCTCGTAGTCTTCGTCTCAGGGATCAATCGCGTGATCTGCCCGCGGCGGTGAGGCATTGCGCTTGCAGTCGACGTGCAAACTGCAGGGATCATGAAGAGGATTAAACGTACATGACCGTAACGGCATAATTATCGAAGACGGTAGGAACATATTCGGAGGGGAATTTGTTGGTCGTGTAGCTGATGAGCAAGCAGGTCTTGCCAACAGCACCGTCGCCGACGACGACACACCTAGAGAGCGATAACGGTCAGCAAGGGAAACTTCACGGGAGGATTGATGGGGCAGCCAAACGAGCGCTGCAGCGCTCGAAAAGTCATGCCGCAGATATTGGGTAGCCACGGGCCTCTCTAGAGGTGCGCGATTGATTTCCTCAACGCTGCCGCCGGTGCGACAGCTGGACGAACAGAGAGGGGAACCTGGGCGAAAACGTACTTGATAGTTGCGACAACGGCCATCTCGAGGTCGGATTACTGCCAGGCTGTGTTTCGAATGATCTGGGAGGCGGTGACTTGGGCGGACAGTCAGTCTTGAGGGGTTGGCCTCGATGCAATCAATGTACGGCACGAGGTTCAGGATTCGATCGGGGCACTGGGGTTCGGGATGGCGAGCGAGAGGAGGAGGAAGGTGAATGGACTGGAGGTGAGGTTGAATGAAAGTGCTTGGCTCTAGCGGGCTCGGGGCGGCGTATGGAGACAGGACTGCTGGCAGGCAGGCTGGCTGGCTGGGCAGGCCTGGTGGTGCGAGGGTCTGGTGCGGAGAGCGGGCAGAGCTCCCAGGGGCACCTGCACTAACGTTATCTGTCTCCAAAGGCACAGCAGGAACCAACAACTTGCGATGGGCACTTTGGCTTCTACGATAATACATGGAGGCAAGGAGAATCGGTCTTTACGTAGCCGGACGAGGGTGTCAAGATTCTCACGGCTCCAATCGGACTCCAAGCACGATGCCCCCAAGAAGAATGGTACATGCAGATAGGTAAGGTTGTAAACCGTGCTAATGCCTGTATAATTACGGAGGTGCAGACAGAGGGTCGCGCTAATATTATCTGTTAATACTGCTTCGCTTCTTGAATCTTGCCTGTCTCGAAAAGTCCTCCCAATGGAACTGTAACTGTTAGTACGGATACAGGTTGAGTGATTGATTGATTCAGGGACCTTATGGGCCGCCAGTGCGATAGGCCCCGCCCGTCAGCTTATCGCAGATTTGTTGTTGCTTGGACGTGTCGACTCGTGTTGTTGCACAAAGTCAGCCGCCACCACTTGAGTCGTGCTACAAGGCACGAGCATTCCGACCACAAGGCTAATGACTAGGCTAACGTTAGATCGTGTTTGCGCCCCTTGGAGATTCCTCCATCAGACCATCAGAGATGTGATCCGGCACTGGGACCTCAGCTGTATCTGTCGAGTCCGCAAGAGGAAGGACAGAATTCACTTGTTGCTCACCGCACGTACTTCTGTATCGACGCTTTCCATTCGCAGGAGCCTAGAAGCCAACAAGCGCCATCAATCACAATTGGTAGGCGCACAACTCGGCACCGTGCAGCTGGCCACAGAGGCCTTTTCTCCTGATGGGTTTCGTCACCCGCCGCCCCCCTTGATCCTCGACTCCAGTCACCTCTGTCCACATCACATTCGCTGAGCTTACAATCCAGCGCAAAACCCAGGCCAGCCAGGGTTAAACCAACAGAGATGGCAGGTTGTGCATCTGGGCGGCGCAGACACAGCCTTCTCGCAAGAGACAGCGCTTCCGCTGACACGCTAATAACAGTGACAAGACTTATGATACAGCATATTACTACTACCTATTCATAGCCTCTTGCACCTGTCCTGGTGACCTTGGACGACAACAAATGGTTCTTTGCCAGGTGCCGCGAACAGCCTCGCAAACAAAGGATCTTTCAAGTTTGACGACGTTCAGCGTGCCTCTGAGCCGGCTCTCACACTCATTTCCTGCCCCTGCCAGCGTCGTATCACGTCCTATTTTGGCGGTCCTGCAGCAACGGCTCAAGTCCTTCTCGCTTGTTCCGCGAAATGACGGTCTCGGCGACTTTCCCCTGCACATTCACACGTGGTTTGCCCACGATGCTGCAGGGTCCTCAAGCTGGGCTTCCGCCCGTCCAAATTTTCGTCGTCTCGTTGATTCAAAGTCGACAAGCTCGATGCTGCTGAATGACGGACCAGAAACCCGCCTACGGCTGCTGGCGACTGAATATGCTACTGGACACCGCCTTTCGCCGCATCAAGACCCCGGGGTGCTTCACGTTCCTCTATCAGCTGGCCTAATTGTCATGACGGCACCTTTTACCGTGTTCACAGTGGGCTGAATGGGCATTGCGACGAACATGTGCTTCCATCGTCCTCAGGATGGCTTTCCTTGTGCTGTCACTGCGCCTGTGTTGCCGTTCCCACTGGACAGATACGCAGGCATAGAACAGGATGTGCAACGCCAACTCAACATTTGGGCCTCCCTCCGTGGCGGACCCATCAACAAATTCGATACTGGGTTTCTGTCTCGCCGGCTCTCTATGGCACCGCGCTCTTGGTCTCATCGCCCAGGTTCCTGCACCCTTCGCCTCGACAGTCGCTCAGTGTGACGGAACAGATAGGCAGGTTCGCGTCATCTTGCGGCCCGCACCCGACATTGCAGGATTCCGATGCTGATAGGGCTTATGCTACTGTCCGGTTCGATTGTGTGTCTTTGTGCGGCCGAGGGTGTCGCCATGTTTCTCGTAAGCCGCATCCTCCTTTTGCTAATCACGCCCAAGCAGCCAAGGAGAACTTTCTGAGGGCTCTGCTGCTCTTACTGGGGCACCTCAAGAAGCCTCGACCGCTCGCAACTCTGTGGGGGAACGCTTGTTCATTCCATCGTCCAGAGCTCTCTCGACAGCGCCCTTCCCCTGTTGGTCGAGTCACCTTCCCAGTAGAGCTCGACAGGCGCCGGCCTGATCTTCTGCCGCTGGTTATCTCATGGGCACTGAGCCACATGGTTGGGATGGTAGGAGACAAGTATGGACTCAAGTGGCTCGCTTCTGGTGACTTTTTGATTGCCACTACGTATCCGAGTCCCTTCGCACGAGATTTGACGATGATAACAGCACGCAGCACAAAGACATGCTCTGTGTGCTCCTAGTCGACATTAAGATTGCTCTTGTTAGTCTTTGAGTCACTGAGGGCTGAGTTTACCTGGTCTACCTTGGGTGACGAGGTAAGGAAGTGGAAGAACATGGCGACTCTGTTGCGCCGTACTCGAAATGGCAAACGCCAAGACATCCGTTGAGCCCCTACGATCCTACTATGGCATTCATCGTGATCGTAGACATACCGTTACGCGATCCAGTGCAGAGAACTCCTCGAATAATTGTCGACTGATCAACGCATGCAGCCGAACTCACGATAGTCGTGGGCGACTCAAGGACGGAAGTAATCCCGAGCCAGGAGATTGACGTAATAGTGCGCCCTCGGTTTACCCTTAAGATCAAAACAATTGACGACATGGAGGTCTCGGAGAGGTCGCATAGCTGCACGCGCTTACGCACGTTTCCTTGGCCTTGTTGCCCTCCGTATAAGCCAGCATGAAGCCACTTCATCACCACATCGCACACCATAACGAGATAAGAAAAGAGTCGGCAAGATACCCCTGCCTGGCAGTAGTGATACAACCCCAAGATAGTAACTTATTGGAGTTTCCAGCCGGCAGTGCGAGAATTCAACCGGCAGTGGCCTGCCATGATGGGCCCAGTTCGTTCCGCGCGGGATGCGATTGATCGACAGGCTTGGCGCACGCCTGCCTTCCTCTTTGGTTGACGATCCTCGATTGCTAGCCTCGACGGAGCGTCACTTTCCACCACATGGTGCGGAACTTGCATCGTGTATGGCGCCCTCACCACATTCAGCTCGCAGGGCTTGCCGAGAATAGAGATGGTCGATGGAGGCGCGGAATTGAAGCGACCCGCGACGTCGATCCAGTAGCTTCATGACTTGATGAAGTACAGTCCAGAAGATGGAGCCACGAGTATATAAGAGCCGGGACACCTCCTGTTGGATAAGTGGACGACACCACTCAGAAGCACTCTCAATAAGCTACAGACCCCTTCAAGCACCTGTAAAGAAGCAACAGAAGCAACGACACCATCAACACCATCAACACCATGGTCCTCACAGTCAAGTCCCTCCTCGCTGGCCTCGCGGGCGCCGCTGCCGTTTCCGCCCAGTGCACTGGACCCCCAGTCAACGATGCCACGATTTCCCTCATCACCGAGTTTGAGGGCTTCAGCTCTGATATCTGTATAATCCTTTCGGTCCTCTTCGTTGTACCACGCAGCTAACAAGTGACAGATCTTGACCCCAGCGGCTATCCTACCGTGGGCTACGGCCATCTTTGCGCCGATTCGTCCTGCTCGGATGTGCCCTACTCCATTCCTCTGAGCGAGGCTGATGGCCGCTCTCTGCTCCGAAGCGACGTAGCTGTGCGCACTTCCCTGCTCCAACTGAGCCGTGACAGAAAGAGACTGAACAGATGATAGGTTGCGCAGAACTGCATCACCCTCGACACTGGCTCCAACGTTGTGCTCAACGCCAACCAGTACGGCGCCTTTGTCAGCTGGGCCTTCAACGTCGGCTGCGGCAACTCGGGCTCCTCCACGCTCATCTCGCGCCTCAACGCTGGCGAGAACCCCAACACGGTGGCTGCCCAAGAGCTGCCCAAGTGGACGTACAGCAATGGCGTCGAGTTGCCCGGCTTGGTAAGGAGGAGGAATGCTGAGGTTGATCTCGCGCAGACCGCCACGAGCGCCCCCGCGCTGCCTGCCTGCTCATAAGGTCCCAAAAAGATTTACCAACTTGAATAGAATATAGCGACGAAGTTCGCCAAATGAATCAATCGTGGTCTAGGCGATGCATGGCCGTGTGACTGTCCGATACCACTTGGTCTGTGACTCAATGCCATGCAAACCATCAATGCTTTCGCGTAACGTAAGAAGAGTCTTGAGGTTCCCAGAAAATCACGGGTATTCGCTGTTAGCTTTTGATAGACATTCGCCGATCGCTGACGTTGCCTCCAGGGTTAGGGTTGGCAGCGACATGGAGTCGAATATCTGTCTCTCTGAGCTGTGACCCGCTGAACCCGCCCAAGCTCCTTGACTCCTCGACCCAGCTTCCTCTCTCCCCTGCACGCCAGGCTGCCCGACTGTACTACATTTTCCGGGCGATTCAAGACGTGAGCCATTCTGCAATGGACCAATCCCACATTGACGCCCTCCTCGGGAGGTATCTCCTCCTGCTCGACGAGTACACCCAGCTTCGCGACCGCCTCGCCAAGCTCCAATCCAACGTCTTCTACCAGCTCGCCCGCGCCAACTTTGAGACACAGCGAGGGTTTCGCTATGGCAGCGACCAATACGACGCGCGCATGAAGGCTTCGCGACAGCTGCAAATATTCGAGGACGCTGAGGACGGCATGACATGGCAGATCAGGGATGCAGTCCATGAAGCTGAACCCGAGACGAAGGAGGAGGAGCACGAAGAAGAGGGAGAGGAAGCGGCCAGCCACGACGACAAGCTGGCGGAAGAGCTTGAGGAGAAACTGGGACTTTCTGATAACAGCGAGGCAGAGAGTGAAGAACCAGCGCCGCAGGCAGAACAACAACGCAAAATTGGCGATCCGCTCCGCTGGTACGGGCTCTTCCCCCCAGCGAGTCTACGAACTGCACAGTCTGCGTCGATAGAGGCGGTGCAAGAGGTTATACCGCGTCTCGTGACAGTCGACGTCAAGATGCAGCAACTGGAGATTGAGATCCGGCGAGCACGGAAGAAGAGGGCCAAGGCAGAAGAGAAGAAGAGCAAAGTTGAGGCCACAGAGAGTGCGGCGGTAGGAGCGTCAGTATGATGGTATCCTTGCAGTGTCCTTGTTTCATTTGGCTAGGACTTGACTATCTCACAGCCTCCAAGGTGGAAAGCACATCGTCAATCGGCTCTCGCAGCGCATCATCCTCCCCAATGGTCTTCTGCACCAAGCCCGCAATGCCCAACAGCGAGCTCAAGCTACTATAATACCTTTTCACCATACCCATGTTCGCATTGGAGAAAAGCGTCGTGCAAAGCTGGAGCACGGCGACCTGGAACTCTCGAAAGAACGGGTTGGAGGCAGCCTGTTCCTCCCGCGAGCTCATCGCGTGCACGTTGTTGACCAGCGCCATCCATTCCTCCTCTGTCCCCGTTCGTTGCGATTCTGCAACCGCCAGCAGAACCCGGACAATGTCGATCCCTCTTCGTGCCTCGTACGCTGAGCCAGCGCGCAAGGGTTCACCAACGATGCGAACAAGATCCGAGGACAAAAGTTTCCATCCCTCGTGGCTGAGGAAGATGTCGCGCCCCTTGTCAAAGGTGACAAGTGCTTCGAGCGCCACCAAGACAGGAGACCTAAAGTCAAGCTTGTCTTCCGACTGCTTGTCACTGCCACGGTACAACTCCATAAACATGTCCATCAGACCCGTTGCCTCCTTGCGAAGGGTATCATTTTCATCTTCGCGCAGCCATATGCTCAGCGCCCGCAACGACGAAAGGGTTAACGGGTCTTCGTCCACATTGTTCGTTTTCGAGTCCCACGTCAGCGTGGGTCTCGACCCCGTGCTCGTCTCGGCAGCGCCTGTCCTTGCATCGACATGGAGACCCATTGCTCCCGCCACGGACGCGTCCCACCGGTCGCGCAGATACTCGGCGGTCACGGACATGGTCTCCGAGATGCCCTTGCGTAATTTGAGCAAGCTGTCTGGGGACATGACCATGGGCCCATCTTCGTCCAGAGACCTCAGCAAGAACCCTATGAATATGGAGACGACGTCAAAGTCGAGGGCCAGCCTGCGAGACGTCTTTGGATACTCTGGGCTGTTGAGGTGTTCGAGGAGCATGGGTATCGATGACCGAATATCTATGAGGATAAGATTTACGAACAGATAGCCAGATGGCTTCTCGTCTTTCCTGTCCTCGGCGAATAAGAGTTTAGAAGCCTCGTCGGGATATGCCTGCAGTATGGACGCCGAGGCATTGGTGTAAGCCGCCCGTGCTTCAGGGGTTGGGCGACTCTTGACGAGATTTTGTATATACGTGACAACAGTCGGTAGCCAGGGCGCAGTAGCGGGTATCAGCTGGCACTCGTTAGCATCGGTTCGGCAGCGCTGGGTTTTGATCAGGAGTACCTTGCTATCTGCTTGTCGGAGGAAGTCACCCAGGAACTCAAGTAGCGTAACGGCATCCGTGCCCGAAAATGAAGGTATCAGGATCTTCAAGGTCTCAGCTACCTTACTAGATGTCAACGTAGCATTCTCGCCAGCCATGGTGTTGAGCCATGAGAGTCGTAGGACATTCAGCGCCAGAGGATTCGAGGGAGCAATCTCAGTCAAGGGGCTGAGATCCTCGACATTTCTGACGCGCGCAGCGCTCTCCGGATTGCTTGCTAGGGTGCTCAGAAGCTGTAGGGCGAGGGTAGTGGTCTCTTGCGAGCTTCACAAGTCAGTCAGTGTGGGCTGCGTCTGCTAGCTTGTGCGTGTACTGACCTCTGCAGAAGTGCAGCTATCACTCGCGGTATCCTTGCCACAAATCTCACACTCCTTCTCGATTCGTCGGGCAAGAGCACACTGAATGTATGCAAGATCGATATCGAAAGATCCAGCATGTCCTTTGCCTCCTGGTTTGCCGGGTCACTGCCCGTCTTGAGCAGTCTGTCCAGAAATTTGGGCTCGATACACTCCCACAGACTTTGGACGACATGTTGGTCTTCCCTGAGCTCTGGATGGTTGTCAAGAATGGATCTAGCGAGCGCGAGTCCAACAAAGCGCTGGGTGTCATCTCTGGATCTGAGAAATTGTCTTATACGATCCAGGCTCGCTGCTGGGTCTTTCGGTTTTGCGGTTTCATCCTGGGCTGATGATGGCTCCATTGGTGCTGGATTTCGCTATCAGTAGCGATCTCTATGAAATCCTCGTGAAGCCACAAGAGCAGAAATAACAATGCTCGGCCAAACCATCCGTTTCTTGCAAAAGCCGTGTGGTAGATGATGTAAAGCGAGTCAAGCTGGTACCCAAGGTGCAGCAGCTTGAGCTTATCGCACCACGAACGATAAGAGATAAGCCTTATCGTATCTGGTATCCGTGTACCTTGGACAAGCACCTTGATGTCAGTGACGGGCCTTGCCTTGGTCCAGGGCTAGACTAGGAGACGACAGATCATTCGCAACAGACTGCACGCACACGCTCGGTTCGCCCTGCGACGGCATACAGACGAAGGCAATGGTCGGATAAGAATCCATCTGCACCATGCCCCTCGCACCTCGCAACGAACCCTTCCTCGCCGGATCCTCCTCGTCGCATTCACCTGGCGCGAACACCCCAAGCGCATCCCCCGACGATCGAGATGAGATTGACTTTCTGAGCGACGACCAGCATGCCGTAGGCGATCTCGGTGTCGGACGGAGTGATCGCAATGTGCTCGACGACGACCCTGTACATGCAGATCTGGATGCGCCCCTGTCATTCAAGCGCCGACAGAAGCCATCCATCTTCTCGGGACCAGCGCGATTGTTCGCTGCTTTCCGGGGCCAGTCGCAGACTCCGACCCAGCGATCGCCCTCTCCTGTCGGCGGCGGAGACTACAATATCCCCGACATTCCTTTCTTGACTACGTCCAAAGATGTCAGCGCGCATGACTGGTACATTGAAGGACAAGGGCGCCGAGTCGGGTACGAGGATTTAACAGCCATCGACTGGATCTTCGAGTACAACAAAGAGCGCCGGCGGCTGCGCTCGCTAGCTGCAGGAGCGGGAAGTCTACTGGGGCACTTTCACCATCTCATCGACGCGAGCAAGGTCTGGATCATCGTCCTGTGCACAGGCATTTGCGTCGGCGCCATTGCTGCGGCCATTAACATTGCGTCGGACTGGCTGGGCGATCTCAAGGAGGGGTACTGCTCAAGTGGAGACGAAGGAGGGCATTTCTATCTCAGCAAGAGCTTCTGCTGCTATGGCTATGACCAGGGATCCAAATGCGACGGATGGAGACCCTGGGGCGAGGCACTTGGCCTGGGCTCAGGAGGCGGGTCGTTCGCCATGGGCTATGTCTTCTTCATACTCTTTTCGGTGACTTTTGCGTACGTGGCGGCCCTGCTGGTTCAGGAGTATGCCTTGTACGCCAAACACAGCGGTATCCCAGAAATCAAGACGGTCTTGGGAGGGTTCGTCATTCGACGATTCCTGGGTGGCTGGACGTTGTTGACCAAATCACTGGGTCTGGTGAGAGACACATGATCGCACTTTGCACGGAGAAGACCGCTGACCGTGACAGATTCTCGCCGTCGCCTCTGGCATGTGGCTTGGAAAGGAGGGCCCCTTGGTGCACGTTGCGTGCTGCGTCGCCAACCTCTTCATCAAGCCCTTTAGCAGCATCAACCACAATGAGGCCCGGAAACGAGAGGTCCTCTCTGCAGCGGCATCTTCCGGCATCTCTGTGGCTTTTGGGTCCCCCATTGGAGGCGTGCTCTTCAGTCTGGAACAGATATCATACTACTTTCCCGACAAGACCATGTGGCAGAGTTTTGTGTGCGCCATGGCTGCCGCTGTGGCCCTCCAGGCATTCGACCCCTTCCGCTCTGGCAAACTAGTCTTGTTCCAGACCAAATTCAGCAGCGACTGGGATGGCTTTGAGATGATTCCTTATGTCTTCCTTGGCGTCGTGGGAGTATGTGTCCCCTGGTCCCTATTTTTGCAACAACTCACTAACGACATTCAGGGCATCTATGGAGGCTTGTTCATCAAGTTCAACATGGCCATTGCGCGGTGGAAGAAGGGCAGCGCCTGGCTACCTGGTCCGATCTTTCAAGTCGTCGCCGTGGCCCTCCTGACGGCCGTCATCAATTATCCCAACTTCTACATGAAGCTGCAGGCTACCGAGCTTGTCTCAAACCTGTTTGCAGATTGCTCGCAGGTCCTTGATGACGAGCTCGGTCTATGCAAGACCGGCGCTGACTCTGTGTCCACGATTGTGTTGCTCATGTTCGCGGCGGTCGTGGGCTTCTTCCTCGCCGCCATTACATTTGGTCTGCACATCCCTGCTGGTATCATCCTACCGTCCATGGCCATTGGCGCCCTCACCGGACGCGCCGTTGGCATCTTTATGGAGATGTGGTTCACCGCGCAGCCTGGCTTCTTCCTCTTCTCCACCTGCGACCCTGACGTGCCCTGCGTCGTTCCCGGCACATATGCCATCATCGGCGCTGCTGCCTTCCTCGCCGGCGTCACCCGCATGACTGTCTCCATCGTGGTCATCATGTTCGAGCTTACCGGCGCCTTGACATACGTCCTCCCCATCATGATCGCGGTCATGGTCTCCAAATGGGTGGGCGACGCATTCTCACGCCGCGGCATCTACGAGTCTTGGATCCACTTCAACGAGTATCCCTTCCTCGACAACAGCGAGGAGATTCTCGTGCCCGACATCCCGGCGGCGCAGATCATGACCAGGATCGAGGATCTCGTGGTTCTCACCGCTTCGGGCCATACCATCGCCTCCCTGACCACAATCCTCGAGACACACCCCTATCGTGGGTTCCCCGTCGTATCGGATCCAAGAGACGCCGTCCTCTTGGGATACATCTCCCGCGCAGAGCTTAGCTACAACCTCCTTGCCGCGACTCGCGCCCCTCGAAGCCTACCCGTCGAGACGGAAACATTCTTCTCCCATCAACCGCTGGCGGATCCGAGGACGACCCTCGATTTGAGACCTTGGATGGACCATACACCAATCACTCTGCCCTCGCGCACGGCACTCCACCTGGTTGTGTCGTACTTTCAAAAGCTGGGTCTGCGCTACGTTCTCTTCACGGACAGGGGTACTTTACAGGGCATCCTGACCAAAAAGGACGTTTCGTATGTCCTCAATGGCGCAGCGGAGACAAGACGGACGACGAATGCGCCAGATGGCACTAGTCATCGAGGGCTTGGGTCGGCAAGACAGAGTGGCGAAGAGGAAGAACGAGGCTTACTAGGGGTCCAAGATGAGGAGGACGATGAGAGAGATGAAGCGAGAGCGCAGTCTTCAATGTTATAGTATAGGATTTCATTCGAGCCTTATACTCATATATCACCTCGGAGAGTTAAACATGTTGTATTCCTGTGTATCATGCTATCTCTGGTAATAATCCCCTGACGCCAAACATGCCCATGCAAATACCACATGCTGCTAGTTTAATACTCGAAATCATCATCCACAGACGGCCCCTTGTTCTTCGTCACGCTCTCCTGCTTCCTATACATTTCCGCAACCTGCCTCGAGGACGTGGCCTCGTCGGGCTTCTTGTCGTCTCGTATCTTGATGAAGCGAGGGAATCGCAGACTGATGCCTTTCGACCCACTGGGATCGACGCCCTCCTTCCACCCAGCTTTGTATCGAGGACTGAGCGTCAAGTCGGCCGTCTTGACTTCCCAGACATAGCGCGGCTCGAACCAAACGTCAGGTTGGTGCTGGCCTCCGCTCGAGTGAGAGTAGAACGGTTTAGGTCGGTCGATGGTGATTTCTGATAGTTGCTTATGCAAGTCTTCGAGCACCTGCTCAGAAAACCCTGTGCCGATATTGCACACCGTTTCATAGCTCTCGGTGTTTGGGTTCCAACAGGCCAGAAGGAAAGCACCGTAAACCGATGTGCGCTTGCCTTTGCCGTAGTAGGCCCCGAGCACGACAAGGTCGAGGGAATCTCCCACGCCAGCCAGGTAGTCTTTCTTGATCTGTGCGTGATCAGTAAAAGTTCAGTCAGCGTCACGAGCGGAGCCACTCACTTTTAGCCAGTTGCGGCTGCGTTTGCTGGGCTCATACCAACTCTCGGGTCCGTCCAACATCTTGACCATCAGTCCTTCGCAGGACGCTTTGACACTTTCGTCCAAGAACACTTGAATCTCTTCAAGTTCCTGTCCATCCATGGACTCCGCGAAGGCGAATTCGCCTTCAACAGGGTTGAAAGCATTCTTAAGCAGAGCTCGTCTTTCCGTCAAACTTTTCTTGACAGCGGGCTCGCCATTTAGATAGAGGAGATCGAAGGCGAAGACACAAACCTTGACCTTGACGTCCTCGGCTTTGACGTCCTTGCGCTTTCGTGTCATAAGTTGCTGGAATGGCAGCACCTTCTTCTCCTCAACATCCCACGCCACCGTCTCACAATCGAGCACGAAGCTCTGTGTATCGTCCTTGATCCATGTATGAAGCTTGGCTAGCACATCAGGGTACTTCTTCGACAGGTCTTCCGAGTTTCGCGAGAAGATGGCGGCAACGCCGCCGGCAGCCTCTTGATTTGCATCGGGCTTGGCTTGGCTAAGTTCTTCTGGTGCCTGTTTTGCAACATAATGGATCTGAGCGCGTTCACCGTCGTATTTAAACTCGCAAGTGAATTTTTGCCCTTCGAAGCGGTCCAAGACCTCGGTGATGGCCTTGGTCGGCTTAGCCAACATCGGCTTCAAAGGCACGCCGGGCTTAAGCTTGCAGGTATCGGGCAGGTTCATGATGCCGCCCTCAAGCATTGCGGGGACGATAACATTGTAGCTTGGGAGCTCGCTGGGGGATGTCAACACTATTGTCCAAATTGGAGCCACACAACCCATACCTGTAGACCTGCTTGAGCATTGCCTCGCCTTTCTCCATGTCTGAGGTGCTGGGTACCTTTCCCTCCTTTTCAGCCTCGTGGCAGACAACGGCTTGGGCCAAAGAAACGAGAACCGTCCTCTCTGCCAAACCGAGACGGAGCTTGCCCTCCAGAAAACGGACGATAAACTTGGCCTCGCTGGGACCACCCTTGTCCTTATGGATGTCGATCTTGACACCAGAAGAGTCGGCTGCCGAAAGTAGCTTCTTGATGCCAGCCACCTTCCGACCCTGCGCACCGTTACCCGACACTGTAGCGATAGCCATCAACCCTTGATGAACACCCTTGACTGTTAACGGTGGGGGTTTGAGTATAGTCGCCTGCCTCGACCTGGTCTTCAACGCCACAAGACCAAGATCACCAACTGCTTGCTGCTCAGCCTTGATGCCAGCCAGGGTTTGCCCGCCAGCCTCGCTAATAGCCTTCATAATAAGAGATTCGCCAATACCCAACTCGATGCCTGCGTAGTCGGGAGCGAGCTTGTTGATCATGAGGAGGACCGTGGGCAACAGGTCGCCCGGGGTGAGGCGCATGACTTGTCGCAGGAACTTGGCGCAATGCTCTGTCATGATCAAACGCTTCGTCGTCATTTCGATCAGCGAGAACGTCTGACAAAGCGCCGCATACGGCACAGGGGTGCCTGCTTTCCAGTCTGGATATGGGTCGTTGTGGTCCTTTGCTTTGAGCTGTGTCTGAAGCTTCTCGCGTGCCTTCTTTGCAATCGCTGGCTTTTCCTCTTCCAGCTCAGCATCTGATGCCGATGAGGAGGCTGAAGCATCCTCCTCTTCCATTGCAACATCCTCAGCTTCTTCGATCTGCTCCGTCTTCACTGCCGCGCTTTTGGCTTGCCCCTTTTGAGCTGCTTTTGTTGCCGTGGCCTTCTTGGCGGGAGGCGATGCGGATGGGGGTTCTTCAACTGACTCATCCTCGTCTTCCTCTATTTTGACTCGCTTCCGTCTCGATCGCTTGGTTACGGGAGCATCGTCTCCGTCATTTTCGGCAGGTTCAGGTTTCGTTTCGGCGTGACCATTGCTTTGGCTTGTGGACCGAGCTCGCTTCTTGGATTCTAGTCGCCATTAGCTCCCGAAGCACGACACCCAGAGAGGTTTCAAGCTCACGTTCGGAAGCATCTGAGTTCTCTGGCGCCTCAGCGTCCTTCATATCAGTATCTGCCTCCTCCTCATCTTTGACCTCTGGCTTCTTCGCCTTGGTCGCGAACGAGAGCTTGGTCTGTTGAGGTGGCGGGCCTCCTTTCCCACCAAAGAATTTACTGTAGGACCAAGTCAGTATTAAAAAGCTTGATGAGAATGGTCGAGTGCTAAACGCACCCGATTGTGGTCTGCGCGGGCTTCACATACCCCAATGTAGCCTGCTTCGACGGCATGACGACAAGCGATGATCCCCTCACAGATGATGTGAGATTTCTGTGTTTGATATGGTCAATTATTCGCCAACTATGGAATGAAGAAGATCCTCTGACGGGCAGCCGAGGCGGAGGACAGGCTGATATGGTCGTTGTCGTGGGTAGGCAGCTGCTCAGTCTGACTGCTCTCATGACGCGCTTTTCCAGGCAGAAGCGCGTTAATTGGGGTCAAGTCGCGATTCACACCTGCAGGAAGCTGAGAACGGAGGGAAGGCGCGACGCGCCCCACGTGAGCAGAAGGTCCACTTTAAAGATTGCCAGCCGTGCATTGAAGCCGAAGCAGCAGCTGAAGTTGGGCCTCTTTCGATTCAAATTATTGAGCCAGATTGATATCAATTGCGTATTTATGCTGAGTCGATGTGATACAACCAAGAGTAACAGCTCAGCTTTGAACGCACATTTAGCCTTCCCGTTGCTGCTGCGCCGTCACAGCCGAGGAGACTCGGGACAAGTATGTCGTGAACCACAGGACACAAGCAACTGGTTCTATACTTTGACGTTTCCCTTATTGATTTACCCAACACTATGCATGCCGCAAGTTGTTCCTGCCCTCTAGCTAAACGAGTATAATACAAACAGAACGCGGCCTCAAGACGATAGATAACACCGGGATTCATTATGTGTGAGCCACCGCTTCCCTACGGCCTTTCTCTCTTCCACGCTACCAGCAAGCCAATTTACTGGTTGAAGTAGTAATCCTCATCCGCGTGGCGGCCACGGATGAACTTGGGCTCAGAGCCGCGGACGTAGATGTCCTCGTACAGAATTGAGGGCTTGGGCTCGGGGACAGCCATGGCCTCGGCAATGGCGACCTCCTCCTGGACGTGGCTGCGCGCCTCCTTGTCAATCTTCTTGAGCTCGTCCTCGCTGGCGACCTCCCAGTCGAGGATCCTCTGCTTGAGCCCGGCAATTGGGTCGTTGGTCGAGCGCATGCGCTGAATCTCCTCACGCGTGCGGTAGGTGGTTCCGGGATCGGACATGGAGTGGCCACCGTAGCGGTAGGTGACGTACTCGAGGACCATGGGGCCCTTGTCGGCGCCAGTCCACTCCTTTCCGTACTTGACGGCAGCCTTGACAGCCAGAATGTCCATGCCGTTCACCTTGAGACCGGGGATGTACTGTCCGCGCTTGTAGTAGTCGGTCAAGGCGGAGGAGCGGGCCGCAGAGGTACCCATACCGTACTTGTTGTCTGGCAACGGTTAGCAATCTTGGTCTCTCGTAGCACCAAATGGGAGCACTCACTCTCGCAGCCGAACAAGGCGGGGAGGTTCCAGAGCTTGGCCATGTTGAAAGCCTCAAAGACCTGACCCTGGTTGCTGGCACCATCACCGTAGAGGATGATGGAGGCCTTCTTGGTGTCGTTGTACTTGTGCGCAAAGGCGAGACCGGCACCGACGGGGACCTGAGCGCCGACAATACCGTTGCCACCGTAGAAGCCCTTGGAGAACATGTGCATGGAACCACCCTTTCCGTAGGCAATGCCCTCACGGCGACCGAGCAGCTCGCCGATGATGGAGCGGACGGTGCCACCACGCATCAGAGCGAAACCGTGGCATCGGTAGGCGGTGATGATGTCGTCCTCCTTGGTGATTGCGTGCTCGATACCGACGGCGACAGCCTCCTGGCCGGTGGACAAGTGGCAGAAACCGCGAATCTTCTTCTCCTTGTACAGGCGATCGGCCGCCATTTCCATCTGTCTGCGCGATTATCAGTGCGCCATCCCACAGCGTCGGAGCCCATCGGGAAACATACCGGACCGCAACCATGTCGTAGTACATCTGCTTCAGCTCGGCCTTGGTGACATCAATGGTGTAGGGAGGAGGGTCGAGCTCGTAGGTCTCGAAGCTCTCGTCGCTGAGGTTGACCGAGAAAGTCTCATTGTCATCCTACCGCACATCATTAGCCCTGGCTGCCCTCTCAAATCCTGCATACTCGTCGCTCAAAAGACACCACTCCTTTGGGCGTGATCCAAGACTCGGGGAAAAGGCGCAATCGCTTACCTTGGGCACCTTGGCGCTCAGGGACGCAGAGGCAGCGTCGGTGGTAACAAAGCGAGGACGGGCCGCAAGGGCAATAGGAGCCCTGGTGCGCGAGGCAAGCGCCCTGGGCACTCTGGCAGCTCGGGAGAACATCGCGAGGTCGGATAAGGGGCCTCTGGACGATTAGGGAGAGGTTGAGGTTGACGAGAAGATAACTGGCGCTGGTTCCGAGAATTTGCGATGTTGGGGACTGAGCTTCGGGTTTGGTTGGGACCAGCACTAAAACGGACTAGCGCATCTACACGTGACCCCTTTTCCATCAAAACGAGCGTTTAATAATTCACCGACATCGTTCACTGCATTGACCATGGGTCCAGATTCACTTTGACGCGATCATTTGTTGTATCAAATTCAAAGTATGTTAGTCTTGCTACTATTAATTGCGCGTACATGGCCGACTGGCCACTCACGCATGCAGTGATCACTCCCAAAAAGCAATTGAGGCTCCTGACCGTACTTAGCCAGGTGCCTCCTAACGTTAGGACATTTGCGCTAGCTCCGTATGATTACTCCGTCCTGTTTGTTGTAAATGATGATAGTCACCCAATCGACACGCCATGCTTCGTAGTTTCGTAAACAGCCTTGCCATGCGGTCCAGATTCGTCGCCTCCATAACGCCATACAATGCAACCCAAAGATCCGTTGTCGGACCAATCCCGAAGACGAGGTACGCCGAGTACTGCTGAAGAAAACTGTGGTCGGCAATAAGATGCACGCGCAGTTGTTACCTCAGTCTTCGTGGAAGAACGTCTTGTTGCCAGTGGAAGGACCAGCTTCAGCTTCTGTCATCTCGACATCCTGGTCTTGATTTGCCGCCTGGGAGCTGGACCCTGAAGAGGAGGGCTCGGTGTAATCAACCACCATTGCGCTCAGAGGTCGACTTGGATCATCCTCGAGCACGCGCTGTTGAATAGTCGGCGGCCGGTCAAAGATCACGTCGTCAGGCGGAGTGAAAGTCCAGACCTCGCTCAGTTAGCACATGGCACGATCATTTCCCAAACGGACCGTCACAACTTACCTCCATCACAGTTCGGCTTTGTCTAAGGGCCAGCGCGACGCATTTTTCAGCTTCAAAAGCAACGCGCCACACAGCTTCACCTTGGGCAATCAGCTCACGCACGAGAAGTCCAGTTTTCAGATCCCAAATCTTGACGCGTCCGTCGCTACCGCCGCTCACGATTCGGGTATCGTCAAACTGCAGACTGGTCACGCTGTTGTCGTGTGCAGCAAGCCTGTGAATGGGACACATCTTCTCTAGTGACCACACGCGGACAGAGCCGTCAGACCCGCCCGTGACCAAGGTGTCGCCACGCATCTGTAGCTGGCCGACGAGCGATGTATGACCCTGGAGAATGGCAAGACATTCGCTACGTCTTGTTAGTTGACTGCCACCCGCCGTGTCCCAGCGACAATGACTCACCCAGTGAAAGGATCCCAGATTCGGACATTCGTGTCCAGACTGCCGGTCACGACGCGCTTTCCGTCAAAAGCAATGGCATAAATCTGGCTGAAGTGACCTTGCAGTGTTTGCAGGCAACGACCTTCAGAAATGCTCCAAACTCTGGCGAAGGTATCGTAGCTACCTGATACGACAATGTCACCGTGGATCTCGAGGCATCTGACACTAGATTGGTGCCCCACGAGAACATTACGGCACAGGCCGGTGCGGATGTCCCAGATACGCAAGGTGGTGTCGCGTGAGCCCGAGATGGCGGTGTTCTCGTCCGCCATCTTAAGGCATCGAACGGTAGAGGTGTGTCCGCGCAGTGTGTGCAGGCAGTGTCTGTGTTCGTCAGTGTGTGTAGAAGAACAATTGTCCAACGGACATACCCTGTGCGAAGGTCCCAGACGCGCACGTCTCTATCACATCCTCCGCTAACCAGCGTGTCTCCCCAGGGGACCATGGCCCAGACCCCCATGACATGACCTTGTAGCGTGCGAAGCGCATTGCCCTCCGTATCGAATACATGGATCCTAGCATTATCCAGGGCCAAGATTATGTACTTGGAGGTGAGATGGAGACTGGTGACAACGCCTCCTTCCTGCGTTATATTCCGGGCGACGCATGAGCCACCAGATCTCCATGCCGCATCCACAAGGTATCGCTGCTTGAAATGCGATTTGTAAGACCTCATTTTCGGGCGTATTGACCGACTGCCTCCATCGAGCGATCTCGAACCCCCCACATGCGCTGTCACAGGCAGTGCACCGGGGAAACTCGCAGAGTCGACGTTGGTCAGTGGTTGTATTGCCGGCCGACTGTAACCTCCAGGGCTGCCGCTCTCCACCTCGGACATTCTACGTCGGTAGTCGTGCTTCAAGCAGAGATTCTTCCAGGTCATGTCGTCGCTTAGTAGGTCGCGCCACCGCGGGGACACTTGCGATGCCCGCGCAAGAACTTTCGGGTCGTCTATGAACGAGAGAATCTGGGACATGTTAGCTCCATGTGGACAGGTGCCACGAGTGCCGTGTGTGTACTGACCCGTAGACACAGCTCGTCTGGCAAACTGGTGAAAGGGTCTTTTTTCAGCAAAGGGCTGACATGTTGGTGGACGAAGCTCAGTTGCGGACTGGTGCAGAGATTCAGGAGATCGGCGAGGATGCGGGTTCGCTGCGGACCAGAGCAGTTCTTAAAGTGCTGCCTAACCTTGGCGAGGAAGAAGTCCTCGTCATCAGCCGCGCCACTCCAATCTGGCTGACAATGTGAAGGACCGGGAGACGCCGCGGGTGTGGGTGGTGGAGGCGGCGATCCCACGAGCTGTTGGTCGAAATCGGCAGCAGGCGTCGACATACTGGGCGTTGGCGGCCCTCGCACATGTCGAGACTGGGCCATCTTGGCTAAGCGAGGGTCTGACATGGAGGCCGATGTGTCAAGGATGAACTCCTCGCTCAAGGTGCTGCCTCTTCGCTCGGCAAAGCTCAGGGTTCGGCCTGGATCTGACATGGAGGCGGTCTGGATCGATCTTTGCGCGCCGAGGACTGCAACTTGGGGAGCAAATATGAACGCGTCCGGCAGTGGTGAGGCTCGTCTACCGTGCGCTCCGTCGTCGAGGTAGGCGGTGCAGTCGGGTAGGTGTCGAGAATTTAGAAAGGAGAGGGCCGGGTGTCAGCTGTGTTTGGTACGTTTGGGGTGTTTAACGGTAGCAGGCTGCCCAGCGGGTATAGCGTTTCAACCGGTCAGCAGTGTGGCCCTGGGCAAGGGGCGCGACTGGCGGCTGGTATTCTGCAAACGCGACCTGCGGCTCTGCAGCATCGAAGGGACCTTGTATTGAAGCGAGGATTGTGTAAAGGGTCGATATCGAGGGTGAAATCCGATGTCGAACGTGGAGATGCAGGATGTCGAGGCAGAGGGAGGAGGGGCGCTAGGGGACGGAAACGGCAATGGTGACACGGATCCAATGGTCGTCAAGCACTGGCGGCAGTAGCCAACAAATTACCTGGGGTCTGGTCACCAGAGGAGGGAAGGAAGCAAAGGCGGGTCATGCGGTGGAAGGGACTGAACTGCCCCGGACATAACATGGCCATACCGTGGTCCTTGTTGTCAATGATCATTTACTTGTGGTGTCTATCAGACTTCTGTCGGCAACGCAATTGTAATCAAGTCAACCTTGGCATTGAAACTCAATTCGAAGCCCTCGTCGCCCGGAACGCCAACCGTTGGGCGCATCCAGTCGTCAGTGGACAGGCAATGGACAGTGGACACCGCGGCTGCTGCTTCCTGCGGGCCGTACTTGTACGCTGTCCAAACTGAATTAGCGGCTGCGCAAGAAGCCAGTCCATACGAACCCTTTCATCTGACCACGAATCGTCTTGCGATACGCGAAACGCGTAGGAGTACTACTTGTAGGGCTTCATCAGGATTGAATGGCGTAAATTATCAGCTATTAGCGTGCACTTTTTACCGCCGTGATATTTGATTTGTAAAGTCGCTTGTCTACCCGCACGTAGCCCCGGTTACTTTAGTCTACCTACCCTATGCGCATGTTTTCATGTGAGCTGCTGGAGTCTGAACGCATGAAAGACCGTCCTATGGTAAACAATGTGAGGGGATGGGGAATCTCCGCTCTGTGTCTTTCTGACACAATGACCACTAGTCCAGTCACAGCAACAGAAGAAGGTTCAGGAGCACTGAGGTTTGTAGACTAGAAAGACAGCTGAATCGAGGAAGCGCGCTGCTTGGTCGTACCAGTTTCAGATATGCAATTTACCAAAGAAGAAATCACCCAAGCAATACTCTATACAGAATCTCGCCAATATTCTATGCCGCGAGATATCAAAACCATGAAAAGGCACCAGTAATCAAAGGGACCTCTCCTGGATCAATGATGATGACGACCAAACTGTGTGAGTAGGGGCAGGAGCATACCGACCACGGTCACAAGAGTGTCCCTCATCTGCGGACCCTGTGGTTTCTCGTGCGCCTGGCCTCCGATCCCTGTGTAGCCATTCGACCCGTGGCTTTCATGTCCGCCGTGTTCACTCTCCTGCATCGCATGCATGGCCACATACCTAGGAGTACAGCATTAGCATAGCGAACTCGCATCCTTGGGAACAAGTAAACCTACAAGAATGTGCCGCCGGAGAACAGTAGCAGCATGCCAGTCCACCAGTTCGAGTCCTCGCCGCCGCCACCACCGCCCAACATGGTGACCAGCGTCCACGTGGCAACGGCACCGACGGGGGCAGCCAAACTGAACACGATGAGGTGCGCCCTAGCCGCTCGCTTGGAAAGCCCCTGCTGCAGAAGCACGCTCGTCAAGCCAAACGCTGCCGGTGCCTTGTGGATCATGATGGCAAAGAAGATGACGAGACTGAGCTTGGTGTCCTCCGTGGTGGAGCTGGCGCCCATGGCGATGCCATCAGCTGCCGCGTGGATGACAAGTCCCAGTGTCGTTGCCATGCTGCGCGCGGGAGGCGAGCCGCCAGACGTTGCCTCGACGTCGTTGCTCGATGTAGTCGGCGAGCCAGGCGCGTTGCCGTTGAGGTTGTCCAATGAGATGTGCAGAGTCGCTGGGACGCTGTTTCGTGAAGAGGAGGCGTGCCGCGGCAGGCGATCTATGAGGAACATGAGGACGAACCCGAGGATAAGCGATATGCCAACTTCAAAGGAAGGGAACTCGGCATGGTCATGTTCGTCGCCGTCATCGTCGTCGTGTTCGTGCTCGTGCTCGCGCTCATGGTCGTGGTCGTCGTCTCTTCGCAACACCATGGCTTCTGCCTCGCTGGCCATGTCAACAGCCGGCTCCGCAAAGCGCACTTTGGGCAGCGATGCGCCCAAGTCCACACCCAGATCCCATGGGCTCCTCCTGGCGACAGACCGAATCCTGTGGGTGTGCCCTCCTTCGCTTGGGGATGCGACAGCGCCAATCCCTTCTGGGATGATGACGATCATGGAGGTGCCGACCAAAACACCCACGCCCAGCGCCGACAAGAGCCGGAGCTGCGACGAGGTCAGCGTAAAGGTCAATGGGACAGCGCCGGCCAGGAAAGATCTATTTCGTCAGTTTGCGCCTCGGTGAGGATCGTTACGAGGGACATACGCCGCGGCCATGACCACCTGTTCCAACTGTCAGCAAACGCCATCGTTCTGTCCCAATGGTGATCAACTTACGCTCAACGCGAGCAATACTATGAGGCCACCCATCTTCTTAGAGCTTTGCTCCCGACAGCTGGAACAGAAGAATGTTTAGGAAATTAAGGGGAACGGCCAGCGCATCGCACACAATTGAATGGCGAGCTATCAAGGTGCGCGAGGCAAGCTGTCCACGAAAATTGAAGGGATGCGAACCGCGTAGACTGAAACGTACAACAGGCCAGCAATTGGCTGCGGAGCTCAGAGGACCCCTGGAATCGGCCCCACCGTCGTCAGCGAAAATTGAAACAGCGACAGTAGGAGGCCAGAAGGTCGTCGGCAAAAGAAGGTGGAAGTGAAAGAGGATATCTGTGAATTTTGTAACAATTATCCATTGTAATAAAAGGCACCTGAACGCGTCAAATACGAACCGTGACCTCATGGTACCTTACGTAGGTAGTAGTGTAGCGGATAGATTGGTGGGGCTGACACCCGCTGAAGGCATGACGCACTTCTGCAGTCCATTTCCGCGAACCACCAGCGGAACCATCCTTCTTCAACAAGAGTCAACAGCACGCACGTCCGGCTGCCATAACATGGCACCACAATGACCGAAGCAACGAGGTCGCCTAGGCGAAGACACATCCTCTCGTCTATCAACCCCGAAAGCGACGACCCTAAACCTCATCGCAAGCGACCGAGGCGGCACTCGCGCTCGCCAACCCCAACACGCACAGATCGAGACCGCGACAGGCGGAAACAGGATGGCGACGATGGCGACGCAAACGAGCCAGAGGACACAACCCAGCCTCGGCGATCGAGACTCAAGTTGAAGGACCACAAGTCTTCTCGTCGGCGCAAACGCTCACGCTCGCCACGAGACGAGTCGCCCAGTGGCTCACATCGCAGCCGTCATCACCGCTCTCGTCGTCATCGCCCGCGACATCATCGGACGCCCAGTCCCAATCCCTACGAGCCCCCTCCGCTGTCACCAAATGCCGCCTTTCGTGAATCACTGTTCGATGCGCTGGCCGACGAGGAAGGGGCGGACTATTGGGAGGCTGTCTACGGCCAGCCCGTTCACGTCTACCCACTCGAGGAGAAGGAGAACCCGCAAGGCGAGCTGGAGCGCATGTCGGAGGAGGAGTATGCGACCTACGTGCGTCAGCGCATGTGGGAGAAGACGCACGCCGGGCTGCTAGAGGAGCGCGAGAAGCGCAAAGAGGCGCAGAAGAGGAAGGAAGAAGATAAAGCCAGGCACAAAAAGTGGGAGAAGGACGTTGAAGAGAGTCTCAAACGAGGCGAAGAGAGGCGTGAGAGGAGACGTTGGCAAGACAAGTGGGAAGCCTACGAGGAGGCATGGAACAAGTGGGACGGCAAGCCGTCGACGCTCGCCTGGCCGACCGAGTCCGGGAACGGGACCGATGTGGAAGAGAAAGCCGTCCGGACCTTCTTCATCCACGGCCTCAAGCTGAAAGAAGTGGGCGAAACAGCCTTTGCCGCGCGCTTGAGGGAGGAGCGCGTCCGTTGGCATCCGGACAAGATTCAGCAGCGGACGGGTGGCCAGGCCGATGAGGCGACAATGCGCAATGTCACAGCCACATTTCAGATTATAGATCGGTTATGGGGGGAGACGAGAGCAAAGCAGTGAGGCAGTGAGTATTCAAACACGCCTTGCCAACACGAGTATTCCAAAGCATAGGCATAGCAGTACGGCGTTTTTTTATGGGCTCACAGTAGAGGTAGTTGATTGGTACTTTGAGAGTGTATATTAACTCGATAGCAGAAAAAGGCCGTTATGAACTGCGCAGCAGTTTGCTATTGGGGGGTATTAAATGGCTACCTCAACTCCACTGATATCCTCATGTGCAATGCATAGCTTCTTATCCATACATGAATTTCCCATTGGTTGGTTCGTTGCTGTTGTTTACAAGTTCATGAAGACGGCGACACCACCGGCGAGACCAGCGAGGCCGAGGGCAGCGACCTGCATGACACCAGCGTCCTCGCCGTCACCACCGTCGTTGTTGTCGTCGTTGTTGTCCTCAGCGTCCTCGAGGGCGTCGCTGGCCCGGGAGGCGGCATCGTTGGCCGCCTCGCTAGCCTCACCGATGAGCGAGGTGACACGTGCGGCGGCGTCGCCAGAGGCAGTGGCGGCGATATCCGAGTAGGACTCGAGAAGGTCGTCGTACTTGGCGGAGACGGACGCGAGCCTGTCGCTCCAGTACGAGGCGGCGCCACCGGTGACCTCGGAGACGATGTTATCGAACTCGGTGTGGATGTTGTCTACGACATCGCTGAAGCCATTGCCAATGTCGGAGACGATGTCCTCGCCGATGGACTTGACGTCGTCGATGACATCCTGGCCCTGTAGGGAGAAGAGTCAGCGCCAGATCACAGTACTTTTGTGGGATGTACGAACCTTGGCAAGGGCAAGAAGGCCGGCAAACGCAACAGGAGTGAACTTCATCTTGGTGGTGGTTGTGTGTGTGCGTGGGGGGGAAGGTAGTGTTGGTTTGGCCGGGAGGGACTAAGACGAGTGTCGACGATGTGAGAGATGCTCGGGAAATTAGAATAAGAGTGACAGGAATTCCGGGGAAAAGAGCTTTATATCAACCTTGGAGGCTCTGACGGATCGTTTAATTGGAATGCGCAGATCGTGTCAGCCGTGGTGCAGCGCTGCCTGCACAGTGCAGCTCCATGTCCCTGCTGAGCCCTGTCGCGATGGCGTAGGCGTCTGGGGCAAGGCTGGCTACCCCTGTCCCACCAGCCACTGGCAAGGCGCAAAAAGGGGCTCATTGTTGCCCCAAGCGGCTTAGTCTGTCAACCCCCTGTCGGCGAGCCGCATGCTCTTTAGGGGGCGGCGTAGGAAGTGCCTACTGTGCCTCCAGTGTGCTTCATCACCACAGTGGTCCAATGGTAGGAATTAAACATGAAGTCTCGTCCCAGGCAACGTCGATCGCCCTGACGTATACGTGTTTCATCCTCATGGGGACCCTGGGGGGAATTTGCTATGCGCACGCGCAAACAAAAGACGGCAGAAAGGAGCGCGGACAAGCGAGTGCCGTGTGATGACAGCCGTTGAGGCACGGGGGATGTGACCGTGAGCATCGCACCTTGTAAGTTGCGTCACCAACAATCTGGACCTGCAGCGGGGCCTGTTCGATTTGGGTCTGTGACATTCACATTCATCCGCATTTCAAATCAATCATCCTACGGGGTAATTCGTTGAATCAGTCAGTAGCCCGTAGAGATTGCTCCGTACGTAGTACATGTTGCGTCATGTCACCCTGGGCGAGCACATTCTCAGGGATACGCGGTATTAACGAGAAGCCATCTCAAAGGGAAGCCTTCCCTCAACTCAGACTGCAGTTAGACAGTCTCGCCCATGTGCCCCATATCCATAATTACTGCATCATTGCCATCGAGCTGCGGCTGCCCTGCGCCTTCTTACTGTACCTTACCCAGACAGCTTGAGGGCGCGTCCGAAGTGGCGGGCCAGCTTGCGTGGCCTTCCGTCGTGGGGGCTTGAGGCATCGACACTCGGTATTCGTACCTTCAGTTTGGTCCTTTACGGAGCCACAGTCCGTAGTGGCTGGGCGTACGGATACGCCAGATCACTCACGTCATCGGGCCATTCATAGTGCACGGATCTCTCAATGGCACCAAGATCCAAGTGTGATGGTTTTAGCCGTCAACATCAATCGGCTGGGCGTACGCCATTTAATGGCCTGGGGCATGTCTCCAGTGTCAGAGGTTGGAACTGTCGTCGTGAGAGATCTCACGCGACCTACTTCATGGCAATGCGCGCTAGAGGTAAAACTTCCGCACCATACCTGCCGCGGATGGTAGAGTTCTTGGTTATGCTTAAGCTCTTAGTTGGTTGTCTCCACACCCACAGTGCAAGTTCCATTCCGTCACTTCACTGTCTTCACATTCACCCACGCAGCGACCGCGCGCGCGACCATTTAATAAATGTGCATCAGACATCCCGGTACGGCGAGATGCCCTTCATGAGCTCCCCCACAATCTCGTCTGCCTCGTCCGCGCCCTTGGTCTCAAAGTCGTACCGCTTACTCTCGTTCGCCCTATACACTACGAGCTGTTTTCGCGTCAGCAACATGGATCTCTCCCTCTCGCGACAGACACGGGGCTACAAAAAGGATGGCTGGCCTACCTTGACATTGGTCGGATGCTTTCGCGGCACCTTGCAACCAACGACATTGCTAAAGTGCACCGTCGTCGTCTTCCCCCCACCGTCCGTCAAGGCCTTGCCCCCGGACGAGGGCACAATATGAATGTACTCGCCGTCAATCACCAGGATCCGCTCGCTCATGCCCACGAGACGCATCGGCTGCTTGCGCCACACCGTGTACTTCTTGTAGTTGGCGTGGCCCAGCTCGTCCTGCTTGGCGATCTCGCGCGCCAGCGGGTGCGGGCCCAGCATCTGCTGCGCCTTCCTCACCTTGCGGCCCTGGTACGACATGCCATCGGCCCCTGGGACCTTGGGTGATGCGCTCCCCGGCGAGCCCGTCATGGTGAGCGGCCCGTCTGTGGCGAAGCGGCGTCGGTAGAGCTCCAGGTCCGAGACGTTGCCAATGGACGACACGGGGCGATCGATCATGACGACCGCCCCGGACCCTGGCAGCTTCAGCACGTGATTGCCCTTGTCGAGCTGTCGCTTGCGGCAGACGGCCTCGAGCACCTCGGCGAGGTATGTGTCTGTCGTCACATCGACGGTCACCATCTGCCCCGGTGCCGTGTCGGATGACATGATGTGGATGCGAAGCAGCTTCTGCTGGCCACGCGAGGCGTTGTTCATGACTGCGGGCACAGCTGGCGCGTCGGCAAGAGGCGTGCTCGTGTTCATGCGGAAGGTGGTTGTAATGGGGTTGTGTCGAGGTCGAGCGGGTGCCTGTACATTCGTCGTGTTCACAGCGCCAGTCGTGTCGTTGGGTATGGCATCCTCGGCATGTGGCGTGTCTGGCACCGACTGTGATGATGTTTGCTCTTCCTCCTCTTGTTGGGGCGTCAACGCCTGGTTCTCCTCAAACTCGTCTTCTGAGGCGACAACTAGCGCGAATTCATCGTATGCTGTCGAGTTGGACCGCATGCGACCACCGCCCCTGGCGTTCGCATTGTTCACGGTGGTGAAGGATGTCAGGGGTTTCGTCCGCTCAAACGGCGGGAAGTCGTCGTCCACCTCTCCACCCTCCTCGACCATGCGCAGCGTATACCAGTTGATGTTCAGCTTGTCTGGCGCCAGACTCGGCGCCCGCTTTTCTTCATTGTACCGGTATAGACTCAGTCCGATGAGATCCGCCACGGTGACCTGCCTCTCGGCACTCTGCCCATCGTGCACGCGCGGTCGGATGAGCACCTCAAACGCGGTCTCGGGATCCTCGGAAAAGGCAGGATAGATGCGCACTTTGATAGAGCTCTGGGTCCCCTGGCCACTAAAGTGCGCAAACTTCTGGAAGGGCACCGTGGACTTGTGCTCCTTGGCCTTGAGCGCTGCCGACAGTAGACTCCTTGGCGGGGCCACGCTTAGTGGCCGGATCATGCTCATCGGTCTCGGCGGCGGCAGCGCGGACAGGACAATAGGCCTGGTCGGCGGTTGTGATTTCCGTACCGTAGATTGCCGCATGAGGTGTTTCGGAGGTGTCCCGACTACCTGTCTCGTGGGAGACGCTGCAATCGGCATCTCTGTAGGGTCCAAGATGGAGGCCGAGTCTATGCTCCCAACGTAGTCAAGCTCTGAGCCCTCATCCGAGTCATCCTCTTCCTCCTCGGGCAGCAGTCGCGTGTCCGCCCGCTTGATGCCCGGCGAAGGCTCCTCCTCCTGAATTTTCTCCTGCAGTCTCACGGTCTTTAACGCAGCTCTCGAGTCTGCCCTGCGCCGCTGCACTGCGTCTAGCTCATTCTCTGACGACATTTCGCTACTGGTGACTGTGTCGCGCCGCATCCGCCCCTTGCCATTGGCAGCATCCACCGCTGACTGAGATCCTCGCCTGCGCGATCGTGGGGACGGGGCCGTAAGGGGCTGCTTCTGTGTCTGCGTGGGCGACGAGCCCGAGCGGTTCCGGACCGGCATCTTGGCGAACTTGATCTGCTGTGCCGCTCTATGGTCGGTGTCATCGTCGCTCTCGTCGCTAAGGTCGCTGCTGTCATCCTCCTCCATCTGCTCCCTTCGTCGCCTGCGCTTTGTGGCTGCGACACCCGGACCAACCGTGTCAGCGCCTCCGCCCGTCAGCATACCGGCGCCGTCGTCCTCGCCATCCTCAAGGGTCAGGCCTTGGTGTCGTGGGGCCTGAAAGTATTCGGACGCGACGGCGGTAGGGATCGGTGGGGAGTGTGTTCGTTTGTGGTAGCTCGAGTTGGGGCGCCAACCGGCGGCTTTGAAGGCGGCCGAGGTGACGAACCCTTCGTCAATGGTCAGGAGTCGCTCGCCGACGCCATCTGCGATTTCGTTGAGATAGCTAGTCCGCAGCTGGTATGCGACAAGTCTGCCAATGTCAGAAACGAAACCCTTCCGACATGTCCATTGTTGGGGAGGGGCGAGGCTCACTCGTCGAGCTGGATAACCGACATGACGGTATAGGTGGCCTATGTTGGCTGTAGCAGGACAATGGAAATCATCTCTGAGACTCGGCGGTCTCTTGTGATCACGCGACGTTATTAGACCATCGCTATAATGAAGCGTGTCCAATTCATCGGGATGTAGATGGTGATCGTGGGGTAATTGGTGAATGGCATTCCAGGTCGCAGCAGCTGCAGCCGCTGGCGTCCGTCTACGGTACCTACTTAAGGTAGCTGCGCTGCAGGCTGCCGGCCGATAAGCTGATAAGACATTTCTTCCCTTCTTGGTCCGACAACGCGGAACGTCATTTGTTGCACCTCACCATTTGCTTCACCATCATACCCATATAAATTGTCATCAAGATGGGCCTCGTCGACTATCCAGAGTCCGAGTCCGAGACAGAGGCGCCTCCCGTCAAGGCACCGCCAGCCCCCAAGACGACTTCCACCGGCAAGAAGCCATTCCAGAAAGTCGTCGATCGATCCAACCCAGGCAAAATCCTCGTCAACCTTCCCTCTGGGTCTACCGCTGGGCCGTCCTCCGACGAACCACCAGCCAAACGCGCTCGTACGGGCGATGCAGCAGGAGGAGGTCGCTTCTCCGGCTTCAACTCGTTTCTGCCACCGCCCAAGAATGCGAACAAGACACCGACTGTCGCATCCTCGAGTGGAGGAGTAAAGCCCAAGCCAGGCGTCAATCTGAAGACGAGTGCAGCCCCAGGTTTCAGCCGCGACTTTGACGACGCGAACGAGGTGGAGGGAGGAAGAGAATCTGCAGGCGACACGGTGCCTCAACGCGGTACCAATGGACCGACTATCCCAGCGGAACAGAAGCCAGCGGAGGAAGTCAAGTTGGTGGGCAAGCCAATGATGTTCAGACCACTCTCCGTCTCTCGCAATCCCAAGAAAAAGCCAAAGGCGTATCCGGCAGCACCTCCGAAGCCTGCAGCCTCTGCTCCCTTGGCTACGCCTGCTGCGTCGTCCAAACCACAAGATGTTCCGCAAGTCGAACCTCCTAAAAAGACGTCACTGTTCTCATTACATACCGAAGAAACTCCAGAACCGACCACAGCTGCTGCGAGCAATGGCGTATACCAGCCTCTCTTTGCGTCAGAAACGGAAGCCTACCGACCCACGGCAGAGGAGGTGGCCGAGTACGCCTCTTACGCTGGCTCTGGGCCTTCTGTCGATACTGGACCCCAAGAGGAGTCCCTCGACATCGTCGCCAACGATCTGAACCTCTCGGCCGCCGAAAGACGCGAGTTGTTTGGCCGGAGTGGGAATGCCGGGCAGACTGCAAAGAACGTCATCAACTTCAACATGGACAAGGAGTACCAGCACAATGAGTCGATGCGCGCTGCAGGCGATCAACAGATCCACAATCCTGTGCGCTCGATACAGGGTGGAGGCAAGCACAGTCTGCGACAACTGGTCTCCAACGTGCAGAACCAGCGCGAGGCTTTGGAGGACAGCTTTGCCAAGGGGAAGAACAATCGCAAGGAGGCTTCCGGACGATACGGCTGGTGATGCTCCGTCTCGGCTGGGGGCTAACGTCGTGACTCTTGTTCATCATGTGCAAAATGCAACGCTACTCATGGTATACCTATTGACATAACGCCGGTGTAAAGCAATTTTTCTTCCCGTTCGACAGACAGTGGCCCTCGTCCGCCTCCTCACCACGTCTCAATCGCAGCTTGCTTCGCTCCTTGAAATGCGTCGTCGACCATCAGGAACCCCCACTCTCCTCTCGTTGTCGGGGATATGTCATCATAGCCGTTGGGCGTCATCGGCCCCAGCCTCATGGAGCTGCGCTCTGGACTGAGAACACCAGCCGTCATGATCTCGTCAATGGACGATGTTGGCCAAAATTGCACCATGTGCGCTGGCTGGTCGGTCGCCTTGGCCGTGCGGGCACTGTCGTTGTCTTGGTCCCCTTGTCCGTCTTCCCCCGGTGACCTGAGCTTAGCCGGCAGCGGGTCAAAGTTGGTCTGCAGCTTGAGGACGGGTGTTTTGGGCGTGGCACGTCGACTGCCGCCGCTGCTCAGTGCGATCCCAATCATGGCCTCATCCAGGTCATCGTCTATCTCTGTGCCATCGTCGCTGTCATGGTCAAACTCGGATCTGATGATGGGTTCCGTGAAGGTCTCAGACTCGGGTTTCGGCATGCCCGAAATGGCTCCTACTGCGTCCAAGCCACCATAGGCTCTCTTGTACATCTCGTCGAGATCGCTCAGAGCCCAATCTGAGATGCGCAGCCAGTCGTATGATCTCAGGAGCTCGACCTTGGTGACCTTTCTGCCGTTATTAGCAATCACCAACCGACGCAGCTCGTCGACTGCGTCCTCAAGACGCATTGGCGAGCCTGATCTAGCGTACGCCGACAAGGCAGCCTTGAGGCTGTAGAGACCATCGAGCGCTACTAGCGTCAAACCCTCCGACTTGAACATGACGTCGTTCTGGATTATGGACTGGTGTATAAGCTGCGCGTTCAGCCCACACATGGAAGGGTTCATGGGAGTGGGCAAGCTGTCGCTGTTTGAGGTTTCAGTTTGCTGTCTCTAGACGGACCAGGGGCTGTCACTTACTTCAGCTCATGTCGATGGCCAGCCTTGTCAAAGGCAATGCGCAGCTCCTTCTCCTCGCGCAATGGTAACCCGGCTGGTTGAATGAACCACATATTGCCCGAGCTGCTCATCATGGGCGCAGTACCATCAGTTGTGATCGAAGATGCAGTGCATGGTGTCATGGGAGGCGGTGACATGGGTGTCTTCGGTGTCTTCGGTGTCAGAGGGGTCGTTGGCCACCTCGGTCGCCCGAAGCTAAGCCCCGAAAATGGTGTTGACGGCGACGCAAGGGGCGTGGATGTGGTGTCGATGTTGAGCCGCAGGGGCTTACTGAACGATCGGCTGCGGACAATGTGCTTCAATGCTGCGACGGGCGAGGAGAAACGCGGCGAGCTGGGTGGGGGTGAGACAGCAAGGCCAGGCGAGCCCAACGGCGGAATCGTGGGCGGTAGCTGGTAGTCTCTGCGAGCGACGACAAGAGTGATGTGCATGGCTTTCTTGGCGAGGCGGCCCGATGCTTGCTCGAGAGCTGGCGTGAGGTGAGGCGGCAGATGATGGGCATCCAGCAGCGAGGTGCCAGCCTCCAGTGGCGACGAGATGCGTTCCTTGAGAGACATGGCGACGAGTAAAGGAAGGCAGATGAACCTCGAGGGGACAAACACGATTCAGTGCGCGACTGGATGTCTGGAGATGGATGGATCAAGAGAGTTTTGCCTTGAGTCTGCGTTCCAGCCGAGGAAGCAAGCCGTCAGCGTGGGAACCCAAGACAAGTTATACCTACATCCACGCCGCTCTGCTCCTGATCTTCGAAACTGCCGTACCTGCATGATCAGAAACACGAAACACTAGGGCAGCCCCAAGTTCTTGAAACGCGTTTCTATAAACAGATACCACGCTGCCTGTCTGTCTGCCTATCTGCATTGCCGCGCCGGAGAGGGGGCCTGGCCGATGCAGCAGCTGTGCGACTTGTCTCTGCCCATGTCCATGCCAACAACTCACCCACTGCCGTTCTTATTACTATCACCATCACCATCCTCGACATCAAAAAGCAAGGTCCACTCGTCACAGGCGTCTGGGCGGTCCCTCATGCACGTTCCTGGACCAGTTACCGAATGCGCGGTGTCTGTTAGCCGCCCGGCGGCTACATCCGCTTCTATTTATGGCAGCGGGGAAAGGCTTGATTGGGTATGAATGAGGGGGGGAAGCCAACCTCCGCGATTATCAACAGTAGTATTTAGTTAGTTACCGTACTACCACAACGTGGGCGTTCGGACCTCTAAATGTATTTTTGGGTACTCTTGGTCTGCCTAATCGCCGTGGTGGAGCGCGTCCTCAATGAGGAGATATAATACCCGTGCTACAAGCTATAATCGTTCCGTGACACAGCTTGCTCGCTTGGCCTATCCATGACTTGTTGATTCTTGTGCTTCCAGCCGTCTGTCAGCCTGGCCTGGTTCGGTCTGGCCTGATCTGGCTCGGCTCGGCTCTTTGCTAGGCGACTCAGACGCCCTGTTGGGACTAGGAAGGTGAACCGACTAAAATAGTACCTTTGCCAACACTGCTTGCGCCTAAGTATCGCTCAATATCCCAGGATCAGCTATAAGATTGAGCGCACAAGCGGCTCACGGACCCTCGACGGTGCCAGCGATGGATGGCACTTGAAATAGAACAACAATCATTGACGAGAAACAACCTGTCTGTGGTCAAATGCCATGTCATTGCGCTTCGCTAGCTAGTTACGCATCAGAAGTCGGCCATGCTCATAATTCATCACTATGTGAGACCTTGCTAACGCCGAGCAATGCTGCGTCGCTTCTTCCTCAACATACCCAAGGGCGCGAACCGCCGCGCCGATATGTGGCTCCCGCATTCAACAGATGAGCCCGAGGCCAGCAGTGGCGTGGTGACTCTGCAATAATGACAACCGTGAACCCCCTCCTTTGCATGATCCGGAACGCCTTGCCGTCTAGTATCTCGTAATCTCATCAGGTGGCGGGCCCTGAGCTGAGCATCCACTCGCTCAGGGCGCATCGTCCGCTTCACCGTTGGCGTTTATAACGTCGAGTTGTTCAAGTGCCTGCACACTAAGCAGGGATTGCCCACTACGGCTCTGATCCCCTGCTTCTGAGGAGAGGCATGAGCCTGAATCTGCCGTCGGGTTAGTCGCGCGTCGCCAAACGCGATGCAGGCGGTGTTACTCACCAGTATGGTCTTCCTCAATCCCATCGTCCGCTACCAGGTGGGGAAGCTCAAGCGCCAAAGCTATAAACAATGTCAGCGGATATGCACGAATCAAACACCGTCACTACAGGCTCGCATACCTTGTGCTATATCATCCAATCTAGCAACCGCTTCAGCGCCCATCAGCTCCTCTGTTAACACATGCTGGCAGGCCTCTATCAGATGCAAGACGGACGCCACCGAAGACTGCGTCAGCTGCTGGGTACCCTCAGCCGCAATGCCGCTGACATGATCCATGCACGCCACAGCAAGCCCGTGCGCGATGACGGCAGCATTCTTGCGCAGCTGCTCGACTTCGTCGTCGTTCTGATCATCCGCCCAGTGTATCAACAGCTTCCGATGGACCAGCCTGAGTGTAGTCCTCTGCACGGCCTCCCTTCCGTGTATGAGAAAGCTCGGAACCCACAGGGGCATGAGCTTGATGCAGTGATTCACGACATCCTCATCGGCTTCCGGGTCTCCAAGAACTCGCACGAAGAATTGTAGGACCGAAGCCAGGTCGACTGTGTCGTAACGACTTGTCCTGGTTGCCAAGAAGGTCAGAAAGCGTTGTGCCTCGTCCTCATGTGCCGACAGGAGGACAAAGTCGGTTGCGGCAGCCAGAAATGCAGCCAAGTAGTCGCTGCTCTCTTTCGGGTCAAGATTCGCCTGCAACGTCTGGTGAACTGTCTTGGACATTGGCAGACTCGTGGAGGCAAGCCACCTCACGATGGAGGTCGTCGCCCTAGGATTTTGCTGTATGCCGATCAATCTCTCCACGAAAAAGCTGGTGCCGTCGTTGCGCGGGTGGTAATGCAAAAGACTGACTTCTGAAGAAGTCCAGCTGAAGGGCGGATCTTCCGCCAGACGCTCAGAGGCCGATTCAATGATGCTTTCAGGGCCTATTTCCGGCTCCATCGACCTCAGCAGGTACTCAATAGTCCCGATGATCTCGTCGTACGATACTGTTCGCCGTCTCTCAATGTTTCTAAGCATTCGAGCGTAGTTCTCAGGTAGGTCCGGATCGCTATCATCGGCCGCAATGATTCGCACCAGCCGGTACAGAAAGTCCTCGGAGAGAAGCTGGGCAACCTCCCTCTCACCAAACTCTGCCCATGCATGGATGAACCCGAAACACTCATTCCATGAACGGGGGTGGCTTTGGAAATATCTCCACATGCATTTGACCACGTCCATGACACCTCGGAGCACGGTCACCCCATCCTCGCGCTGGGCACGCGTGTCTTCCAAGCTGCGGCGGACGACAGGGATCTCGACAGCACTGTCCGCGTACTCGGAGCTGGACAGGTAGCGAGAGGGCGTGCTCAGAGCAATGTGCTCGACCACTCGAAGAAACTGAGCGCCTGTCTCGACGCGGACCCGGGCGCAATGGTTGCGCTGCACAATCGTACGGAAGGCATGAGGCCGCAGATGGAAGTATCGATAGTAGTAGTATGCGGCCTCTCTTGACGTCGATACGGCCTTGTCCAGTGCGCTTGAGAACATTTCAAAGTTGGGTGCGTCCTTCCTCCGGGTCACGACCTGATCCAGGTGAGTCAGCGCGACATCAAAAAGGAGCACTGGCGATATTCCTGAGGTTGTTGCCATGGCGGTATTGCCCTCCATGGTCATCTCGTTATCTGCGTGCATCATTCCGAGGCCAGTTGCTGCGTGCTCAAAGATCGATTTGACAAAGGTCGCGTGACTGTGCTCGAATAAGCAGTGGCGGCGGAGGAGTGCCGTGTTATCTTGGAGTATGTATTCTTTCAGGCCAGCCCCCATTGGCACGCGTAAGGGAAGTCGAAGAGCCTTCTCTAGAGCTTCCTGCTGCTGCCGGGCCAGAGATGACTTTCTTTGGTAGAAAAGCATATAGGCACTGTACAGCTTGCCGTTGCTGCCTGGCTCGGCTGCAGCACCAAACGTGGCTTCTTCAAGCTGAGCTGGGTCCCATGGAGTTGCCGACTCGTCGTTGAACTCAATCCACTTGGGAGGGTGAGTTCCCGACGGCCGCTCGCGCGCGTACGAGTAGTAGTGGCCTGACTCGGCCGTGCCTGTGTGGACCAGCACGCCGACGACTTCAAATTCATCCTCGTTCGAGCTACTCGGATCGCTCAAGTGCTCGACAGTGAAGGGGTTCAGGTCGATCACGAGAGGGAAAGAGAAGCGTCCGTAAATCTTGTTGCGCTGCAGTGTCTGCAAGTTGAAGTCGAACCGCTTCAGATGAAAGATGATGTTGTCTGGTAAGTCCTTGAAACATGACCTTTTGACAGCGTCCACGTGGCGATCGCACGTAGAGCACTTGTACTGGTTATCGCCTTCGAGCACCTCACCATCGATGTAGGCCTGTAAGCTCTCCTGAAGACAAGTCTTCCCTTGGACGTCAACCTGAATCGCCTGGAAAGGCTCAAACACCTCGGAAATGTGCTCGCATTCCTGTGATTTGATTTGTTGCACCAGCTGGCCCCCATAGAAGGATCGCAGCTTCTTCCTCTCGGTGGCGTCCACCATCTGGCCTTCCCATCGGTCGAAAATGAGGTTGTAGAATTCATCAACATCCATCTGTTGACCAACGTCGATGTGTGTATTGTCGTACGTCTTGATAGAGTAGACGAACGCTGACGGGTCGACATATCGATGGTAAGTCTCCTGCATGTGGCCAAATACCTTCTTCGTCTCGGGGAGAAGATGCTGACTGTCAGTGTTTGACTTTTGCTTTGCTTTTAGCATGAAAGCTCTGAACTCTGGATTCATGAAGAGTTGCGTGACCAACGAATTCAAGTAGCACGTGTTGGCGAGATTACGTAGACCAACATAGCCTGAAGATGTCCTCAAGACACGGCTAGGATCAAACGGATTAGGCATGTCGTAGAACGTGTACTGGAGATCTATACAGATGTCAGCGAGCCTCAAGTCAACACACACAAGACATGGTATGGTACCTTCGTCGGGCTCGATGTATGGCAGAACTTCATTCAAGCTGTGGAGAATGTCCGCCAGTACCGAATCATCGGCCTTGGCCAATTCGAGGATGATGGCGCATAACCCAGCCCTTGTGCGGTCTGTGAGGGCGACATTTTGTACAGAACTGTCAGCTTGCCGGCGGGTTCGAGGGAACAAGTGCCTCCAAAAAAGATCTCTAGCAAAGGACCTGAAAGGCGGTAAGCATAGTGAGTGTCAATGTGCTCCTTTCGACTTACCTGGGAAATGCATCAGACCTCGCGAGCGACTGATCTTGCTTGAGACAGATGTCTAAAGTGACAACGAGTCCTTGGAGCACGTTGTCACATGTCAAGGGGTTCGTCACGCACTACAATCGGATCAGCGAACGTTCGCCACACAAAGATGCTATACCAACCTCAGTGGTCTCCTGATTCAGGAGCAACTCGCCAACTCCGATCGCCAGGTTCTTCATATCCACAAAGTCTGCCATCGTTCCAGGCAGAATAGAGAACAGAGACAAAATTGCCTGGAAGAAATCCTCACTTCGGCTTGGAAGCTGTGTGGCCTCAGGGATCAGTTGGCAAAGTTTGGGGAGCACCAGTTTGCCAACTCTTCGCACCGCATCTAAACGAATCTCTGCGGAGAGTTTGCTCAGCATTCGGATAGCTTGAATCTGTTCTTTGAAGAATGTGGCGAGAACCTCGCTTGTCGTTTGCCTGAAGGACTGTTGCGAATGGAATAGCAGCAGTTTGGCCAGAATACCCACGACGTCTGGTTGAGCACTGACCCTGTCACAAAAGGCCGGATCCAGGAGGCAGAGTCGCAAGATGACAGCTAAGCCGATGTGACAAACATCAAGCGCCCGGGCATCGTTGGACGCGAGGGTTTCGGTGAGTGCTGTGACTATGGGCTCTGCAGACGTGATTCCCATGCTGTCGAACGATAAAACCTCGCAAACTTCCCCACGATCCTGCAACCAGATATGCAGAGCATGTAGCAAAGAGGCAAGCAAACTTGTGTGCAACTTGTCGCTGGAGGGAATGATCTTTTCCCGGTCGATAAGAGCTCGGACAAGGGCCGTTATGACACTGGACCTAATGTCCGCGTAGGAATGACTCAAAGCCAGCCTGCGGTCTGAAGTTCCATCCTCAGCATCTGACTTTCCAACGTGCATCCGGTCGAGTAAAGTCTTGTATGCCGAAAAAGCATGTGCAGCGTAAAGAGACCGTAGGTAATGGCCAGAGGGAAATAGATGCTCATGCGCTTTCGGTAGACTTGAATCCGGCCCAAGAATGACTTCCATGTCGGCAGGCAACTGCTTGAGGAGGTGGTAGGTCTGCGTGGGCAACGGCGTCAGTTTGCACAACAATTAGCGGATGAGAATTCACTTACATCGAGCGCCAAGGCCTCAGGGAGACTGAGGAATTGCCATAGATCACGAAAGTGATTCATGACCGCGATTTGAGCATGTGAGCAGCTGGGCCCGAACCTTAGGTTCGCTTCATTGCCGGAATGTTCTTTCCGGACAAGAATCAAGCAATTGGTGAGCTTCAGCTGATCCAAGTTGAGGCGCATGTCTTCCTCGCTTGGTAAAAAGGCTTGTCCTTTGATGAATGCACCGTAGTTGGGGAAGCCAGTTTGTTCTTGAATGCTAGCGAGCAAGGATGCAGCGGTGTTTTTCTGTCCAATCTCGAGAGGAAGGACCTCGGTTTGGCGGCCATTATCGAACGACTGATAAAACAACTGTGCTGATTCTCCCGCTATTGGGACAGCGGGCTCCTTCGCCACAAGAGAGCCAAGTACCGGGGCAGCGAAGCGAGGCCGCGACTGATACTCGTGTAGAAAGTGCTGCAGAAGGTGTAGCGAACGCAAGAATAGTCGCTCCGCATCTTTGGTTGTGTTGGGGCCGCCCCCGAGCTCCATGACGGCATCACTGTCCGACTGCGTCTCTCCGTTTGCCAGGGTCAACTCGTTGGCAGCCGTCTTCAACTGCTGGAAGCATCGTTCAATCAGCACAGAATGAACCTTGCGCATCTTGAGAGAAGTACAATCCTGCAGTGCTGTGTATTCCAAGTACACCTCGACTGCGAGTACTTGCATAGCACGTTCCGCAAGATCCTTATCCGGCGCATGAAGAACAATCCGCCATAGATGCTCAATGCAAGTGTTGCTGGCATTATCTCCATCCTCGAGGTTGAACTCATCAGTCTTCTCGATCTGTGTCAGCGTCTCCTGCTTGATGAACTGCAATGCGCCATCACAATAGCAGTCGGGTGGCAGGCTACCAAGGTGTTTGGTCAAACATTCCTGGACAAAGGCGTTGGGGTCGCCCAAGGAAGCGACATTTTGCAAAATCTTCCAGCCCGCCTCTCTGTCGCGGGCACAAAGTGCGCGATGCCCAACTGTGTTTTCCCACAGTCTCGCAGCCATAGTGTCATCAATCCCGGACCCATGTAGACGAATCAAGTAGTGTAGCACCTCGCGTCGGGGCAAGTTCGCAGGACCGCTCAATACAGGCTGGCTGGTTTCACTTGCTCCTGCATCAACGGCGTTGGCTATCTCATTGATGTATAACCCCGCCAGCGGCTTGCCCGGGACTTGGTCGAGATTGTAAACGAGAAGACCTCGTCGAGCGGCGAGCATGTGCAGAACCCATAGACTGCCCAGCGTTGTTTGACTGCTTTGGGTGAGATCATCCGCACAGCTGCGGTATATATCGGCACGGACTTCGTCAGTGACGATTTGGAGAAATTTATCAAAGCTGTTAGCCACCATGACGTGTAGTTCAGCAGTCGGTCTGGGTGTTCCCCTGCAGTACATTTCCCTAAAAAGGCGAATGCAGAGCCTGTATGGCTGGTAGCTGATTTTGGTCGGGTCCTGGGAGATCTTTTGAAACCAATGATCCATCACAAGGGACCACGCTGCTCTGACAGGCCCGGTCAGCTGCTCTGCAGAAGTCGCCTCAAGCTTCGACAAGAACTGGCACAGTTGCTCTTCACCAAGCACGTTGAGGATGGTGGAAAGAGCTCGCAGGAGCGCTTCCGAAGACCTGGCGTCTGCGCTGGCTGTCAGACACTGCCAGAGGCGGTCCGTATGGTCTTGAGTGTATAGCTTGGTGACGAAAAGGAAGCCGACAATGTTCGCACATTCTTGGATCAGTTCCGGATGGCTGTTCGGGCCCATAATATAGTCCACAAGATTGCTGCGAAGTAGATACTCGCCCATATGCCGGAGAATAGGCGATTGACTGGGATGCTGCTTGAATATCGCAACCAAATTCATGCACATGGACATGACGGCGTGGACGCGGAGTTGCATCTGACCACATTTGATGAACTTGAGGTCGGTGTCGAAGCGCCATTCATAGGCAACGGCGTCCGTAGTAAATGAAGGCGGCAGCTCAGGATGTAGTCGGCGATGCTTTTCCACCGCAGCCACGGCAGCTGAATGCGGGCCAGTGAGTGTGATTCTAAGTAATTCCGTCATTTTGGGTACCAAGGCCCGGACAACCGGATACTGAATATGTGTGAGTCGTTTCTCAATGGACTCGTTCAGCAATCGGACTATATCAAGCCAGTGTTGGTGACCTCTGGTGAGATTTTGTTGCGCAGCACACTCCTCGTCATGGTCTCTTGACGACGACGTCGTACTTGCGTCTCGCAACAGACTATTCAGATAGGCCAGGTAGGGCACTAATAGACCCATTTCCGACGGGACTGATAATAGTACCGGTATCAGCTTTTCAAAAAGTTCACCGAGGTGCACAAGGCCGTCAGTGGAAATGAGCTCGGTTTGCTGGGACACAACTTGCGCATCGGCGGGATGGCCGGGTGGGTTGTATATATCTTGTCGGTCATCCTCCAAGAATGGCTTCGGGGGAATCAAAGCGGCCATGCCGACCACATAGCGGACCGAGAGGAGCTCAACTGGTGGTTTTTGACCGGCAGCAATCTTGTGTCGCAGTCTCTCGAGAGACCGTGTGTCAAGATCAAGCATGACCATAGTCAAATAACCAGCCAACCGATACAAACCCATTGCCGTCTCGTGGAAATTGGCCCATCGATGGAGCGGACCCCCCTTTCGGTTGACCATGTGGTTTATCAGGTCTCCGAGCATTGTCCAGAACTCTGGATCCATGCGTATAATGTTTGCCAGGTGCTGCTGGGGTCTATTAGACGTGAGAAAATGGTCGACGGCGTCGCGGAGCCATCCCTCGACGCTCTGTAAGACCACATTGTCGTCTTTCGGTCGTAGATTTTGCAAATGATTGTATAATCGATGGAGCGTGTTTACGGCTGGCTCATCAGGCTGGCGGTAGGGAAACTCGCGCGTCAGGTCGTAAGAAATCTGCTGTGTCGAGATGTATTGTACTTCTTCTTCGTCTCCGCAAGCGTCGTCCTCTATGACCTCGATTTGAGGGGATTCTCGCGGGGCGTCGGGAGTGCCTGTCGACGGGAGAGCTGGCTGACCAGTCTGAGTGACAAGCAGTGCCAGATCCTGCTCCTCTAGAGACATTGACCTGTTGGGTGAAACCGAACGTGCCTTCCGCAAGTTGATAGTGACAGCCTTGTCGCTAGACGACGTCTCTGGAGGCCGTCGATCGGAACTTGTAGATCCTTCCGGAGTCTTTGGCGTCGTCGGCGCTCCATCCATATCTACGTCGTCATCCTCCGTCAAGGTTACACTGCTGCTCGATGTGCTGCTCCGCCGCTCCGCGCTCTCGACGGATCGTGACGTTCGTTGGCGCTTTCGGGATGTGATCTGGCTGTCGTTGAATGGGTTCGGGCGTATGGAGCTAGGTTCTGGCGAGGCTGCGGGCTGCTGTGGGCTACCGTTCTGAAAGTTCGACGGCTCCATCGGGAATGTCTATCTGGGAGCACAAAAGCACGTTGCCGCTGTGACCAAGACCAGAGGCGACAGGTCGTTGTAACAACGAGAGCCGACTGGGCGGCAGCTGTCCAGTGTCAACATATGTGATCAGAGTGTGATGCGACGGAAAGGCGATTGATGCGATGGAAAGAGGCGAGGCTGGACCAGGATGGGCACTTGCGGTCCGTGAAGTCCGAGCCGGGTTGCAGTCGCTGTGCTCCGCGGGGTCTCGTCAATCTACCGCTAGCAGATTAGGTGTCTAAGACCATCGGGAGCTGTTGTATTTATACGCCGTAGATCCCATATAATTCATGGATTTGGAGACTGGGCTCGAGATGGTGGTGGATGAAATCATGAAATTGGGGGAAACGCGGTTGCTGATGTGGAACCCCGCGAGGTAGTAGCGACTTGGAGGGGTACGACCCACCAGACGCCTTCCCGGGCAGTCCAGCCTGCGCCTGCCGACTAGACTGGAAGCTCGAGACAGGGGTTGGTTGCAGCTTGCAACGCACCCACCGACTGGAAGCCGTCAGCCTGGTCTGACCAGTGACCACTTGGACACTCTGTTGCCTTGGTGAGCTGTCCATTCTCATCAATGTCCGCTTGGAATAAGTTAAGCTGCCGATATGAACAGTTCACTTTGTGAGGGGGGATGAGACACCACTATGCGCAGGGTTCGAAATCATGTCGCAATTAATACTTACTTACGTCACTGGGATAGGTTTAAACTCCGAAGCTGCCAGCAAGTGGGCGAACCGGATTCACAAATACGATCACGATCAGATTGTAAATCTGCCAAGGACCGGATCGCTGTGAAGGTGCTTAATTCTAGGAAATCGACTGGTAGAAAATCCTGTGTTTGATGTGTTGAGTGGTGTTTCGTTGCTCGTAATGTCGTGTAGGAAGGCTGGTTTGAGATGCGGCTCACAATCTGGGGGGGAGGACCGTAGGCATGGTTTCTAGAGATTGGCTGAGCTTCGGGATCTAGGACGATAACTAGCACTAGACTAAGTATTTAAGTTTAAGGACTGACAGAGAAGCGGTAGATGATACGAGCCCAAATCTCTTTCTAGCTGACAAAGGTGAACTTATCGTCAGGTGTTGTTGACTTGCAAGCTGTGGTGACAGCTTTGGTGGGGTTGGGAACCCGCGGGAGGGGCGTGGGCATAAGAAACAAGCTAGTAAGGAGGCCACGATGAATCTTGCTCCTAGTGCTCATTCTACCTCTGGCTAACGTGCAGACTAGATATATGTGTGTTGCACTCACATACGGCTGTTCTAGTCGGTTTTAATTGCGTGCAATCTGGAAGCCTCTGAGTTCTGGAAGCCAGGTCAGCACATACACTCCGGTGGGTGCAGGCTCACAGCCTCGACAATGGCAATGTGCTTCTAAAACACTGAATTAGGCGTAAAGGGGCGCAAGAGAACGGAACAATTGCTCATAGAACCTTGATCTTTTTTTTTTTTCTTTTAATCTTTGAATTGTTCCTTTTCATTGGCAAGCTACCACTCCATGGGATCACCCTTCACATCGCCCCTATTAGTCTTCGGCACCGGCGCGGCCTCAACCTTGACAGGCCCATCCCTCTTGAGGTAGCCGGACCCATCGAGCCATGGTGTCTCTTGCGTGCGGCGCTTCTCGAACGCCTTGATTTGAGGCTCCATTTGCGAGGTCAGACCAATATCGTCCAGACCGTTGATCAAGCAGTGCTTCTTGAAACTCTCGACGTCGAATTTGGCGAGCTCCGTGCCGTCAGCCGCACGGATCACTTGGGCGGGCAGATCCACCTCGACCTCCCGACCAGCACGTGCCTCCGCAGCCACGCGCTCCAGAGGCTCCGGCTCGAGCTTAATGGGCAGCATGCCATTCTTGTAGAGGTTCGACTCGTGGATGTCGGCAAAGGAGGGCGCAATGATGCAAAGGATACCAAAGTCGAGGAGGGCCCAAGGGGCGTGCTCTCGCGACGATCCGCAGCCAAAGTTGGGGCCTGTGACGACTAGAATCTTAGCGTGGCGGTAAGGCTCCTGGTTCAGCACAAAGTCAGGCTTCTCTTCCATGGTCTCCGTGTTGTAGCGCCACTGGTGGAACAGCGCGGTACCCAGACCCGAGCGTTTAATGGTCTTGAGGAACTGTTTCGGGATGATGGCGTCCGTATCGACGTTGGCACGTTCCAGAGGAGCCGCGATGCCCTTGAGCTGGGTGAACTTTACCATGCCTGCCGACGTTGCCGGGGCACCGCCGTGGGGGGTGTTGTCATCCTCAGGCACATCCAGAATGCGGTCAAGGTCCTCATCGGTATCGAGATCCTCAATGTGCGTGTCTTCAATGGCGATCTGAGGCTCGGCTTTGACAGGCGACGCATTGTGGGGCTCGGCCACCTTGCGGACATCCGCCAGTCTCCCAACAAGGGCGCAAGCCGCTGCCATGACAGGTGACATGAGGTGCGTACGGCTGCCAGCGCCCTGGCGGCCCTCAAAGTTACGGTTCGAAGTTGAGGCGCAGCGCTCCTTGGGCGCGAGGATGTCGGGGTTCATGCCCAGGCACATGGAGCAGCCAGCCTCGCGCCATTCAAATCCAGCATCAAGGAAGATCTTGTCGAGACCTTCGCGCTCAGCCTGCTTTTTGATCAAACCAGATCCTGGGACAATCATCGCACGCTTAATGTTGGAAGCAATGTGCTTGCCTTCCACAACTCTAGCCGCCGAGCGCAAATCCTCGAGGCGGGCATTGGTGCAGCTACCGATGAAGACCTTGTCAATGGAAATGTCCTCGATGGGTGTGCCGGCCGTCAGTCCCATGTACTCCAGCGCGTGCTCGCAGGCCTTCTTCATGCTGGGATCGGAGAAATCGTCAGGGCCAGGAACGACACCTGTGATGGGGACAATGTCTTGAGGCGAGGTTCCCCAGGTGATGGTGGGCGGAATGTCGCGCGCGTTGATGTAGATTTCTCTGTCAAACTTGGCGCCATCATCCGTCTTGAGCGTGGACCAGTACTCCACGGCACGCTTCCACTCCTTGCTGTCGTACTTGGGCGCCAGCGGGCGACCCTTGAGGTAGTCAAAAGTGGTCTGGTCAGGGGCGATCATGCCAGCACGCGCACCCGCCTCGATGGACATGTTGGTCATGGACATTCTCGCCTCCATGCTGAGAGAGCGGATGGTCGAACCGCAGAACTCAATAACAGCACCAGTGCCACCAGCGGTACCGATCTGACCGATAATGTGCAGGACAATGTCCTTACTGCTGACGCCAGGGGCAAGCTCGCCGTCCACCTGGACCTTCATGTTCTTGCTTCGCTTCGTGATGAGGGTCTGCGTCGCGAGGACGTGCTCCACCTCACTGGTACCGATGCCAAAGGCGATGGAACCGAACGCACCGTGCGTTGATGTATGGCTGTCGCCACACACGACGGTGGTTCCTGGCAGGGTGAAACCTTGCTCAGGGCCGATGATGTGGACAATGCCTTGCCTGTCATCGTCGAGACCGAAGAATGTGAGGTTGAAATCGCGAACGTTCTCTTCGAGGGTGGCGCATTGCGTGCGAGAGTCGGCATCTTCAATGAAGCTAGAGACATCCTTGAAGTTTTTGCGCGAGGTCGTAGGGACGTTCTGCTCAGCGGTCAGGCGTGTGTTCAACAGATCAGAATGGAATCACCTACGTGATCACTGGTAGCCAGGGTGCAATCTGGTCTCCTGACTTTTCTCCCAGCGTTTCTGAGACCCTCAAAGGCTTGCTAAATGGCGATGGTCAGCATTGGCCACCCCGCGATTCGGTGGGCATTTGGGGGCTTACCGGCGACGTCACTTCGTGAACGAGATGGCGATCTGCAGAAGACACCCGTCAGCAGCGCCCTGGTTGCGGCGAGCTCATCAGCTGCGAGGACGTACCGATATACAGGAGAATAGTGCCATCCTCCTTTTCATCGACAGTGTGCGCCTTGAGGACTTTGTCGTACAGAGTCTGCGGGGCAGACACGGCGCCAGGCATGATGGGCAATTGTTGGTGCGACTGATGGGAGGAAGGGAACACGAACGCTATCGGTCAAGGGAGGAGAAGGGTATGATCAAGGAACGGACCAGACAGCTCAAAATAGGGTGAGATATTCCGGGGAATCAATATCCATTCACGAGAGGGAGGCACCTGGTGGGCTTTATGGGATTTTGGTGGCAGCCGTGAAAGCAATGCGCCTCCGGTCCGGAGCAAACGGGAGAAGGCCAACGATGCCCGACATCGGACGGCCGTGAAGGCATCGCGCCTGCCGCCCGAGGTCATCCGCAATTGTAGGGCGCTGATTAGTCGCTGAGGGCTGAGAAACTCCCCTTTGCTTGCCTCTGATTCGGCGCACTCTTGACCTCGAGTTCTCCAGATCCTCACCCTGCATCTGCGCGCGCGTCCGGGGTCTCGCAGGCTCGCTACCCTGTAGCCTTGGCCACCACTTTCTTCTCATCTACGGATAGGTGCCCCTCCATTGCCGGATGCCTTCACTAGCCGATGCGGAGCCGTGCATGTCGGAGGATCGCCGAATTCTTACGGGAGGAGAAATTGCTGCATCAAAGTAGGTGCCTTGGGATTGAGCATGAAGTTGCTGGACCCATGAGCTAGCTCCTCGCACACTCGTGTCCTCCAGTTATAAAGTCCGTCCGCTTTTGAGTCGGTAGTTATTGTCATGATTAGTGGCGGGTGCCCCTCGCTGGCTATCCTATAGTACTAGATCTAGAGCAACAGCAACCGGGACCACAAACAGCCTGTGCGACATGCCATCTAATGGAATAATTGGCATGTCTATTTCCGAACACAATTCTAAGCTCCCTGTTGCCGATAATAAATATCAACGGCTTCGTGCTTCGAAATGCGGAGCAGAGATTCCCCCAGCATCTACGGACACCGACAGTCAACTATCGGTGGATCACCGTAACGACGCACGTCTCCACAATTCTTTTTCAACTTGAGGTCTACGCTCTCCGGATGCTAACTTGGGTGCTGTCTCTACAACAATTCTCAGATAAACGGTGTATAACCTCGGCAATTTATCAGCTTCAAAGATTCATATGCGATTCTCTTGCCTCAGATCTACACCATATTTCCCTGCCTGACCATGGGTAACGACACAAGTGCTAGAAAAAAGACTGTCTTTCAGCTCGACACGCCCTTTTCCGATGTCTCATGGTATGGAGTCTTCAGCCCTGAGAAATAGTTTTGGTAACGGAGTTACTGACTTTGGCAGGCCTAAAGTTTCATTGGAAGACCAGGACACCATCTTAGAGCTTCTTTGCAAGTGAGTGTTCTCCCTGCTATCTATCCAAATCGGACACTCTGATACTCACACTCAAAGCTTCTTGAGTCCCATCGGCAAACATCGAAGGGCCCATGTCAAGGCCTCAAAAGGAAAGAAGGCGTCAAAGAGAGCCGATAAGGCGAAAACTGAGCGAGCAGGGGAAGACACGGAGATGCCAGATTCAGTGATCCCAGCTCCACCCGATATCACGCATTGCATTGATGTAGGCTTCAACTCCATCAACAGAAATCTGTCAGCAATGGCAGAAACCCAGCAGTGTGGTAGCGATGCCCAAGCCGACAAGGCAGACAACGAAAGGAAACCACTCTCCATGATTTTCGTGGCGAGAGGCGACCAGTCTGCCGTCTTCAACTGCCACTTTCCAAAAATGGTTGGTGTCGCTTCGAGAGATCAACCATCAAAAGACAAACCCAGGCTCGTGGGGTTCTCCAAATCATGCTCAGAACGGTTGAGCCACTGTCTTGATGTTGCTCGGGTGTCAGCAGTCGCGATACACCAAGATGCGCTTGGCTCCAAAGCACTCTGGGATGTCGTTTCCAAGGCTGTTGAGCCAGTTCATATGGACTGGTTGCACCCTGATTCGAATCCAGTGTACCACGCGACTAAGATCAACGCAATCCAAACGACCGTGGGACCGAAGCGAGAGAAGAAAACCAGCACGCCCCTGAAGCAGGGCTGAGTAACATTGGCATTCCCTTCTGGAAGTATGTAGCAAGCGACTTACAATGTTTGATCTGTGCTTGGAATTGTCCATGTCCACGTTTCTCTGTCCATCCTGTTTGATGCACGAGCAAACATCAAATATTCCAGCCAAATTGTTTCCAAGTAGCGCCACCGCAAACCCTAGGAATCAAGATCGGGTCCAAAGGTACACGTCTGCGGGGAGTTTCTACTGGCCATTCGCGAGTTCATGTGTGGGCTAACTCATCAAGTAGATCTGATGGGATGATGAGCTCGGAGTGTCGTGATAGACTAGATCGCGATTGCAAGTCTGAATCTTCATCGCTTGCTAACTGCGGCTGCTGAGCTCATCTCATATATGCGCATCACTGTGCCAACGAGGACATAGCACGCGCTACAAGAACGTGGAGGGACTGGAGACTGGAGCCCCGAGAAATACCGTAAGTACTTGTGTTTTCATTACTTACTCTTATTTTCATCCCACTGTGCGTGAATTTGCTAGTGAGTGTCAACGGCAAGAGCCCCCTGAGGCCCGCACACTGAAGAGCCCCTTCTCTGCGATATATCGGTGGATTCCTTCCATGCATTTCTATGCAGCACCGCTTTCCTCTGAGTCTTAATCGTGTTTGTGTCTTTACAGACCACAACCTTCATCACCTCCCGCTTCAACAACGACTACCTCAACAGCTACTCCAAGATGGCTCCGCCTGCTTTATCTGATGAGGAGCGCATGAAATACGCACGACAGCTCCAGTCTTTCTTCGGTTCCAGCGACGGAGGAAAGGGAAGGGGCCGGGGAGGCGTTGGCGACGGTCCTCGCACCCAGAATCGAACTCAGCAAGCTACTCGTGGTAGGATACCAAGCGATGCATAGAACTTTCGGTTTTTGAGCTTGGACCTAACACAAAACAGACTTCACACCTACCCGCTCGCGACAGGTCACTAATCCCACACGCGCGGTGCCTTGTCCCCTTGGCCTTGCGGACAAGGACTGGTTGGCTCCAGCACCGAAGAAAACGTCAGCCACCCCGTCCCAGACAGCTGAAGCTATACCAGCTCGTCCTAGCACCAGCAACGGCGTCCCTTCCGTGAAGAACGATTCTGGCGTTAAAAGTTCTGCTGAGTCAAAAAGCGTCACCAGTATGTCCAAGACATGTTGCTCAGATACACCACTAACAGCGACTCGCAGACTCAATCACCTCGAACGATGCAGCAAGTGCCAATGTCAACGGCTCCCAGGCTACAGTACAGCCTTCCTCTGCTTTGAATGCTATGAAAGGGAAAGACTTCCTACTCAAGCTTCGACGTGAGCATGCCGCAAGAGTGGCAAAGTTGACCGCAGGTGAACCCAAACCTGCTGACACCACCACTTCGAACGGTGCCTCGTCCACGGACACGATGACTTCAAGCGTCTGTTTGGACGATCTTGTAGCCAGCAAGGGCAGCAATGCCAAACCTGTCGCTGCTGAGAAACTCGCGGGGGGGCCTGATCAACCTGGACATGCAGGTGAATTAGCAACCCAAAAGCAGACCGAAGGGCCTCGGAACCCGATTCCTCAAGATGACCGCGCAGGCAGCTCCAAGCATCTCGCAGGCAACTTGTTAACCACTTCTTCGAGCTCTAGACCAGAGCGCAAGACTGATGAGGCTCTCCTGGTAGACCTCTCCGATGGTGCCAACCCTGCCCTGAGCGCCACTGCGGTTGAAGCGTGCAGCGAGAGGATTACGATGACGGGTATGATGCAAGCTCTACAGCCATCCAAGTTGGCTGTGTCCGGACAAAAGTCTCCTATAATCGAGTCTGACCCTACAGACAATAACAACAACCGTCCGGAAGCCAATATTCAGCAAGGACCACCAACAAATCTCACCGCGATGGATCACAACGCCGACGGCGAGCATAAGCTCAAGAAGACCGTCGCGGCTGCTGCCAAAGAGAATGAAGGCAGTGGTGATGGTTGCAAAAAACATTCCGAGGTGCAATCTGATGTTCCAACTCCGATGGGCTTCGGGTCATTCCCACCACCGGGCCCCTTGGCTGATACTACAAATGCTTTCTGCGCGGCGCACCTTCAACAACAGAGTCTTGCTGAAATCACACCGATCGGGGCCTCCACTGGATACCTCTACACCATAACACCGGTCATCTCTACGCCGCTAGGGGGTATGACCATGGGCACGACCTCTGGCCAGTTGCATCTGAACACCCCTGTGGCAACACAGCCAATTTTGCCTGCGATCAATGTGGCGCAAAAGGAGAACATTTGTCCACAGAACTACGTCGCTGCTCCCCCTTCGGAGTATAGGCCTCGTCGAGTAGCTACAGACCAAGGCAAACAAGGCCTGGGTTCTTCTCGCTGGGCCACTGATTGACCCGGTGAAGTGCAGATTCAGGGTACGGATTTTGAGGCCCTGCGCAAAGCGGCAGCAAGGCAATAGTGAGAGCGAGTGAGCGAACAAAAGGAGAAGAATGTTGGCCTTGGACAAGGCTACCAGGAAAGTTGCGTTGGCCTTTTGGGCTGTGATCATTTACCGTTAGGGCAGAAATTGGGTTTTCATATCAAACTGATGAGTTCAGACTTCGTAGGGTCTTTCTGCGCAGTAGAGAGCCCCCCAGATAATGCATTGCCTTTCTAAACGCTTGATTAATTCGACATGCTTTTTTCCAACATCTTCAGCCCTTCCCTGACCTTGGGAGAATAGTGTTTCCTCAACAACTCGCCCTCCCAAACCGTCGCTGCGAAGGGGTTGCTGCCTTCCAAGTTCCCGCTGACTGGGTTGTATTTGCCGTCGCCTTTCCTCTCCTCGGTATTCCAGAGGCTCCCAATCTTCTTCCCGTGTGTGTGCGCCACGTCGTTGAGCAGGGCCAGCACACCTTGGCACGATTTCTCAGGCAACTGAAGAGCCGCCGAGGCAAGCTGCTTCGAGAAGGCTGCCAGGCGCGTAGGCGGGACGGAGCGGATGTTCCATGAAGGCAGCAGCACGGCGGTTAGTGATCTCAGCAGCAGGACTGTGGTGGTCTGCACGTTAATCTTCGAGGTCGTCGAGGTGACGCCAGTAGGCTTGGTGTTTTCGAGGGTCGGGTCTGTGGACAGTGCCAGAAGCGCGCTGTAGAGATGGTTCGTGAAAAAGGACAGGTCAAGATGGAGTGTGTTCCTTGAGTTGTGCGCGTCTTGCCCAGCGAGGAGAGCGTACGCTGTGACTGTGCACAGAAGTGATTCACGGGTCAGGTTCCGGACCGGCTCGTCGTCCTCTTCGTCTTCGTCCTCTCCCGGCTGCTGTTCCTGCTCCTCGTCCTCGTTGTCGCCGTTGGCGTCCTTGTCGCTGTAGCGGATCAGGTCCTTCAACGCCTCGAGGAGGTCACCGAAGAAATCCTGGTTGATGAGATGGGCATACGTGGCGAGACCCTCCAGCACCGCGCCCATGAGTTGGGGCACGCGTGCCTTGAGGACACGGAAGTAGGTTGCAAACACGAGCTTGAGAGTCTCGCTCTGCATGCGCTCCCGCTCCTCGTGGCTGACGAGGGCGTCGGCCTGTTGCAGATCCTTGTCCAACGCTTTCTGCTCCTTGACGTCTTTGCGCTCCCGCTTGGTACGGAAATCACGCTTCTTCTTGGAGGCCTTCTCCGTACGCTGGACGGTGTCGTGGGACGCCGTGCCGGCGAATTCGGAAAGGAGGCGAAGGGCGAGGAAGAGATTGAGTACTGATTCGTGGACCTGGTATTCCTTTGCCCTCATCATTTTGGCAAGGAGGGCGACAGCTTCCATTGAAGGGCGGCCCTCTTCGTCGTCCCGGAAGAGAGTCTCGAGTGCCTCAAGGCATTTTTTACTGTTAGCATCCATGTATCGCCTGCTCAGCTTGCCGACGAGGATCTTGATAATGTCGCTGCGGAAGTTGAAGTGCGGCACCGATGTCAGAAGTGTGCACGCGCAAGTAACCGCCGCACTGACAACGTTGTTGCCATGACCTCCATAGGCGAATGGCTGCAGTCTCGCGCACTTTGTCAGCTCCTTGACATAGGCCTGGTACCCCATGACGAGTGACTGCTCGTAGTGCCGCAGTTGTCGAACCTCTTTCGACAATTTCTCCTTTCCAGAGTCCTCGCCTAGTGGACGAATGCGGTATCCAGGGATAATGTCCTTGTAGACGGTCATCTGCGTCATGAGGGCCAGGATCTTAATCGCCGGTATCTTGGATGAGCCAATCTTCCCGAGCTGCTTGAAAGCGCCCACGTTGTCCTCGGGGTTCTCGTTGACAGCCATCGCGAGTTTGGCCAGCTCCTCCTGCGCTTCGAGAATCTGCTCCTGCTCACTCCTCTCATCCACCTCTTTCACGACCTTTTCCTCTACCTGCTCCTCCTCCACGTCGTCCTCACGTCCCTCGAGCCAGTCTTCATCACTGTCCATTTCATTTTCCAGCTCTCGCAGGACCTCTATCCGCCCGTCAACATTCTTGGTGGGAAGACGGTTGCTTTCCTTCACGACCTGCTGCTTCTTCTTGCCCATGCGCGGACGGGATTCGTAGTCCTGCTCGAGATCCCAACTGGCTGCGTTCTTGAAGAATGCCTTTTGAGTTTTCGCCGGAGCTGGCGAGGAGCCCTCATCGGAAGAATGGGCGAGCTTCCGCCTTTTGGTGCCGTTGGGAGCCATGGCGAACTGTCATGGGATGTGCACTGAGACAGATAGCGGGTTGATGGCGATGAATGAAAATGTTTGATGAGAATCGGGATTGGCAAGATGTGGCCAATCACGGATGGCTATTGTCTACTCACCGCCAAAATTTCAAAAGATTCTGCCAGCGGGTGCAGGTGGGGCCAGATCGCGACTCCAGGGTCTATTTGCAATGCTATGGGGGACTGCATCATGCTTAGCTTCACTTTGAGCTCAAAGCGATGACGGGACCATTGATTCGCTAGGGAATGCGGTCAGCATGGAGACTCATAACCTCCGCTATTCCATGTGATACGCTCTTTCGGTTTGATATGCACTCTCCCCTGCCGGCGATTTTACCACTTTGAAGAGACAATTTCGGCGATAGCGCAATGAGCCAACTGCTGGTTAGCGACTGCCAATTGCTGAAGAAGAGACTGGAGCCAAGAGACTGGAATTCGGGTGCTAGGAATGTGGGGTGGCGTACACTCGGGCGGCAGGCCAATGTGGAGGTCCCGGTACCGGAGCTCCCCCAGTTTGGCCTCCGCAATCGTTACTACGTATAAGAAGACACGGGGAATCTCTAATACTACGTATTGCTCGTTGGTTCTCAGTATCATTGTACGCAGACCAGATTCGAAACGCACAACCTAACCTCAGTTGAAAATGTCTACCGGAAGCAAGGAACTTTGGGAGAAGGGTCTTCAAAATCGACGTGAGGTCGTAGGGGGAACATACGTTGACAGTGCTTTGAAGAATGGCTCCAGTGAATTTGCATTCGCAGGACAGCAAATGGTCACAGAGTATGTTTACAGTCCCTGTCATTATCCATTGAATCGCAATTACAGCATTAACAACTGTCCCAGATGGGCATGGGGAAACGTGTGGTCCCGCCCAGGTCTCGACCGGAAACAACGGAGCCTGCTGAGTTTGTTCTTCTCTAATCCCATGTTCATTTGGCGTTGACGTTTTGGAACAGACATTGGCATGCTGATGAGTCTGAGGTCGTGGCCTGAATTCGGCGTCCACATTCGCGGCGCCATCAACAATGGCCTTTCCGAGTTGGAGATACGAGAGGCTATCCTTCATGCGTCTGTTTATCTCGGATTGCCCGCTGGTGTCGAAGCTTTCAAGGTCGCCGAACGGACTTTGAATGATATGGTCGAAAAGGACGGCTATCAGAGAACTTTGGGTCATTTGTCACCAGAAGCTCAAACGAGTTGAACGTCGTCATATGCGGGTAATAAAAGCCTAGTCAATTGGATGGTCCCTTCCAAAGTACACATCGCGTCGTCGAGGGATCAGGCTTCTGCTAACGTCTTATCTTGACTTCGTGATACATTGATGTTGAGTTGATCATATCCGCCGTCGACCTCTACGGTACATGTAGAATGCACGTGAAGCCACCCCACGTGACTTGGTGGAGTCGGTGAGGGGCGTGGACCCACATCGCCTTCGGGATTGCTGCGAATTCTAGGAAAAGTTTCGTAGCGAGTCTGGCCTACGCATCCCAACGACCACATTCTTCAAATCCAACACCCCCAAGATGCCTCAGAACGAGTACATTGAGCGCTGGCAAAAGCTGCATGGCAAGAGGTCAGTTGTTCTCTTGACCTCAACTTTTCAACCGCTGACGCCCTACCAGGCTTGACCATGATGAACGTCTCAGGAAGCGCGAGGCCCGTGAGGGGCACAAACGATCGGAGCAGTCGCAGAATCTCAGAGGCCTGCGGGCCAAGTTGATGCACGAGAAGCGACGTGTCGAGAAGATCCAGATGAAGAAGCGCATCAAGGCCCACGAAGAGCGCAACGTCAAGGCAGCCGACAACAGCGATCCGTCCACACCCTTGCCACCTTACCTCCTCGACCGTAACGACCCCCAGAATGCGAAGGCGCTGGCTTCGTCCATCAAGGACAAGCGAAATGAGAAGGCCGCCCGCTTCTCGGTGCCGCTGCCGAAAGTGCGTGGTATTTCCGAGGAGGAGATGTTCAGCGTCGTCAAGACGGGCAAGAAGACACACAAGAAGGCATGGAAGAGGGTCATCACCAAACCCACCTTTGTCGGCAACGATTTCACACGATCAAACCCCAAGGTCGAGCGCTTCATTCGGTAAGGACAACTGTGCGCAAGGGGCCAAGATTGACAAGCTAACATACGGGCCTAGACCCATGGGACTGCGTCAGAAGACCGCACACGTCAGCCATCCGACACTCGGCGTCACCCTGAAATTGCCTATCTTGGGAGTGAAGAAGAACCCCCAGGACCCCATGTACACCAGACTCGGCGTTCTCACAAAGGGAACCGTTATCGAGGTGAATGTGAGCGAACTGGGCATGACCACAGCCGGTGGTAAAGTCGTATGGGGTAGATATGCACAGATCACAAGTACGTGTGACCCTTTTACCTCCGCTTTGAGGGCGACTACTGACATGATCCAGACAACCCAGAGAACGATGGCACGGTGAACGCGCTACTTCTGGCTTAAACTGGGGCTGACGCTTTGTTTTCGAATGGCAGATGGAATTGGCAATAAAGAACAGCATTCTCGCGCGGTGCTTCAGTTTCGAGCACACCTGTGTTGTTGATTCATCATGGAGTTTAGGGGACGGTCAGGTTACGACCAAAACGTCGAATGACTTGTGTGTTTTCATGGCATGGTGAAAAGCGAACCTTAGATAGTTGGCACAGGCTTCTTAACGATCCAAGAGCCTACTCAATGTACAACGGCATGTCAACCTCCGCAGTCCCGTGACCAACCAGCATGATCACCCCTGGCAAGGGTCCTATCTACCCAGTCTTGCGCTAAGGATTCCGCGGCATAGTGATCAGGGTCGGCTCAGTCGATAGGTGTTCCCCGCCCATTTGCCGGATTCGCGTGAACACCAGGACCTGCCATTGACAGCGAGCGAGTCCGAGGAAGCGCATAGCGGCCGAAACTGCTCATTGGTGTGTATCCTGGCTGAAGTGCTGGTGCCGTACGAGATGGTCACGGCAACCTGCCTGAACCTTTCAAGGTTGTTCAAGCTGACTTCACAAGTAGTCCTTGGCCGATGCAGGTGCCAACGGGGCTGCATTGCTGGTTGTTGGGTATCTCTGTATTGACATGTCTGCATGTCTCTTTCTTCAAGTCCTTTATAATGCCCACTCCTCTGGACGATCATCCTTGGTAATAAATGGCTCATCAATCCTCTTGATGGCAAAATCGCTGCAAAGAATACTCGGAGAAGTTAGCAAATACACTGCTCCATCGCATGACACCAAAAAACTTACCACGCTGATGCCACGAGGGAGTCCAGCTCTGCGACCACAGCATCCCTCTTTGGCCCGCTCACAAGCCCCCTATGAATTTGCAGTTGCAGGTCCTTAATCTTGGACGACTTTCCCACGCCAGACTGCTCTAGCACCTTCCTGCCCAGGCAGTCTGAGTGGAAGGAGTGCTGGCAGGGGAATACGAAGAATTGCCGGCTCAGCAGTGGCAGACCACATGCGTAGCACTTCTCCCCGGGTTCGACAATAGCGTATCGATGATCCAGCGCCGCAATGTCGACTTTGATATTCGTCGCTGTTTGCGATGACTCATCCATCTCCTTTTTCAGGTTGTCAATATTACGCGAGTAGTCCTCGAGCGCGCCGCAAATCTCCTCCTTGAAATCGTCAATGACGACGAAGTCTGGGAAGAAGGGAATCAGATCCTCAATCTTGAGAAGATCGCATCGCTTGAGGAAGTCGATCGCTGTCTTGATTCCATTGGATTGCGAGATGACCTTTCGTGCTACTGCTAGCCATAGCCTCTTCCGCAGTTGGGGGTTCGACATTGGCCGGTCGGCAATCACGGCTGCAAGCTCAACCTCGTTGTGGGAGAGAGCGAGGTCGACTGCTTGCAGGAACTGGCCCATGCTAGTATAGATGTGGACGCAGGACAGTGTGCGGTGATGTTGAATGCAAAGCCGCAAAGCAAAGTCAGGGTCATAACGTGGTTCGTCCCCCTGTGCTTGTAAGTACGAAAGCAGGCCTGATTCATCTTTGGCAGGATGTGAGGCATAGATCGAGACGAGTGTGTTGTGCACAGCTGCGTCCTTGGAGTTAAGCTGGTAAACCACGTAGTTGAGGTATCGTATGGCCTGATTTTGAGAGTTTGGGCCCCCTGAGAAAGCCCGGTTGTATTCGAGAAGAGCTGGTATGAGGCTTCGTGGCTTCAGGTCTGAGTGTCTCATGAGGATATCGACCATCTCTTGGGGGACGTGTGTCATCAATACACTGCTATAGCGGTAAAACACGTCAGGGTCTGTCTGTTTCTTCAAGACATTGAGGACATCGTTCCAACGCTCTCGCTGCACCCAGTATGCTAGCTCGTAGTTGTAGTCGTTGATCGCGTTGGCAAAATACAGCAGCTCCTCCTCCCTGCCGTGGCTGCTAATGACATCGTACACCGTCTTCTGGTCGAGGTCGTTTTTGTATCGATTGATGAAATCTTGGTATTCGCGCTTGATTGAAATCAAAAGTTTCCGTGAGTCGGCTGGGTTCAGGTTCTCTGATAATTCGGCTTGTGTGATAATGGTGTCGTCGAGCGAGTTGAGCTTGGCCATAAAGACCTCAACTAGCCAGCTCGCGAGCATGATACGCTGCATAATGGCAGATTTGCTTGTTGATGCCAATTTTGTTTGTAGGAATTTCCGCAAGGCGTCCGGTTGGTTGTTGTCAATGATGCTCAATGCGATGTCTTCGAATGGTTTGCTACTGCGCCCGTAAACGACAGCTGCCTCGTTCCAATGCCCCTTGGTGGCAAGGTGGTCACCGTATGCGGCAGCCACTGTTTCCTTTTGCGATTGCGTGTGTGCATGCTCCAGTGCTGGCTCAAACTGCTGCTGTTGCATCATGATCTCCCAAATATTCCGGTCTTCGTCACGGACCACAATCTCAAAGATCTCCTCCGAAGTAAACAGCCAGAAGGTGTTCTTCTGGAGGTCGACCGAGAAACCAACTGCCTTTTGACCGGGACCCAGTACGTCGTGCTCGGAGACCACCTGTCCAGTCAAGCGATTCGTGGTGACCACGCGCCCGCCTATCAAGCTCACAATATGCCACTGGGTCAAGGCAATGGCGTCGATAGTCTCCGTCGTAGCCCTCCTCCTTCCGCCGCTCTCAGGTGACACGATCTGCGCTTTTTGTATCATTCTCGACTCAGAGAAGACTTTTGCGCCAAGGTTGCTATCCGCTGGTGTGTCGAGCAGCTTTCCGTGGAAGACTCCCAAGGAACTCAGCCATGCGTATGCTCTCTCGGGAAGTTCATGCTGCCGATGGCCTTCTTCCTGCGGGGGGTCTGGCGAGACGACGACTGAAGGCGCCGCATTTTGCGTTGCTCGTGACAACTCATGGACAACTGGCTGTTCCGACTCGAACAGCTTGGTATATACAGAGCCACTGCCGTCATGACTGTGTCCGATTTTGCCCACCAAGTGAAACAGTCGCGTGTTGGTGCCTATCACCACTCTCCTCATATCAGTCTTGCCTTTCAGGTCGTCCACCCACAGTCCAGTGATCGGCCCGTCTGGCAGACGATGCAGGTTCTTGAGGTGCTTCACTTCCTTCTTGTAGAACTCGTTCGATGTTTCGATAAACGCCTCGTAAATATGACCATCGGTGGCACCAATCAGGATCTCTCGTGTCGACGCTGTAGGGAGGGAGGGGTTCCATGCCACGCTTTCGATGATGACGCCCCGTAGTCGACTGAGCGGGCGGACCTGTCGCGATTGAGAGTGGAGATAGTAATTCTCCCCGTTGGCGGCACAAATGATGAGATGGGAAGCTGTTGGATCGAGAAACATGCGTCGAATACCCGTGTGGGCGCCCTTTTTCGGGAGGTCTATGTCTGATTGTGCGCGTTAGCCCCCTTCCAGCCACTGCGTCGCGCCCTGCGATTTGACACACCGTCGATATCCTCTGGTCGCGTGAGGTCGATCCTGAGTATCCGACCATTGGACAGGGCAAGGATGATCACGTTGTTTGCTACTTCGGCGGCGGCAAAGTCCGCCGCGATGCTGAAAGCCAGCTGGACGCGCTCAATTGTGAAGATGGGGAGCTCGTGGGTGAGGTTGGCATTTCCATTGGGAGCAGAGCCGGCGGCGTTGGCGGCTGCAAAGCCGGCGGCGTTGGCGGCTGCAAAGCCGTCGGGGAGTTCGAGGGCCATCTTGTTGGATGGTCCGCCGTGGCCGCCGCGGTAGTGAGAGACGAGAGGCTGGTTGAGGTGCGAAGGAAGCCGAGGACTTGGAGATGGGAGTTGGAGCTGTGGGAGGTCGCCAGCAACGTCATGCGGGCCAGGCAGGCAGCACGCACTGGCATTCGGTTAGACCAGCGCCTTGACACACGACCAATCTATCAAGACAAGTCCTCTTCCAGTGCCTAGCCAAATGCAAAATAGAGAAATTCTGCCTGATCAGAAGCAACCAAATCACGAAGATTGCGTGGAAGGATTAATTAATTTGGGAGATATTATCAAGCATACCACCTCTGTAATTGAGCATACCCGGTGGAGTAAAATATAGTAGACGCTATGGTATAAAGACTCCCTACCCCGTAGCTAAATTTAGCACTAGTATTCGTAGGCTACGATTGCTTATATCTTTATTAATTCGAGTATTTTAGATACCACGATAAGGTATAGGTGGCCGAATCACGCTCTGGCCGAATCACGCTCTGGCCGAAGAACGCTCTAATGCTCATAGGTTGGCGATAGCCTCAGAAGTTCGAGTCGCCGAGCCGTTAGTCAAAGCGAAGCTACGAGGCAGTGTGTTTATGGACATGCTCAATAACAGATGTGGTATGCTTGATAATACCTCCCAACACCAAACGTCCACGAACCACGAAAGCAACCTGTGATGAGCGTGCGTCCACAGCGCTCAAAGAAACATAGAGCACCACCAAGTGCATGAATCCAATATATGTACAGCCAATTGGGTCAATTGGGAATATGTATCAAGAAAGGCAGTCGTAATGCGCATCCCGAAACGCCCACTCATGTTACCCAAAATAGGCAATCGCAATTAACAAATTGTCGTATCTTCCATAATCGTTGTGTCGTCGTCGTTCGCCTCGGGACTGATCGACCTAGTCATTGTCCGTGGGCAGCTCTTGGGTGCGTCGAGCGGCTTCCTGCCTACAACAACGGACAGCTTGACCACCAGGCTCTTTGACTTTTCAGGATCCTTCGCCAGTTCCACCATCTCACGAGCTGCCTGTTCACACGCTGCCTTGCATTCTTCTGGATCCCAACCCATATGCTCCGTCAGGAGTCTCAGACACAAAGCCTCGATTGAGTCTAGGCACGAGACCAGCCATATCTTGCCGGCTGATTTCTCTGCCACGGTGATGGGTATGGCGTATTCCGTCGCTCTCACGTCCACGAATCCCGCGTCTATAAAGAATCGAGGATTCATATGCTTGCTGCCTCTGGGTCGTCCAGCCTTTTCAGCCGCGACTGCCAGGTCGGCTAGCAAGGCATGTACGGGCGAGTCTGCCCCAAATTGCTCCGTGAACTTTTGGAGCGAGTCCGTATCGAAGTCTTGAATCTCTATCCAGCCGCCTGGTTTCAGAGAGTAGAAGACGTGATTGTAAAGCGCCTTCCAATTCCGGAATGCGCCCTCCATGGCGCGAAAGTGAATCAAATCGTAGCAGTCCGGCGGGCGATCCCAGTCCTCGGCGTCCTCAATCTCGAAGAACACGTTGATTGGGACGCGGCTCGTCTCTGCTACAGCAGCGATGTCTGTGCCCACGATCTCACAATCAGGATACCGCTCGGCCATGCGGATGGCCCACTCCCCTGTCCCTGTACCGACGTCCAGTATGTGGGAAGGCGATTCTAGCACGACCGTGGACGATTCTGGGCCAAGAAGGTGTAGGAAGACCTGATGGTTCAGGGATGAGCGCATCTGTTCAATTTCGTCGATGGGCATGTAGTAGTCGCGACAGTATAGGCGGCCGTGAATCTCACGATAGTCGAGGTCATGAGCCCAAAGCGAGCGCGTGGACGCAGCTCTATTCACTGTTAGCTATGGCATGACCATGTGTGTCGGGAAGAACCTTACGGATCCGAGTTGGCAGTGAAGGATTCCTCCTCTAAGTACGGCATTTCGGTCCTGTGCGAGCTCGAGACAGGAGGATAGTGGTACATGCTCTGCATGTCCGCATCGTCCTCGGCCATTCCTTCAACGTCACCACCCATTGCATCGTTCTTCTCGTCCATCCCAGGCATGCTCGTCGTGGCTATAGGTACGCCGGCGCTCTTCGTTTGCTCGCTCGTGATGCCTTGGCTGGACTGGCTTCCGCTGTCGTTGCAGTTGGTGGTGTCGAAGTGGCGGCCCTCATCAGGGCTCATTGCCCTTGCGAAAGGACTCTGCTGAGGACTGAGGCAGACTCGAGGAAGGAATGTATATCAGCGGTATCGGTGCGCGACAAGAAGCGTTTGCGACATGGTTCTGTCACTTGGTTGTGCGAGTCAACCCAACAAGCAGATAGAACATTAGACTCGACACAAGGCAAACAAGAACCGTGCAAGCGAATGACTGTAGCCCGAGACAGGCAAGACGGGAAGACGAAAAGTCTTGAACCCAGGAGCGTGGATAGGTGAAGCTGGAGGAGTGCATGTGGATGCGTCCATGCAGCTCCAGTCCACGTCCATCATCCATGTCCCGTCTGCTCGGTTGGCAGCTGGGCGTTCAGTGTGGGGCAGCGGAACGGCCGTGCCCCGCGCGGCGACACACTGGCAGGCCCAGCCTCCAGCCACCAGAGACGAGGACTCAGGAGTCAGGACAAGGCCGACAGGCTTGGATAGAGGGGCGAGCCGCAGCGGTCCGGGAGCCCAAGCTTTAAAGATTGCACAATATCGAACGATTGTGGTGGATCACTGGATTGTTTCTGCCGGCCTCCAAGCCTCCGTCCAGCACACTGATTCCGCACCTTCCCCTTCCGTTAGCACCTCCAGGCTCCAGGCAGCAAAATCAGTCGTAATGCCTAAGGCACCTGTACCGTAATATCTCAGAAAGGTCGAACAGGCTGGTCCGAGCGTATTGTGTCAATTGGCGACCAGGGTATTATTATGTTGATAGGGCCCTCCGCAGTTTTAATGGGGTATAAGCGACCTTTCTGAGATATTACGGTAAGTAAACGATGCCCTTGAGGTGCCCGTACTCGAGTTGCAAACAGCAACCGGATACATTGCTGGCACTGCCGTCGACTGGAGGATGAGGTCTATTCCTCTGTACCAGGCATCTTACAGGCCAACCCCGTCAGGTCGGAACGAAACGCCTGATATGATGGGCACATGCAACTTGCGGCCTTCCCGCCTTCACTGGTGGCTTCAATAAGTCGAGACGGATGGGTCGAGAACTTGAGGGCACGTCGGACGCCCCGGTGCGCGGGATTTGTGGCGAGAAGGGGGGACTCTCCGTCAAAACGATCTATCGGGCTCATCTTGATACAGGCATGCGAGCGTCTCCTTGCTCGGTCCGATCCATCCGACCAAAAGTCCAAGAAAAAACATTGGTGCTCTCGTCGCCTCGTTCATATTGTCCAAGTGTACTTCGTGGGTCAACCCAAAAACGGCATCATGAAGTCGATGGCTTTCATCCGAGATGGCGATGCGCGGTGATGGATTAGACCACCGGTCAATGCCTTGTTTGAATATTGGTTATCTTGAATCAAGGCCTGCATCGGGCATCGGGTCAAGTCAACGGTATGCCATGTTGCAGGAAAATGACCACCAAGCTGCCAAGCATCCGTCGACGCACCCATCCCGGCATCGCTCTGTCGATATTACCCCAGACCCCGCATCGGCTGCTGCCGAGCAAGACTTGGTCGGTTGATCTTTTGCCTTCTTTATTACCTTTGCGATCAATACTGCGTCACGACTGGCTCGCCTCTGGCTGGAAGCCGAGAGTTGACTTGCGCCAGCACGCGACTGGAGCGGCAAGTGAACGAGTCTCCAGGTCTCATCATAAGGTCGCAACCCGCAGGCTATAGCCCAGCATGTGGACCAATGCCACTTATACATGCCTTTTCGGGGCCTTGTGAATGCCGATCTCGTGAGCATCAGTGTTGACGGAGTGGTACATTTTGGGGAGTAGTGCCGAGCTCTTCCCCAGAGCGCGCCGGCTGCTGCCTCACCTTGAACTGGCGGTTTATACTTAAAGAGAAGTACTGACCCGGGTCAAGGACTGGTCGATCGACTAAGTGGTCATTTATCACGCCTATCCTCTCCTATCTGAGTACTCAAAACTTATCAACCTGGGTATACATCATGACTTCTATTCTGACCACAGCCTTGGCTGGTCTGCTGCTTGCCGGTGGCGTACAAGCAAAGCATGATATTGTGCCGGGCGCAGCCTGGACTGCTGTGGGTTTGCATTCATCAGGAGCTTACTTTGCTGGGGGTAGCTCATAACTGACACTGGGTATCCAGAGAAACACAGGTCGCCATATCCAAGCCCATGGCAATGGCATCACGTAAGTCCTCCACCGGGGCAAGCAGTATCAAGGCTGACCATGCTATTATATGCGCAGCTACGAGGATGGTGTTTACTACATGATTGGAGAGGAGAAGTCTGAGGGATCCAACTTCCAAGCCGTCAACTGCTACTCGTCTACGAACTTGGTTGACTGGGACTTTGTGGGCAATCTGATCAGCAGAGACGACAGTGAGCCTGATCTTGGACCGAACCGGATCATAGAGCGTCCCAAAGTCCTCAAGAACGAGCAGACGGGGAAATACGTCCTGTTTATGCACGTGGACTCCTCTGACTACAAGGATGCGCGTGTTGGCTGGGGTACAGGCGACACCATCTGCGGCGAGTACACCTACCTCGGCAGCTCAAGGCCGCTGGACAAGCAGATCCGTGACATTGGCGTCTTCAAGGACGAAGACGGCACGGCTTACCTTTTGACTGAAGATGTACGTGCTCGAGTCAAAATCCCCCAGCAACCATACCCAGGGGGGCACTGACATGATCAACCCAGCGTGAATACGGAACTCGCATCATGAGGCTCTCCGAGGACTACCTGTCCGTGGAGGAGATCACCATGGAGTGGCAATACTTTGCTGAATCCCCTGCCATGGTCAAGCGCGGCGGCACCTACTACATCTTCGGGTCACACCTGACGGGCTGGAACCCCAACGACAACGTGAGTCGTCCATGAAGGGCTCTGCGCACCGCGCTTCCTTCTGTAGCATTGCTAACCCGCATCACAGGTGTACAGCGCCGCCCAGAATCTATCCGGGCCGTGGACTGAGTGGACAGAGTTCGCGCCTGTGGGAACAAACACTTACTCCAGTCAAGTATCGTTCATCCTACCTCTGAGCGACGACAAGGCCATCTACATGGGCGACAGGTGGTTCCCAGACAACCTGGGTGCTAGCGAGTACATCTGGCTGCCCCTCCAGATCGACGGCGACACCGTCCGTTTGGACTGGTACGACAACTGGTCCGTCCACATGGAGGCGGGGACATGGCAGTCAGGACTTCCGTACACAGAGTACGAAGCGGAAGCCGCCGAGCTGTCCAACGAGGCCAGGCTGCTCGACTGTGGCGAGTGCAGCGGCTCCCAGATGGTGGGCTACATTGGGGGAGACCAGGACGGGACCGTGTCGTTTGACGTGGAAGCGGCGTGCGACGGTGATGTGACCATGGTGCTGAAGTACCGCAACGGCGACGAGGTCACGACGTCGACGTTTGGGGCACGCAATGCCCTTGTCTCGGTGGGCGGCGTGGAGCAAACCGTCGACTTCCCCTCGACTAGGCACAAGGGCGGACAGACGGCCAAGAGCGTTGTGCAAACCGCGGTCAAAAAGGGCAGCAATATTGTGACCGTTTCGGGGGCTGATAGTTGGGGCCCGGATCTGGACGTTCTCCTGGTTCCAGGGTTAAGCTGCAGTGCCTAGGACACGTGAGGCGCAATATTTGGTCCAATACAATGCACAACGCTGAGTGACAAGACTTTTGTGTGTTTGAAGGTGGATTCACCATGCATTGTGACTTCCTGGCCCGAAAGATGGCTTCAAGCTATCAGACAGCCGAGAACCATCATGTATAGTGTAACCAGACACGCTGGATAGCCATCCATAAGCCATTCGCTCCGTAACGCACAGCCTTCACCCCCTTTTCCCGTTCTCCCAAGGCTCGTCCCTACCATCATGCTCAAAGTCGGGCACCACCTCGCCCAACTCACTAACCCCCGGGAACGGCGTCAGGACGTGCGTAATGTCCCCCCACCAGCTCTCCCCAAACTTGCTGTACCAGTCCACCGTCCGCCTCAACCCTTCCTCGATGCCTACCTTCTGCGACCACCCGAGGCGCCGCAGTTTCGAGGCGTCCACGGCATAGCGGCGGTCGTTGAACGGTCGGTCATGGGTGTACTTGATCCACCGCCTCGACGCGCCAGAGGACGATGACGCTTCTGGGCGGATCAGATCCACCAACTTGTGGCAGAGGTCCAGGTTGGAGATCTCATCGCTGGATCCGACGTTGTAGATTTGTCCCAAGACGCCACGGTGTAATATCGTGTCAAACGCATCCGCCGCGTCGGACGCGTATAGGTAGCGCCGCGTGGGCGAGCCATCGCCATGCAGAACCACCGGTTGTCCCCTGTGCAGCAAGCACGAGAACTTTGGTATGATTTCTGGCCCCTGCGTCAGCGAAAGCGTAAGGGAGCATAATGGGGTCACTCACTTTCCGGATATTGATGCGGGCCGTAGACGTTGTTGCTCCGCACAATGATCCCCGGGAGCTTGAAGCTCTTCTGGTAGCTGTGCACCAGCATCTCGGCGGCGGCCTTGCTCGCCGCGTACGGATTCGTCGGCTGCAGGATGCTCGACTCGAGCAGGTCATCCTCGTCCTCCTTGACCTCGCCGTACACCTCGTCGGTGGAGATGTGGACGAAGCGCCGGACGCCCACCTTCTTTGCCGACTCGAGCAGGACGTGCGTGCCGTACACGTTGGTGTGCGTGAACCCGTACGAGTTGCCGAACGAGAGGTCGACGTGGCTCTGTGCAGCAAAGTGCAGGACCGTGTCGACGTTGTGCCTCTCCATGCAGTCCAGCACTGATGACGGCGTCGTGATGTCGCCCTTGTAAAAAGAGAAGTTGGGGCGGGACGACAGGACGTTGGTGTTGTTCAGCGTGGAGCAGTAGTCGAGCTTGTCAAAGGAGATGATGTTGTAGGAGGGATAGGTGAGTGTGAGGTGGCGGACGACCCAACAGGCGATGAAGCCGGCGCCACCCGTGACCATGATGTTCTTGACATCAGGACGAGGCTCGAAGCATGTCGAGCCCTTGAGCGTCGGGGCGTGTTTCCATATATCATCAGCAGCAGTGGTTGTGGTGGTGGTGTTGTAGCCTTCCGTGCGGCCTTTTGGTGGTCAGTCAGAGAGCGCGCGCATTCGATCCTCGAGACACGTGCCTTGCGATCCCATCTTCCTGAGACTCGACCGTTCCGCCACTGTGCAACAATGATGGCCTGTACCGAACGGACGGCTGCCCTGGACAGCAGCTCCTGGGGGCACACCAAAGGGTTGCAGTCGTCTGAGCAAACGAGACATGCCGCGGTTGGAATTGTGTTGTCGATGCCAAGGGCCTGCAGCGACCGGACCCTATCCAGCACAGGCGTTATTGGGGGTATAACTTGTCGAGTAGGGTCATAAAATTGTCGCCCTCATTTCCATGCTTCATTCAGGCCTTCATATGGATAAAGCGAGTTTCTGTCTGATATTCTCACTTCGTTCAGCTGTGAGAGGCTCCTAATGTGGCTGTGGCTGTCTCACTGTGGCTGGGGCGAGGCCTGTGGCGTTCATGGACATCGAGTCAGCGGCAGAATGCTGCTCATAACATTTCACTAAATGCAATTTTACCTTGCTGTAGCCAGTTAATGACGAAGTGTGTCTCTCGTATTGTAATTGGATTCATCGTTGGCATTACAAAGGCTGATATGGAAGCCCCCATGTGACCCTACAAGTTGAACCTCTTCCTGTCCTTCTCCATCCTGGACTTCCACTCCCACTGCGTCGCGTCGTCGCCCTCGCTGCCCGCCCGGCCAATGCCCTTGTCGACCCTCCGCAGCTTGAGCGTGAAGCGCGGGCCGAGCTCCTGCAGACCGGCGCGGATCTCCTCGACGCCCGCAAGCCCGTTGCCCTCGGCGTCCGTCACGCTCTTCTCCGTCTGGCGCTTGTCGCGGAAGACGTAGCGGTGCCGCCGCACAAAGATGTAGTCGCGCTGGTTGTGGAGCGTGAGGACCTGGCGGCCCTGGAACTCGGGGGAGGGCGGGAAGAGCGTCTGGAAGAGCTTGGCCGTCAGCAGGCCGAGGGGCGTCTTGAAGTTGTTGAGGAGCAGCTCCGGGTAGTGGTTGGTCGGGTTGCCGTGGCCCGGCAGGTACTTGCCCTCGATCCAGTTGCTGATGGAGAAGTGAAAGGTCGGCCCGCTGGGCAGGTGCACGACGGAGATGCCCGTGGGCTTCTTCTGGTCCTCCTTGACGAGCACGACGGCCGTGTAGTCCCGGTTGGCCGAGAACTTGCAGATCTCGCGCAGCGAGTACTTGTAGCTGTACTTGTGCCCGGAGCGGGGGATGTAGGTGCTGTTCGGGAAGATGCTGCAGAGGATGTTGGCTTCGCGGTGGAGCGTCGAGTTGAGCGAGGTGGTGATGAGGATCTTGGGTGTCGGGGGCGGAATGTCCGTGAACAGGGTCGGGAATTTGAGGGCGAGCGAGGTGGGCGTTAGGTCGAGGTTGGTGCTCGTCATCGACGGGGCCGTCGAGTCTGCCCTTTGCGCTCGCTTCTCCCATTGCCGCTCCATGGCGGCCTCCTTGGCCTCGTCGTCGCCTTCCTCGTCCGAGTCCAGCATACTGTCGTGGTCGTCATCGTCTTCCTCCTCGTCCTCCCCTTCGAGAGGCGCCTGTGCCTCCGCCTCGGCCTCCTCCATCCGCCTCCTCTTTAATCGCTCCAGATCGACCTGCACACCGAGGCTGTCGTCATCCACGTCATCCCATACACGCTTCTGGTCGAGCGTCACGGCCTTGTTCTTGGCCAGTCGCGCCGCCTTGAGCTCTGGGTTCTTGTTCTCCTCCTTCTTGCGCGCAAAGCGGGCATCGCGTCGTTCCTTGTCGGCATGGCGCTTGTGCTGGACAAAGAGCTCCTGGCGCTTGAGCTTGTTGGCGGCCTTGAGGGCCTGGACGGGCGGTTTCGTGGTGAAGCCCATACTGTACGATTGTGGCGCACAATTGTGGTATTGGATGGTGATAATTAAATCCCAATTCGACGATGGGGGAAATTTTGAGACTGACTGGACGGGACGGGCGATAAACTTTTTGGCGGGGCTGATAAGGCGGCACGAAAATGTGTCTTGTCTACTTACCCTATACAATTTGGTCCCCCATTCTTTTGGTGCCGCCGCCAACTTCAACTCATGCTAACGCAAAGACCGCTTGAATCATAATTCATGTATCATAAAGAATGTGAGGCTAACTACCTGCCCTGTATGCCGTTTATAAATAATCCAATAGATCCATCCAACGCCACCCGTCGTGACCATGTCATAACATATCTATAGCAACAGACCCAGCCCAGCAAGGCCCAAGCTCGCAAGAACGCCGCCCATGCAAGGTCGCAACATGCCCACACCGTCGTCCGCATCACTGCCCGTGCTCGTGCTCGAAGGTCCCGCAGACGTCGCGGCGGTGCCGCCGGCCTTGGTCGCCGAGGGGACCGCATTGTCCCCCGTGCCAATCTCCGAGATCTTTGACTTTTTGGCGTTAAAGTTGCTCTGCGCGAGGGAGATTTCATTGTTGTCCAGGTCAAACACCGCGTACGCGCTGCGCAAAAAGGTGTCGCCGAGGAGAGAGAGGCCTGACGAGGGCACGATGCCAAAGAGGCACACGTCCGCCTGGCCTCCTCCAATCGAGTTCCCGGCGTCGAGCACGAGCTCGCTCATGGCCACGTCGATCTGCGCCGGCGAGTCAAAGTAGAAGGTCATGTTGGCCTGCTGGTCCGCCAGGGAGCACGGCACGAACGCCGCGCCCTCGGTGGCACTGTACTCGGCCCCGACGGCATCGTAGATGGCGGCCACCATGCTCTTGGGGAGGTATGTAAAGGATGTCCCCGAGTCGAGGACGACGGCGACCTCTGATTTCCCCTGCTGCGCGATTTCAATGTTGCCAAGCTGCAGACCCGTCAGGGCGACGTAGAACGAGCTGTACGGACTGCTCTGGGGTCGCAGAATCGGCACGGTGACGAGGTCGCCGGTGTACCGGGCGTGGTCGACGCCGCCAAACAGGAGGCTGCCGGTGCTAGAGTCGAGATCGTTCAGCCACAGGCTGTAGGCGCTAGACTTGATCACGCCGTCGTGGGCCAGCTGCGCGGGGAGGTTTCGGTAGGTGCGCTGGTCTGCTGCCGCCACCTGAGCCTCGCCCGCGGGATAGCCAATGCCCATGATGCCCTGGGTGGAGGAGCTGTCGTAGCCGACGCCAAACTGGAAGTCCTTGACCGTCTCGCCGCCGAAGCGGAGCGTGTCTGTGACATAGTCACCCGTCGCCCCCGAGCCGTCGACGTATGATATGTTGAACCAGTCGCCCACGTAATTGTATGTTGACGAGCTGTTGGCGCTGTAGGTGCCTGATGCGTCGCACGGCTTGGATCTGCGCTCGCACAGGCTCGAACTCGCCGCGTTGACCCATAGGTCACTGCTCCCGGTGTCGACGGCGACTATGAAATCCTGAGGCGGCGTCCCGATGGAGATGTTGAGAGAATAGAGCAGCTGCTGTAGTGGTATGTCAGTATCCTAATGCTTTCACGGGGGTCGTTCCCACTCACTTCATTGTCGATCTTGGCGCTCACCGTGTCAGCCCGTCTGTTGAGCCTGTTCCGGTCGTGTGCCACCTTGTCTCTGATCTCCTTGCGCTGCAGGTCGAACTGGACCACCCGGGGCGAAGCGTCGCGAGGCTCACGGAGGTGTAGCGCACTGGCGCATGGCAGGGCCAGACAGCAACCTGCCGACAGCAGAGTGTGGGGGTGCATGGCGTAGGTCCAGGGGAACACGGGCAGGCAGGAAGAAATCAAAGGAATTCACCGACACTCTCCAAGGTAACAGCTGCTACAGTAGAGACATTCATCCTAGGCGGCAGCCAACAGCTTATACGTACACGTCAGGACAGGGCAGGGTCTCCGCATCCGATGAATCCGCGTGTCGCTGGACTGGACTGGACTGGACTAGACTAGACGAACTAGTCGCTGTCCATGATGCCGTAACACTCGTGCTACCTTTGTGGCTGTGGCCATGGTCCCAGTCCGTGACGAATGCAAGCCAAACGAGACTGGTAGTGTGCCAGAAGCGTTGCGCAATCCAGAAGGCGTACGTACGTGGACAGGCTCCCTCATGACACCCCCCCCCCTCCCCCACAGTGGACGACGTCAGGGACATGACTGGAGTCTTGACTCTAATGGGCCACTGAGAGCCGCAGGATAGCGTGCCTGTTCCCGGCGGCTCGTGGTGTGTTCGCACTGCTTTCTGGGGGGCGCCGTCTCCAGTCTCGGCTGATCGGCTTCGATGGGTGTTGAAGGTGATTCAGGTGAAACTGGGCTGGCTGGCTGTCCGGCAGGCCATTCGGCTCTGGCTGCCGAGCCCAGCCTCGTGGGCGACCGCCACTCGACTGTCCGTGGCCCTGGCGGCGACGAGTTCGAACTCGTTGGAAACCCTCCTGCGGAAGCGTTTCGGGGCATTTTGTTGACGCGCGGCCGGACGCCCCATTCTCTGCCTGACATTGTCGGGAACGGCGTCACTGGCAGCGCCGCCTTGTGGGCATCGGCTAGCCGGAAGTCTAATGTCGAGGAAGCGCCCAAGTTGACGTCAAAGGACTGGAACTGTGGCGGGGCGTGGGCGGGCTGGACGCGTGGCGATGAAGTAGTGCCTTTCATAAGGATGAACAAGTCGACGACGTTTGCTCGTTGACGGTCGTCTGGTAGTTGATTCGTCGGCGCCAAGCAATGCTGACATCTTGAGTACCTATTGGATGGCGCATATGTTCCGATCCCACTGGCGGACACTTGATTCCATTATCCGTCACACTTTGAATCTACCGTCGTCTTCGTCAAGGTGAAGCCACACTTGTGCCTCACATACCTACTAGTCACAGCTGCGCCTCGGCCAGTCTAGACTACCCTGTGCAGCCCGGAGCCGGCCGCGACCGACCAGACCCGGTCCCGTGATCTACTACTGTCTGTCTGCACAGGGTAGACCATTTGTCGAAGGCGTGCTGCAATTCTCAGAACAGAGCATGGCCGAACGAACTTGGATCCGTTCCCAGGGATCTCTCAGAATGTGCAGACTCCCAGAGGCGCCCGGCGGCCTGTTGAGGCACTGCTCTCTCCAAAGGGGGTAATCCTTGATCGTGAATAGATTCGAGCGAGCCGCACTCGATCCACTGGAATGATTGTGGAGTTGTAGGATTCGCCAGGGCTCGAACAACGGATACACTCGACGAAAGCACATGGTCATGGGCCAGTGGATGTCAACTACCGAGATCAGGATCTATCACTAGTCTAGTTGCCCATCCTTTCGGGACCTCGGGCATCTCCGTATAAAGATGTAGATCCTTGTGTCGGTATCCATTGTTGCGATGGCTAATTTGTAACTCTGAGATCCTGCCATGGGACGTCTGCGCATATCACCTACCCTAGACAATTGACCTGGCTCAGCCACCCTGGCCCAACGGCTATCAGGAGCGACAGCGCGTGTATTGACATAGCGAGGAAGTCGTTTATGAGAATAGTTAACTTGGTGAAGTGATTGATCAGGTCTTGTGTCAAAATTCGGAGAATTCTCCGCCTGTGCAGGCGCCCCGCACAGACCCCCAAAAGCAGCTGCTTCTCACCATTATACGGTAGTCATTGACAGACTGGCGCTGCAACTTGAGCGCAGTGATTCTTCTCGCGCATGGATTGCCATCTCATACTTGCCCTGATAATTGCCTTTAATCCATTCATCCATCTATCCATGCCGTGCCGTGCCATATGCTGCAGCTTCAAGCCTTGTCGTTGTTGGTGGAGACGGCAGAGGCCAAGCGCCCGCCAAGATGGTGCATCTGAGACCAGACCTCGATTACCTTACTTTTTACCTTTCCCCAGCCAGCCGCACATCAAGACTGAATGCTTCCACTACCATCACCATCTGCCTCATCAATTCAGATCCACACACTTGTCTGACACGCCGCTCTATAAACCTGTTCCATCAGCAAAACCATTGGACCCCCTCCATCCAAGGCTGCTCACCCACGGTCACCCGCTCATCCGCCCGCTCAACTCATCACTCACGGCTCCAACTCAACCGCCCCCTCCCTCCCTCTGGCGCGCGCGCGTCTCAACAGAACAGACACGACGAGCGCGTGGCCATGTCGCCAATGCCGGAGCTGCCGCATATGGTGTTTGACGAGGCATCGGACGCAGTAGACCCCAACCTGTCATTCACCTCCAACACAAACGCGACAGCCACCGACCCTCCCGCCGTCCTGCCTCCCCAGCAAACCCCCCAAGCTGCGGCGCAAAGTCAGGCTGCTCGAGCCAGGGAGTCGATCCCAACCGCCTGCCTCGCCTGTGTGAGTGTGGTCCCCATTGACAAGCACAGTCAAACGTGACCAACTGCTGGTCGCAGCCCACGCAGCAGACAACCCAGACCAGACCAGTGCTGACCAATCCCTCCTGGTGACAGCGCAGCAAGCATCTAAAGTGCGACGGCGCGCGACCTTGCGCGCGCTGCCGAGCCTCAGGCTCCGACTGCGCCTTTGTGGCATCGCGTCGTGGGTACAAGGGCCCCAAGCGCGGCGGCGCCGGTGGTGGTGGTGGTGCGTCGCAGCAGAACAACCCAAACAAGCGCCGGGCGACGTCGCCCCCGAGCCAGGATGGTAGCAGCAGCACTGACTTCTTCGCTGCCGTCGCCGCCCCCAGTGTCCAGCCCGGTGTGGCCATGTGCCTCGCCAGCAAGGGCCGCAGCGTCGGTCCCAGCCAGTCCCCCAGCTCCTCCGGTCCGGTCACCCCGGGCTCCTCCACGTCGGCCTCGCAGACGTTCAGGATCCTCGGTGCCGGGGACACGGACGGCTCGACCTACGACATGAGCCCCCAGGACCGCTCCGTCTCCACAAAGTCCTCGTCCCTGTCCCTGGCCGAGCGTTGCTTTGAGTCCTTCTACGACCACTTCCATGCGGCGCATCCCTTCGTCCTGCCAAAGGACTTCATGGTACGCTTCCTCCACGACCCGAGCCTGGAGCCGCTCTTGTCTGCCATGCGCTGGGTCGGCTCGCTCTTCATCGACGTGCCCGCGGCGCGCAATAGCCTGTTTGACGAGGCCTGGCAGCGGGTCCATGAGCCGCGAAACGCGCGTGATGGGTTTCTCGTGCAGGCCATGATGGTGCTCATCGTAGGTATGGACGGCGTCACGCTGAACGAGAGGGCGCGCGAGCTCCTCCTCGACGTGGAGAAGCTCGCCGTAGAGATCGCCCTCAACACCCGCCCCTTTGCCATATTTCACGGCCGCGGCATCCCCGTGCTGGAGGAGAGCTGGCGACGCACCTGGTGGGATCTCCTCGTCATCGATGGCATGATCGCGGGTGTCCACCGGATGACCACCTTTGCCCTGTACGACACACCCACCGACGTAGCGCTGCCGTGCGAGGAGCACGAGTTCCTCTCTGGGGTGAGTATCAACCTATCCGTGCCAAGAGCTCATGTTGCTGACCCCTCCACCGCAGGCCATCCCCCCTCCTCGTTATCTAGAGGACCTCGAGGACCAGGAATTTCTCGACGACAACGCACCGCCCTTCTCGTCCTTCGCTTACCGCATCCTCTGCGCACGCAACCTCGGCAAGCTGATGCGCACGCCCCCCATCACCGATCCCGCCGACGACAACCTCGTCCGCGTCGAGACCCTGCTCACCAACTGGCGCCTCCACCTGCCCCCGTCCAAGCGCAACCCCCTCGACGGCCATACGGGTCGCGTCGACGAGATGCTCTTCCAGGCGCACATGATGCTCCACGCAACGTCCATCATCCTCCACCAGCCACACTCCCAGCTCGACTCGTCCCCGGCCGCCAACATCACCTCCTGCGCGCCGCACCAGGCCGTCCAGGCCAACGCCCGCCCGGCCTTCAACACACACACCAGGCACACCATTGAGTCCGCCACCGCCATATCACGGCTCGTCACCCTGCCTGTCCCCTCCCTCACCACGCACACACACTTCTTCACCTGCGTCCTCACCCTCTCGTCCATCGTCCACCTCTCCAAGTGGGCCCTGGACTTTGTCCAGTACGACGACGACGACCTGCGCCAGCTCCTCCGCCTCAACGTTGGTGCCCTGAGCGAGCTGTCGCGCGTCTGGCCGGCTGCCGATCGGGCCAGGGGCCAGGTGAGGGGTGTCGCCTCAGAGGTGTATCAGGCCAAGAAGGCTGTCCAGGCAGCCCCGCAGTTCTGGTTCGGCCTGACGAGGGAACAGGTCATGAGCAGCATCGCGGCCGATGATGGAATCATAGAGGACGTGAGCAGCAGCTGATCAGTTTCAATCAAGCCACGTGTACAAGGAAAATAAAACCTGTGACAAAGAAAAGGGAATACTTGATACGACTGTAATACTATTATCAACACGCGTGTACGGGGTATAGGGATTCGCAAGCACGGCCACGCCTATTCTCCTGACCAGGGACCTAGCGCCTCCTCCTCGTTCCGTCTTTGCTTCACGAGACACAGCACTTCATATGCCCGATTGACCTCCTCGGGCGACTTGTCTTTGGTCTCCGGGCGGCCGCGGCCTGTCGCGAGGCCACACAGACACACGATGACCCAGCCGACGGCCATCCAGACCGGGACATCGACTATGCCTCGCAGCAAGATGGCCGGCATGCCTGCCAGGCCTCGAGAACCCACGCTGCCAATGAGCCAAGAAGAGGTGACCGACAGGATGACGAGGACAGTGCTGAGAGATGCGCTGATAGCAATGGTCTCGACCATGAGGTGGCCCGACGGGATCTCGGCCGAGAGTGCGCAAGACAGTGCGGGAAGCACAGCAGCAAAGACGACAAGGGCGAGGTAGAAGAAGGCCGTGACCAGTCGAGAGATGTGGCCGTGGCGTACCGCTGTCTGTACATACAGGTTTCTGAGTCGGGTGGTGGTGACGAATGGGTTGGCCAGGCCGACAATTGTAACCGCAATGAGCAAGAACAACCACAATCCAGCGATCCACATAGTGCGTCGCCCGAGGTAGCGGCTCAGGAACAATGATATGATGCTTCCTCCGGCGCAGCACAGCACGACGGCAGTGACCTGGACCTTTGTGCCCGTTGCCACGAACGCACCTCCGTCGGTAGTAGCAACGACAAGCCCATACAGCGACAGGCCCAGCATCATCGCCGTATAGTACACACTGACCAGAGCAAAAGTCCTTCTGCGATTGGTCTTGCGGAAGCAGGCTAGAAATCCTGATCCGAAAAGAGCTGCTTCCCTCTCGTCCAATAGTCGTAGCGCTGTCACGGCAGCTTCGTTGGCTTCCTCTGAATGTTTGAGGGCCGGGAAGGCGGGCTGGATTGTCGAGTCATCGTCCATGAGCTCTTGGCGCCGCAATACGTATCGAGGACTTTCGGGAATGTACCAAGTCCCCGCTGTGCATATCAGAGCCAGTACGAACATGAGGATATACACGAATCGAGACTGCTGGATTGGCGCACGCCGCAAAGCCGCCGACGAGAAGGTCATGCAGACCATGCTTATGGTGAATACCGAGCTCAGAATACACAGCATTGTCCCGCGTCGCTTGAGGGGGGCGACGTCGGATACATAAGGGATGATCAAGACCGAAATGAGACCAAAAGGCACGGCAAGTAAGCACTCGCCTGTTGCCAGGAGGACAAATCGTGCGAGACCCGATGCGGACGTGGCGAAGACGGACGCCAATAGCAGTGGGACGACCAGCAAGACCATGGCTGCAGAAGCGATGAATGAGTTTCTGTAGCCCAACCTCTTCGAGAACAAAGGAGCCAGGAGTCCACCACCCGTTCTGCCGCCGACAAGCAGGGACCACAAAACCAGCTCCCAGGCCATTGGTGGACGTCGTCTCTGAAGTCGAGGCACATGGCTGTCGTCTCCTTGGCTACCAGGTGCACTGGTGATGGCCCTTGTCGGTGAGTACCACGATCTGCCAACAGGCCCTTCGAGGACAGCCAAGCAGTGCAGGAGGTCTATCGTGGCCATCCAGGCCAGGCATCCCACAACGGACAGCCACCAGTATGCGTTAATATACTGCTTCGCTACTTTGACGAAGCTCTTCTTGCTCTGTTCCGAGTCGTGTAGTTCTATGGGGATGTGGGTTTGCTTCTCGTACGCAGGGCAAGGCGACGTGGGCGTGGGAAGCGAAGCTGTTTCGAGCTCGGCCACCCCGTCCATACCTCGCAGCGAGTACTCCAGTGTAGACTCATCAGCTACATGACCGATATATCGGATAATGCTCTGAGTATCAGAGGTTGGCCCGTCGCTTGTGGTCGGATCTTGTTCGGAGAGCGTGTTGGAAAGCTCATCGTCGAGGACGGTCGAAGCATGAGACTCAATGGGGGAGTCTGGATGCTTGTTTGCATGGCGTTTGCTGCCTTCAGTTGGCTGCCCGGATGTGATTATTGTGTCTGTCCGCCTCTCCAAGGTGCCAGTAGGGTCACCAGGGTCAGCAAGGTCTGCGGAAACCCGAGGCGAGTATATATCTTCGCAGGCTCTGCACTGGCTGTCGTCGGTTAAGATGTGCTGTGCAGCTGATGCTGTAGGGCTGCTCTCTGTCAGAGGCTCGTTACGAGGGCGTTCCAGCGATCGCCGTTGATTCGCTTTGACTGGAGGCATGACAACCTGCTGGGTCGCGAGTTTCGTTACAACGACTGCGTAGGAGGCGGAAGGTGAACAGCGGTGTAGACAAGGACGTAAAACCGAATGGTACAGCTAGACAGCAACGCGGCGAAGAAGGTGAAGTAATATGCTTGATAAGTGAGATGCTTGTGAAGTGATCAACAACAGAGTCTCGCACCCAGAGGAAGGTCAACAAAGGCCACCCCTTGCAGGAGAGGAGTAGTTCCTGCCTGGCTCCCTCAGTTCCTTCCTGGCTTTCACTCATTCGCAACGCGAAGCTTCTTGCCTTCCACCACCGACATGGTCCCCAGCCAGCCGCGCATGCCCTCCGCGTACGTCTTGTCCATCCCCCACTCCTCGACGGCCTGTTTGATCCCCCGCTCCATCCTCCCAATGTACTCCTGGTTGGGCACGTCGCCCACCACGCGCTGCGCATCAATGTACGCCAGCGCCGTCAGATCTTGCGGCGGCTCCATTCTCCGCCCTTCCTCGTCCGTCACACGCTGCACGGCGACATGCACCTTGCCGTACGCCCACGGCACGCCCTCGTAAAAGTCCAGTTCATCCTCGTCCTGTGGTGGCAGCAAGTAGAGAAGCCCATAGACGCCTCCTTGTGAGGAGACAACGGGATCAGCTGGACCTGCCAAGGAGGGAGGAGGTACATCGGCGCTGACAATGTTTGCGTACCCCCTTTCGTTGATGATCCACTTGTAGCCGGGGAGGTGGCCCAGACCGATGGGCATGGAGTTGGGGCAGCGCTGGAGCATCTGGTGCGAGGAGAGGTTGGAGCCATAGGCGAAATAGATGATTTCCGTGCGGTTGTCGTCGATGGCTGTCAGGACACTGTCCTGGGATGGCTGGCTGTCGTCTTGATCGTCCATGTTCATGGTGAGCAGTCTTCACTTGAGAGTTAGAATCTGGGACACCTATGTGATTACTATGAAGGAATCAAAAATATTTTAAAAGAGAGAGAGCTCGGTCAGGTGTACAATAAGTAAGTGAACAAACAGGGCGACAGTCGGTGAATAGTCAGCCTTGGATGCCATTCTGGTGAGGATCCACACACACACAGCCCCAAGGCAGCCAACAACAAGGCCACTTCACGTCAAACACGGTCAAAGTGTATAAAAGCGCAGCAAACAGCTGCGCCAAGCGGTCATGCCGGCCTTTGTGCTACGTATCAGAACGTGAAAGTTTGTCATTTCTCATCTCGCGGCAGTAATACACCCCCCCTTCCCTGCTTGCCGTCGCTCAACGTAGCTTGCGTGATTGCTCGCTCATTACATATAAATATACCATACCATTGCCATGCCTAAATGCTCAGCATCACAGAACTCTATAACAGAAAAATAGCAATCATCTCCACTGGCTGTGTCCCCTCCCACAAATCCTCAAGTAATGGGTGTCAGAAAAGGACTGAGCATGAGCTCGTCGGCGCTAGGGCGCCGATTGTGGTCAATCTCAAACGTCTGCGCAAGGAAGGCCTTGGCGTCCTCGCTCGCATTGTCGGGGATCGTGGGGACGGCACGGCCTCCGCCAATCTTGAAGATGGCCTGGAGCTGGCTGCAGTCCGGGAACGGATGCGAGCCCGTCATCATCTCCACGACCAGGCACCCCAGTGACCAGATGTCGGCCTTGCGCGTGTACGAGGTCTGCTTGACGACCTCGGGCGCCATCCAGAACACGGAGCCCTGCAGCGAGGGGCGGTTCTTGTTGTTGTTGGCGCCGTTCAGAATGTTGGTGGCCTCGAGCTTCTTGGAGATGCCAAAATCTGAAATCTTAATCGTGCCCTTGTTGTCGACGAGAATGTTGGCACCCTTGATGTCGCGGTGGATGATCTCCTGGTTGTGCAGATACGAGAGTCCTGTCAGGATCTGACGGACAAAGCTGCGCACCAGGGGCTCGGGCAGAGCGCCGTACGAGTTGAGCATCGTCTGCACCGAACCGCCGGGGACGTACTCGAGGAAAATGTTCAGGTAGTCCGCAGACGAGCTGCAGCCCAGGTACTGCACAATGTTGGGGTGGCGGAGGTCGCGAAGCAGACTGATCTCACGCTTGAGCGCATCAATCATGCTCTTCTTGCGGTTGTCGGACTGATTGTTGGCACCAGGTGCCGGGGTCTCCACCTGCTTGACGGCAAGCAGCTCGCCCGTAACGGCGTGCAATGCCAGGTAAACGCAGCCAAAGGACCCCTGGCCGATGAGGGCCCCCTTCATCCACTTGTTGTCGTCCCACGACTCGCCCGCGAGGAAGCTCTGCAGCTCCTCGTCGGCATCGTCCCCATCGCCGGACAAAGCCTGCTTGACCTCCTGGAACGAACCAGAGTTTGTCGAGCTCTCTGTCTCAAAGAAGCTGCTCCTGACCGTTTGCCCCTCAGGGTCAATAACGCTGATGGGGCCGTTGTCGGAGCTGCTTTCGGTGAATGATACATAGGACTTGCGGTTTGGCTCGACGGGCGATTCCTCCTGAAGAGTGTCGAGCATGGACGAAGCTATCGAATCGCGGTTGAACATTTGGGGCAGGCGGCCTTGCGAGTCGCGCGATCGCACCTTGGCCACCTGGTTGCCTCCGTTCAGCCATGAGTCTGCAATGGTCGGGATCGGGGGTGCGTCCTGGAAACTAGAAGCGAAGCTGAGATTGCTAGCCACGCTCAGGCGGCTGTTGACCTTGCTCAACCGAGTTGATCTTCGCATGGAGAGTCGTGCGGTGCGATCAATGTCTTCCCGAGCGTGACCAGGGAAATACGATGTCAGATCCGAGGCAATGAGCTCACTAGGGGGTCTCAGGCCTCCGAATTGGCGAAGTTCGGCTTGCCTCCGCTGGGGTCGGCTGGAGTCACCAGAGCGCGGCCGCTCGAGATCCTTTGCGGCGTTTGATACGTTTCGCTCGCGGTCCTGGAACGACAGTGGCGAGAGTGGCTGCTGCAGTCCTTCGTGCCACTTCTCGCCCAGCACCTTTTGCACCTTGAGCTGGCTGCGCTTGTCCACAGACTCCAGCGCCCGCGCATGCTTCTGTTGCTCCTCCTCCATGGCGATCGCGGCCGCTCGTTGCAGCTCCGAGTCTCCTGGCTCACCAGCCGGGACTCGTCGGAGGATGAGCCGGTTCCTCTCAGGCCTCCGCTGGTCCTTGATGATGCGCCAGAGCTCCGTGTCGCCGAGGCGGCGTGTCTGGCTGGGGTCCGGATCCACACCGGCAAGGACCCAGAAACAGTAGTTGCGCTCATGGTCTTCGCGGAGAGCGAATTTGCGCAGGGTGACGCGCATCACTTCCTCGCAGGTGTTGCAGTCGGCAATCTTGACAACCTTGGTGACACCACCTGTCGAGATGACACGGATGACCTCTTGGTTTTGAGGCAGCGCGGCCATCAAGGAACCATCCATGCTGGAGTTGTTGCGCGTATGTGAAGGAACAAGACGGCCACTGGGGGCATCTGAGCCCTGGAGTCGTGAGGGCTGCGCATGGTAGGCACCGCCTTGTGGGTATCGTGGCGTTCGTGCGTTCCGAGTGTCGTCCTGTGCGGGAGAAGAAGGTCGCGAGCTGGGCTTGGACGGGTCGTAGGCTGAGAGGTCAACCTGTCTCGAGAACCGCTTGTTGCTTGACGGTGTGGGACGGCTGTTGGGCGGCCGGGGAGAAGTAGCATAAGGCGCATTCAGGGTGATGTCGAGGGCACCGAACGAGTCCTGGAAAAGGTTAGCTCAGGTCCAGGAAGACAGAGAGTATCTACACATGCCCTATTGCGCTTCTTCTGGTTGGCGTAGGCTTTGATACGCAGCTTCTTGATGCCCAAGAATAATCGTACCCTATCGCCAACTTTGTCGATGCCCATCTCCTTCAGAACCTCTTTATCCATTTCCAACAGATTCTCGCCATTAATGTGGTTCTTCCTGAACAGCTTCTCGTATTCGCCGCACTTGACGCTCCTCAGGTACTCGCAGACCCTCTCCTCATCCCAGTTCTTAACCGAGTCTGGTCCATCGGCGTCGCTGAATTCTGACTCGGTCGGGCTTTGGAAGTTTTGCGTGCCACTGGGCGCCATGGGTGCTCGTCTTGAGGATGGCGGTGCGGTGGCTAGAGAGGCCCCGGCTGGTAGCGCTGAGGCCGTGTTGAGGCTCGCGGGGAAAGCCGACTTTGGTGCCAGCATTGCCATCGTGGATGGGTCTGAGCCGCCGCGGTTGGGTGGGTATTATCTAGATGTTTCGGATGCTGGGTCGTCTACGGTCGTGATGATTAAGTCGTTGGTTCTCGCGTCGTCCAGCCAGCTGGAGACAGTCTGGGGGTATTTAGTCCCGAGCCTGAAAGCGTGGGCGTCGTGCTGCAATGGACGGTCGGGCTGACGTTTCCTTGCAGGCGGTGATCGTGGAGATGGAGGCAGCAAGCAGCCAGGGGCGGTGCGTGAATCCGACGCCGCACGCAGTGAGGTATTAGGTTGGTCTCAGAGCCGTATTATGGTGAGCAGGTGGACAAGGAGGAGGTGGAAGAGGTCTGAGGAGGACAAGACCTAGGATTGACCAGATCAGATGGGGAAATGCGAAACACAACAGGAAGGCCGAAATGAATGAAGGTGACTGGGAGAGAGCCAGTGACCGTGGGCTGGAGACACCAGTCCAGTCCAGTGACAGTCCAGTCGCTGACCCCTGCCGCTCCTTGTCGAACGACCCCTGCCATTGCCCGCTGTGGCAGCGCTGGCGCGTGCGGAGGAGGTGAAACACGATCTAGCCACGCACAATCAGAGGCGCTTCTCGTTACGGATAGAGGCAATTTGAGGTGATTCTGATATCCATCCTCCCATTGGCACGTCGTTTTGCCGACCGGTGAGACGGGCCTGTCTCTCTGCCGGCGCAATGAACCGACATTCCTTGGGCGGCTCAGACGCACCACGGTCGCTATCAGCTGGTGGCGAGCCGGACGATACTCGCACAGGCTTCTCCGAGTACGTATTAATTAGACACGCGAGGTCGATCGCGACGCTCTTCGCCCCATATCAGCTACCGCTGAGGCTGCGCATCGCGCGCGGCCCTTACGCTCCCGCTCGCCGATGCACTTTCGTCATCGCACAATCTGTCCCACGACAGCCTCACGGGCACGACACGGCCACTCCGTCGGGATCGGAAGCTAGGCACAAATGGAGCTGATCCTTTTTAAATTACCTACCTGGGGCCTGCCTTATACACAACGGCCGCCGTCTCACGACGCTGACTGAAGAACGCCACGTTTGCTTCCGGAATGCCAGTTGAGGAAAGTCATCTTCAGAGCCTATAATTTAATCACGGTCTTCGTCTGTATTTGACATTGATAATAATGCCTGACGGGCGTAATTAACGGTGCAATGCCTTGTCAGGCGACATGTCACCGACTCGGCTGCTTCACGCTCATGGGATTGATTGGTCAGAGGATGCCGATGATGAAACACGCCGCGTTGCAGGTTTCTCTAAGGGTCCATCCACCCTTGTAGAGATCCAGGCTGGGGTCAGGTCGACGATGATGTTTGCACTTTACTGGCAAGGCCTCAGAAATGACTAGGCTAGTGTTTTTATTCTAAGCAAGGTAGTTTTGCAATTACTTGCAGTAATTAACACGCAGTAGCCACGTGTTTTACGAGGAATTTGTACATGGAGTCTGATGGGCAGCGTCGCGGAGACGCGATGAGACGTTGCTAGCCTGCTACGTACTGATACCGTACCGAGGGCGAATATCTCGTTTGACTCGTTGAGCATTTGCGCATATTATTATACGCAAACGAAAGCATTATTAATACTGCCCATTTTGTATTGACATGGTATCTTGACATGCAGCAAAAAATGTTCTGGTTGACCGCAGCATGTTCAGAATGTTCAGAAAATCGCCAAGTGATGGCGTCCCGTGCGAGATCGGCGTAGACTGGAGGTGGTGTCTTTGCGCTAACAGAACCAGCAGGCACGCACCGCACTGGGCTGTTAACGTCGATCGCCGGCTATATCCCGCAACGGCTTGTGACGACAACTACTCCTTCTCAGCGCGTGGTGAGGGCCAGACTATTGCGGACGCCGTCAACACAGCAAGGGAGCCATCGTCGTCGCGTTCTCCGACTGCTGCAAGAGTCTTGTCATTTTTCCTAGCCTCAGCAGCCGTGATCACGAGATGACGTCCCAGCAAAAGAAGGTTGTCAGCTTCCTCGGCCCAGCTGCCTCATATTCACACCAGGTATGTCTTCTTGTTCATTTCAAGGTGCTCAATATCTAATGCCACTCTGAAAGGCAGTGCGGCAAGCATTTTCGGAGGACCAGTGGGAGTACAACCCTGTGGTGACCATTGGCGGTATGCAGTGAGGACTCCGTGTCGATCTGATTTGCTCACCCATGGTAGACGTGTTCGACGTTGTACAGGACAGTGTATCTCCAGCAGGCCTCGTGCCCTTTGAGAATTCGACAAATGGCTCTGTGGTCTTCACCTTGGACTACCTAGCGGATCGCCACGACCGATATCCGGACGTCACGGTGAGGGGCGAGGTTTACGTCGACGTTCACCACTGCCTGCTCGGCCACAAAGCTCTACATCACAACCTGGAGGATGGAACAGAAGGATCGGGCACTTGCACACCCACGGCCACCGATCCCAGTCCGCCACGACCCAGGACGAAGCCCTTGAGCAGCCTGAAGCATATTCAGAGGATCTATTCGCACCCGCAAGCGTTCGGGCAATGCAACGCCTTCATATCTACGTATCTGAAGGGAGTGGAGGTATTCGAGGTCAGCTCCACGAGTAAGGCTGCGGAGATTGTCAGCGGGGACACCACAGGGACGTGGGCTGCGATATCAAGCCAACTCGCCGCAGAGACGCATGGTCTTGACATGCTTGGGAGGAACATTGAAGACCGGACTGACAACACCACACGTTTCCTCATCATTGGGAAAGACCCCAAGATACCTCGAGATGGTGATCTGACCATGCCCAACGACGGTCAGGTTGGCACCAAGTCGATGGTTTCGTTGACAGTTCCGCACGATTCGCCAGGGGCTCTGGCCAAAGCGTTGAGCTGCTTCGAGGAGTTCGGCCTCAACCTGACAAGCATTAACAGCCGGCCAAGCTTGCTGCAGCCCTTCCACTACATCTTCTTTCTCGAGTTCCGTGGACATCTGTATGATGATCCGGGGCAGAAGGTGAAAGGTTGCTTCGAGAAACTGAAAGATGTCGCTGAGAATTGGCGCTGGCTGGGTAGCTGGAGGACATATCGCTAAGCTTCTCTAGGAAGGGAATCAATTAAAGAAACAGAGCGCGTACTCCACGCGGGGCTGTGTGTCTATAATCGTGACCTATCTTAATCAATGCAGAAGCATGTGTAGGGTAAACAGGGTGCCATTGGCTAACCACTATCTTCGGGCCCGAGCCTGGTGATACCAGCCTAATCTACGGACCGTAAATCACGTACATTCTATCGGACCCTGCATAATCGCTGGAAATAGCAGCGCCTAGCGGACCGCTGCCCAGCTATTTCTACCTAACGTTACCTTACCTTACTACTATTACACCTGTAGCATCCCAACCATTGCACTTCAACAATAAGACCACCTGCCCCATCCGACTCCTCGCCGCATTCTCGCCTAGACAGCTCAACCAACATCTGCCAGAGTTTTCCGTTGACAAAGTCGCTGCATCTCGATGGAGGGGCGCCCTGCCCTGCCTAGCCTGTGAGGCTTGCCGTTCGACTGATGCTAACTGATGGTGGGAGGGGTCGAATGGAGCTACTCTACCCATTCTTGACGTCTGCCTATCCAATTGTCTACCCGAGTCCTGTTTCCTTGCTGGACTTGTTGACATATTGCATATGCCATGCTCCCCCCTCTCGGGATGTCGGCGTGGATTAATAGACTTCATTGGTTTCCCGTGTCTGCGTTCCCCCCTGGTTCGCATCCGGCCCACACAGCTCAGGCAAGTGACGTCGACAGAAGCGACTTGGCTCAACAAGCAAAAAATGCGCCCCCGATCGACCGAGGCGGCCATGTATCCGGTACTTTGGCTGGCACATCAGGTTGGGCGACCAAAAGCCTGCTCAGCGCAGCAAACTTTCACCGGTGCAATTAGTCCGGTATCGACCAGTACAGGTACCGGGGTACCTACGTGTACCTAGCTGCAAGCGACGAGCCGGCTGGGGGCGCTGCTATGCCATTATGGTTCATGCTTCCGCGCCATGTATAGTACTACTTCCGCCCAACCTGGGATGCCACACCAGAAGCTTCGCGATCTTCGCGGTCAAATCAATGAGCTAGGCCACCCCCACGCGGGCCCTGAGCTTGCTGGAGCTGGGCTTCTGTACACGGAGACTTCCAGGTAAGGTTTGATCTTGCTCAGGGCGAACAAGTACAGTACACACCTAGCTTGCTCCAATTGTCCGTACAATGTCCCTTCAGGTACGGTGATGAGGGTGGGAACCTGTTGGGATATAAACCCATTCCCCTTGCGGTTTTCATTCTGCTCGTAGACTCGCGTTCCGGCTCTCTTTGCATTCTTCGACACTTTTCGCCTTATACAAACTTTACCAAGCACCAGCAAAGCAACTCTTCACATCATGGCTCCCCGTCCTATCTTCTGCGCTACGCATCCCCGAGCTGTTTCCACAGCCTTCGAGAGGGTATGTCGTGGCGTCACAAAAGTAGACCCTGAATAGCTCGCTAACCAGTCTCAGGTTTTCATGACCCGTCGTGATACTCTGCGCTGTGTTCACGAGCCCTTTGGCGATGCCTTCTACTTTGGCCCTGAGCGCATGGGCAAACGCTTCGCCAATGACGAGAAAACCCGACAGGAGAGCGGCTACGCCAACACGACATACCGCGACGTTCTCAATGACATCGAAACGGACGGGCAGAATGAGGTTCGCTTCCTCCAACCTGGCCGTTCTGGTGACACATGCTGCGACCTCAAGTGAGGTGCACGCTATCTACAATTGCTTTTCGACATCATGCATACCTTAGACTTTGCCTCTCACCCATCCACTCCCACTCTTCTTTCGAGTTTTGCCAAACCATCACGCTCCTGGAGCGCTTCTGCGCTCACTACATAGGATATTCGTATCCCAAACCCCACTAGAACGGCCTCTCCTGCTATCATGGGGGGAGTGTCCTTGGCTTACAATTACCAGGGAAAGCGCATTTTCATCAAGGACATGGCGTACTACTTCATGGCGCCGGATGGCGAGCCCACGAGCATTGCACCTTCGCTCGGCGGCCGTCCCGAGCCCAACAATCCGACCAACATCCCTCTGGACATTCTGCGCAAGTTCAACTTCACCTTTCTCATCCGCCATCCGAGCCGCTCCGTCCCCTCTTACTGGCGCTGCACGATCCCGCCGCTGTGCGAGATCCACGGCTTCGACCACTACATGCCCAGCGAAGCTGGCTACGAGGAGCTCGTCCGTCTGTTCGACTACCTCATCAGCGAGGGGGTCGTGGACAAGGATAACCTGACCGTGCTGGACGCGGATGACATGCTCGACAACCCAGAAGAGAAGATCAAGGAGTACTGCAAGCGCACAGAGATTGACTTTGTCCCCGAGATGCTCGAGTGGACCGAGGCCGATGGCGAGGACGCTGCCAAGCACTTTGCCAAGTGGAATGGTTTCCACGATGATGCTATCCACAGCTCATCCCTCAGGCCGCGGGCGCATGCTCAGGTACGTTTCTCTCCAGATTGTGCTTTGCTCCGGTACCCGACCTAACCATCTGTCACAGAAAGCGTCGACTGTCGAGTCGGAGAATGCTGACTGGACTGAGAAGTTCGGCGCCGACGCGGCCAAGGCCATCCGTCGTACTGTCGACGCCAATATTCCCCATTATGAGTACTTGAAGCAGTTCAAGCTATAACTTCTTTTTTGGCTGTTTCCTGTTCCTTTTGTTTTTGATTTCCGGGCCAATGACGATACATGGTGGCAATAGTAGTATATCAGATACTCCCTTTTCCTTTGGTACAATATGATACAACACCGGGGCTGCAATAGCCCCCCCTCGCGGATTCTACCCGACTGTGAGGTTCGTAATACATAGATATAGACACCTTTCCCCGCACCCGCCTAGACGTTTCACCAAGACAGCCTCTTGTGGCGATATCCTCTGCGCTGTCGAGCCAATTCCTCCGCTAAGCACTGATTGGAAGAATCGCGGGCGATGACCTCTACCTGGCCGTCTGAGCATGTTCCCAACCGCGCTCATCAGCCCTTCCCTTCACGAATGCCTCGCTTCTCACGCTTCATTTGCCTCTGGAGTCGACCGCTGAACCTGCGGCGCGGGCGGCTCGGTGCCCAGCACATAGGCAGGCTTCTCCATCAAGGCGTGCGTGACATTGCTCGTCCACTCCTCCGCGTACTGCTGGTCCTGGTCGTTCTTCCACTCAATCGTGACCTGGGCCAACTTTTCCTCCAGACTGGCGTCCTCGCCCTCGCCCTTGACCTTGATGTTCATGGCATTCCCCTTGCCCATCCCCGCAAGCACGGCCGCCATGTCGGCTATCGAGTTTTTCCTCTGCGCGTTAAGCGCCATGCCGCGCTGGTGCTTATTCCGGTACAGGACCTTCTCCCGGCCCGCCGCCTTCTCCTCGGCCATGTGCTTGTGGTCCTTTCTCGAGTATTCTTGGACGGGCTTGATGCGTAGTTCGAGCGGCCAGCTGACTTCGTGGAGGTGCTTGAGTTCGCGGAGCTTCTGGAAAACGGAGCGGCCAATGTCCCCTCCGCCCTGGCCGAATTTGAGGATCGCCATGGGAGACCAGTAGTCTTTGCGCAGGGTCGCGGGCTTGAGTTTCTTGCCGTTGTACGGGAGCTGCTTGAGCTCGTGCTCGTCCTGCGACGGTTAGCAATTGCGAACGACAGCAGACAGAAAAAAGAAAAGTCGTACATCTAAGCGTGGTCGGAGCGTGTAGACTGTCTGGTCTGTCCTCCGGTGGCTCCATATCCAGATCTTCTCGCCGTGGCCCTCCTCAGGAGGTGAAGGAATCCATTTCACCTTCTTGATCTCCTTCTTGTAGCGCGCGGCGCGATGCGCTTGGCGACACCAGGTTTTTGACAGGCTGATCAGAGGCTGGCCAGCCCGAAACGACGGTACTGCACTCATATCGGGGACGTGCTGTGTGTTTGCGTTCCAGGTTGGTACTGTCGATTGCAAGTCCCAGCGTTGGCTCCGGGGAAATTCTTCCTCATCGCGAGGTCACGTGAGCGGATCCCTGGCGTCTGGACTTGCTGCCGTGGGAGAACACCAAGCCATGACCTCACCCTTCAGGCAGTGCTCCCCCTTGTGTAACAAGTCCTTCTCGTAGAATTGTGAAAGGGAGTTATTGTCAAGCATACCACATCTGTTATTCAGCATCAGGTAATGACAAATATAACACATAAAGCTACATTCTAGCGCATAACATTTTCTTAAGACATTGACTATCAGAGAAAAAAAAACATGGACAGACTACCTCCCATGTGAAAAGCCAGAACAGGTGAGCGTTGCCAACATGGACCTGCACAATCAATTGGGAGAGCCACGATCCGATTTGCTAGCCTCTGAGCAACGAACACCGGCACTCAGCTTCTCAATCATTGTGCGGAGGCTGTCGCCAACCGCGTATGGTTATTGTCAAGCATACCACATCTGTTATTGAGCATCAGGTAATTATGCAAATATGACACATGAAGCTATGCTCCAGCGCATAATATTTTCTTGAGACATTGACTCAACTATCAGAGAATGGACAGACTACAGAGAATCCCCATTGAGCTCCTTTACCTCGTGGTGCAGCATCTCGAACTGCGAGAAGTCGCTGCAGTGGCACGCACGTGCCATAACCTATCCGCGAAGCTAAGACGACACTTCTACCATTGCATCGATGCGCCAGCATTCAAATATGCCGCTCGATACGGACGGATTCGCACTATCCAAGGTGCACAGCATGCTGGCGTCGACGTGTCGTACGGCCTTCTGCTACCTGTGGCGATAGCGTGCAGACAATCAGCCTTTGTCGACTTTTTACTCCAGGGGGGCTGGATCACGCCAGATCATGTTCGCGAAACAAGGCAGGATGCCTATGGGAACAGAACCGCGCTCTCCTGGGCTGCAGAAGTTGGGCCCTTGTCGCTCGTTGGCAGACTGATGGCGATATCGGGCGTTCATGCCAACTTACGCGACTTTCACCAGGCCACGCCCTTGCATCGAGCCGCAGCACATGGCCATCTGGACATTATGACCTATCTCCTTGATCATGGTGCCAATTTGGACGCAAAGAACAGTGGTGCAAATGCAACACCGATCACGCACGCCTGCACCTCGAACGCGAAGGAGGATACCAAGATCGCCGTCGTTGCTCTCCTCCTCCGTCGAGGTGCCGACGCGGAGAGTTTTGACCCTGTCAGAAGGAAAACTAACGTCTGCCATGCGCTTGACCGCCATCACTATCGCCTCGCAAGGTTTCTGCTGGAAAATGGTGCCAATACCGAGGCATTTCGTGGAGCTATTGGACAGGCACTTCTGGTTACTGCAATCTCCCAAGGCGATGACAACCGTGTTCGCCTCCTAACCGATTATGGCGTCGGTTTCAATGAGCACGGGCCACGGGGGTTGGTGCGATACCTGGAGCTGGCCATTCCTAGGAGCTTCACGTTTCGGGTCGATAGAACCAGCATCATGAACCTGCTCCTAGAGAAGATCTCAGGCCAGTCGCCCCCATTTTTCGAACGGGGGTCGTGTCCGGAGTTGGATCGGGCACTAAGAGTGGCCATCACACGCGGCCAATACAAGCTAGCTGCTCTGCTTCTGGCGTCCGGCGGAGATATGAATGCTGCGGATCCCCATGGCTACACGCCGCTCAGCATCGCCGCCGCGGCAGAGCCACCTGGTTCACCCTATGGGCACGGTCTTGGATCGCCGAGCGCTTATGGCCTTGCACGAGCCATGCTGGGACTCGGCGCAGATCCCCTTGCCCATCCTCCAAGGCAAACTCCATCGCGCGATGTTTGCCAAGATACATCGGCTTTGCATGCTGCCGTGTCAAGAGGCAACATTGCGCTGCTCAAGTTGTTTGCAGAGCATGGCTTCGATATCACAGCCGCACACGGCGAAGGGCGAGAGACAACAAGTGCTCTTCACGCGGCATGTGTACATTATCAAAGTCCCGTGGCTCAGTATCTTCTGGAGGAGCATGGAGCTCATCCGTCAAAGAGGAATGGCAGGGGCAAGGCACCAATGCACCTCGTTGCACACCATGGCTACCCTGAGCTTGTGGACTTGCTGTTCAAACATGACGCCGAGCTTGACGCAAAAGACGACGAAGGCTCGACTCCTCTTTTTATGGCATGCGCAACAGTGCATGAGCGCGTGGCTCGTCTGTTACTGGAACGGGGCGCCGATGCTACGAGCTCTGGCCAGCAGGATGGCATAACTCCTCTTCATTGCATCGCTGGGCGATGGGGCTCTTTGGAACTTTTAGACTTGCTCATACAGCACGGCGCAGATGTATGTGCTGTCACTGAGCAAGCAATGACGCCGCTCTTTGAAGCATTGGCGGCTTGGGGTGAGGATGGGACTGATTATGCTGAGCAGAGTCTAAAGATTCGACTGCTAGTCAAGCACGGAGCAGTGACGCATCTGCGATTCATGCATCGACTTGCGATGCTAAGAGAGCGGGCCAAGGGCACACTCAAGGGCGAAACGTTAACTTGAAGTGGTCGATCATCAACAGACCTAATTCCGATATTAGCCAGCCAGTGGTTAAAGCCAGATCATGTCTCGTCATGAGGCTGGATGGTGTGGTACGCCACACGGATGGCTACGTAAGTCTCTACATGCACATCAACGACCTGGCGAGGCATGCATGGAATTCTTGTCGAATTCTCGTGGGCTTAATCGACTCCAATCGCCCTCGATCATCGACCTTGAGCCCAAACTCAATTCGTGGCCTGGCACGCATTGTGCAGGCAGCACAACGTTACAGGCTGCACTTGAACCGTCCCACATTCCCAGACAATCCTTAGCCAACAGCCACTACAGAAAGAGACCTGGAGGATTGTAAATCGGAGCTGCTGTTAGCTCCCGCAGGCATTGACGGAGGTAAAGTTCTAGTAGCTCTGGCTCAATTGGGGGAGCTTCGAGTCATTCCTACCAATTAATACGCTAGCGGAAAGTCAGCTCCGAAGAGACTGTACAACTATGTAGAGCTTGCATTCCTTGACCCGAAACTCTCAGTGCTCACTCTGCAGGTCGTCCTCCGCTCACATCGTATCAATGGCCATGATCGTGAAGAGTGAGTGACTCTGGCCCCGCATCTCCATCAATGCTCTGCTAAAATCAGGTGACATCGAGTTGACTGCAAGGGCTTGGCGAATTAGAGTAAGGCAGCCCCCCACTGCGGCCCGAGGGCTACGAGTGACATCACTCGCCTGCTATTCCTTGGGCTTCTGGCAGGTTCTCGCTAAGTCAGGTAGCTACTGCCAACTTCCAGACTATCCGACATCTTGCTCAAAGCCTCCAGTCTCTGGGAGTCCCAGGGTCAACTGGATCCTACCAGACTTTGTTGGTCCAGAGTATAATACTTCCTCGTGCAACCCAAACCTTCAACTCGTATTTCTCCTCTCCATCATCTTCAAGAACATCAAGCGGGTTAAAACGTTCGAGCCCAATTCACAACGCACACTCACCGTCACACACAAGCGTTCACACTTTCCACTCGTAACTTGATCAGTCCATACGACTCAATATATACAGAGTGCAAGGCTTTCGAGCCTATACTGAGCAAACTCATCTCACACACCTCTTACCGCCACTATGAATCCACGCATGGAGTTCACCGACCGGGCGCAGAAGGCTGTTGAGGATGCCATGGCTCTAGCTGAGCAGTACGCTCACTCGCAGCTGCTCCCGATACATCTCGCTGTTTCACTCTTGGACCCTCCACCAGATCTGTCCAAGGACCAGCAAAATGGTCCAGGACAACCCGTCACCCTCTTCCGGCAGGTTGTGGAGAGGGCTAAGGGTGACCCCCAACTGTTTGATCGCGCCCTCAAGAAAAGCCTCGTCCGTCTGCCGAGTCAAGATCCGCCTCCAGAGCAGGTATCCTTGGCACCGTCTTTCCACGGAGTGTTGCGGAAGGCTCTAGAGCTCCAGAAGGTGCAGAAGGACACGTACATTGGCGTTGATCACCTCATCACCACATTGGCCGACGAGCCTAGCATCCAGGCTGCCCTGAAGGAAGCCAACATTCCCAAACCGAAGCTATTGCAAGATGCTGTTCAAGCCATCCGCGGCACCAAGCGCGTGGACAGCAAGACTGCCGACACCGAAGAGGAAAATGAGAACCTTGCCAAATTCACCATCGACATGACGGCCATGGCACGGGACCAGAAGGTTGACCCCGTCATTGGTCGTGAGGAAGAGATTCGCCGAGTTATTCGAATCTTATCGCGGCGAACCAAGAACAATCCGGTCCTCATTGGTGAGCCCGGTGTCGGAAAGACCACCGTTGTGGAAGGTCTCGCTCAGCGCATCAACAACCGCGATGTGCCAGACAACCTGAAGCACTGCAAGTTGCTCTCTCTCGACGTTGGTGCCCTGGTGGCTGGTAGCAAGTATCGCGGAGAATTCGAGGAACGCATGAAGGGTGTCCTGAAGGAGATCGAGCAGTCAAAGGAGATGATTGTTCTCTTTGTTGATGAGATCCATCTGCTCATGGGTGCTGGTTCCTCAGGGGAGGGTGGCATGGACGCCGCCAACTTGCTCAAGCCGATGCTGGCCCGCGGACAGCTACACTGCATCGGTGCGACCACACTTGCCGAGTACAGGAAGTACGTCGAGAAGGACGCCGCCTTTGAGCGACGTTTCCAGCAGGTTATTGTCAAGGAACCCTCCATTCCTGAGACCATTTCTATTCTTCGTGGTCTCAAGGAACGGTACGATCGACACCACCGAGTCACAATTCTCGACAATGCTCTAGTGGCCGCGGCCAACTTGGCTGCCCGATATTTGACTTCGCGTCGCATGCCTGATTCTGCCATTGATCTGGTCGACGAAGCGGCCGCGGCCGTTCAGGTGGCCCGGGAGTCACAGCCCGAGATCATCGACTCTCTTGAGAGGAAGCTTAGACAGATCACCATTGAGATCCTTGCTCTCGAGAAGGAGAAGGACGAAGCTTCGCAAATCCGCTTAGCAGCCGCCAAGAAGGAGGCCGCCAATGTCGAAGAGGAGCTGCAGCCTCTTCGCGAAAAGTACCAGAACGAGATCAAGCGCAGCGAGGAAATCCACCAGGCCAAGGTGAAGCTCGATGAGTTCGAGAAGCGCCTGGAGGAGGCCATGAACATGGGCGACCATGCCAAGGCAGCTGATCTCAAGTACGGCGCCATTCCTGAGCAGCAACAGCGCATCAAGATGCTTGAAGAGCGCAAAGTCCAGGCCGATGCAGCTCTCAACGCTGCCGGTGGAGACACAGGCACTTCCATGGTGACAGATATTGTGACCGCGGACCACATTAACGAAATCGTCGCCCGCTGGACCGGCATCCCGGTGACGCGTCTCAAAACCACGGAGAAGGACAAGCTCATCAACATGGAAAGGGTACTCGGAAAGACAGTCGTTGGACAAAGGGAAGCTGTCCAGTCTGTGGCGAACGCAATTCGCCTGCAACGCTCCGGACTGGCTAACCCAAACCAACCCCCAAGCTTCCTCTTCTGCGGCCCATCGGGTACAGGTAAGACTCTTCTTACCAAGGCCCTGGCCGAGTTCCTCTTCGACGACCCGAAGGCCATGATACGCTTCGACATGTCTGAGTACCAGGAACGTCATGCACTGAGCCGAATGATTGGTGCGCCTCCTGGCTACGTCGGACACGATGCGGGTGGCCAGCTCACGGAAGCTCTCCGCCGCCGACCTTTCTCCATCCTTCTCTTCGATGAGGTTGAAAAGGCTGCAAAGGAGGTCCTCACCGTCCTTCTGCAGCTCATGGATGACGGACGCATCACAGACGGCCAAGGCAGAGTTGTCGATGCGAAGAACTGCATTGTGGTCATGACATCCAACTTGGGTGCTGAGTACCTTACGCGGAGCAATAAGGAAGGACGTATCGACTCCAGCACTCGGGAGTTGGTCATGGGGGCTCTGCGGAACTATTTCCTGCCCGAGTTCCTCAACCGCATCAGCTCGACTGTCATCTTCAACCGTCTGACGCGGGCCGAGATTCGGCGCATCGTCGATGTGCGTCTCAAGGAGATCCAAAAGCGGCTGGAGGACAACGGTCGCAAGGTCTTTATCGATGTGTCGGACGAGGCAAAGGACCATCTTGGTGCCGCTGGCTACTCGCCCGCCTACGGTGCCCGTCCTCTGCAGCGTCTTCTCGAACAAGAGATCCTCAACAAGCTCGCCATTCTCATCCTGCGCAACAACATCCGCGATGGGGAGACTGCGCGCGTCGAGCTTGACGATGGACGCATCGTTGTCATTCCCAACCACCCTGACAGCGATACTGGAGAAGATGAAGAGATGGTGGACGATTCGGATGCAGTCGAGGAGATTGCTGGTGATGATATGGAGGAGGATTTCTACCAGTAGACCAATAGGTGGTCGCTGCTGACACGAAGACATGACATGATGAAAGGCGTTTCGGGCATAGCACTGGATTTTAGCATTGGCATACGTTAAAAGTTTCATTCAATCAACGTAAATATTGGAACAAGATTCATTTTACTGCTATGATATTTCCGTGATCTCATCTCTGATGTTTTATGAGCCCTTTTCAGGACACTCCCATAAAAACATCGTTCCCGTTGTCCCAGCCCAAGTCGTCCAGGAACGTAGACCAGTCAATATCCTGGAGGGGGTCCATGATTCTAGGTGTGTACGTCGCCTCTTGCGGCGGAGCGGGCGCCAACTTATCTACCGGTCGTGGAGGTTCTGCGCAAAGCAATGTCAGTGCATGTCTTGTGTCCAATCGTCCCATTGTCAACTCACGTATCGCTTCCACTGCCTTTCTTGCGCCCTCAGAGCTCCTCTGCGCCCCGTGCAGTGTGGTCTGGAACCTGTGCAGACACCGGAACAGCGCGCAGGCGCCGAGCCGGTTCGGCCATGCCTCGGTAGCAAGATCGCTCTTGGGTGCTAGGTCACGGCACTGCCAGAAGCCCTGCATGAGTGTCGCGGCGCGGAACGCAAGGTCGCCGTCGCGTATGGAGCAGGCGACGACGGCCGCGTGGCACTGGTTCATAAGGTGTTGCTCGGGGGTGACACCCTCTGGTGGCGTGTCGAGGGGCGGCGGGTGGTGGGAGTGGAGGGCGGACACGAGGACGACGCTCGAGGTGGCGATGGTGTGGAAGACCCATAACGGGGCGTTGGTGAGAAGCTGGATGCCGGGGATGGCTGTGAGGGCGTGGGCTGCGGCGATGACTTTCTTGGCGGTGAGGAGGGCGCGGGTTGTGTGCATGGCGAGGTTTGGCGAGGCGTCGTGGGGGGGGGAGCAGAAGTAGTATGCCTGTATCTCTTGATGGGCGGCGAGAAGGAGGAAGCGTGTGAGCTCTGTGCGCGTGCGTGTTAGCGGAAGAATGCCTCCCAGAGAACAGCAGGGGGAGCATGGGTGGGGGGTTAGATAAAAGGTACCTGTGTCGTGGCGGACGAGTTGCGACTTGACAGTCTCAAATTCATCTTCCCACCCGCTGACGAGGCTCTCGACGACGTGGCCGTTGGAGGCGATGTGGGATGCCATGGCGAGATGCAGGCGGTTGAGGTAGCGCTGGATGTCGAACATGGTGATCAGATCCGCCCACTCAGGCGCGGCAAGGGCTCGTTTCGCCGGCCCGTCGTTGAGCTGGATGGTTGGCGGAGGATGCCCAAGAGCCGCTGCTGTTCTGGTTGTTGCTTCAGTATACTCCTCGATAAGGGGGTTTGCAAGGTCGGCGTACCTTTGAGCCAGAGAGCACGCCATGAGCCATGTGCAGGAGGCTTCCTCGTCTGTGGACGAAAAGTGAGATCTTGCGCCGATGCAGAACTCCGGATGGCGCCCCTTTCCCGTGTGCAGGCCCATGGACAGGCAGAAGTTGAGTGCCGCGCCCGAGAGGACCACGGACGGGTCAGTCACCAGGCGGATGGTCGGCAGCGGCCATGCGCAGATGATCAGCATGGCATGCACGGCCTCGATGCCCATGAGTGGACTGCCCGGAAGCGTCCATATCTCCTTTGACAACCACTCGACAAGCGCGTCAAACAAATTTGTCGAAGTTCCGGCTCTGCGGTGACGCCGCGTCACGACGAAGATGATGATCCAGAAAAGCACAGGGCTGGCCGCGTAGCATTCGTCTGGATCTCGTTTGGCGAGCACCGGTACGAACGGGTGGAAGAGCCCGAGATAGCTACAGACATGAGCCAGGGCCTGGGTTTCATCGTGCGGTGGACCTACGTATCAAAGTACCAGTCAATGTCCTCGCCCGTGACAACGTGAGAGTCAAGAGTCCGCGGTTGGCTGGGACTTGCTTTCCAAGGCCTTTGAGCGCGCGCAGACAGCATCTGACATTTCGACGCCGCAACACGGGCATCCGCGGTGGCCGCTCCTGGCGTCGGGTAGAAAGCTGACTTTTGTGCCGTGGACGACTGTGAGTTGCTGGAACAAGAGCCGATCCTCGGACTGGATGGTCGTGGTGGAAGTGCCCGCTGCTCATGTTGCACATTGGGCAAGACAGCTTGTTTGATAGCATCCAAGTCCTTTTCCAGCTTTTCCATCTTACTGTGGGCATATCAGAAGAGCCACTCAGAGGGAGATATCCTTGGACAAAAGGGGACTCGCCTCCGCTTGGTAGTCCGCCTGTGCGACTTATTCACCACACACGAGATGTCTAACTTTGCGCATCTTTGACAGGGATCGCCCGGAATTGGGCTGATCCTGCATTTGACCTAGATGCCTGGTATTAGTTGGATTGTTAAGGACCAGACATGGACAGTACAGGACAGTACAGGACAGTACCTTTGAGTCGCGGCAGCTGACACACGCAATGTTGCGTCGTATACGCTGCTCGTCGTCAGGCGAATACCCGTTGCTGGCGGACGCCATTCTGCTTCGCTCACAACGCCGCGCACATAAGTAGACACAAATAAGTCTTTTCCAAATTACATCTCGACGTTATTGTTCAGACGTGTCTTATTGATACCCAACGAGTTGAGATATCACGAGCTGTGAGCCTGTGATGCTTGCGAGTCGAGGAGCACTGACGCTTATGTCCGAACTCCGGAGCGCGGAATGAGGTCACGTGACCCCCCTGGCACGACACGCGAGGCATAAGCAGGTGACATCTAACGGCTCATCTATTGAACTGCATACTCGTATGATGATTGCCGTCCATAGAAGAGTATCATCGGCTCTTCTTTTCGACCTTTGCAGCCCTTGCCTCCCGATCACTGTTCGTCTGCGCCCGGACCAATTGCCAAAGCACCCACAGAAATCCTAACCCGACAACAGCCGCAGTACCAGCACCAACCCAAGAAGCCGCTTTCTCGTCAACGACCGGTACCGTGATGCTACTCACCAGCCGTCCGTCACTTTCACTGGCTGGCTGGGGCGTGACATGCCAGTACACCGTATCGTCATCGAAGAGGTCATCGTATCCCAGACCAACCTTGTCAAAGGGGTTGATGGCAAAGTTTGTGCCTTGCTCCGCAGCACATGCCCAGAACACCACTGGGTACGCCACGTGAATTTCCCGCTCACCGGTGGCCGAGGGCTCAAGGTATCTCAGATGCAGTGGTACTTCGGCCGTCCACTCCTCCTGCGTCGTACTTGGAGGGGCGAGCTCGAGAAGAATGTTAGATCCCCATGTTTTCGTTGTATAGGCTGGTGCCTCGAGGTCTACCGGAACACTAGCGTGCCGCAGGGCGGTCAGATTCTTCGATGCCATGAATAAGTCGTCGTGCAGCTGGTATCGATCTACAAAGATGGTCTTTGGGAGGGTTAGGAAGGCGTAGGAGCGGCAATCCTCTGCAGGCGCCTGACTGCCGCTCAAGCTGATTCGCATGGCCGGGTGTAATCCAGTCGGTTGGTTAAAGGTGGCTTGGAAGGATTGCTCCATGGATCGATGTCGTTCAGCAAATTTGAATAGCGTGGGCGAAGGTCGCTTCGAGTCACCAAGAACAAGGGTGATGCCTCCGAGCCCAATGTCGTGTTGCTCCATGCTAGGAGGGGAGCCTCGCGCCATGATGCCGACTTCAGTCCTCCGCCCATCACTTGAAGTGATATCCAGGGTTCTCTCCTTGAATGGCCAGAAACCTGTGATCTTGGCGACTGGCTTGTCGGCGTCATAGGCGAATTCCAAGCTCGAGGCGTCGTTGAGCTCTCGAGCCCGGGACCGGCATTCCTCATTGTCGCCGCAAACATCAGCATAGGTTTTGAGGATGAGGTGAGAATGGTCAAGGAGTTGGTAGAAATAGTGCACGTCGTGGGGCGTGTTTTTGTCGTTCTTGCTCGCGACGGAGGTGAATGCCTGGGACCTAGTTGAACAGCATATCCCGCCATAGAAGGAGATTCCCGTACCTCTCGTGACATGCAATCTAAAGACCCAAATGCCTGCAGCAGCTCGCATAATTTTTGTCTGTGCCATTGTTCAGTGACTTTGGTCATAGGGGCGCGATGTATGCGCATGTATGAGGCTGGCCTACGGTTCGAGATCAGGCTCACCCTCCTTCAGGAGAGAATACGACACGTGCAAGCCGGGCGAGAGTCGCGCCGCATACGGCTCAATAGTCTGGTACGGCTCCGTGCTCACCGAGCCCACATGCAAGGTCCGGAAGTCCTGAAGCAGGCGGGATACATGGCTCGGCAGCTCATCCAGGGCGGCGGTAAGTCGGTCCTCACGTGCTGCTTGGATGGCAGGCGCCTTTAAACGTGCAGGTTCCAAGACAAGCTCAGCTGGGTCCACGCCATCTTCGGGACTGTGTATGAACGTTATTCTCTCGCGCATGTTGCGTGTTGTGATGGGTGATGTGTTAGCTGGGCATGTACCCAGGATGCGTGACCATTGGTTGCGAGACGGATGCCACGATGTCCAAGTCACGGTCACGGTCGACAGCTGGATCCGCTTTTCCTGTCAGCGGCTAATGGATCCTTTTACCTACCCTATACCATCTGGATTTCGACATGTTTACATGCGGACTCGCAGAATAATAATAGCCCAAGACGTGTTGCTTCTTGTCCATACCCAGCACTGTGCCTCTCGGGAAAGTTGCCTGTCATGCACGTCTACATGAGTTGTTGGGTGATATTCCATCTACAAACATGAAGTCAAGGTGGCATCTTGATGAGCTGGCGATGTGATTATCTGACAATGTCACCGTTAATCGCAGCCCTAATTAGGCCATGCAAGGACAGCACTGTTTCATGTTGAAACTGCCCCCTACCTGGATCCCAGCAGATTGGAACATCGCAGAGGCTGATGAATTGTAAAGTGTCGGTTTCCCATTGCTTTTGCTCCCTGCCGTTTCTTCATGCACCTTGATCATTGATCATGCATGTACGTACATGTCTGTGTCTGTGTTTGCAATGCTTGCAGACAGGTCAAGGCCAACATTCACACTGAATACATTGGTCAGCGATTACTACTCGTGGACTGCGGCTGCCACCACTGCCACCGCTTCCAGATGTGTGACAAAGGACTGTCCTCAAGGATGACGCACCGTAATATTGGCATTGGCATTGATCCAGATGGTCCCCTGCCGAGATCACGAGGGAAGAAGCATGGAACTGGGAATCGTGCTTGTTTGACAGGACGCTACGACCCGCTCTTAGAGCCCAGTTATGCAGCGTGATAGGCCCGGAGCGATCAATTGCCGGCGGAAGAGGTGCATGAGCGCTGAGCGGTCATTCTAGGAAAAGACATGGATTCTCTATCTCCCTGCAAGCGGAATCGCTTCTCCACGCGCCCAGGGGGGGAGAGGGAAGACCCTCACTAACCAACCGCTACAGCCAGCCTACAGCACTGTGAGGCTCCTCGATGGTGATGCTGTCCAGGCCATCGGTGGCAGTTTTGTGAGATGTGATGAGCTGGCAGGGGCTATGACGGCTCGAATTCCGGGTTCGCGGAATTCAGTAAAAGAAGCGAAGGGGTAATTAAGCGAAAAGATCAAGCGATGAAACCCCAATCTTTATTTAGTCTTATCGCCTTGTTCACTAATAGTGCGCTGAAACTATTAACCAGGCACATAGCCAGGCTCAGCCTTAGGACAGCCCACATCACTAGCAGTCTTGTAATTGAATCACTTTCATGTTTGCTGACGGTGCGTGTAGACTATAGGAATTGGGCAGAGACACATGAGTACCCAGTGCTCGGCACGCGTCGCGCCCAAAGTAAAAGTATAATGCTGATGTTTTGTCTGACGAAGCCTCAGACATTTGCCCTGCGTGATGCGATGCATTTACATGAGCCGACTCGTCTGAACAAGTTCCGCCGTGCGGGGCTTATAGCAGTCACGGACTATAGTTACCCTGTTTCCGACTTGCCGTACGTATAAGTGCTGGTTACAATTATCACTGCGTATAAGACACATGATCCTCACAGGTACCTAGGTTCCTGTGCTATGTGTCGCCACAAGTAATGACCCCGAGGTTCTTCGGCAGTAGATCGACGCAGCAATGCAAGGCTTGACCTTGTTGCACAATGCCGTATCAATCATCAAACATGGCGCCCAGGTGCCCTGCTCACTCGGCAGTCCGACCCCCGCAAAGGAAATGCAGGCATTTCATCACTCTCACAGTGAATTCGAGAGCCTGCTTTCCTAATCTGACAGACTCGTCAAAGTTGAATGCTCCTGAAATATGTACTACATACATACTGATTTGGTATGGTAATACGTCGTACGTACCTTAGTACTTACGCACACTAACCGAAAGACCCCTGCCCTGGCCAGCGGTCAGAAAGGTGGACGGAGCTGCCGCCCGGGACGCATTGTTTCGGATGCAGGGGCAGGGGTCCGAGGCTGTCAAACTCGGCGCAAGTGCCCCGAAACGGTTGACATGCATGTCAGATGTCAGAATTGACAACACACGGCTTTGAGCAGAGAGCAACTGCTTGAAGGACAGGACTGGCGAAGGCTTGCCGTTTCCCTCATCAACTCATCAAGGATATCACATCCTCGTCCACATGGTGCCCCGAGCCTTGGGCAAGGGAGCTAGCTTGTGCGTTATGACTTGTGAGTGCTCTGGAGCACGCCCCAGCTGCCCCTTCGTTCATTCCCCCATCTGCCGTCGATGGACCTCGCAGACTCTCCGAGTCTCTGACGCTTTGTCTATGCAGCGAGCCAGCCTGCATCGGAGACGGCTAGTGACGACGGCAGTGAGATTGAATAGATATGAATGAAGGGCGACCGGCCGGATCCTCGTCATGGAGGATACGTACACATGTATGGTACGTATTTCGACCGGCAGTTGCATCTTTTTTTTTTCAGTGCAATGGATTACCCGTAGAATACCAATACGTACACGATCGACGTCGACCACAAGTTCCAACGTACCTGCAGCATTGCCAGCAGAAGGTGACACTGTCGGCCACCACGAGATCCCTCACATATGAATACAATGACTTGATACCGGCAGTGTGCCCAATTCCGTAAGCGTTTGCCGGTGGCGCGCCAGAAATGAAGACTCTCAGGTCACCGCAGTCTCTCCTCTTCGCTGCTACGTCGTAACATGAGAGTCGCACCGAAGGCCCTGATGACATGCAGGATGCCGGTGATGGGCTGTGCGGGCACGCCAAACGTGTCGGCTGACTGGCGAAACGGTGGTACAAAAGCCTCATTGGTGAGTCTACCGGCGGGCTGGTCGTTGCACACGGACGCACCGAACCGACGCCGATGGTGGACAGAGCCCGAGGAAGCGGTTCGTGATGCCTCCTTGTGGCATGCGGGTTGCTGGATGACACGCGAATTCTCGATGCGGGATATGCCGCGATGTGATGCTAGCTGAGATGGGAGGCGACTGAGGTGCTCTCCATCTCCGTGGTTCGCACAGTCGGTACGTTGAGCTTGTAGCATGTGAGCGTGGACATTGAACAGTAGAGTAGTACATGTACCTGGCGATGAAGGCTCACCTTGCTGAGGCACCTTGGACTGAGAACCTGCTGCCTGAGCTCACCCTTGATGAAGAAGCGCACGTGATAAAGATGAAAGATGAATCAGATGAGATGAGGCACGCGAGAGCATGACGACAGCTGCGCAACTGCCCCAACCTTCCTTCCTTCCTCAGTTCCTTCTTTCCGTCCATGCTTTGATTAGGCAGCCACTTCCCTTATGCCATCGCCTGCATGAGAGTTTGCCGTGCGTCGATGCCGTTGGACGTGACACTGCATCGGAGCCCTCATTCTTCAGGTCGACACAAACTCCAACGCTGCTCAGAGCGATGAACAACAGGCAACCAGCTCGTGCCTGTGCGAGATCTCTCCTGCCCTCGGATCAAACCCTCATCCGGGGGTAGACCGCCTTGAAACGAGTCGACTCAGCATTTGGCAAGGCATCCTGCCAGCTGCATCCTCACGCCGAAGAGATGACCATCTTGATGCAGTTTGCTGTGGAAAATCTGCAAGGTTCGGTATGCCCAGGCCCCAAACCAACATGTCGGGATGGCAGCCATGGGCGCACTCGGGCACATGCTCGCTGGCCGTCTCGAGACCAGGGCTGCTAATTACAGCATCATGCATCCGAGCTTTCGGTCGTGCGGATTCCGTCCTGTTCACCTGAAGAGACGCTGACGGCCTCAGATCGCACAGCCGCCTCCAGCATTTCCCATCTATATCGCCATGCGAGGCTATCAAACGATACAGGAGCAACAGGAGTCTCCCGACTAACAGTACGTAGCTGGCCTTGCGGGTATAATTAATTACTGAACATCTCCACCAGCGATATGTGCGGATACCTTTACACCCAATTTGCCAATTGCACGCCTACGAGCTCCACACCAACAGATTCGGGCCCGATCGCACCCCGGTGATCGTCGGTGCCTCCCTTGCACAGATGCTTGTCGAGGGCCACCCAATCGCATCTCTCCGTCTCGAGGACACGAGGACATGTCACTGCAGGATCATGGAGATTGTGCACTGTGGCACAAGGCCAGAAAAAGCAAGCAAGTGATGGTCAGCACACACAGCCCGGGGAATTGGGTGATCGGGCGCCGCCTGCAAGATGGACGTAAATTTGCGGCGTCCGCCTCGCTCGAGATTTTGACAGCTCTTAAGATCTGGCACCTGTCACACATGGGGACAATGTCAATGGGCGACAGGCGACCGGGGTTGCCCGCCCACATCACAAGAGGGTCATCATCGGCCGCCCCTTGTCGTGCAGTGACACTCCAGCCATGCCAGTAAAACAGGGTGAAACCACATCAACCAACTAACTCTGCACAACTCAACAGGACCTGACGAGTCCAGTCGACTTCGGCAATTAAGATGGGAAAAGGAGGGTTGGTTCCCAGGACCTTGGCACTGGAATTGTTGGCGTAGCGAAAGCCAGCAGCCACCACGCCGCGGCGGGCGCCGCGCGAGGCTCCGAACTCCTGGGTCGAATTGTCGTGAGAAGGTCTGAAGAATGGTGCACTGGTGATGACTGATCACCGGTACTCGCAGCAACAACAAAAAGGCATCTTGAACGGACCGACCTACAGAATGGAGCTAATAGATGAACCGGCGCTGGAGGCTTTGGCCGGCTAAGTGGACCATCCATCTCACTCGCGGTTTCGCGCTTCGAAGCCCCTGCGCAATCATCACTGCGTACGCACGGATACGTACTGGTTTTCAGTAATAAAATGATAATTCATCAACACCAACAAGCCAGGTCGAGCCGGATCCGAAGAAACCTGGCGAGCCAGCCACAGGCACCGATGCCCGCGCCCTTATTAATTATTAGCGGTCGTCGGCGCTAGCTTTCACGGCCGCGACACAGCCACCGTACCAAGGTTCGGCGACCTGCCTCCTGTGCGCAGGTCCATTGTACCATTGGGGGTTAGAGCGATTCCTTTCGTGCCAGCTGAGCAGCTGCACATGGCTGAGCATGGATTGATCGTCTTGCTCTGCTGGTCACTAGCGCCTCGAGTGATGAGTGTAAGATCAACTCCAGTCTTTTGATGAGGCCGGCGGGTGACATCCATGTCATGGGCGCCTTAGCGCTGAAGATTAGTAGGTGGCAACAATGGACGTGCTCAGCCTGCCACGACTAGAGCAGCGGGAATAACACGTTCCTACCAAGATGTGCCGACTATTCGGGACTTTGGACAGCGATATGGATGAGCTGTCACTGTCAGAGGGCTCGACTTCTCATCCACCGACTCATCACCTCACGACGACGACAGCAAGACCAACTTGGCCTTGGTGCTGTCTTCAAGTGTCAACCGCCATGCAGCCGTGCGCGAGAGACGTCTAAAGAGACACAATCGAGTTAGCTGCCTTCCTTCATGTTTCCGCCGGGCTTCCTCATTAGATGTCCCGGGGCCCTTGCTGATCACTGGTCCCGCTGGGAACCTTCACCCGCCAAGCGACAGCTCGTTGGGTCGGAGTCGCTCTGGTGGGAAAAGGACTGAAGCTGAGAGCACGCCCCCTGGCGTCAGCCCCTGGAGCATGGTGCACCCCCGGAGCGTGGTCATGATCCCAGCGTCGGGTGTCACCACCCATGAGCGTGGGACTGCCTCAGCCACTGGACGCTAGCTTCACACCCACCCTGCTTGCTTCTGGCGGCCCCTCGACGAATGCTTCACTGACATTACGGGGGTTCCTTTCTTCATCTCGGACGTTGGCATTGGCTTGGGCGCTTGGCGGCCATGGAGCCAAGTTCTGATCGTCGGACCCATGCTTCGCACACCTCGTCCCATTCGGCTTAGTTCGCCTGGCAGCCGTCCTGGCTGATCCCCGCCTCCACACATGTGCATGAGCATCTGGTGGTGGTGGCTCTTTTAAAGATCTGGGACCTCCTTGATCGCCCGGCTTGCGTCCACCAAGATCTCAAACAAAGTCTTGTTCCCTTCAATAATTCATACAGCGTCTTTTGTTCTTGCATAGACATCTAATACTCGAAGCAAACCGCCTACGAATATCCTAATACCGACCAACGCCCACAACTGCTCGCTCACCAAACCCCGAGGATTCAACTTGATCCGCCATAGGCACACACATCTCTTCTGCGTTCACTGCCCGCCATCGATTGTTGGTTGGCTGGGTCGAGCTCACCCTCCCGTTGCGTACCTTCTGGTAATGGATGATAGCCCAACAGTGGCAGTCCAGTCGAATCAGCACCAAGAACACAACAAAGCCAAACGACACCTGTCACCCCCATCTTCCACGATGGCCATGATCGCACCAGCACCGACGGCTCACATTGGGTTTGCCAAAGAATACACATGGGATCTCTCCCGCTTTCAGTCTTATCCTCAGCACAACTCGAGCTCGAATGCCGTGTCTCTGCCCTCGATCCGCCACGTACGTATACAAGCCCACAAACTCTCACATGTTCGCTAACACAAGTGAAGCAATTCCCAGATTTGCTATCTCCCTGCACATCACCCGTCCACTCCGCCGAGCTCTCACCACACACTCCTGCGACTGGGCACTCGACATCTCAGGCCTACGTCTACTCTCCCCCATCAACCAAGAGGCGGAGAACGCCCATCGACGATGAGTTCGAGAGACAGCGGGCAAGGCAAATACCCCGACTCCTCCACCATGGCGAACAGCAGGGTCATGAAGCACGATCACCGCATGCCACATTGCCAGTGGCCCCTCCTGCTCCCGTGGAGATGTCCGAACGGAGCTTGCACGTGGAAAATGGCCCTGCCGCACCCAATTTCCCTCCTACTTTGAGCACCGAGAGGCCTGTCGCTGTGCGACCTGTGGCTCGTGGCTCCCACTTGGACGACTATCGAGACACGAAGACTCACCACGCTCCTCATCAGGCACACCAAGTACCGCCTCCTGCGGCTGCCGAGAACACGCACCGTCATGCTGGGCCGGCTTACGACTTTGCTTACCGACACCCGAGTCAGACGCACACAGCAAGCTCTCCTCATCACACATACGAGCGCTCTCCCTTCTCTGCTGGCACCTACACACGCCACTCATACCCCGAGTACCCTCGTTATGGCGAGATGGGCCATGCCGGAGCCCCTCATGATCAGAAGCAGCGTAAACGCCGCGGTAACCTGCCCAAGGAAACGACCGACAAACTTCGGTCATGGTTCCACGCTCACGTCTCACACCCTTATCCCACCGAAGACGAGAAGCAGGAACTGATGCGTCAGACTGGGCTGCAAATGAGTAAGTTTTTTCCCGGTCCACCAGTACCGATTCGAGCCATGTCCTAACTGCCACTAGATCAAATTTCCAACTGGTTCATCAATGCGCGCAGACGTCAACTTCCCGCTATGATCACAAATGCCCGCGTCACTTCCGACGCCATGAGCGGCAGAAGCGCCGAAGGCAAAGTCCCCTCAAGCACCGAGGGATCGGATCCGCACATTCAGCAAGATGGCTTGACGCTAAGTGACGGCGAAGGGGTCCCGTATGAGGAGGAGTTGGAGTCGTTCCAGCGATACCGAGGGTCAGCCTCCAAGCGCACCAGCGTGTGAGGAGCGAAAAAGCCTGGCATCTCCAACAACAAATCTCCACACACGCATCAATACCATTTGCCTGGAGAATGCGGGAGTCGACTACCGTTTTTCTGGAACGCCCTACGCAAGTCAGTCACCCTCAACGCAACCCGACAATTGTCGGCACAGGAGCCTGACTCTCCAATCAGCCATGACGGCCACCACGACAAAGGACTATTTCCTTTGACTACATACAACAACATGCATTATACCCGGGCATATATATCTTCATCACAAGGCATGTCAAGGACGACCTGTACGGGGCGGGTTATTAAATCAAGGCGCATATAGAGTTGGAGAAAAGTTGCACATCCCTCCATCAGAGGGAACAAAGCACGCACGATTAACGACATTTACGAAGTGTACATATAGTGTAATTAATCCCATCAGTGGCTACGTATTTCACTACGCACATTTTGCACTTGTTCAAACTCCCACATCCAATGCGACGGATGGCACGCGCCAAACTCGCAGCTCGGTCCTTAATTAGTGTCGATTTGACGACCGCGATCCATCCGCCATGACGGCGGCGCTAATCTAGTGCCAGTCCACATGTTCGCTGCTGCTTGCACAGCCTCGCTGCTAGGCGCTTGACTTTGGCAGCGATCGCCACAGCCGTGGAGGACCCTAGAGGCAATGGCTAGCAAGGAGCAACCATGAATTATTAGTTAGTGTATTAGCCCGACGTCGTGTGTGTGGGATGGATGGATGGAGCATTGATCTTCAAGGGACTTTCGCACTTTGGCGCCCTCCACAAGCAAGAAATGCATGTTTATTCCCATCTTGCGTGCGTACGATGTGCCTGGCCATCATATCTACGTAGTTAAGGATCATCCTCGTCTCCACCGAACCTTGGAAAGTTCCCATGTGGCGGCTACGCGGTCTGCCATTCCCAACTTGATGATGATTGTTACGTGATGCTTGGATTTTTGATATATAATCACCTGTACGTTGATGGCATCACATTGGCTTTTTTGGCATAGGGTCTAGCCTGGCATGGAGAGCAAGGAATATCCCTCTTCAAGGGGCCAGTGCAAGGAAGGCCAAAAAGGAAAAAAAAAAGGATAACTCCGTTCTATGGGCACGAAATCTGGCAATGGACTAGCATTGCTGACACTGTAACCTCCTGGTGCTTCTCGGCGGCTAGTACATAGAGTCGAGCATCATTCTCATATGATCCGCTGCTATAAGCTGGGGACGACCGAGGTTCATTCATCGCCTCTACATTCTGCCTAGGCGCGAACGGACGGAGATAAAAAGGACTTTGTCACGATGCAACGGGCCACGGAGCAAGGCGAGGCACTCCAACGTGACGTGACATGACATGAGGGCGCGCCGCCACTGCAGCGGCCGCCTCGAAAGCCAGCGTCTGGCTAACGAGTCACGGTATAAGAAAGGGCAGATCTTCTCTCGCCGCGCCGAGGGCCACCGCGCGCCAGTGTCAAATCCCAAGGGGCAGAAAGGTTCCAGGATTCCGTCTGTATGTCACTGACACCCCCTGTTACGTATCGCCATCTTTGCGTAGCCTCCTTCTCCCGCGGCACATGTTGGTGGTGCTGGCATGCCGGCTCCATCCAGGACGGGACGGCTGGCTGGCTGGCTGTTGTTGCTCAAATCATGAAAGACTGTGCACGAGCGGTCTCGCGCTATGCCAGACGGTGCGCGGGAGCAGGCATTGGTGTGGTGGGCAGCGTAATGTGGCTTCTTGATTCTGGTAAGGTACGTACGTAGTGATCCGCGGAGGCAAAGATGTGCTGCGCATGCTCGGTAGGAGAGCCAGCAGACCGTGCAGTAGTTCCGTCTGCCGAGGAGCCTATACGTACTAGTCTATTGAAATTTCGGGAGTCGCTTCACCACAAAACAAGGCAGCTGGAGCCTGGAGAGCGTGTTTCCCGACCTGTGTGGGTTTCACTGTCACTGCAGTGTCTCGGGTGGAAGCAGTCTTCTTCATCAATGTCTTGGACTCTTGGATAGGCGCATTTGTAATCTACCCACGCACGGGCGACACGGGTCGTGGCCCGTGTTCCAGATGGAATTCATGGCGGCTGCCGCGTGCGGTGGCAAGGACGGGGTGAGGCTCGTCGAGTCCTGTCCCGCGGTGTCTTCCCAAGAGGCTCCCAGACCCAGACAGTTGAATGTCATTGTAGCTGAGCCGCGGTTGCACTGTGGGGTGTCTGTCTTGCCAATGCTGTTCTGGTGCTGGCATGGCTGGCCAACGTGTGCGTATAGCCATCTGCAGAGCTCGACCGCACCAATCCTCGCCATCCTGCACCACTATCGTGGGCTTGCCGTTCGCCGTCTCATGTCATCTTCGACGAAAGCGGCTGGGCCGGGCACGGCGCGTGTATACAGCTGCATAGACCCGTCAGGACTCGAGCCACGGTATTCAAAGGCATGGATTGCATTCCAGCCGATACCAGATAACTGGTCCGTGACCGCTGGTCGTCCACCTGTGCCGGACGCCACTCGGGCGGGAAGACACATCAGCCGCTCGCCTCTGGAGGATTTCCACCTGAGACAGGACAGACTCGTGGCGCACGTTGTTGGCCCTCCTCGGGCGTGGCCATCAGTCCGTGCTGGCCATCATGAAAGGCTGATGGTCTCTTGACCCGGTGTCGAGCCTCACGCCGCCAGCTCTGGCTCTCATGTCTTCCCGGAAATAAGAAAATTCGGCGCTATTGAGTCATTGTCGACTGGCCCCCTTTCCCACTCGGTACGGTGATCGCCAGTCGAATCAAAGCTGTCAACAAATGATGTACGGCAAACGTCGTCTACAGCACAACGATCTGCGCTGCGCGTGCTGCCGACACGCACCAATCCTCTCCCACGAAACGCGCTCCAGTGACAGGCTGGAGCTGCCAAAGGGTCCCGAGCTAGAATACCTAGCGCCAGATGGAAGGGGAAAAAGGGTGAGTGGGCACGAGGAGGGGGGGCGTGTGAGGCGGCGGATGCCGTAGAATCCCTGCAGCTCAGCTGGGGATCGACAGATGGCGGAGTGGAGCGATGTGAGTGTCATTCGGTCGTGGAGCCTCGAAACGATCTAGCCTTTGCTCTCGCCGACTGGGGGTCAAGTGGGTGTGTCCGTGGACTGTGGACAGTCCCGCCTGTCAGACGGCTTAGCTCAGACAATTCGGTCGGTATCCGTCCGTGTGTACGGAGTACGTGCTCACCCTTTTGTTTTCCTCGACGGCGCGTACAAGTAGTCTCATCAATCCGCTCAATGTGCGGGCCTGGAAAATTGGTGGAGGGCGCACGCATGTCGGTAGTCTAGATACCGGATCTCGGGGCACGGACACAGCGGTGTTCTCTCCGCGCGCCGTCTGCGGTCTTCTCGAGGCCGATGACGATGATGATGATGTTTGTGTGAACAATGTTGGCGCCAGCCAGATTGATCCAGGTGCAGATATGGAACAGAATAAAGTGGAATTGATGAGTGAGCTTGCCTGCTTGCTTGCCTGGGCCCTGCACGTCTCCGAGCGCGCACCCTGGCCATGCGCGGTGCGGTGATTGTCCCAGTGGCCCAGCTGTCACCGACGATTTTCGGACTGGAGAAGAGCATGGGAAGGTGACAGGCCACCCTGTCAGGGAGATATTGACAAGCGGGAGGGAGGTCCCCTGTCGAGGTCCATGCGTGGGCCGTGGCGCGTGCCAACAATGCCAACGGACCAGGACCAGGGTGGCGGACGATGGAGGAGAGGGAGGGGGTCCCATGTCTGTCATCTCGCATCTTGGTGATTGATCGCCGCCGTCCTTTGTGCATGTGCGTGCATGTGCTCCGTAGGTAGGTACATCTACGCAATCACAAAAGTGACTTGTGCACTGTCGCTCCTGGAGATCTTCCAAAGGATGAACATGTGGCCGCGTGCGTGCGAGCAAGATCCGATCTCGCCTCCTCCGATGCACCACATGGCATCACGTCCAAGGCTGCGCAAGTCTGCACACACACTTTTGCTGTGTTCATCATCGTCCATCTCTCAGGATCTTGCACAATCAGGTCGCGTGCGTCTGCCCAGGTCCGCGGCCATGGTCCATGGACGACTGGGACTGGCCTGGCCTGGCCTGGCCCGAGTGACATTCCGCCCAACCAACACAATCAAGCAAATCCAAGGGAGTGCTCAGATCAAGCAGCTGGTGCCGCGGAACAGGAACTGACTGTCCAACCAACAGCCAAGCCGTCCCGGATCCCGCTGTCGATCCTCAACGAGCGACGTCCGTCCCAGCTCTGTTCGCGCCAGGCGGGAATACCAGACTATTCTGATTCTCTGATGCGGTAGGGTGTCTTGCTGCATCATCGCAGGTATGTGTGTTCGCGCTTTACGCCTCAGCCACATGTGCTCGTAGTACGTAGCGTCGCCCCCAACAGACACATCGCACGGATGCGCACCCCGTCGGAAACTTTACTTGCGTGTGTGTGTGTGTGGGTGGTCTGCGCGCAGGCCCATCCGCTAGTAGTTGGACTGACACTTGTCATGCATCGGGGCCGGTGTCACTTCCTTCACTAACGACCCTAGCGTAGGGGAGCAGTGGAACATGCAGGCTTCGAACGTTAGTCGCTGTTGGTCGCACTGCGTCTTGGCAAACACCAACAACATCTGCGTCGAGCCCGATCAATTACACGTAAGATCGTACGGATACAGTTGAGGTAGATAGGTACGAACGCCTGAGATGAGTAGTAAATTGATCCTCGCTGCGGAAACGTCGTCATAGCGGCCTGAAAGCCGTAAATGCGTAAAGTGTACATGGGGGTATTTCTTTTTCAATGCAAGAGATCCGAATATGTCCAGAGAGATCAAGTTCGTATGCCTAAAACGCCTGGAAAACACACGCAAGTGTCGCGCGCGTTCAGCCTGGCAAGTGTCCGCCTGCCCAGTTGGGATCGCCAAAGAAGTTGAGGGATTCGCCGTTGTTCTGCGAGGACAGTGCGTCCTGCACCATGTCGTGGAAGAAGTCGTCGGTGAGATCTGGCCAGAGGGGCGTGGCGACGCGCCCTGCAAACGGGCGGAAGTCGAACCGGTTCTCCTCGACAGTGTTCCCGAGACCAGTCGTCGCCTTTGGTGATTCCTCACTGCTTCCTGACTGTGTCTCGGCACGTCCGACCGAGAAGGTCTGCGGCGGCAAGGGGGACGCCGAGGATGAGGGCGTCGTTCGATCTGGCAGTGCCATGTTGTTCCCTAGCATGCTGTGAGAACCCATTCCCACGGAGCCGAGCATGTTGTTGACCAATTGGTCTCCAGTGGTGGTGGTGGGATTGGAGCTGGTGTTTCTGTTTGGAAGGCCGTTTGATGCAAAGCTGGTCATGTCCGTTCCTTGTAAGTCAACGACGCCCGATGAACCTGGTACCTCCAATGGACGTTTTCGCTTGTTGCTGTACATCATATTGAGATCCGCCGTCGGCGCAATGGCAATGTTCCGTGTGACAGCCCCTAAGGATGGATTGAAGCTGACCTGGGATCCACCGTTGTCATCGTCGTCAGCAAAGGCAACGCTGCAGTTCCCTTTGGACAAGCGGAGGTTCGCCGGTCGCACCCGACCCTCTGGCTTGTCGAGCGGTAGCCTGCCGGGCAATACGGGAGAGACCTTGGTGTGCCGGCCAACTGAACTGCGCGCTAGCATGGGGATGTTCGAGCCGGCCATGCCAAAGCTGTCTCTGTACTTGCCCAGAGAGGGTGCTTCAATGACAGACAGCAGGCCGTTCCGCTCAATGTCGAGACATGCCTGCTGTAGAAAGGCCCTGGTGATTTGATGAACCCGGGCGATGGCCTCCATGGCCTGGATGAGCGTCTCAAAGTTGGCCTTGTCGATGGCATCAAAGCCGTGTCGAATGTCTGTCTTGGCCATGTAAACATAGACTGTAGTGGCGCAGTACAGTGACAGGGACGAGAGGGGGTTTTTCTACGTCAAGGTTAGACTCGCGCTTAGGTCTTATATGCAACTATCCTTGTGATGACTTACGAAAATGGAAGTGTTGTGCGCCGTGAGCCGTGCGATGCTCACAATCTCGTCGGCAGCGTTCTTGAGGCGGCCGATGCTCGCTTTGATTGTGTCCGTGTGACCAAATTTCTCGGCTTTCTCTACCGCCGCATGGTGCAAACAAATGACTGATGCATGCAGGTTGAGATTCAAGTGTAGAGCCATGGGGTTTCTGATATTCCGAGGCAGACGGAACTGCTCGGGCAGGAACATGAAGGCGCTCAGAAGCTCGTTGTCGAGTTCGCGGTGGCGCTTCCAGAATGCCCCGTTGAGAAGGTCTTCAGGCTGGTCTCTGGGTTTTGAGCGGTGCACGTGGTGCATGATGCCCTTGAAGATCCGGCAGATGACAATCGGTCCGGCGAACCCCTCGTACGTCGCGCCATGAAAGATCTCATCCAGGAATGGCGCGAGCTCCTCCTTGCCAGATGTGAAGGCCTCCTCGGACGCAGGTAGTCTGGTGGTGATCTGTTTGGCATGAGCGTCAACCAACTCGCACAGACCTAAATCAACCATCACTTACATCGGCGTTTGCAATCAGGCTTGGCCAGCCCGTGGACACGCATGCGTGAGAGTCGATCGCAAAGGCGCCCCAGAACGTGCGTCTACGCTCCTCCATCTCGACCCACGATGTAGCCGGCGGAAGGGCGGGTGGCAGGTCATCCTGTTCGCCATCGAGGCGATCAAAGCCCATCATTTGCACCAGGCGGACACATTTGGCCGAAGTCATGGCGGCGCGGGTAAAGTACATGCATTTCGCCTCGAACTGGGCGAGCAGGCAATACGCCTGGGCGTGCGCCATGGTGATAAAGTGCTCTCCCGAGCCCTGCGCACATATCAGTACAAGCAAGCAAAGGGCACCAATGCGCTGCGGAGAACTTGCCTTCATCTCGTCCACGTCCATGTACTGCCGTGCTCGCTGGTAGAAGACCTCGCTGTATTCGTCATACTTGGGGTGGAACTGAGCTGCTGAAGCCCACATGATGTATTGCAGACACATGGGAGGTCTCCGGATCGCACCGCCGTAGAATCCTTGCCAGAACCTGCTGGGGTGGACGATGGGCATGTGCGGATGTTGTGTGCTGAAGTAGATGTTGATTCTGACATGATCATTAGCCCTTGGAGACTTGGCAATTGATGAGTGCTACGCACAACTCTTCCATGATCTCGAACGGCGGCAGACTTTCCGAGTACCCCATGCCCAGAAGCTGCGAGTTAGCGAACGATGCAGGATTTTCGGTGCTGCCATTGTTGATAGGGGCGTCTGCCATGCGGCCCTGCTGGGCCTGGCCATTCTGTACGTTGAAGTCGAACGTCCCATTGCTGCCGTTGGAGCCTCCAGACTCTGGACCCTCTTGGTCACCATTGTGTGTGACTTCCTTCAGATAGTCCTCGACTTGCGCTACCGATTCTCACTTAGCCTGACCATCACACCCACTGCCAATGAGCTACAACCAACCTAGTCTGGCTTCGAGTTCTTTCACATTGCGCCTCTTGAACGTCGGTTTCCTGCGAGACTCGGGATACACGCAGTCATTCTGGACTTTGGTGCATCGAGTGCACGCTGGTCTGGTTCGATCACATTTGAGTTTGCGGGCTCGGCACGAGACACAAGCCAGTGGCTCGAAACCGTGCGCATCCGGCCCCCGAGACTCTTGATCGAGCGGAGCCTCTCCTGTGTCTGGCCCTGCCTGGGCATCCAGTGCAGGGGTCATGATGGTGTTTTGATGTCGCGCTACAACCACCGGATTTGGTGGGGGTGATGGTTCAAGATGGGGCGCACGACGCTTCTTGGACGAACTTTCAAGGCACGCAGGCCCCTGAAGGCTCAAGCGTACAAGCCACAGTGGCAGCTGAGGGTTTCGAATTTCTGGTGTAAGGGATACTGTACAGTGCTACTCATCGAATGGCACCGACAACACAGTAGTAAGCGTGCATGATGGATGGCATGAGGTTGCTAGTCTGGGTAGCAAGTGGTGACGCTTTTTCACGGTGTGTGACAAATCAGATTGGGACGCACCTGAGCAATGCCGAATCCCGCTCCTGCCACGTCCGGATTCCGAGTCATCACCACCGTGAAAGTGATTAAAGGGGCCCAGGGGACCTTGCTAATAATGCAAGGGGGAACAGAATTTCCATCTTTCCCAGTTTGTGGTGCTCTGGCCTCTTTGATGAAACAGAATGAAGACTTGAGGTCGTCGTCCAGCTACATGTACGATACATGGATTTGTTTGGTCTCTGCCCTCTCGAGTTCGCTGACTCGCTGGGAAGCCCAAGATTTGGCTGGAGGGTCTCTCAGCCGGCCAATGCAGAGGGCAATATAAGACATGTGACTCGCTAGATCCCCAATTTGGCGGCAATTATTATGTAGCCAAATAACCCTATATTAAACGCAAAAACCCCGTCCAATGTCACGTTCGTGAAGGTTGTCCCTTAGACTACTGCTAACCGAACATGGCCCGACTGTGAAGTGGGTCCGCAATGCGGGGAGACACGGCTAACAGCGACATGAGGCTGAGACCGCGCCACAGTGGCCGCTGGATGAGGCTTGCCTCCCTGGCTGGCTGGCTGGCTGGCTGCCTGGGGTACTCCGTACTGAATGCCTCTATCGTGGACTGACCGACCAGCAAGCCGCCCCTGTTCCTGGCCGACTTTCTATTGCTGCCTCGCCCTTCACGACCGGAGGCACCACTCTTACTCACAGGGCCCGTAGTGGAGGCAATGTGTTCCTCTTGAGGACAGCTGTCTCGACATACCTTCCTCGCCGCCTCCTGATGATCTGAGCGAGTTCGTTTCGAGTGCCCGATCCTCTCTCTTTGGGAATTGGGATACGCACCACCCACCCACCCACCACCACCTTGGCAGTCGACCGCCTACGTCACCCGACAATCACGTCGCCTCCGAATAGTACGACCAACTTCACGGCATCCACGGTCGACGCCCGGTTGTACACCAGCCATACGATGGCTTCACACGGACACCAGATGGGGGCACGCGCAGCTCCAAGGCATGCTGGCCACGGGGCGTATCAGGCGCCAATGCCCATTGCGCCAGGCCCAGCAGCTCCTGCCGGCACGTTCCAACCTGGCACCAAGATCCAGGTCGGCGGCCATCGAGTCGTGATACAGAAATACCTGTCCGAGGGCGGATTTGCGCATGTGTATTTGGTCAAGCTACCAAAACCAGTCGACGGGACGGACCTGGCTGTCCTGAAGAGGGTGGCGGTGCCCGACAAGGAGAACCTGCGTAGCATGCGCACCGAGGTCGAGACGATGAAGCGGCTCAAAGGCCATCGAATGATCGTCTCGTACATTGACTCGCATGCGAACGAGCTCAAGGGGGGAGGCTACGAAGTGTTCCTGCTCATGGAGTACTGTAGCGGCGGCGGCCTGATTGACTTTATGAACACCCGACTCCAGCACCGCCTGACCGAGCCTGAGATCCTCAACATCTTCTGCGACGTGGCCGAGGGCGTGGCATGCATGCACTACCTGAAGCCGCCCTTGCTCCATCGCGACCTGAAGATTGAGAACGTCCTCATCACAACGACAAAGGGCTCCAGCAAGCGATTCAAGCTCTGCGACTTTGGCTCTTCGGCCCCGCCCTCGCCTGCGCCCACATCCGTGGTAGAATGCCGATTGATGGACGAGGACGTGCAGAAGCATACGACACTGCAGTATCGAAGCCCGGAGATGGTCGACGTATATCGAAAACAGCCGCTCAACGAGAAGTCCGACATCTGGGCCCTGGGTGTTTTCTTATATAAGCTTTGCTATTACACGACTCCGTTCGAGGACCAGGGGCAGCTCGCCATTCTCAACGCCAGCTATAAATTCCCCCCGGCTCCAGCCTTTTCGCATAAGCTCAAAGGCCTGATCGGTAAGCTTCCTGCTGGAGGCATGGGGGTTGTACTAACCATCTCCAGCATCGATGTTGAGGGAGAACCTGCAAAGTCGGCCAAATATCTACCAAGTCTTGAAGGAGGCCTGTGCTCTGCAGGGCCGCGAAGTCCCTATTCACGACGTGAGTGGACTTGAAAAGAAGTGTGAGGCACTTGCTGACTGGAAGAAAAGATCTATGCAGGCGGTAAATCCAGTGCGCAAGTCCCGGCAAAGGCGCCTTCAAAGGAGAACAAGCCAGTGGGCGCGGTGTTCTCGCCGCCTGTGGAGGAGAAACCAAAGATACCAGAGGTCACCCCCATGAGGCGAGGCCGCCCAACACCTTCGCCAGGACCTGCGGCAGCAGCGCAGCCTTCGAAACCTTCGCAGCCGGCGAGCGGAGACCCGTTCGCAGCCCTAGACACCAAATCCCCCAAAGCCACGAGGCCCGGTGAGCCGGACGAGTTCGCGTCGCGATTCCCCTCCCTTGACCAATTCTCGCTACTGCATGATTCGGGCTCGAAATATGATTTCGATTCAGGAGCCTCCGCCGCGGCGTCCAAGAAGGGCGATTTGAACCAACGCGTATCTGAGCATCTGGCCGACGAGGTGTTTGCCTCAAGTCGAAGCCCTCCCCAGTCTGGTGCGCCAAGCGCGCGACCTCAGTCTGTGGTTCAGGCGAGCGTAGCTCCCCGCGCTGTTTCGCAGCATGGCGAAGCCATGTCGAGATCAGCGTCTGCTCAAGCACAACAAGACATTAGCAGAGCTCAATCGATCATCCGCAGCGATCCGGACCTGCAGGCTATCTCGGGCCAAGCAAACTCTCGATACGTGTCCATCGGCACCTCAACATCAGACCTGCAGTATGAGCCCCCAGTTCGGACTGCACACCGCGTCGCGCAGATTCAAGCGTCAGAGTCCCCACGCACTTCAAGCCTGCCGACGCGACAGGCAAGCCCGGCCAACATGACCGCTCAATCACCGCCTGACGCGAACATGAACGGCCTGTCACGGGTCACTTCGCTGCAGTCGCAGTCAAGCCAGGGCAGATCATCACCTGTCTCTCAAGCCACGACGGAGCCCAGACGGCCGCAGGCAGATTTGCTGGACATCACGCCAACCAACGTGCTGAACGTTGAGCGCTCCAGACCGCAGAGCATGAATTTCGAGACAACGACTTTGGACTACCTACGTGAACGGGAAGCGTCGCGTCCGCAGAGTCGTATGTCGAGCCGGCCCTACTCACAAGCTGTCTCGCCGATTCCCCCACCGGCCGACGATGATACCCAGCCCGAGAGTGACAACCTCGAGTTCCTTCGAAGCATGGAGGGATCCGGCAGCGACACGGAAAAGTCCAAGAACGCGAAGCGATCGAGCGTGCAGTCTTTGTCTGGGGGCCGGAATATGCTCGCCACAAAGTTTGGTGACGCGTTCAAGAGGTTTGAGGGCAGCCCGTCCTCTTCCGCGCGGACGCCCTCTCCGTTCAAGGAACACGACCGTCGTGACTTGACGCCCATTGCAGGCTCAGAGGTCACGGACGATCGAAGCGAGGATGGCCACTCTCGCGACGTCGATGCCTTGACGCCAGAGGCGCGACGTGAACTGGAGCGGCGAAAGCTGGAGGAGGAAGAGCAGAGGGTCGAGGCTGCGCAAGCTGAATACCGCAAGCGTGTCACGCCTGGTGCAGGTCCCTCAGCAGCGGCCTCGCAGTCTGGGCCCCGGAATGCTGGTCCACCCCCGAGAGCCATGAGCATCCAGAACAGAGTGCAGAATCTGTTGCAAGAGCAGAAGAGTGGCCCTGTGCGTAAAACGGCTGAAGGGTATGGCAAGTACTCGGACGCTGCCTCAGCTGCCGCCAAGGTCGAGAAGCCTCTGCCGGAGGTCCCTCGCAAACCCATGGCGTCCTCCAAACCAGCGGCAGCAGTATCCGCTCCCCATGCCGCGAGCCACCATTCCGGAACTTGGTCTGCACCCCCAGTTCTGCCTCCCAGCAAACCGAAGCCAGCTGCTCCTCGGAAACCGATGCACCTCAATAGCATCCCCACGGGCAACCTGCCCTCGCCAGCAGCCAAACCTCAGGCGTCTGCTACGGCAACAGAGCAGTTGGTCGCAGTCGACTTGCCTGGTCAGCCTCTTTTGGATATGACCGCTGATCAGAAGGATGACTACCTGCGAGATTTCTCCCAGCGGTACCCGAGCTTGAGCGCACTGGATGGCGCGCAGTCGACGGGTGCAGGGCGATGACAAGGCACGAATGAAGCATATTATATAGACAGACGGATAGACTGCTGTATATAAGACGGGGGGCTGCAACATGCCCTCTCGCTTGATGTTTGAACCTCGATGCACCAAGTCAGTGACAACAACGGGCGTCCCATCGTTGGCCCCTTCATCCCATCTCTCTCTTCCCTGGACTTAGCCGTTCCTCGCCGCCACCTGAGCTTTCCATCACTTTTAACACACATGGTACTGTAGGCTGCGTTGCACAGGTCAGCATCGATTCTGATATTTTTCTCCTTCTCCTTTCCTTCCCCTCTCATTCTGCATCACATCTCCCCTCTGCCACTCTTCCTCATACCCTAGGGCCTGCATGTCGGGGCCGCCACGCTCGCCATGCGTTGCAAGGACTCTGGTCCAGCCACCATTGTCGAATGGTTTGCAGGGACCAGTGCCGCATCTGTAGCTCGCAGAAAACGGCGACAAGCACGTCAACAAGCCGTCGAAGCCCGTAGCCTCTTCCGCCTCGAGGTGACGACCGATGACGAGTTTGGAGAAGACACAGTCCATGTGACATACCCACGCACAGGAGGTGGTCGCCGGTGCGCATCGCAGCCAGAGCCCGTAGCAGAACCGGAACCGGAACCAGCCCCTGAAGCCGCGTCTGATTCAGCTGCCGAGGAAGCTACTGTCAAGAAGGTTCGCTTCGAGCAAAGCGAGCCGAGAAAGTCTGCTCTCAAGAAGACCAAGCAGCACACTACTACTACCACCACCACGACAGTCACTACCGAATCCTCCGAGGCCGAATCTGAGTCGCAGTCAGAGTCAGTCGCCGGAGAGTCATCTGCACAGGGGAGCTCCGAGGAGTCGGAGCCTGTCAAGCCTGCGAAGAAGGTGAAGAAATCCCGGAAAGCGAAGGCTGCTGAAAAAGACAACACGAGTGAATCTGAAGCGTGCGATTGCGAGGTGTGCACCAACAAGAGACGAAAGGCTCGAAAAGCCTCCAAAGGAAAGAAACAGCCAGACACCTCCGACTCCGAGGCGAGTTCTGGCTCCAAGGGCAAGAAGAGCAAAAAGAAGAAGAAGAAGAAGAAGACTGAGACACCCGAGACATCTGAGTCTGAAGCGGAGATACTTCCCAAGTCAAAGAAGGTGGGCAAGAAAGCGAAGAAGGTCAAGAAGGTGGAGGAGCCCGATTCTGGGGACGAGACCGAAACAACCACAGGCGAGGAGACGGAAGAGGAGCCAGAGTCTCCGCCCAAGAAGAAAAAGACCAAGGCAAAGCAGAAGAAGAAGTCCGACCAGCAAGCGAAACCTCAGAAAGATGCCGAAAAATCTAGTGGGCAACCCGAACCCAACTCCTCGAAGCGGAGGGACGAGAGGGCGAGCAACTATCCCGAAGCCAACAGCAGGCCGGCGCCGAACCCACGTCGACCTCACTATATCGAGCCAATCCGTGCTGAGACAGTGCAGACTGAGAAAGTCCTTGAAGGCCCCGAGGACCCGCGCCCAAATGCCTACTATGATCCTCAACACAACGTGCTTCGTGTGTACCACGGACCCGTCTGGGGCTCTCGAGGTGAACAAGCGCTGTACCCTGAACGTGATCAGTCGGTGAGACCTCCGCCTGTTGGCGTACCTCATCCCCTACATAATCCGTACGAGTACGGGTTCAGGGGCAACCCATACGACCATCACCCGCCATACGGGCTGTCATCTGAGGAGCGCTATGGACGTCACGCTCCTCTCTATGGACCGCCTCCAAACCTCTACAATGATCGGCGCCAGGGCCCTTATCACAACCCAGCCATGCCAGGTGGCTATCCACCATTCGAGCGTAGACCATCTGGTATGAACAAGGGTGCCTTTGCTGACATGGCGGGCGCCAACGGTCCAGGCAACAGCCCAGCGAAGACAAAGTCCGCCACCAACAACGTCGGCCCAGGTAGCGTCAAGGTAAGAACAGTTCCCGGCTGTGCGCCTGATGTCCATGCTAACGGCAAGCAGGAGGGCCAAGGTGACAAGAACTCATACTACAAAGCCGCAAAGTCCAAGTTCGCGACATGGAGTGGTCGCCAGTCATCCAACGCCAGCCATAAATCCAACAATACCAACAACAACAAGGCCGCCGACGGATGGGGTCAACCGGCGGATAACAACAGCAACAAGGGCGAGACGGCTTGGCCTGAGACTAACGACGCCGCTGCGAACGACACCGCCTGGACCACCAACGATGCCGCTGATAACACCGCCTGGAACACTAACGACAATCAACCCAGTAACGGTGCCGAGGGGGAGAAGGGCAACGACGACTGGGGAACTACACAGAACGCAGCGGGCGGGTCTGCATGGGGGAGCAACGCGCAAAACTCGGCTGCAGGCCAGGAGGAAAACAACATCGGACCTGGAGCCACGAACATGCCAGGATCCTGGGATGATACGAATGCAGATGCTACTGCCCCTCCCTGGGGCGACGTGACGGCGGCGGCGAATACTGGTGGCCTCGCGGATAAAGAGGAGGTGAGCAACGTGCTGCCCAGTGGAGGGTGGTAGCACCGGACGCCACCTTCTCCTGTCAATGACAGCGGCATTCTAGATCTTGCTCTCGATGCGGACTTGAGAGATCGAGACCAAAGGAGGTGCTCTTCCAACGCCTGTCGTGTGGCAGGGGTGCACTTCGCTTGTGTGGAACGCAGGAAACGAGGCGAAGCGTCCGCCTTGGAGCTCTCTGCGAGAAGATACAGCAGAATCAGACTTGATACATACTTAGATAAATCTAATACCTCATGACCTGTGTTCGTTTGGCTAGTGCGAGGACTCTTGGACGTGACGTCAAAGGAATGAGATCGATGACTCAACGACCACGGAGTGTGCGGATCAGGGACAGGCTTGTTGGATGCGAATGAGCAGTTGTTGTGGCAATAGTACTAGAAACCGGGGACCGTTGCAAAGGGGAAAAGGTCAGCAGTGATCTTCGGGTTGGGTAATGAAGGCACTTTGATATGACCGTATCACAAGATCGAAACATTTTTTGATATCTGTCCCTCTCTCTATGTAGCAGCAGCGATGATGCTGATCAAAAGAGAGCAGCCGCCTCTGTGTGAGCGCAACGATAAAAGGAAGAAGAACAAGAGTTGGTGGTATCTGGTAACACGGTCTGGAAATTGGTATCGCTGCCAGGCTGCTGCGAAAAAGGGGGCAAGCCCTCTCCCTCTGGCAAGGAAGCAGCTTGTAAATAAGTAAAAGCAAGAAACAAGACAAAATACTCAGTCGGTAAAAGTATCAATCCCAAATAGCCGCCCCGAGACCCCAAGACAGATGTCCGTTCTATCGCAATGCAAAAAAAGGAGAAAAAAAGATTCCGAGATGGAAGTGTCCGGACATGATCGGAGGAGGATGGAACCTCCTGTCTGTCTGGCGCGTCACATAGTAGCAACGGGGTTCGTGAGAGCGTAATAGTCGTTCATGTGTTTCGTAATAAGGTGGTCTTTTTGCTCTTTTGTGGTTCTTGCCCAATGATCTTTTCCCAGTGCGCCCAACTCTGCTAAGCAATGCAGAAACAAGACAGAAGGAATAGAGATTAAGGAAAGAGGAAAGCCAGCAAATCCTCAAAGGTAAAGAAGAGTGACGGCCAGGGTGGTCGTCTGAGAAGGTATACTGGTCGTGTTCGGCGACGTTGGTCGGTCGATCAAAGTATAGTACAGCCGGGGAGACTTGACCTGGTGGGTCTCAGTAATTGCTTCACCGGCAAGGTGCTCTGCTTTCTTGTGTTCTCCTTCTTGACGGGTAGACGTGCTACTCGATCCGCCTCACGGGCCCATCTGAGGCTCATCAGATCATGTTGCATGAGGAGCAACAAGGAGAAGAGAGGGGAACGAGGCATAGGCCCGCGGCAGAGAACAAGGAGGGGTGGGTGATGACTTACCATGCACTTGTCTCCCACTCCACAATCCACGAGCAACAGATCTTCAATCGGTCCCTGACGCTGGAGGTACCAAGCAGCCGATACTTCTCAATGTCGCGCACTGGGAGGATGCTAGCCAACCACCAAGGAAACAAGCCCGGGTCGCTTGGACACTCTCCGTATATCGAGGTCATCCTGGCGGTCAGCCACGGGACACTCTGCGCCCTCATCCTCGCCACAAACGCGAGCGCAAACTCCAAGAGCGTGGCTGTGGACATGCCATCAAAATCTGGAGCCCGCGGCGTATCTGAACTGCGGCTCTTTCGATCCATCGATGTTGGTGAACCGGTCGACCCGCGCTCAGACGACGCTGGCGAGATCTCTTGCGCTTCCGACGCTTCCTCCTCTTCCAGGCTGATGTCGTCGATGCGCTCAATCTTACCGACAGCATACCCATCCGTCAGACCGTGGCGAGTCACCCTGAAGCGTGAGATGCCGATAGTCTCGATCAAACTTCGGCCGTCCGGATAGAAGTGCGCATTGGTGATGCGCAAGAGTGTCCCCAATTCGTGGAAATACGGATCAGAGGAGTTCCGAGCCTTTCGGGGCAGTACCATGCCAAACGTTTTATCGCCTTCCAATGCTCTCCGGATCATGAGCCTGTACCGAGGCTCAAAGATGTGTAGGAATGTGGGCATCCTGGGGAACGCCAGGGTGCAGACGAAGAGAGGAATGTCAAAGTCGCCGTGCTGACCCAGCTGTTCTGACCTGTACATTTCTCCGCGTGTCTTGAGCTCGTCCTTCCAAAAGATGTTGATGAAAGCCGACAGGCGACTATTCGAGGGGCACACGACCTGGTTGAGCAGTGGGTTGATGGCCAACTGCCGTCGACAGATCGGACAATACTGCGAATGGTCGAGAGTTCGTTGGAGGCAAGACCGGCAGAAGGTATGTCCGCAGGCTGTTGTCAACGGTTCCCAGAATAAGGCAAAGCAGACGTGACAGTCCATCTCGCTGCGGGCCTCCTCTTGAGTTGCATGGAGGGAGTCGACCTCGAAATCGGCATACTCGTCGTTCGTGGAAGCGGACTCGGTATCGTAGGCGACTTCGGCGTCGTAGCGCAACTGTCCTTGCTCCATCAAGGCCCATGCCGTTGTTAGCCTGCCGCCCGGCAAGCGTTGATATGCTAGCTCGGCGCGCTTCTCCCCCAGGTCGTCGCCACTGCCATCTTCCTGTTCGTCTACTGCGATCACGGTTGTCGTAGACGATTGAAGCTTCTCTTTTCTCCATTTGACGAGGTTGTCTTCGAAATGGTGCAAAGCTTTGTTGAGTATCACATCGCCTCCGCAGTCGCCCACCGCATGTTCCTTCCCGCAGTCGGAGAACGGACATTGTACGCCTAGTAGTCGTTCAGGTCCGGCGGGATATGATATGTTGGCTCGTTCGAATGTCGGTGGTAGGCATCGTCGACACAGGCTGCGTCCGCAAGGCAGTGTGACGGCGTCCTTGAGCAGGAGCGAGCATATTTGGCATTGGCACAGGCGAACGAGTTCCCTTGCCGTTGCTACTTGTTCTGGCTTGGTCGGCCAGTTCGATGGGTCGTCTCGGCCGTGCGCCTCAAACAAGCCTGTCAAAGGGCGGTCCGCGACCTCTGCTTGCTGAGCGGGTGACATGAACGGCTTGTCTTGCCCGGGGGGTCGCTTGGGCTTATGTCCAGAGCAGGCCTGACGCAGCAGCGAAGTTCGACTCGTGTTCGCACAATCTCGTGGTCTTGTCGCAGTGGTGTTGCAAGCGCATGGATAAGTGTGCAGCCAGGAAAAGAGGACTGGACTAGGTAATCACTCGTAGAACAGGTAGAGCATCGGTTGAGGTCTCGTGTATGCGCCTCTTTGCAAGCTGGTTCCGTCGTCGACGATGATGGGTGGTTTCAGCACTGGTGGTGAAGGTGGTGTTGTTACGGGTGTCGATATGTACAGTCGCGACGCATCTGATACGTTGGGATGTTGACAGTGAGGGAACGAGGCCATGGGAGGTTATAATATGGATGGATCACCGCAGAGCGCATTAGTGTGGACGGGGCTCGTCATACAAAGCAGTTGTCACCAATCCGGTGACATGGAAGGAAGGGCAGGCTGGGCCAGGGTGGCGTGTGTGGGCGCTCAGCGACGACAGGACAGGACACAGGCGAGAGGGTGTGCGTGGTGGGATGTAGGACTGGATGGCCTCATCATGGAAGGGAAGAACACGCGAGCTCCAGTCCAGTCCGCTGAGTCCAGTCACGGTCCAGTCCCGACAGGAGTTGGACGGACATGGAGTCAAGGCGTCAGAGCCCACTTTCTGGGCCTCCCCGGCGGGCCCTGCCTGCCACTTGTGCCGGCAACCTGACGACCCGCCTACTAGAGGAGTCGACTGAGAGAGTCTGGTCCCGAAGCTTCTGTGCAAGTGCGTACATGCCAGCAGGCCAGTCACCGCGCACAAGGGGCCGCTATCATCATCAGCTGAAACTGACAACGAGCGCGGCATTTTGTTCGTATCTGTAGATGATCTACGAGGACATTGGTGCAAGCGATTGCAGCTGCGACAAGATTCGCGAAAGCCCACCAGTTAAGGCTGGAAAATGGTGACATAATAGATCCAGGGTGCAAGTATTTAGCACTTTTACCTTACAGAATACAAGAAGGCAATATTGGGTCGACAGGACCAGAATCTACAGATGGTCGACCTAAAGTCGGTTTCCTCAAGGAGCTTAGATCGGTAACAAGAGCGCTGGCTTTGAACCTTTTCGTCTCGTTTGCGAGCGAGTATCTTCTGCCCTATTTCTTCTTCTCGAGGTTCGTATGCGAGGATGCACCTGTTTAAAGAGAGAGCTCTGCAGTCAACAACTAAAAACGCGCATTGCGCTCAGGATGTTCAGGGTGCCTAATTATTGTTGCACCAAGAAATGTACACAGCTGCAGCAACGGCGTTCGGACCCGTGAACCAAGATGCGAGACGCTTCATCAGGCTACCAAGTAGATCTATTTAGCCCAGGTTCGGCCCAGACCATGAACCCTTCTTGGGGTGGAAATGCAGTCAATCGATTACACGCCTGCCCGGCGATCTGATAATGCCAGCGCTTTCTCGACATCGAGCTGTCAGCCTGTCAGAGCCACGCCTGACGGCGACTCGTGACTGGTAGGTCCATAGGAGTCGTGGGCGTCATGACACCTCGATGCATGTACCTCGGGCTCCGCGCATTCCTGTACGAGACCAACCTGTACTTGTATGCTAAATGCGGATTCACGGGAGCCATCCGCGAAGCTGATATTCGATGTTATCACTAACTTATAATTAATAATTACTCGCTTCGGTTCTAGACTCGCTGGTGCTGCCCTTCACATGTCGCCTGTCGTGATCCAGTGGGCTCCACCTCAGTGTCTGACAGTGACAGTACGGATAACGAATCGCCAGTACCGAACATCGAGATCTCGCATTGTGACTGACATCCCGCTACCGCACCCCGACCCGAGCCGTGTCGTTCGAGAAAGCCGTGCGGATGGGCGGGTGGTCATTCAGGCCAGACAGTCCAACGCGTGCGTTTGTTCAATGAGGGTTTCACGAGGCTCGCGTAGCGGCAAACCCGGTCAGATTTTGCCGATGCGACAGCCACGAGCGTCGACGCATCATGGAGTGGTCCAAGGTGGGGTGCAGCATCTCGATGGCCGCCTTCCTGTCGTGACCCTTTCTTTATCAGCTACTGGAGGTTGCCCGAGCTTGCTCTAAGATCAAACTAACTGCTCCAGAGACAAGGCGATTCTTGTTTGCTCGTGACAGGTGCTTGGCATTGTTCTTACGGGGTCCTCGTCTAGCGCGAGTGGCCCACGGACATGCGAATCTATCCGCAATCGATACATACTTACCAGACTTTGCCTTGCTCCGAGACGCAGCTGGACCTAGTTGTCCGGTAATCCCATGATCATGTCCAACACCGCCTGGCTCTTGTCCTTTGTATCTTGGCTGAACGTCGTTGGCGACCCGCCCATCATGGCTAGCATGGCAGGCGACTTGATCAGTTTATCAATCGTCATGCTGCGCGTGACAACATCGGTAAATGTCATCTGTGCCTTCTCAGCATTGTCCTTGGCTGCAACGCACAGTTAGCCGACTGTTGCTCGATGGTACGCGGTGGGGTTCCCAAGCCCAGAAGCTACTATGCAGAGGAGAAAAGACAAGACCATGTATTCCGTACCATTGTCATTTTTGGGAATGGCCTCGGGATGCTCAATCGGGGCTCCCGTGCGGATGTTTTCTAGATTGAGCATCATGTAGTGGCTCCTCTGCACGAAATCCCACACGTGCAGGAGACCTGCGTGCGGCGTGGGAGGGGTGAAGCCCGGCTCGCTCTCGATAGCCTTGATCAGGTCTTTGAGCTTGCTCGTCAGGAGGGCCTGGTCCTCTGTGGACGGGACGGCGACCATGGTGGCGGTTTAGAATGTGGTGTGTGCTATAGCAGATTGTGCGTAGGTCAGACACTGGTCAATGGTCACTACAGACAGCGCGACTCAGTGAAGCTTCGCTCGAACAAAGGTGGTGGTGGCCTCGAAGTGATTAATAGGTGTGCTCCCGGCTCCGTCTCTCGGTTCCTGCGATGAGCCGCTCCGCTGCCTTCCCCTGACAGGTTCAAGGTGGGGTTCGAAGAAGACATGACGACCAGGTACCTTTAAAGACCCCTCTCCTCCACGCCAAGGCCCGTGAACACCAATCCACATGCCCGAGACATGCTCAAAGCAGCTGTTGCTTTGCGTGGCAAGTTTGTCTTTTCTGCGCTACCCAAATGCACCGGCCCATCCCGCCATCTGCTGGGTCCGGGGCGATGATCCAACGCTCAGAATATCCGGCGGCAGACGAGCCTCGGAATCCGTCTCATACCAGTCTACCAACGTGCCCTCCTCTTTCTCCTGGAGCTTCCTCGTCACAAAATGCTCCATGGCATCAATCTGTTCTTGTGGCAGAAGCTTTATCCTGTCCATAGAGTCGCCGTCCTCATTCTTTTCAAAGAACTTCTCGTCCAGGAATCTCCAGAAAATAGCATCAAAGGCCCACGTCCTCCGCGCAGCATATGTCACCCAGAATTGGCCGGACTCCCAGCTCTCGCGCATGCGCGAGGATAAAATCTCCGACTTGGTCAAGCGGCCCCGCTCGATGAACTCCGTCTCCTTGGCTTCAAGGGCGCGTAAGAATGTCGCTAATCTAGGCTCATACTTCTCAACCCAGTCGTCCTGACCCGCTTCCCAGTCTTCGGGGGGCTTTAACAAAAGCTACCACGGAGGACTGAAAAAAAACTCGGCAGGGGCGGCATAGGTGAACTCCCAGTCAATCGCGGCCGCTATCTTATGGGCCTTGTCCACCAGCACATTAGCAGGCCGCAGGTCATCACACCAGAGCTTGAAGGGGCCCTGATTGAATCCGGCATCTGCGAGGCGGGACTCCGAGGCAAGTTTCCGGAAGAGTTGCCTGCAGTGTTTGTGGATAAGTGTGCACCTGGAGAGGAAGAGTGTTGGGCTGACCTGGCAATATACTTCTTCTTGCAATCCTCGGCCGAATCAATGGCTTGATTGCGCTGGAAGGAAAGTTGCTGAAGGTGCATATCAGCTAAGGCCGTGTAGTATTCGGAGGAAGTTGTGAAGGTTGTGGAGATGAAGGGTAGCTGGAAGTGCGGAACGCGAGCAAAGTTGGCAAGCTGGGACACATTCAAGGAGAGAGGTCGTGTGGCGACTTCTGGCCTATCTTCTTCGTCCCGAAAGCCAAGTGAACCTATGGCGGTGAAGTTGCACCGGGACAATTGGAGGAGAATGTCGGCCATCTGGCTGTACATCTGCTCAAGCTTCTCCTCGTTGATATCGGGGTCTAAGATTGGGGGTCCTCGTCTTCAAGGCCAGGCTTGTTCAAGACGTCGACGATATCACCTAAATTCTCGACCCATTCCATGATCATAAAGGGGCCGAGTCCACCAGGGCTCTCCTCTTTCATACCATGGTGAAGAACGAAAGGTATTGGGATGGTAGTATTGTCCGAGATATAGTGCATCGCGGCAACTTCTGCCACGAGCTTTTCATCAGCGTACTGGAAGTACGCCGGCATGGGAAAGCGGATCATCGCTCCGGCGCCCTCAGCGAAGCGAATACGATAGTAGACGTTGAAACCGCCTCTCTGCGGAGAACATATTTCCAGAGGATCGCCCCCCATCCGATGCTTCACCACTTTCCGAACGACCTCATGGTAGATATCCTCGTCGTAGAGCTTCTGCTTCCACTCGTCGAAAAGTACATCGCCGTGCTCCCACGCAGCATCGTCGAATTCCTCAAAAGATCCAGGCATCGTTGAGGGGAAGGAGGCGGGATGAGACGGATTCAGTGAAGCAGAAGGCAAGGCCGATAGGAAGAGGGAAGTTACTGTCAGTGGACCGCGCTGAAATGCGTTTCCTGGCATGCGGGACAAGCATGGCCGTGCCAGCTGGAGCAAATTATATGCAGCCGCCGAGCTTCAGTAGAGGATCTTACCCTAGAGTAAACAAGACAGAAAGTCCGCCAGCAAGTTCATGAAAAGTACGTAGATGCTAATGAGTGATCAATGTGGTATTGGCGGTAAAGAAATACAGCGCTCGGTGAAAACCAAAAAGCCCATCCATCATCTACACACAGCTTCGGTATATCCAAACTGCACTTTGGCAGAGAGACGTGCCTCGAACCCTTTGTCACGCTGGACATGCGTAGTTTTACATGAGTCGTGAACTGAAGCATTGCCTATCTCACACCTCCCCAGCGACCGCGCCCAACGGCCGACGGTTCCCAAGCCAGCCTCCGGCCAATATTGCCGAAGCAGAGGCAGCTGCAGAACAGCACGCTGAGCATCCAAATGCCCGTCTCGACGGTCTCCTGGGACGCGAGGCGAGCCAGGAGGAATGGTGCCTCGGCACTGTTCGCCAGCGCCGTCACGGTCTGGTTGGCACCGCCCGGCGCAAGACCACCGGCCCGGATGAGAGCGAGGTGGGACGATGGCGGCAGGGGCACCATGTGGGGGTCGACGCCCATGGCAATGAGCCAGCCGACGAGACCGACAGCGGCGGAGAGGATGAAGCCGACTTGGGAGCGGTCAATGAGCCACCAGAGAAGAGGGTTGACCATGGCAAGTGTGAGGGACACTTGGAGGGTAGATACCCAGGCGACCTTGCGCTGTTGCGACGGTTAGCAGCTGGAACTACATGCGGCAACGATAAAACTTACAATGGCCAGCATGATGCCGACAAAGACGCCAATGGCACGCATGACAATGGCCCAGTCCGTCGCAGGATCCGAGCCATTGTTGGAATCGGTCTCGACCGTGATCGCGACCTCGTTCTCCCTCGCCTCCTCGCCAAACACGTCGAACCACAGGCTATCCAGCCACGGCATCATCCCGCCCCATACCGTCGCCGCCACGCCCCAGAAAGCGAGGTTCTTGAAGTTGTGCGACTGCGAAGGGGCCCACGCGTTGCCGTCCTGGAACTTGGCGAGGAGGACGCCATACCCTACGCCCAGGGCGAACAGGAGCAGCGCGCGCAGGCCATACGAGATGGCAGTGGCCACTGGGCCACGACCTGGCGTCGAGTGTGGCTTGGTGGTATCCAAGGCTCTGTGGGAGGACCGACGGCGGTTGACATGGGCCCTTCCGACCATGAGCTCGTAGGTAGCCTCGTCCACGCTTGTTCTGCGGACGGGCGTCCTAGCCCCTGTGCCCCATGGTGTCTCGCCCTCGTCAAAGTCTGCATCTTGGCCGCCGGATGTGGTTGGCGAGTAGATGCCGTACAGGGTCGAGGAGGTGAGGTTCATCGAGGATGGTGACCGGCTCATGGAGGGTGTGGCATCGGACGGGGTCAGGAGGAACTGGGCGCGGTCGAGTTGTGGACGCTCGTCTTGCTCATTGTCGTCGGAGGGAGGCGTGGCACTTGTGAGGTTGACATTGAATGGTCGCCTGGGGACTGGCTTCAAAAGCGGAGGCCCGTCGTCTGCCATTGTTCGTGGACGCGTCGGTCTCAAGGTGTTGTTCGGAAAGGCTGTTGGCGGAATCTGATTCTCCCAATTCTTTGTTTTGCCGGTCCTTTTTTATCGGCGTTTGGGAAATGCTTGTTTTAAGGGTATCGAATGCTCATTTCAGGGTCTCAAAGTTTTTCACCCTGGCCCGCCGGGTATTTGAGACGTCGAACAAGTGCTGCTCCTGGTGCGGATTTCGGAAAGGACGGTCGCTACGTTTGTGGTATCTTGTACTGTTTTGGAATCTGGCAGGCTCAGCTGTAAGGTAGTAAAAGTACAGACTGTATTGGGATAGAGAATGTGTGCGGTGAAAGAGGAGAGGCGAGGCGAGGCGAGAAACACCACCGTGTCCAGGTCGTATTCACATGCGATCATGTGAAGGGAAGGGACGTGGAATGCAGCCCACATTTGCATGGCGGCGACCTTGGGTCCGCAGCTTGGAGGTCACCAGGTGTTTGTGCTGCGCTACGCTGCATGACAGCGCTGCAGATCGCGGTCTTGTCGGTTCAGCCCACCGCGAAGCCGTGCCTGATTGGATCACACCCCGCCTCGCGCTCACGGCACGCTGGGGCGCTAAAATAGGCACCGCGCCGTCGTCCCTTGACGATGAATCTCATCAATGCTGTTTGTTACACGTCGAGTTTCGATATTGCGCCTGTTATACTGCTGCTTCTTGTTCTACTACTCGTCGCTACTATCATCATCATCCTCCTCCTCCGCATCCAGACCCTCAAAGTCCTCAAAGTCGTCTTGCTCCTCGTCTCCGTCGGGATGGGGTATCATCAAGTACGCAGCCATGCACATCACCCTGTTCTCGGTGCCGTACGTCCCAATCAGCGCGCCTAAAGGTTGTCCGCCGTCGGCTGCCGCGAGAGAAGTCAATGCACCCCGCAGTTCCTCCACACCAATGGCCCACAGCCTGATCTGTCCGTCACTGCTCCCGCCCACCACGTACAACGTCTTTCCGCTCTGGAGGACCACAAAGTCCTTGATGCGTCCCGTCACGCCGTCGGCTTTCCCGCCTAGTTCACAGACTGTTCGGGCCGTGCCCGGCGCCATTGTGTTCTTGACACCCTCGATCGGAGTCAGGTGTGCCTCGCGCGTTGATGCAAAGATGATGCGGCCATCCTCCGTCGACACGGCGAGCAGGCTATGCTCTGAGCTGTCCGCGTCCGCTTCTGACGCGCCCTCGGCTGAGATGGAGATGTAGCGAACTTGGTGAATCTTTGTCCTTGTCGACGACAAGATCCTGCACTTTGGCTCACCCGCCATGCGGAAGACGACCACGTCACGGTCAAAGCCCACGGCAAACTCATCGTCGCCGTCGACGTGGCCCCAGGCAACCCTTTTCCCTTCGCCTGATGTGTATTTGCCCTCGCCAATCTGCTGCAGAAGCTCGCGCTCGTAGTTCAACGCCTTGGCGCGCTTGCCCGTCATCAGATTCCACGGCCTGACCTTCCTCTCGCCCTTGCTCACGCTCATCATGAGCTTCATGCTCGGGTGCACCGCAAAGTCGTTGACGCCTTGCGGCGTGCCATCGTGGGCCGCCGTGTCTCCGCTCGGTCGCCCTTCGGCCTTGGCTATGGGCGCCTTGATGGTCCCGATCAGCGCCCAGTCGCGCGTCCGTGTCACGGCCACCGTAGAGTCCTCGCTCGCCGACATGAGCTTGCCCCTTGTCGGAAAGTCCAGCGCCGTGACGGCGGACGCATGGTGCTCCAGGTTGCCCAGCTCTCGGTTTCGCTTGTTCTCCTTGATCGGTCGGGGCGCAGCGAATTTGAGGGGGTCTTCATCCTGCTCCTTGGGCGGGTGGGCTGACAGATCGTAGAGATTGATCTTGGAGTCGTTGCTTCCCGAGGCGAGTATGACTTTTTGTGTTTGCCCGGGGATCGGGTTCGAGACGGGGGACACGGCGAGGCAGCGGATGGCTTTGGTGTGGGCGGTAAGGAGGAAGGTGTCGGCAAACTCGACAGACTGTTTCTTTTGCTTCCCGGTGGGAGGGTGAATCTGTGCGGTGAGACCGTGGAGGACGCCGTCATAGAAGCCGACCACTATTTGCAGTGTCTCGGTCGATGTGGTGCTGGTGGGTTTGGGGGTTGTTGACTTGGTGTCAACTGCCTTGGTCTTTTTCGACGCTTCAAGCTCGGACGCGGGCTCTCCATTGGAGGCTGTGTTTCTCTTACGCTTGGCCATGATTATCTTCTGTGACACTGATCAATTGGTGGGTGGGATTAAACTTGGGAACCTCGCGACGATTGAGCAGATGAACTCATGGCGGGAGGAAAAAAAAGTTGCCGATAAGATAAGGCAGGTTAGCTGCATACCCCCGGTACATGCAAAGAAGCCGGTCCTCTCCAACCTTAAGGTGCGAATGACTTCAAATATGTCCAAACAGTCATGTCAAAGCAATTGATTTTCACCTGAGTACGGATATGTAGGTCAAGATTTCATGAGACTTTATCGAATCAATCCTATGAGCAGGCATTGATGCTACTTCTGATCGACACTTGCTGCACAAGACAGGTTCCTCCCCTAATCATAGCAATATTTCCCTGGTAAGCTTCACCAACGCAACGCACGGTAGTATTCTGGGCCAAGTCGTCGCTGCAAACTAGCCGTTGACTGTCTTGACACCCCCTATGCCCGTATTCTGTGAGCCATCAAGTTCGCAAGCCCCCGGGCTCGAGGTATTTGGTTCTGTTCATCATTAACACGCGACGAACACGATCAGCGAGTCGGCTCACTTACAACTAGGTAGACGCGAGGCGTAGAACCAGCCCTCATCAGTGACAAACCAACGGCAATCACCCATTTGATCGATGCAAAAGCGGCTGCGCTGGGTCCAGTTACCGTCCAACTCGCGTACGTAGTAGAAACGACTGGGGTCGTCGTCCGACGGCTTGAACTCCTGCTGTTCAAAGACCCTGTTGCCGTGCGCAAACTGGAGTTGACGGGCCTGCTCCTCGACCCCCGTGCGACCTAGACCAGAAACGTCGGGATATGGTCCAGTGTTGCCTGCGAGGAAGGCAGGAGGACCTCCCGGACCGTTGAAACCCCCGCTTGGTGCGGGCTGGTTGCCGGGGCCGGTGTGGCCGGGCTGGCCGGCGCCAAACATCGCGGGCTGGGGCATGTAGGCGGCCGTTGGGTTGGCGACGAAGCCGGGTTGCTGAGCTAAGAAAGCGCCGGGAGGAGCCTGCTATCGAACTCAGTTAGCAGATGTCTACAGGGAGAGAGAAAGAGAGCGAAAGATTGAGGAGGAAAGAAGACGCCACTTGACACTTCAAGGGCCGAAATGCAGACAGCGACTGGCGACTTGCATTGTAGTGATACATGTACCCGTCGAGGTAGAACGACCTGCCCAAGGCTGGGCCGGACACGCTCGCCAGAGGTGCGGCAGTCATCAGTGCGATAGTGCTAGGAATGTAATGCACGGGGTAACAAACATGATGAGGGACCGCGCCAGGGGGTATTATGCCATAGGGCGCGGACTGAGGCATCGGCTGCCCAGGCGTCGGATGGGGACCAAGACCATTGTCGAATCGTGGGATATAGACATGGGTCATGGGGCCGTAAGTCGTGTCTGGCACGGGAGGCTGGAAGTTTACACCTTTGGCGAACGGGCCAGCAATCGGAAAGGCTGCCATGTTGGCGAGATAGGGTTGCTGATGGTAGAACTGGTAGGGCGCGCCTCCAGGAAAGGCAGGGTGGGAGTGGGCAAGGCTAAATTGAGGTTGGGCGGAGGTGTGCCAGGGACCTGCGGGTACTGCCTGCTCTTGACCACCAGGTGCAGCTCCGAGCGCAGGGAAGTTGGTGGGCTGAGTGTTGGTCTCTTCTGGGCGCGACGTTGAGGTCTTGTCAGTGGCGGCAGGTGCGTCCTCGCCAGTCTTTGCCTTCGCCTCGACAGGTAATACTCGGTGTTTGGGGATGGGGCGAGGAGGTGGGCTGAACGATTCAGAAGCTGTGGTCGACTCGTAACCGTCACTCTGGAAGTGAACGTGACGAGATGGGGGAGGTTTCTCGGGGCGTTGAGTGTGCTTCGGTGGATCTGCACCCATTCTTTGGAGAAGAGGAGGAGGAAAAGAAGCAAGAAGCAAAGTTAAAGGGTGTGGGGGGGAAGCAAGGTGCTATGGCAGGCTGTGCTGGGTTGAGCCCAAATCTCACACTTTGGCGAGGTAAATAATTGTCAGGCGTCACGAGATGCAGTGCCCTGAGATTCCTGAGATGAGCAGAAAAGAAACTGAAGCTCAGGCTGATCGCGAGGTGAGATGGAAGTGAAGGCTAGCTTGTGTAGCGCATTCACCTTGGGCCTTTTTTTCAAAACTCGGGGGCGCGTGATCAGAGCTGGCCCATTCACTCGAAGGGGTCATCACAATCCGGCCTCGATGAAGTGACGCTACCAAACATTTGGTGACGGAAGGAGAGCGAACATACCGTTCGTTGCAGAGTCCAAGATCGACCATCATGAGTCCAATGGCTGTGTTCAGGCAGGTTTGCCAACGTGTCGAGTGGATCCTCGTACTTTGTCCACGTCCAGGAGAAGCAGGGCAAACACATTGTTGGATAGAGTGAACTTGGATTGCGTTGTAAGGAGCAAGGAAATTGAAAGATGAAGAGAAGAGGATTCTCGAGTGGCTATGCTGGAGGAGCGAAAACATCACATGCATAAAAGGCCACTCTGCACATCAAATTGGATGAAGTGTATGGGATGACTAGGTATTCAATGCTGACCATCTAACTGGAACAGCTCAGTGCGTATACCCGTCGAATTTGATCAATTATTTGCAGTGATTTGATCACGTCGTGAGTTGTTGTGCAATGTTTTCACAGGACCTCCAGATTTTCGCTAGAAAGGGGCAATCAAAACAAAGGCGCTACCAGCCGACGGGCCAAGCCAAACACCGCCATAGGTAATCATATAAGGCTCACATAAAGCATAGTCACTAAGAGATATACTTTGTACAAAGACAAAGACAAACATTTATCTTGCTAGCGACCGGGGTCTCTTCTTGTTCATTGTGCCACTCACTTCTGTCGGGCAGCTAGTGGCATCGCCTCGGTGGCTTCACGTGGCGTCGGAGCGTCGACTGAGTTATTTGCGCCTCCAGAATGATCCGCAATACTTCCCGATCTTGGAATCTCATGCGTGCAAACATTTTGACTTTAATTTTACAATCAATCCAACACCTCTCTCCACGTGCTAATTACATAAAAGCTCACGCAGTCAGCCTTCTGCCTCCCCTTGCTGTTCCATGTATCTATCCAGAATCGCATCTTCTTCCGGGCTAAACCCTGACGGTATACTGTAGTTATGCAGGCGTCTATACAAGTCATTCAATTTTGGAACAACGTGGCGCAACCGAACTATCCAGGGCTGGGAACATCTGTCAGCATCATCTCCCCAAGGCTGCACGTAGACTTACCCTGACAATCACTGGGACCTTTCCCGCGTCAACGCTCTGCTTCAGGTTGTTCAGCACGCTCTCTTCTGACAGTATGGCAAACTCTCGCGTGGCCGCTCCGTTCACGCTCTTCAGAATAAAGGGAGACGGTGGTGAGAAAGATCTGCACGCCCACAAATTCCTCTCGCTTCCAGGGCCAGGCGTAAACCATGGCCTGTGTAGGTGTGACTTGAGATTCTTGGACTCTCTCAGTAGCTCCGGAGGCACTTGAGGTGCTGAGGCATAGATGGCGTTGATCCTATCCTGCATGCCCTGGATGAGGCGCTCATGGCATGGGCAGTGCGCTGGTCTCCATCTCTCCAACGCTACAAGCAATTCCTGGAGCGAAATATTCTTTGGAATGACACGTAGGCAAGCCATCATTCTGCCATCATCGTTCATGTCCAAGATGTAGACCCTGAAATATCCCGGCAGGATCATCTCTTGCCTGCGTAGCCGGCTTCGCACCACCATGTCTGCGAGATCGCAAAAGTCATACTCGTGCCGGACTTCGGCCCAGCTCATGGGCGCTGCACCAGATATGTCTCTCCTGTAGTCCCACACATCGACGCAATGCTCTTCGACCTCTTGTTCCATCAGAGTCAGCAGGGCACTGATAAGGTCGTCGTTGGGCACACCACTGGGGGAATGCAAGAGGCCGTGCTGCTGATCAAGTAATCGTGCTTTCCGCGACGAGGCATCTTGATCCGTCAAGCGCAGATACTTCACCCTCTTGGGTATCTGCCAGACCGTGCGAAATCCATCAAAGAACTTTGAGCTCTCGCGGCTGCAAAATGTGATCAGGTCAAGACTACCATCGCCGCCCTCGTTCACCTTGCGCATCCCAAGGAACAGTAGTTCGGCTCGTAGCTGTAGCAATGCCTCCAGCGTCCTCAGGGACGCATTGGGTGACCCTTGGCCCGCATCTGGTTTGATGGGCAGTTCTAGACGAAATGTTGTGGCTGGCGCTCGCGGATAATGCACTCGCCCAAGTCTCGGATTCTCTGCCGTCGACATCGTGTTGTTTGATCTGAGGGTGTCCTAGTCGTAATCTGAGCATAATGGTGATTCAGCCTCCGCTTCTAGTTTCGGTGGTATGCGCGAGGGTCGCTAGGATCGTGTACTTGGGTGTCTGTCAGTGATGAGGCGCCTCGAATCAAGCACACTGTGATGAACGAGGAAGACACCATGAAGTCATCGAGGGTGACTGGGAAAGGAGGGCATGATCCTCCATCTGGGTGCAGAAGCAGGTACCTATGCGAGTGACGCAAGAGCGAACGGACACAGAGCAGGTGATGTTGAGCTGAGTCACGGGTGAGTGAAAGTCCCTGTAGCAACGTAGTACCTAAGCAGTAGAAGCAGGGTGTCACATATCCCAAAGCAACTTAACTGCACGTTCAGACAAACATCAAAATCCGACAGGATAGCAGACTCGATGTGCTTCGTACCCACGTAAGGCAGCTTGATATGATAGAGTATTGATTAATGACGTTTGCAGCCCAGACGCCCCAGCCTCCGCGGTCTATGCTCGATGCCCGGAATCCTAGTGTAATGTACAAGCAACAAAGACTCATCTGTCCAACCGTACATTGGGAGTAGAGAGCTCACCCCGTAAACCATGCTTTATAAGAAACAAGCGCTGTATTGCAGCATATACAAGGAAAGATGTGACTCTCATCCACTCTCTTCATGCGAACATCCTCGCCTGGCCGTCGGGGCCAGACCTCATGCCTTTTTTTTGTTCGGGTGAGTAATTATAGGGGAACTTGATAGTTTACAGCGAGTCGGAGGTGCTGACGCCAGCAGCCTGCTCCGGCACAGGGAAGAATGACCGGCGGAAGACCTGACGCGTCAGTTAGCGATTTTTGCTTGCAAGGGCTTGGCAGCATGCATCGATGTAGAGGGAACTTACCGCCCAGGCACCAGCCACGGATCCGACGAGACCGGCCGAGATCATCATCGGCCTCAAGCCCCGTGTGCTCTTGAACACCATACCACTGAGCGCACCCGCAGCGACCGAGTTGGCCGCATCGTGCTTGCCCCGGAAGTACCCGATCAGCGAGTTGATGCAGTTGTATGTGATGGCCACGGCACCCGCCGAGTTGCCCAGATACGGACCACGGCGCGTCACGGCGTTGAGGACGGAGTTGAGGCGCAACTTGGGTGCTTGCCCAGCGGAGCGACGGAGGCCTTCCTGCAGACCCCACGCACCACCAAGCGTCAGTCCGGAGAGATATGTGACACCAGTGCCGTAGCAGAGATCGTCGGTGAAGCCGCGCGACGGCAGGACGGACTGGGAGCCGGAGAGGTCGGAGAGCACGCCATCTTCGAGGGTGAGGTACTCGAGGGAGTCCTGGTTCAGACCAGCGAGCGGGTGGAGTTGTGAGGGGTCGGAGAAGGCAGAGTTGTTGAGGAAAGACTCGACGCCCTGTCCTTCGGAGGGATCGTACGCGCGGGTGGTTGTCGAGGTGGTCTGTTGAGGAGCGCTATATGTGTCGTGGGATTGGGGCTGTTGGGGCTTGTTGCCGCCCGTCAGGGCAGTCCATACGGATGACATTGTGCAGAGTGTGTGAGAATAGTATTCGTCGATGTCGCCAGGGCCAAAGGCTGCCAATGTAATGAGGGATCGTGGTTGTGTGGATGATGATCTGAAGTGCTGTCCCACCCAGGAAGTCAAGACATCAGAAAATTTGGTGATGCGCGCTCGCTGGCTCACTTGCAGCTGGCTGCTGGACTCCTGGCTGGCTGCCACGGTTCGCCAAAGCCGTCCGTCCAAGCCAAAGCCGAGCAGGCTCACGTGACTATGCAGCTAAGCCGTACTCGGCCAAGTGCACAGGACCCACAGCTCATTCATGATAAAACCATCGCCGTCGAAATTTCTTTGCTTGTTTCTTCTTTCCTCTTCATCATCAGTAAGGGTTATTTCTACACCGTCAAGTGTTTTAATAATTTCTTCATGGCGGCTCCACAATGTGGCTTGCTGAGGGTTATCCTCGATTCTCTGTGGATTTCCTTCCGTTCCCGGCCTCCTAAAGTAACGTGAACGCCTTTCCTACCAGCCGCGAGATTCGTCTTCGACTCGTGACTGTGGGGTGTTCTCGACATGCTTTACCACAGTTGTAATCTTGTATAGCTTGCAAAGGCGCTTAAGCCTGATCGTGGTGTGACCAATTCTGCTCCCAAGCCGCACCGGCGTAGAGGTGTTGTAATACCTCACGGCCATCGAAGTGAGAATTGTCACCTGCCAGCTCTGCATCCAAAATTGATGCTGAGGACGTGGATGCCGGCAGCACCTTGCACGCGGTGACCAAGACATTCAGTTGGTCTGTTGCTGAAAGTTGAAATGTGAGCACAGGATTTGGCAAAATTAAGACTAAAACAAATGTATTGTCACATATAAACAAAAGTATTTTTCCTACAGCTCCCACGGCAAGATCCCATTTTCGTAGCCAACTCCTGTCATGCACGCCAGCGTGCCAAAAGCAAATTATACATTGTGGCGTCGCTACCTGGAGTCTTCTCGTGCCAGCAATGGCCTCTGGTCCCATCTATCGTTGTTGATGCTGTCCCCCTCGTCGTCTTCCACGCCATTGGCCAGCAAAGGACTATCTGCCGAGTTGCTGTTGTAGATGAAATATTGCGCAAAGACTCCGAGGTCCAGCAATAGCGTCACCAGCGCACCCAGCAGCCAGCTCAAGTTCACGAGAATGTACCGCCCGTATATCCTGCGCGCCTCGCCAGGCATGCAGTGGCTTGCATGCTGACAATTCGGCTCATAGGCGAAGATGGACAGCACGTATGTGAGATTTCCCAGACAGGCGAAAAGAAAGAAGAGCATACTAAGCCCATCGGTCGTTTTGCGCCTCCAGTTGAGAATCAGCTGCGGTAGTCGTGAGGCGATGTAAGATACAGCGCAGAGCCAGCCAAACACCTGTCCAAGGACATTGAACTCCAGAGGCTCGTCCTTGTCGCGATGCGAAGAGCCGTCATGTTTCGAGGCCTTCTGGCCGAGGAACCATCCCAGGATGCCAGCAGCAACAACCATGGCTACTGCCAGAGTATTCCAAAGCACCGTCTGCAAGGCGGTCGGGGGCGCGGGAGGCGGCGTATCGGCAATGTGAGGAACTGCAGGCGACAAGCCAGACCAGTCTGACCCACGGCGCTCTCGGGAATGAGCACGCTCCAGAAGATTTGTTCGTTCGTTCGGTGCGCCGTGCGCATTCGTGGCTGGCTTGGGTGCAGGCGAGGCGGGTTCGTCACGCCAAGTGAATCCTCGGTAGTAGAAGCATTGCGCGAGGAGGACAATATCAGCGATCGTGTAGTAAAAGGCCAGGATGATCTACCAGGCGTCAGCAATGTCCGTTTCACCAAGAGGGTGCTGGTGGCTCACCATTGTCGGCAGGACGCCCTGCAAGACGGCACCAAGGATGTTGAAGACATCTCCCACTAGCCAAACTATAATGAATTGGACGGAAAGAGCGTCGGCACTACTGCGTTGGAAGTTTTGGATGATTTGAGGAGAGAAGACGACGACTGTGATACTGTTAGGAATGGATGACTCGGCTTGACAAACCCTTCACGTACCCCAGCAGGCAATCGAGACGGAGCTGCGTTGGTTAGTCGGTCAATTCGTATCTAGGGGTCCTCTGGATCTCACCCGCAAATGCCAGAGATAGCGGCAACGTCGAGGTTGAGACTCTCGGTGGGAGGCGCCATCTTGCGCGTGCGCACAGAGCTGTTGCGAAGATTTTGAGGATGGCGGAACGGTCAAGCCCTCAAAACCTCCTATGAAAAGGCGATTGAGTATGTCCGGAAGCAAAGGAGCATTGACGATGTTGGGACAATGCTGCAAAGTTGAAAGAAAGGGTAGAATCAGACTTTTTCCAGTTGACTCGGTTGTAACTGTCGATCCGGATCAGTCGCGGCACGTGGTGCGAACTCATCAGTCACGTCACTTTCTGCATTTCAATCCTCTCGGGTTCCGTTCCGCTTCCAGCCTGAGAGCCAGGATGCGGGGGGGACGGCAATGAATCGCAGTGCTTCCCAAGCTCGGTATTCGGTTCAGGATACCCTATGCTGATTTAGGGCACAGTCTGAACAGTGATAGCATGGCACCTTGACTGTCGATACCTCCTAAAAGTATTGCAGCTGCTGTCTTGAACGCATTTGATATCTTCACTTCCAACAATCACCCAGCATGACGGCGAGATGCGGCCACTTCTTTCATCACCCTCCCGCAGCCGCGGCTTTGGACCCTTCACGGTGGAACCGCCTGCATCATTACTCATCCAATGAACCCCACAAGATGGTGCTCGCCACTTGTTTCTGCTTGCTTCCTTACGACCAGTGATTCTCACCGATTTCCCTCCTGTGGTGTCAGCTAGACAAACAATCGGTGCATCTGACACAGCAAGCCAACATGCCCAACCCAGCTCTTCCCGAGGTGCCCTTCCTCACCAGCGACGACTCGATGCTCTCCCGTCGCTTCGGCAAGGAGATTCTCAACTACTACGCTGGAGGCACGTTGAACCGGTACTCATTCCTGCGCCCAGATACTGCCTTCTTGAGCAGGGCCGCATCGCAATCCAACGCGCGGTTCGTTGCGCTCAATGGACTCAACCCGCTGGTGAAGGAGCAGACGGACCTACAGTACCTCAAGCTGGGTGACCTGAAGCCCCTCATTGGGGAGCAGCCATTTGCGTTGAGCGAGGAGGACGAGATCAAGAATTTCGACTCGAGCAAGAAGAAGCCGCTTCTGGTGTTTCTAGGATTGCTGGACGATGAGAACGCCCAGGAGATTGCCACTACCAACCATGGCAGCGTAAAGGGTCAACCCTTCTTCGCCGTAGACGTCACACCGAGAGAGCCTTTCACCGAGGCGGCCTCCGCATTGCTGAAGGACCAAGAAGCACAGGGGGCCAGTGTACAAGCGAGTCCAATGAAGATGATCCTGCATCCCGAGTCAGGTATGTTGTTCCGTGAATAGGTACATTGCGCACGAAAAACCAGACGAGACTGACAGGACAGCCGCCATGTATGCTCAAGCCCGCTCTATGATCGATTGGAACACGCGGTCGCCGTTCTGCGCTGGCTGCGGCCAACCCTCGCTCTCGGTCCACGCAGGCTACAAACGCGTCTGCCCGCCCACAGATGCCGCATCCTCCACGCCTCGGGGTGAATGCCTCACTCGCAAGGGGGTTTCCAACCTGTGCTTCCCCCGGTCCGATCCCACCATGATCGCAGCTGTCGTTTCAGCGGACGGCCAGCGCGTCTTGCTGGGCAGGCAAAAGCGCTTCCCCCCTCATTGGTACTCCACCCTCGCGGGTTTCCTCGAGCCTGGCGAGTCCATTGAAGAAGCCGTGCGTCGCGAAGTCTGGGAAGAGGCGGGTGTCCACGTGGGCCGCGTCGTCATTCACTCATCGCAGCCATGGCCCTATCCCTCCAGTCTCATGATCGGTGCCATTGCGCAGGCTCGGCCCGGCAAGGAGGACATTCAACTGAACGATAAGGAGTTGGACGATGCAAAGTGGTTCAGTATCGAGGATGTGCGCACAGCATTGAAGGTTGGCACAGGGGCGTTAGGCGAAAGTCCACCTGAGGGTTACAAGGAAGGCGATTTGAGGCTGCCACCCGCGCAGGCTATCGCGAACAGACTACTGGCGGCGGTGGCAGAGGGGTTCTTGACGGCTGTGCCGAAAATATAGATATTCAACTTGGATTTATTAGACTGCCATCCCCATGGGCTTGAACGTGAAGCCTTCCACTTGAGGGGTCGCCAAGGGCTCAATATAGCCCTGCTCATAGCGCAGGAGCCAGACAGCATCTGCATTGATGGTCTCGAGGGCCTCACGCACCTCGGCACTCTTCTCGAGCGTCTCCGCGAGCAAGCCAAGAATATCTTCAAACACGTCTTCGGAAATCTGGACGTGAAGAATCAAAGAAGTGAGGAGGCCCACGGCACTCTCCCAGAGCCTCACAGGCGAGGCGTGCTGACCTAGGCTGCCAAGGTTATGTTCGCTTGCTGAAGGCTTGGCTTGGACGACCGTTCCGTCAGCAGTAGGGATCATGATATTGTCGTCACCCCCAGTAGGTCGTGTTGCCGTCCTCTGCGATTTGGTCGCCAGCGCTTGACGCTTCACTTTCTTGAACCATTGTCCGAGCCCGTCGCTCCATTCTGTTTTGAAGCGACTAGAAAGAAAGTCCCCTGCCGCCACACAGAGCGCTGACAAGGCCCGACAGGCTTCGACCGCAACAAACGTCTCGGGATCGTACAGTCTGCTCAGCACGACAGGCCACACTGCGTGCACGAGGGGGAGAAACGCCTCTTCGTCGGCTGCCAAGGCAGGTGAAGCTGTGGATAGGAGCTCAAGCAACGATCGCCGCAGTCGCGGTGTTGGCGACGTCAAGTAATGCTGTGTGAGTGTCGTGATTCGTAGAAGAAGCTGGTACGTCACGGAGTTGGGGGGCTTCTCCGGCTCAGGGGGGGGCTGCTCTTCAGTGGCGTCATCCTCGGCTCCCGGCTGCGAGTCGTCCTTCCACGGGGCAGCTGGATGACCCTGTGATGCCTTTGCTGTTTTCGTTTCTTCCGCTTCGTATGCCTGCCGCTGCTTTCGGCGGTGGAGAAAGTCGAGAAGTCCTTGCAACCCAGCTTGCTGTGGTCGCTGCTTTTTATGTGTTGGGACGGACATTTTCTGACCTTCGAGTAGAAGCTTGTCTGATTTGATAGCTTGATCCACGAGCTCTTTGAGTACGGCGAACAGCGACTCAACAAATACTGGATAGCCATGGTAGTTCTCGAGAGCTGCAAATATTGACTCGACCACGTCATCAAGGAAAGGCACGAGGCGCGGCCCGGTCAAGCGGATCATCATGGTGAGCACCTGCATGGACGCAGGCGAAATATCAAGGCTGTTGAGGCGCAGCGCTATGGAATTGACCATGTAATCAACGTTTTCGATGATCAACATCGAGACGTTTTTGTATCCAGAGGCCAGAGCCATGCCGTTCAACGTCACAATGGCATGCTGTCGCAGCGCATGGTCCTCTGCTCCTAGTAGAGTGACAACTGGGAAGAGTACGTCGATGAGTTCGGGCCGGAAGGCCTCGCCCATCCTGGTGGCTGCGTGCAATACCACCTCGAGTGACAAGGCCTCTAGCCGCCAGTCGACCGCTTCGCCTTCAGTGTGAGCATCGAGGGTCTCGACCGCGAACGAGTACAGCTCCTGAAAGACATCGTCGGTATTCCCGTCGGGACCTGAGAAAGCTGACAGGTCGAAAACACTATCGGTGGCTTTGGATGCCGATTGTGCAGCCTTCACTATTTCGAAGCAGAGCCAGAACCCGCCAATTTGGTAGGTTGATTCAGGCGCCCGGACGTGGTCCAGCAAGTTCATCACAAGCTTGGATGGATTGGAGTGTGCACCAATGACACCCAGAAGACCGAGCATCTCCTTCCTAGTCTCTTTCTGACTGCCGTGTCCAAGAACGACGGGCGCGTACTGGGCTTCAACACCTTGCACGGTCATGCTGCTTTCATCGCCAAGGATCGCCTGGTTGGTGACCCGGGACTGCGCCTTGGGCCCCTCCATCAGGACGACCATGCTGTCCCTCAGCGTACTGGAGATAGTATCATCGAGCGTCGAAGACTCGATCTGCATCTCCTGCAGCAGGCCGATGCCCTTGGAAATGTTGTGTAATGCGCTCGTTTTCACATCTTCGTCATTCGACTGCATGAGGCGCGAAAGGCTCGACATCCATTGGTACACGGCCGTCTTCGCCTTGTCGCCGAGCTCATGGTAGATTGTGATTAGGTCCCGTAGACTTGTCTCGGTGACAGATCCCCTGCTGTTCGCATCCTCGAGGATCATGGCAGTCTCCACCAAGATAGGCGCGGAGTCTTTCAGGGTCGTGTGACACTCGTCCAGTAGCCTGATGCAAAGATTGCGCAGTGCATCCCGCACCTCCTGGGAGCCGTTGCCTCGCAGCTTCATGAATCCAGACAAAGCGACTTTGATCTGTCCGGTGGTGGCCTTCAGCCACGCTGGACTTAGTAAGTCATTCGACGAAGCCTCAGGCCCTTTCTCAGCTTGCGCAAGGATGGTCCGAGTCTGCATGTCGCCCAGTACCCGCGTGATGACCAATGAGGCCGTCTCTAGGCTGGCGACCAGTACTTTCTTTCGATACCTTGTGGGCGTGGCAAGCATCTTGGCTATCGTTGAGACGACGCCTGGCAAAAGGTTGGCCAAGGCTTCTCGATCCCGTAAGCTGGTGTAGACACCCTGCACCGCCCTCAAAGCCTCCTGCTGAATCAAGTCTGTCTGCCCATCCTGAGCACCGTTGAGTATGACCGTAATTCCATGGCCAAGCGCGGGGATGGCGTCCAGCTCGGCAAGATTCGTGGCGCCGGCAATCGAACCACCTACGACTCTGAAAAGTGCACTGAGTGTACGATAACACTCCAAAGCCAGCTCTTCGGGGACCTCTCTGCGCTCCTTCTCCGAGGAGGGGTTTCCCTCGATGATGAAGGTGACCAAAGTCAAGATCTGTTGCACCATTTCCCCAGGCAGTTTGCTTCTCCAACCATGCTCAATCAAGATCCTCAGGCACTGCACACATTTCTCAACCAGCAGCATCGAGAATACGTCGAGCTGACGGAAGATGTGGTAGAGCGGAAAGAATACATATTCTGCCAGCTTCTCATCCAACGACGATGGATTTTTGTTGACTTGCTCGGTCAGGATGGCCAGGATCTGCGTGGTCAAGGTGAGAAGTTCTCGCTGCGATCCCGGCGAGGCCGCATCACGAATAGCGAGCTGGCTGACCTTGACGCAGCATGGTTTGAGCTGCACCATGTCAGTCTGCGCACTGGAAGACAGCATTCGGGTACGTACCTTTTGAAAGACCTCATTGCGAGCCTGGGTTTGTGGTTGCACCTCCATGGTAGCGTCAGGAGGCGACTTTACCTCATCTTTACACGGATGGTATCTCCGGGAGTCGTCTAGTTGAGCGATCTTGCAAAATTCGTGAAGTGAATGAGGCCAAATGTTGTGGGCCGGGGGCGAAGGCGGTTGCGATATGCGTGACTGAAGCTTGTGAAGCTTCGAATTTGGATGGTAGGCGAGTAAGACGCACACGGTGCTAAGCAGATCTTTTGAGTATTCACACTGTATTCGCACTGTATGTCTGCAAGGTGAACACACGACATTGACATCATCGTCAACTACGTGAACCTCTGCATCCCCCGTGTAATTTTGATCAAGAACCTTCGCAGAGCTTCAAAAACATTCAGATCCCCCAGAGAGAGGAAACTACTTCAACATGACTTGGGAAGATGAGCCTTTCTCCGTTACTGTCCATCCGTACCCCTCCCGCACCCGCAAGAGCGCCGCATACGAGCTGGGCAACGCCAACGCAAAGAACGCCCTGATTTTCATCGGCGGACTCAAAGATGGCCCTCACACTACTCCTTACATCCGTGCAGTGGCCAACATCATTGAGAAGCGCGACAACCTCGACTACTCAGTCTTTGAGATCCGCATGAGGAGCTCTTGGTTGGGCTTTGGAACCTCGAGCTTGAAGAATGACGTTGAGGATATCTCAGCTTTGGTGAAATATCTCAGAGGAAAGGGCAGACAGAAGATTGTCTTAATGGGGCATTCGACCGGCACGCAAGACTGCATGGAGTACACAAACTATGCGAAGCACGGGGCTGAGCCTGTCGAGGGCTTCATCTTGCAAGCACCCGTCTCTGACCGTGATGGCCTCGATATTGTGGCCCCAAACTGGAGGGAGTGCCTCGCTACAGCTGATCAGATGATAGCGGACGGCAAGTCGGATTGGTGCATGCCCAAGGACAAGGTACCTAACGTGCTTGGGGCTCCCATCACTGCCTACCGGCTCAGGTCGTTGATTGCAAAGGAGTAGGTGCGCCCTCATATAGGGACCGGACACTGCTGACGAGGCCTAGTGGTGACGACGATTACTTCTCTGCCGATCTGGAGGACGCCAAGGTGCGCAAGTACTGGGGTCGTTTCAAGGCACCAGTTCTGGTGCTGCACTCGGAGAAGGACGAGTTTGTCCCTGACGATATTGACCAAGCAGCTCTCAACAAGCGATACAAGGAAGCTAGCCCAATGGTGAGCCCACTTTCAGGCCTCATCCCCAACACAGGGCATACAGTGCTGGAAGATGAGGCTAGAGAGTGGTTGGGTGAAAAGGTGTGCGAATTCCTCGAGACACTTCAGTGAGACCATTGGGCGACGACTCACTGTACTGATTCTTGTTACTGAGGGTGCGCTGAGTACTATATCCGACAGAGGCACATCATAGCGTGGGATCGTGGCTACGTGGGTTCGGCAGCGCGTCAACGAAGACCTCACCACAGGATCTGGTTAAGCCAGATTCTTAGTACACTAGCCCACCATAAAGGTTGTCTAGGAGTAATTAGTGTTGTTCCTGGTATTGTCAATGAGTCGACGGGTGCGGTGTGCAAGCCATTGGAGGGTAGCCCGGGGTGCTAGCGGGACGAATCCGTTACTAAAATGCGTGGTATCTCGTCGATTTCTTTTGTCAAGAAGATCTATCTGCTTGCGAACGCTGGTTCCTCCAGAAATGCCAGGCGGCGAGGGTGACTGCGAGCGGCGGACACGCCAGCAACACCCAGCTCCAGAGCCCGTTACTTTGTGCCTTCAGCCCACGCATCACCTCGTCGAGCTGTACCGTGAGCTCCTCCTTGGTCCCATCATTCCACACCACGTGTCCTCCCCGCGCCTCGCTCCATTTCGCCTTGGTCCTCACATCTGTCTGGCTGCGCACCCTGTTCTCCGCATCTTCGCTGGTGAGGTGCGCGTCTCGCTCGCGTAGTCGGCGCATCTGTATTTCCGGATCGCGGACACCCACGACCAGTGTCGTCCCGCAGAAACGGTCCAGCTTGGACTCGAACAGCAGTGGAACATCGAGCACCACGGCCCAGCACCCTGTGAGGTAGCACCACAGCACCTTACGCGCCATGGCCCACCGGACCGCGGGGTGAACGATGCCGTTCAGCACCGCCCTGTCCTTCCTACGCTCATCGCTGTCGCCAAAGACGCGACGACCCAGCGCTGGTCGGTTGAGTGGACGTCCTTTGCCGGTGGGTCCATTCTCAGGCATGGAGCCGGACGGCTCGACCAGGAGATCGGGTGTCGTGGGACCAAAGTGCTTCACAATGGCGGCATAGCCCTTTGTGCCGGGCTCGACGACCTCGCGGGCCAGGACATCTGCGTCCACGATAGGCAGGGAATGAGGCGGCGAGGAGAGGATGGAGGAGACAGTAGATTTGCCGGTGGCTATTGAGCCAGTCAGACCGATGAGAAGCATGTCGCGGGAGTATCTGAGCGGGGTTTGGGGCTTGGATCTTTGTTTGTTGAGTTTGTCAATCGGCGCTTGACTTATGGTGGTTTGAGTGAGGCAACGTTGCTAGTTGCTGTTGGTCTTTGCGCGCTCACGATTTGGTTGCACAACTCCTGCTCACATTTCCTTTCTACGAGTGACAAACGGCAACTAGGTGTTCAGAGGCTGCAATCGTGTTCAAAGGGCGGCGAGGGTAAGTGTACCCAAATGAACTTGATTAAATGTTTCGAGCGCCTTGAATGTTGCAAGGTTGAAGATAAGTGAAGGTTATGTTTGTAAAAGAAATAAGGCCTTAGGAGAAACCTGCCGTATCGCTAGCGGGTCGCGCTTGCTGACTAAGGAGCTTCGTTCAAGCCGTCCTTGTTGCTGGCTGAGGCGCGCATGTAGTGGTTCCGTGTTTAAGGCCTGACTTGCTTTATAAATTAGATCTGATTTCTATCTGTTGACTCGCGTGGCATCGTGTCGGTTATTAGGCTTCTTTCAAGAATACCGGTCTGATCACGAACGCTGCTGCAGGCGGCTGACCAGACGCCCCGCTCCTCAGCTGCGATTATGGGGGCTGCCGCCAGGACCTGCATACCGATAAAACCGATGGCGATGGTCCGGTAGAAAAGTGTCTGCTACTATTGGCTGGGCTGTTGGCTCACTGCGCAAGTCTGGGCCCGCAGGTGCACCAGCTCCGCTACACCGACATTGATTTGCTCGAAGCGTCCGGATCGATGCCGTGTCTGTATACAGGCTGACAAAGCATCTATCGCTTTCCTTGCTGACTGCTTGAACACAGCAGCCGAACCTTGTCCGTGACTCTGAATTCTTTAGCCTGTGTCAAGCTTATTCAGTCCGACGCCTGCCTAGGCGGAATTCCACTTTGTTGTTCGCAAAATCTACCATAAGTACTTCTATGGTACGTGCCAGTGACGACGTCAGATTCGCACTCCAATCCAAGCCCGAAAAAAAAAAAGGTCGACGTCCTCCGTCACTGCCTGCCCCACTACTACGACCGTCGGCAGCATCCAACAGCCGCGTCCAGTCCGCTGCGCTGCTCTAGCATGACGCGACGATTGTAGGTGACGCAAACCCTCACTGTCTCTCCAGACTCCAGTCTCTCGCCAGGAGCATCATTGCGACGAGACAATGGAATACGCCAGCGAGCAACAGATGCTGCTGAGCTCGGGCTCGTTCACGGGCCGTCGCCCGTTGCAGCAGCTCGGCAGCGACTATCTCTCAGCCACAGCTACCGGTCGACAGCCACTATGTGGGAATAGAGAAGGATGGGGACCCATGAGTCCCTTTCGATACGACTTTACGCCTTGCTTCATTGACGTTTGGATCGCCATCGTCGCGGTCGGAGGCTTGGTCCTGGGTCTTGGTTCCGTCTGGTTCCTGCGCAAGAAGAAGCCCATTGCGACGGGCGTCAAGGATCTGCCGTTCTTCCTGAAGCAGGTAGGTTCAATCCGAGTGCAGAGGCAGGACGTCCGCTGACAAGAATCTATAGTCCTTGCTCGCCGCATTCATCGCCGACGTCGTCGCTCAGCTCGTCATCCAATTCATCAACTACGGACCGATTGCGTTTGGCGACTTTCGTGTGTGGACTACCGTCTTGACGATCGCCTCGGGCTGCGTCATCTTCGCAATCCAATGGCTCGAACAATCTCGCCTGCGCTATGCTCACGGCGTGGTGCTCTTCTACTGGCTGCTCCTGATCATTGCTTCGGTTGTCAAGCTGCGCTCCCTCGTGTCCCAGCAGCTATACGCCAAGAGCCTGCCTTACTTCATCGTCTACTGCGTGGGAACCGGCCTGGCCGTGGGAGTCTTCCTGATTGAGTGGCTCTGGCCGCGTAACACGCGCGACAGTCGGTATGATGCCATCGAGGAGGAGGAGGAAGAGTGCCCGATGGAATATGCCTCTGTGTTTTCCTGCCTGACTTTCGACTGGATGACGCCTCTCATGAGGCGCGGCTACAAGATCTTCCTCACCGAGAACGATCTCTGGGGCTTGGCCAAGCAGGACCAGACCAAGAGGACGGGCTCCGCGTTTGACGATGCGTGGCAGAAGGAACTGAAATACCGCCCCAACAAGCCCAGCCTCTGGATTGCCATGTTCCGCGCCTACGGTGGCCCGTACATGGTTGCCGCCATCTTCAAGTCCATCAACGACGTGACCCAGTACATACAGCCACAACTGCTACGCTTCTTGATCGCATTTGTCGCTTCGTACCAGACTCAGCGTCCTCAACCAGTCGTGCAGGGCGCCGCGATCGCCTTCGCCATGTTTGCCTGCGCAACGCTTCAGACGACCATGGTGCACCAATATTTCCAGCGAGCCTTTGAGGCTGGTATGCGCATCAAGGGTGGGCTGGCGTCCGCCATCTATCGCAAATCCCTGAAATTATCCAACGAGGGGCGCGCCTCGAAAACAACTGGCGACATTGTCAACTACATGGCCGTCGATGCCCAGCGTCTGCAGGACTTGACCCAGTGGGCTCAGCAGGCCTGGTCTGCTCCCTTCCAGATCATCATCTGCATGGTATCCCTCTACAACCTCGTCGGATGGTCCATGCTTGCCGGCGTCGCTGTCATGATCATCATGATGCCCGTCCAGGGGTTCACCGCCAAGCTCATGAAGAGCATGCAGAAGAAGCAGATGAAGAACAAGGACGCAAGGAGTCGACTCATCAACGAGATTATCAACAACATGAAGGCCATCAAGCTGTACGCCTGGGGCCAGGCATTCATGAACAAGCTGAACCACGTGCGAAACGACCAGGAGCTGAAGAACCTGCGCAAGATCGGAGCTACCCAAGCCGTGGCCAACTTTACCTGGTCAAGCGCCCCATTCTTCGTTTCGTGCTCGACTTTTACGGTCTTTGTTCTTACCCAGGATCGCCCCCTTACCACGGACATTGTTTTCCCCGCGCTGGCTCTCTTCAACCTCCTGACGTTCCCGCTCGCCGTTCTGCCCATGGTCATCACTTCCATCGTCGAGGCTACCGTTGCCGTCGGACGTATCACTGACTTCCTCTGCGCCGAGGAGCTCCAGTCGGACGCGGTGACCATCGGACCTGCTCCTCAGGCCTACGGTGAAGAGTCCGTCATCATCCGCAGGGGTACATTCTCGTGGGACCGCCACGAAGACCGCCTCGCGTTGAAGGATATCGACTTCACCGCCTACAAGGGCCAGCTCACCTGTATTGTGGGCCGTGTCGGGTCTGGCAAGTCGTCCCTCTTACAGAGCATGCTGGGTGATCTTTACAAGGTTGCCGGCACTGCTGAGATTAGAGGCACTGTCGCCTACGCGTCTCAGCAGACGTGGATACTCAACGCAACCGTCAAGGAGAACATTGTTTTTTTCTATCGGTACGACTCTGATTTCTACGAGAAGACGATCAAGGCATGTTCACTCGTGGATGACTTTGCCCAGCTCCCCGACGGTGACGAGACAGTTGTCGGCGAACGTGGTATCTCCTTGAGTGGTGGGCAGAAGGCCCGTGTGTCTCTGGCACGAGCCGTTTACGCCCGTGCCGACATTTACCTCCTGGACGATGTCCTCTCAGCTGTGGACTCCCACGTTGGCAAGCACATTATGGAGAATGTCCTTGGTCCCCGTGGTCTACTCTCCTCCAAGACCCGTGTTCTGGCCACCAACGCCATTGCCGTTCTGCAGCAAGCTAGTTACATCACCCTTCTCAAGGATGGCCAGGTCGTCGAGAAGGGCACCTACAGAGAGCTTTCTGCCATGGGAGGCAGCGTCTCCGAGATGCTCCGTACCGCTGGTCAAGACGGCAATGGCTCTGGATCCGGGAGCTCCAGTGGCTCTGCAAGCGAGACATCCACCGTGATCGAGGCCCCTGTCGACAGCCAAACCAAGGAGGAGATTGAAGAGAGCCAGGAGCGTGTGCCTGAGCTGGCCCCGATCAAGGCGGGTGCTTCCGCCCCGTCCAAGCCACGCTCGAGCAGCATGGCCACCTTGCGCCGTGCTAGTACCGCGAGCTTCAGAGGCCCCCGCGGTAAGCTCAC